TTCCTAGGCTTTACTATAGCCCCTGGAATCCTTAAGATATTAAAAGATAAAATTGTAGTAATATAAGACTAGCTAACGCTATAGAACGTTAAAGATATATAATCCTTTATTAGATATATAAACTACTACTAATAATTCCTAAAAGGATATTTAGATAAAAATAACCCTCTTATAAGGCTCTTAAAGAAAGATACCCTATAGTAATAGGAAGAAGAGCAAGAATAAGCCTTTAATAAGATTAAGCAATAAGTTATATTAGAACCTATACTTATTATACCTAACCCTAAAAAACTATTTAAAGTTGAGACTAACTCCTTAAACTACGCTATAAGAGGACAGCTAGGCTAATAAGACAATAAAGGACAGCTACGCCTATATGCCTTCTTCTTATATAAGCTATATAGCTTAGAACTTAACTATTAAATCTATAATAAAGAACTTATAGTAATTATTAAAGTATTTAAGGAATAGAGACCTTAACTATTAGGAATAAAGTATAAAGTTAAAGTCTATATTAATTATAAGAACCTTACCTACTTTATAATATTAAAGGAACTTAATAAATAGTAGATTAGATAGTTTAAATTCCTCTCTAAATTTAATTTTAAGATTATCTACTAAAAAGGTAAAGAAAATAAAAGAGTAGACGCTCTTAATAGGAGACCAGACCATAAAGTCTAGGTACCTAAGGAAACCTAAGTTATCCTCAAAAAGGATAAAGAAGGAGACCTTATGCTAGTAGTTAGACTCTTAATGATAGCCAGAAGAGATAGTACTAGCACAACTAGAAGAATGTCTCCTGAAGCCATTAGGGAGGTACACTCTGCACCTATATATGGCCACTAAGGCGTAACTAAGATATAGAAACGTATTAGATAATATTATAATAAAACGGCTATATAATAAGAAGTATCTTTAGCAATTAGGGACTATAAGGTCTATATAAAAAGCAAACCTAGCTAATATTAGCCTTATAGTAAGATATAGCTGCTCCTAGTGCCATAAAACGCATAGGAATCTATCTCATTAGACTTTATCACTAAGTTACCTAAGTCCTAAGAACTAATAACTAAGGTCTACTATAATAGCGTCCTAGTTATTATTAATAGACTTATAAAATACTTATACTTTATCCTATATATAGAGTCTAGCACTATAGAAGACCTTACCTATAAGTTTCTATAGGTAATTATTAGCTAATATAGAATGCTAAAGGAAATTATATCTAATAGAGATAAGTTATTCACTTCTAAGTTTTAGAGATCACTAATCTCATAGCTAGGATCTAATTATAAAATATCTACTGCTTTTTATCTATAAACTAATAGCTAGATAGAATAAATCAATTAGATTATAGAGACCTATCTATACTACTATATTAACTACTAATAAGATAATTAGGTTTAACTACTACTTATAGCTTAGTTCGCCTACAATAGCGCAATAGGAGAAAGTATAAAAGAATTACTATTCTATCTAAACTATGGATTTAACCTAATAGCCTATAGAGAACCATAATAAGGCCTAGCAGCTCTAAAAGCTATAGTAGATATTAATAAACTTAAGGAAATCTAATAAGAGCTACCTAGAGAACTTAAATTTATATATAAATAAATATATAAATACGCTAATACCTTAAGAGTTAAGGGACTAACTCTATAGGAGGGAGATAGTATATACCTTCTCTACTAAAATATTAAGATAAAATAACTAAGTAATAAATTAGACTTTAAGAAACTTAGACCTTTTAAGATTATAAAGAAGGTATCTAATATTAACTTTAAACTTATACTATTAGATACTATAAAGTATTATCTAGTTTTTTATATTTTACTTCTTAAAAAAGTACTAGTAGGTTTATATATAGAAGACTATATTATTATAAAACTACTAGAACTAGAATATAAAGTTAAATAAATTATTGACTACTATAAAAATAATAGAAATATAGAATACCTTATTAAATAGAAGGGGTATGGATATAAAGATAACTTATGGGAACCCGTTAAGAACCTCTAGCACTCCTAGCAGCTACTATAGGAGTATCACTAAGTAAGGGACTTAAGTCTATAAACTCCTCCCTAATCCCAAACTTGGTCTAGGAAGGGTTATTCTTAATACCTCTAGCCTAAAGATCCTCTATAACATATTACTTATAAGCCTCTAATATAGGAAGAACGTTATTAGCCTCCTTAAGTTGCTATATCCCTTAAGTAAATATCTCTATATAACGCTCCTTAATTAACTTCTAAGTTATATAAATATAAGCTAAATAACTAGCTATATTAGCTACCTCTAATTATACTTAAGTAAGCTTCTTATAGAGCGCTAATAGAGTATTACTAGCCTATTCCTCCTTTTCCTCCCACTCTTAATGCTAGTTATTAAGACGCTTTACTATAATAAGTTAGAAGCAGCCTATAAAGAAAGATATAATAGGACTTATAGCTTAACGTAATAACTAGTCTATTATAAGGACGCTTTAAATTCTTATACCTATAATAGACCTTTAAACCCTCTACTATATAATAAGGACGCTTTACCTAGAAATAGTAAGTATAGGGTATAACGTTAGAAGAACTAAAGCGCTTAAATATATTGTTATAAATAGAATAAAGAATAGATTTTAAATCTTTTAATTTTTAAATATAACCTAATATAGTATTAGCATTATAAAGATTAAGAAGTATAATTAATACCTCCCCAACCTAAGAGATACTACCTACTTATATTAGTCTAAGGGATTAGACCTTTAAAGAGGGGACCTAATATTATAACCTATTAGGTATAACTAATAAAGGACGCCCCACTAGGATACTAGGCAGTTATAATAATATACTTATATATAGGATCATAGGAACATATAAGGATCCCTTAGGAACGGGAGAACTATGGTATAGGTTATATAATAATAAGATAAGAGATTAGATCTATATAATCAAGATATAGCATCTATATTCCAGAAAGATGGAAGCCATATGCCAAGGATATGGGAGCTATATAGGGTATATATAGCACCTAGCAATAGGACTACCTAGGACCTATATATAGGATAGACTTAAGTCCGCTTAAGGATAAACTTCTATAGCTCTTTAGTAATTAACTTATAATTATTACTTATAATACTTTTAGCTATACCTAAGTAATAATTACTCTATAACTCTTATTAAGGCCTTAACTAATCACTAAGACCTTTAAAGACCTATAATTACTTAACTAGACCTATAGAATGATAAATAACTATTACTATTATTATTACCTAACTTACTATTAATATAAACCCTACTATCAGTTAGCTGGCCGTAACATCTAGCTAAAGGACCTTAAGGGTATTAAGGGATTTATAACTAGAAAGTTTAATACCTTTATAGTAGGTTTAAGCTATTATTATTACCTATTAATAACTAAGCTTACTATTTACTCCCCCCCTATTTTTCTTATAGCTCTTATAAATAATATATATACCTAAAAACCTTAGCTAGGCTAAATATATTAATATTAATTTAATTATAAATTATATCTATTTATCTTATTAAGAGATAATATAAACTAAAGTGCTATTATTATAATAAATATATTATAGAACCTTATATTAAGAAACTACTATAAAGCTTATTTAGAGCTAGATATTAGTTTATCTTTATAACTATATTAAAGCTTAATAGAGAAAGAGAAAAAAGAAAATAATTTATTTAAATATTAATTAATTTATTTTTATAAATAAGAGTAAAATAGAGATCTAATTATTTAAATAATATAATATTATATTAAGAGGTTTTATTTTATTTTAATTAGTTAATATTAAAGAGAAGCTAAAAAGAATAAATATATCTTTTATAATAGCTAGTTTTATATAATATATTAGCTTTACTTTATTAGCTATAAAAACTTTAATAAAGTAGTTTTTTATTAATATCTTTCTACTTTTAATATTATATAATTATATAGGAGTAATTATATAGCTTAAGGTATAATTTAATTAGATAAAATAGTTATTTTTTTCTTAGTAGATATATAGAAAATATAATATATAGCTTAAAGCTATTAAGCTAGCCTTTATTTTAGGACTAGTTCTATTAAATTAATAACTCTAATATAGTGTTAGAGATTTCCTCGCGCGTTGCCTTCTAGATGTCTAAAAGAAGGTCTTTTTAGACATTCCAGTAGATTTGTCTCTTAAACTATACCGAGCCTTGCGAGACAGTGGCCTCTGCAACATCCTGGTAAGAATGCCACGTTCCGGAAATCAACTTTAGCTGATCTAGTGTGTGCAAAAGCATGGACCACGCCCTAAATTGGAGTCTGCCAATTGATTTTCGGAAACAATGACAACTCTTTTTGTATGACGTTTTCTCGCAGCAAAAATATCACCAAGTTTTTGTTGAGTACGTGCAAAAGTGCGAGGACCGACCGCGGTTCGAACGCGGGGCCTAGAGATAACTGCGTGGAACTGCAATCTCTCGCTCTACCACTGAGCTATCGATCCAGCTGCATCTGGTGGATTCGCCAGCGTGCAACGCTTACGGAGCGCGGAGCAGAACCGGCGGGTCCCCGTACACCTTCGGTCTCCGTCTATCGGAATGGGAGTCCACCAGACCGTCTTGCACAGCCGCTCAATGCCCGGATGACATTCCACAAGTCAGTCTCATTCGGTGGGCGAGAGCGGTATCTCCAAGGCATTCCGAAAGGCTTCACTCCGCACAGCCTCCACAAGTCAAGCACGCACACCGAAGACGATCGGCATTCCGCCAATGATCTTGCGACCATGCCGCGTCTAAGACCTGTAGCGGCCCAAAAGTCACCCCGATACCATGCCGTGATGACAATCGTCGACGCCGCCACACGTGATTTCGCTTGGCTGTCTTGGGTGCATTTCAGCTAACACGTCGACGTCAGCGTGCCATCGAAAACACCGTTGAAGCTTTAATCAAGCTTCTCAAACACCTTTTCACGTTGGTCTAGGTCTCTGGCTTTTAGGCCATCTTCAAGCTGTCGCCATCATGGAAGCTGCTCAATCGGCGACCCTGCTACCTCCTATCTTCAGCCTTGATGAGTACGATTTTGGACCGGTCTTCCCTGACGAGGACCTGCTTCTCGGAGACGCAAGTGCGTACTCGAGTGAGACGTTGTCCGACTCGCCTCCGAAAGGCGCCTCTGGATCGGTGGCTGTCGATAATCCTAGTTCGGAGATTAGCCCGCCAAATGCTTCTGGGCAGAAGCAGCGGCTCGAGAGGCGAGGGCATACGAAAAGTCGTAGGGGATGCTTCAACTGCAAGAGAAGGCGAATCAAGGCATGTTGGCCGTTCCAAGCATCGCATTCGACTAACCGTATGTACAGTGCCAAGAGACGCGCCCATCTTGCGGTCATTGTGTCAAGACTGGCCTGAAGTGCGAGTATCCAAGCACTCCGACCATCATCCATCAGGTACGAAGTGTGCCAACGTGCCGTATGCACTTACTCATTCAAGAGCAGCCTCATCACCAAGTTCCCCTATTCAGTTTGCAGGACATGCGCTTCTTCCAGCACTTCATGCTCCAATGCTATCCCCACCAGCCCCTAGGAAACGAGAACATCTGGACTCACGAGATACCATGTCTTTCTCAGAGCGTAGGTCACCATCTTGCCCGTTCGCGAGGAGCCAGACTGACGCAAATAAAGCACGAATTCCTCATGCACGCCATCTTAGGCATGGCAGCCTGCGATCTGATGAACACAGACCCGTCCCTGCTAGCCTTCGCGATGGCGCACCGCGTAAAAGCCATCAAAGCAATCAAGAAGTCCCTCGCCGACCTCCCAAAGACCGGCACTACGACGGAGCACGCCAACGCGCTCGTCGCCACGTGCTTTGCACTGACCTTCCAGTCCGTCACGTTCGAGGACGGCATGGCCGAGTTCATGACGTTCATCAGAGGCATTCTCATCGTCGGCGCGCAGATGATGTGCAAAGGCATCAAGCCTGTGTTCGTCAACATGTTTGATGAGGACTCCAAGGCCATATTGGAGCCCAAGATGGCCAACTTGCCATTGGTGAAGACGGAGTGGGCTGATTCTGCGGTCGAGGCCATCGGTGGGCTGAGGCACCTCTGTCGGCACGAAGTAGAGATCGAGTATTACGAATTCATCTATGAGATGGCTTCGAAACTGCACACGTCATCCTGGGAAGGTAAGAGAATCGCCTCGACAGACCGGGAAGACGACTGACCTTGTCGTAGCCTACCGAGCCATCTCGAAACACTACGGCTGGTGGATCCAGATGCCTCACGAAAAGTTCCAGCGCGTGATTGACATGTCGAACCAGACGATGATCTTGTTGGCGACGCACTGGATCGCGGTGCAGCAGATCATGGTGTCCATCACGCGTGTCGAGCACGAGTGCCGCGAGAAGGCGCCGCAACAGGAGAGCCCGGTGGACGTGGGGATGCTTCGCTGGCTAAAGTACTCGAACAAGCAGATCGACCACGAGCACTTGATCTACAACCAGTGGCCGCTGTGGGTGGAGGATCGGCTGGACTATGATGTCTCTTTCTTCGGGAAGCGATGGAGCCCATGGAGCTAGGGCCGGGATATTGTGAATGGGCCAGGATCGAAATTGAGATGCCGTGAGTACGCGAGAAGAAATAGCCCTGCTGCTGTAAACAAATCTTTATTCTCCCAATCTATGCAGCGAAAACCGACGTCTCGTATTGTCTACTTCGACACGACGTGCAGGGTGGTCGTCCGCACCCAGCCCTACGCGGAACGAAAAATCCACTCGTCGACCCAGACGGGAGAACGGGTAGATCGTCGCGCACATCATTCGGGAATGCGAGATGTGAGCAAGACAAGCATTCCCAAGGCCATGGGTCAACATTCCCGCCGATCCTCATCACCGCTGGGTGATCGGGTGTCTCCGGAGCGGGTACCCGAGCCTTGGGCTCCACACCCGCCCGGGCACCGCCTCCACCTCGTCCGAGATCTGACCTCTGATTAGCCGTGCTCGCGAAACGACGCATACGGGGGAGTGGGGCCGTCGCCCGTCCGCAGCAGCCGTCCGATTTCAGTCGACTACCCAGGTTGAGGCTGAGCATACCAAGCAGGCTGATGGTGGCGTTCAGTTTTTCTCCAAGGGAGGGAAAAGGCGAGGAATACGGTGATTGGCGGTGTCTTGGGGAATAAGCTTTGAGAGGCGACGACAGCCCTGGAAGCTGGGACGATGATGCGGCCGATTAACTGCGCCTCCGACGCTCCTCACCAATCTCTTGCTGAGCCACGCTGCTTTCCCGTGACTGGGCGAATGTAAGATAATTACTGGCGAATTGGAGAGCGCGGTGGGCAAGACACGGGCGTTTCTCGCATTTCTCGCATCAGCTTTACCATTTTTTCGCCTGCAAATAAGCATAATCTCAAATGACATCGATTGAATGCGCACAGAGGCCGTTCAGCTTTCATATAAACCACCATTTCAACATCTACTGAGACACTTAGTTGCAAGCATTCATCCTCCTTCAGCAGCTCAGGCCAACGACAGCGACCAGACACACTGTTAGTTGAGATCTCAATCGACAATGGCGACTCTCGCAGATACAACAAGCATCCCCCGTACACCCACTCTACCAACATATTCTTCAGCGACAGATACACCGCCAACGGGTGAGACGGAACTCGCCGAGCTCTCACCGTCGACATCGTCCTCCAGTCTCCCGCCGACCTACGACGACGCCACAGCCTCCACATCGTCAGCAATTGTCACGACAATCCGCGGTCCCACAGACGGTTCGACAATCAGCGACAGTCCGCCGTCACCAACCACAGATTCCTTCACCCCGACGGCGCAGTTCCAGATCGAGACCTCCGGCAAGCAATGGTTTTCCCTCCCCACCGGAACCCGACCAGACCCGATCCCCGTCTTCCGCGTCGAATACGGGTCGTGGTCCCAGTACTCCCAGCCCGTCTACACCTCTCTCCGCTTCTCCCGCGGCGATAGCAGCTGCCACCTCGTCCGGGACAGCGACGAGTCCCAGACGCCGGTGTGCACCACGCTCTACCGCTTCGGGCCCGGAAAACCCCCCGTCTTTCGACTACCCAAGTCTCCTTCCCCGTCATCGTCCGGAGAAACCTCGCCCGGTGCCGCCGAGAGCGAGGGCGTCGACCTGCAGATATTCTCCAAGTCCGTCACCTCCCGAACCCAGGTCCTCAAAACGCCCTACGGGACACTGCGGTGGCGATACGCCTCCAGCAAGGAGCGCGCCGCCGTCGAGGGCGCGGACGAGCTGCTCGTCTGCGAGCTCATGGAGAAGGTTGCGACGAAAAGCTTCAAGATGGAGGAGAAGACGACGAGGATCGCACAGCTCGTCCGCGGAGAGGGGACGAGGACACGCGGGACCGGGAGGTCTACGGCCGGCAATGGCGGGCGATTGATGATGGACCTTTTCAGGTGGACGGATTTGAAGGGTGGAGGCAAGGAAGTGGTCGAGGGTCTGGTTATCGCGAGCTGTATTTGCATGCTGAAGAAGGAGGTCGATCGGAGGAGGATGCAGCAATTCATGGTTCTGGGGGCTGGGGCGACTATTGCTATTTAATGGACCGCTCTATCATTGGTTTTGGGCTTTGGGGAGTTATTTTGTGAGGTCTTGTCCGTTTAAGGACGAATTAATAGCGATGGAAGAGGATTCACTTCTTAATTAATGACGCTTCTCATAGATAATATAGTGCGCTTTCACTCGAAAGCTCTGTACTGTGAACAATGACCACCATTTCATGCGCAAAAGCTGTGGCTTAATCGAGGATTCCATAAATTCAAGAAAGTAGAATTACATACATGTTATTTATTATGCCTTGAAAGCCATCTCACAATGGGTAGAACGATGACTGGCCTCCGTCGGACTCTATCCGCCATGATGCCATATGCAGTCTCGAAATTTTCCGTCTTGATTACTAAATCTCCGCTGTAGTTAAACTTGTACCTGAATCACTCGAGGCTCGCTGGATCATTGTTGGATCCGGAAGCCGAAGGCACCGCGCCGAGCCCGGATGCGACATGCGGGTCCCGGAACGGCGATGTGGATCCATCACCGCCGGGACCCTCCGACAGACATAATTGCTTCCGCGGGCCTCCCTCCCGGGTATTTGGCATTGCCAATATCTTCTCATCGATGAAAACAGCCAGCAAATTTGAAGGTTTGGCTGTAATGACGAGTTGACAACGATTCGCTGACCGTCAAAGCTAGCGGGCTGTACTAGCTTCTGTCGCGATAACTACGTAATCGATGCGGTCATGGCATAGAGATTCACCCCTGCCCACAAAGCATTTATCTCGACAGGTCTTCCGCGATGTATTTCAGAGATTGACGTGCAGAATCGCCAGCTTCTCGTCAACAGCTAGTCACTCGACGCTTGATGGATATTCAAGCGGGAGGCAACTCGGTTTGGACGAACTTCTGGGAATGCAACTAGTGCCAGTTATAAATCGATCCAAACCTTCGAGATCCGCTGTGATCGTACTTGAAATGAAGAAGTATCTGGAATTCGGCCACCAGGTGCATAAACAAACAGCCTAAAGCCCAACGAGGCAAATATCACACTTCATGCAGCTTTCTCTCTCTGCCCTTGCTTCATTCAGTCGTGCATGTTTATTTAGGATTCGCAAAAAGAAGAACCGTAAAATCATTGCCCGTTCGTCAGTCAGAGCTTCATCACCACGAAAAAAAGAATTGTTCCCACTCCGAGGTTCGAACTCGGGTCTTTCCGGTGCGCGTTCAGTGTAATGAAAGCGGAATATCCTAACCACTGGACTAAATGGGACTTCGATACTTGACTTGAGGAAGCCAAGTTGCTCATAGAGTCTAGCCTCGAGCGGCGTTGACGCTATTGGCGCAGTAGGCCCGCGACCGTATTCGGAGGGCTTTGTTCGTGCACTCTGGAAGTTCATCACAGCTTTGCGGGTTCAAAGCGGTGAGTATTGACAAACACATCATCTCTGATTGGGGGACACACAAACTTGAGCCGCTTTTGAAGCTGAAAGCGGGTTGGTGAGGGTCTCGTGGGTTCACGATGGTTTGGCGAGTCTCCACCGCTTTAGCTTCAACGCGGGGCTCTTAAGCGAGAATCACTTACAAGCCATCTCAGTTGTTGCCCTTTACTTGGTCTAGTTGCGCTGGGGATCAGGGACATACGACCAATCTATCTTAGATTCCGACGATGTCCACAGCCAGCTTTCTATGTCCTTGAATGTGTGGAAAAGCCCCCTTTTTGCTATAAAAGTCTCTACAAGTAAAACATGTCCTCGCCTTTAACAGCGAACATGTGATACCTTCTCGAGCCTATTCAGTATTCACGGTTGGTCCCGTAAATTCAATGCCATCCACGATCAGGCCCCGCTATGCGGCCACGGAGCCTTTTCTGTCTCTCTCAGAGGGAGTATATGCCTACCAGCTTCTTCAAGTTACGTCACTGCTCTCCTCCCCGCTTCATTTCTTCTAGTATATTCCCATGGGGCTTTGGGCTTGTTCCAAGACGATATTCATATCTCTAAAATGCGGTGTAGCCTACGCGCCACGCTGTGAGTGCTTGCGCTGCTGCTACCCTGAGCCAGAACCCGACGACCATTGCTGCGCGCGCTGAACGGCAGCTTGCTGAGATTCGACAGACGGGGGAGATGTGGGACTGCGACTCCCTATTTCAAATGTGATTGCGTCTACTTATACTGAATCACCAGATGCAGATCGACCATGGGGGTCAGAATTAGGTTTCTGTGTCCCTCGTATCTTCCCTGGTGAAGTATACCCGTTTGCAGTTGTGTTCCGAGGTCTCGATTCTTCTTCGGTAAATCAAAGCTAATTGAGATCTTTGTGCTCCAAACCCAGAGAGGAATTGGAATGGTGAGGCGGGCTTCAATAAATTAAAGAGTTATCAATCAATCTTTCAGAACTGGCCAAACTAGCATGAGATTGGCGAAGTAAAAGACCGTAAAAGTCCGTGGTTCTCGATCGAGGGCCTGTTTTTCGCAATGTGCTGGACCAGAAGCTGTTGCTCTCGGACGAGTGGCATACTCAACATCAATGAGATGAGTTGAAATTCTTCAATCATCTTTGCTCGTCTCCTCCGCTACCGTATTCTGAGAAAATACCATAGCGACAGAGGCAACGAATGGCCGTAGTCAAACATTAATAGACTGTTTCGCTGATCTGCCTGCATACGCCGGATGATAGATACACACTGTTATACTTGGAGAGTGACAATCCACTCATGGATCACTCTTGCACATGGCTGTGGATTCCTATCCGGAAGTTCAGTATGAAGTCCGTCTCTGCATTTTTAAGTGCTTTTCCAGAGACAGCGTTCCGAATTGGTCCGGGAGGAACGATCGGGAGCCCTTGATGACTACATTACATGTATGGAGTTCATATGATGCAAAAGTTTCATCAAATAGGTGGTTATCCACATGAAATCAAACCGCAGGCATGTTCGTCGCTGTATCATAGCCCACATACACTGCAGACCTGCGCAGAGGGAAGGTGTTCGACATATACCACAGACTAGACAACAGCGCGAAACGAACACGACCCCAGACTGCGTGTTGTTGCCCCAAGACTGCTTCTTTTACTACACAGACCATTTGCCGACGCTCAGAAACACGGCTTTGAGACTTATGCCGAGTTCCAACCAAATATAAACGCGATTTTCTTACCAAGCCCAACAATCTTCAGCAAAATGCCTCATGAACGATGCGCTGTTGCGTCTTCGTTCATTTAACATATTACATGCGAGCAAGTCATGAAATTGATTGTACCGACGTGTTGCTCAGAAGGGAATGCCGTCGATCTGGCGCTGAAGTCTCCTTCACATCCGCGACCGTCCCTCGGGACCCATTCGCGAGGAATATTTCGGGAGAAGGGGCTGACAAGATCGATGAAAGATGTGATATTCAAATTGCAGATACGGTTAATCAGGCAGACTTGAGGAAACAAACTGAGGCTCGCTATCCACAGTCTCTTACCAAATTGTTGCTCGGCTCTGGATCAGGACCACATTATACATCCCCGACATGGAAGTAGCATTGCTTTCCTCAGCTCAGAAGGACTATCTGTGGTGATTTATATACACACTAAGTTGTCTATGAGTCCATGTCGGGACGACGTCAGGTGGAGAAGAGGCCACTTCGATGTCAGCTCAGTCGTATAAAGAGCTAACTGTGATCGTTATCCACAGCATACACCAGACATGTACTTAGTCGTCCCGGAAACTCGCACGCTTTTGCAAGACCCTAGGCGCTGTCATTATAATAACATGGTGCCACTCTTCGTCAGTCAACTCAAATCACCACTCGGACGACCATCATCGTTCATCACCATCTCTCACCTAATCCCCCCAGAATACCACAAGGACGCAGCACAGATAACGTAGCGAGTACTATCTCATCACACGGCGCAGGACGTGCGAAGTCCCGCATCTTCACAAGAAATTGGCATATGAAGTCAAAAAGCATCTACTGGCTTGAACTCCAGTTTGCCATGTCTAACATACGTACAACGAAAAACAAGATCTATATATAGGCGCATACTCAACAGGAACATCACATCGAGCGCGCGGGGTGACCGCCTACCTATCGTTGTAAGATATATATAAACATGTGGCCTTGCTTGAGCCTGATTTCGGCATTGAACCCTTGGTCCTCGTGGTATCCTTGTCAGACGTCAATCGAGGCTTGCACCGACACCGAAAAAACAAACAACTTCCACGTCGACATCGAAAGCAATCCCGTCTTCGCTCCTCCTATTGATCCAACATCGCATTCACGCCATAATACACCACAGAAGACGACGCAGGACACCGACGAGTGACGACCACTCATGCCAAGACACTGGCTGTTGAGCGGAAGCTTTGCATTACGGACTCAGACTCCCTAACATCCACATCGTCAAACGGACGGAACCAGCAAACGTTGTTTGGCGGCAGAGTGTTGACAACGAACAGACCGCCTGCCGTGCTCCATCTCTCGATAGATCGTGGGCTTTTTATACAAGGACCTCCCTCCAGAGAGCCATTCTCGTCGACATTGGCCACTGCTGTCCCGGGTATCACAACATCGCCACCCAAAAGCCCGGGGAAAAGCCTAGACACGGTCCCGGGAAACCAAGAAGACTACGTAGCAATCGTCATCCGTCACCGTCCAAGACTCAAGCCGTGGACCGAAGTTTCGAGCAGGTATCAAAGCCTCATCGACAGCTGCGTCCAGAGAAACACATATGAGAGCAGCACACTCACACATCACAGATACACAAACACCGCTCGAGATAGATGGTAGACAAGGCCAAGTTCGCGTGTATGTATTTCATCCAGTCATCCCATTCATCATGGCCCTCCTCCAGACTAGACAATCTCTCCCACACGCACACACCCGTTCCCCGTCGTCCGTCTTCCGACCCAGGGCGAAAAGCGACCCTCGACGGTAGATCACCCCCTTAAAAGACAATAAAACAGACCCATCCCATATCAACACATGCAAGTCATATCCGGCGTAGCCCCAGATGACGTGAAAAAAAGACATCTCGCATCACCCTTTCATCCTATCGTTCTCCATCAGCCCCAGATCCTCGTCCAGGGCAGCTTCAGAGACAGATCGAAGGCGAAGAGTCGGCGAATGTCGCTACATACATGAAGAGAGGAAGAGCTTCTTTCTCATCAAAAACACGAAAACCTCAAGGAACCATTCCATATGCCCCAGTCAAAAGGACACCAGAGATCCCCTTCTCACCCTCCCTCCTTTTTTCCTTTCTTCTCTCACACCGTTGATCGTCTTTTCCGAGTCTTCATCGTCCCTCGCTCTCCTCTCAAGGTACTAACGTCTCGCCGTCGTTGTCACGCCTAGGATTCCCCGCTAGGCACATCAAATACAAGACGCAATGAAGCCTTCCCCAGAGTAGAGTGTCCCGAGAGAACTGAATATGCACGTCGTACTGCGCGGTCGATGCTGATGTCATAAAAAAAAGAACGAGAGTGGTCATTTCATGTCGTCAAAGTCGTAAAGCTCGTCGAGATTCAAGAACGCCCGGCGCCTTTTTCGCAACCAAATCCCAAAAGCTCACCAGTCCAGGGCAGCAAACACTTCGCTTGCCGTGTCCTATGTGAACCGCATACCGCGCCACCGGCCGGGAAGCTCGCGCTCCGGCACGGCAAAGTTGGCGTTGTGGTGGGTGTTCTCACCCCCGTAACCGAACCCGCGCATCTTGTACTCCTCGGGCACGCACGGCACGGCGGGGACGCCGTGGTTCGAGTTGGGCCGCAGACCGAGCGGCTCGGCCGCCTTGCGCGTGGCGCGCGAGGTCCATGCCCGCGCAGACTCGACAAAGGACCGCCGCGAGTCGTTGGAGTCGATGCTGCTACGGCTGCTGGCGGCGTACGACGGGTTCGGAGGCGCGAGGTCGGTGTCCATGGGACCCGAGTACGAGGCCGAGGGCGCGTGCTTGGCGAGCTTGTTGCTCGCTCTGTTCGAGCCGCTGAAGGAGCGTCTGACGAAAGGACCCAAGCCGCCGCGGGGAGGTGGCGGAGGCATGTAGTTTGGTGGCGGGGGAGGGGGCATCGATTCCGACGCTGCGGCCATGTGGGAGCGCGGTTTCCGGAGGCCTGGAAGGGTGAGATCGACGGAGATGCGCGAGGCAGACTTGCGCAGTTTCTTGACGGCGGACATGTCTTCGTCGTCGTCAAAGCCACGCTTTCTGTTCCCGTCGCGGGAGTCGGGCAGGGGTTCGACCTCGTCCTGTTGTGGCGGAAGGGGCCATTGTCCCGAGACGCGCTCCGCAAAGGACTTCTTATCCACGGGGGGACGGGTTGAGTACTTTGTGCCGGACGGGGCGATGTTTGGCGGAGGGGGTTGGCGCGTGGAGCGGATGGCGTGGGCGTCGAAGAAGCCGTCCTTCATCAGCTGCTGGTAGCTGGCCATGATCTCCTCCCTAGAAGGCATGCCCGCACCGTTTGCCGGAGCCGGAGCCGGCGCGGCACCTTCGGCACCACCGCTTCCAAAACCACCTGCGCCGCCTCCCGCAGAAAGGAGCTTCCCATCCAGGCTCAACGGGCGCTTAGCCCCCTTATCCTTGACGAAGCTCAGTTTCTCGCGGAGACCACCCCAGAAACCCTTCTTTCCCACGTGGCTACTGGCCGAGCTGGCGGGTCTCTTAGCCTCGCCGTAGGTGACGGTCGGTTGGTGCAGGACCGGGTGTTGCTGCTGCTGATGGTGGTTCTGCGACGACAAGAGCGACTGGGATGACTTGTGGTGCTGGGGCTTCGGCGGGGAGAGCACGCCGGCGTCGGGGGCCTCGACGTAGAAATCCATGCGAAAGCGACGTGCGATCTCGGACGAGTCCTCGGGACCGAGGAAGTTGGGGGGAGGCGCGGCGGAGGTGCGGTCGTTCATGGAGCCCTCGACGAAGCGGGAGTTCGCGCGCTGCGTCGAGTTTGCGCGCTTAGCCGCTGGTCGCTGCGCAGACGCGAAGGCGTTCGATGTCGGGGGAGCCATGACCGGGTGGGAGGTCAGCGGGCCAGGCGCGTATGAGTCGTCTATGTGCATTGCGAAAGGCATCCGGTTAGCATGTGCTGGTTCTCGAGGTTGAGGTTCGTGTTGATGTGAGCCGAGGCGTACAAGAGGACCAGTTCTGCCGTCGCCGGACGAGGTTGAAAGTTGTTCTCGCGCAGATGGAGGTGATACAGGCGAGGAGGAGGGAAAAGGGCGGTTAGATGGCAATGGCGTTGAGAAGAGGGCGATGCTGGTGTGCATCAAGGGAGCGGGTTTTGTTTACTCTGGCGTGCCGTCGCACCATTGGCACCCGCACCCGCAACGGCAGCTTCAGCGTCGGGCTTCTTCCTTGCACGCGGTGGCAGGAAAGCTCGCAAGACGACGTCTGAAAAACCGGCGAGAGGGCAAAAAGGTTATATAAAGTGTGGGGGAATGGTTGGTAAAATCAGGATGGACCAGAGAAGTGTTGCGAATTGGGGGGGAGCGATGCGATGGGATGGGCTTGGGGGTTGGTTGTTGATCTTTGTATTGGAAGGGCAACGATGGGTTGCGCCGGGGGTATCCACGCTGGTTGTCCACGGGCGACTTGGGGCATTTGGGGAAATGGCCCGTTGCCGTTGCTCAAACAACCTAAACGGCCATCCATTCGCTCCACTTAGGCTCGCGGATGCTGGACGCGTCCGCCAACCGCGTCCCGTCCGCTGGCCTGAACCACGGCCGCTGTGGACACGTGACGCTTGGGCCCCCATCTCATTCCTCCTGGAGCAGATCGATCTTCAAGTCAGTGACATTCGAGTTTATTTGTGAGGACTGTCGAGACGTCTCGGGGACATGATTGTCAGGGCGATTTCATAGGAGGTCATATCAAAGTCAGCGGTCACCCATATCTGCGAATTAAACCTCGCTCGATCTGTCAATGCCAGATTCGCGAGAAGTGCACGATCACATGGTCACGGTTCAATGTCTTGAAGTGATACTGTCATTTCCTATACAATAAACATGACGGTGACGCCCTTGGGCTTGTACACGAGCCGCCTCCAATCGATACAGCATCCATAACCCGTAACATAAGAAATACAGGCAACCAATGACACATTACAGCCACATCGAGTGTGTCCATGTCTTCGTGAGCCCTTAGTCGTTCGTTTTTTGTGTGCCAATTTAAATCATTCGCAAACCACCTCGTAGCGGCCAGACCGCGGAAGTAAGATAGGAAAGGAAATAAGCGTGCGTGGGATGATGCAAAAAGGCCTGCTCGTCCACAGCAGAGACTGAAGCGTCATAAGTGACGTGACATAAGAGAGGGCGCGTGTGATGACGCCGGATCGAAGTACTTGATATATACAGTCGAAGAAAGAGAAAGTCGCAGTCCGTCCAAACGCCAAGGGTGCCCGAGAACGCCGGCCCGTTAAATGCGTGTCCTGAGTTGCCGCCCAAACGCCGTCAAGCAAATCCGCCAAGTTGTTGTCTAATCACGGTACTCGTTGTTCGGCTTCTCTCCGTAGGTGCCGTCAGCACGCTTGTATGCCATGCGGTTAGAGAAGTCCCGGTGGGGGTTGTAGGCGCTGTGCATGTCTTGCGGGCGCTGTCCGTCGTAGAGGGGACGGCTGCTCTCGGCGAAAGTGTCGGCGTAGCCACGCTTCATGCCAGCGTGGACGTTATCCGGAACTGGGACTTGCTGAGTGGCAGGTGCAGGCTCGATCACGTCGGAGGGTACCAGAAGAGCACGGGGCGGCGGAGGCGGGGCAGTCATTTGCACGGTCGAAATAGGGGGGAGAACAACGGACTGCCTAGGCATGTTGTGGCTCTCAACGGGAGGCGGCATGCGGTAAGACTGCAGAGAGTCTCTCCTAGCGTCGGACTCTCTTCTGCCATAGTCCATCTCCCTGGGAGCGTAGTGGGAGGGCGAGGGAAGAGCCATCATAGATCCACGGCGATCGTACGAATCGTGAGGCGTGGGAGGCGGGTTGCTTGGTGCGTACTGGGAGCTGGGCCTGCTCGAGTAGTGCATGGGAGCCTGCTGGTACGGCGACGGCTGGGCCGAATAATAGGGGGTTGACGGAGACACCGGAGGCGGTTGCGGCATGGGCTGGGGGTGTTGCTGAGGCGGGTAGGGAGCGTTTGACGTTGCCGAGAACCTGGACAAGTACCCGGTGTTTGGCGGCGGTGCGGCGGCCGCATGAGGGGGAGGGGGAGGCGGCGGCGGCGGTTGGAATGACTCCACGGCAGATGGCCGTCGCTCCGGGGGAGCGGGCGGGTACGCGGCGCGGTGCTCGCTGCTGTTACTCGTAGATCTGGCTCGGTACTGGTCGGCGTTGCTGCGGATTTCTGGCGTTTGTGTTCTCCTGCTGCTCCTGTATTCGTTGTTGTCGGCGTTGCTTTCGAAGTCATTACCACCGCTGGGCTTTCCCTCCCTGCGTCTCATGCGCACATCACGCCTGATGCGGACTCGGCAGCCTTGCTCCGAAATCGTCTTGCTCAGGTTCGTGCTCTCCGTCAGTCCCGGAAATTTTTTTGCGCTAAAGACGCTGAAAGGTACAGACTTGACGGCCATTCTCCAGTTGAAGCAAGGGTAGTCGTCGTCGCTAGGGTCGCTGGCCATGTCACGGTCCTCGGGGTTCTTGATCTCCTCGTACAGGTGGAAGGCGAGGACGTATCGGCCCTCGTGGCGGACCGAGAGATCGGGGAACAGGAAGTAGCCAGCCTCGGAAGGTCGGTCCAGGTAGGCCATGCCAGAGACGGGCATACCAGTCAAGACGGGGGTGTCGCCGGGGCGGACCGCGGCAGGTGTCTGGACACGCCCATTGGCGATGACGCGGGCCGGAGCCAGCTCGGCGAAGAGGAAGAAGTTTCCGTTGTAAGCCATGGTGACATCCTTGGCATCCTCCTTTGTCATTCCCTTGCGGACCTTCAACTGAACAACGGGAGGGGGGTCAACTGGGCGGCGGTCTGCGGCGGCTGTTCACAAGGTTAGGATTACATCCAATATTCAGGTCATCCAGGTGTCTTACACTTCTGACCCGAACCGCAGGCACGAGCGCGCTCAGGTTGTTGCAAAACATTCAGCTCGTAGAAGAAGCGCGGTCCTCCTCTCGTTTGGCGGTCGACAAAAGATTGCGTCTCGATGATGTCTTCGATCGAAGACGGCGGCGGTGGCGGTAGGGCGGCCATCGTGACGTTTAGGGACTCGAGGTCGTGGGATACGGTTCAATCGGAGAAGATTACGCAAGTATGGCAATAAAGACTAGTTGGGCGTTAGGAATAAGGTCTAACGACACAGCTGCAGCACGATGCAAAGGCGTTGAGGTATGGCTGTCAAAGGACCTGATTCAGGAGAATCCAACCAGCTGGATACCCCGACCGAACGGAACGCAAGGCGTCGTGCTGCTTCCCACAGCAGCGAGCAACTTACTTTATATCCGGAGACGATGTGGTGGCGTCCTCAGCGAGCAGAATCCTCCCAATCCAAGCTACCGGGTCGGTTTGTTGTTAGTCGTAAAAAAGGAACGGTGTCGAGACGGGCAAGGGCGACGGCGACGACAGCGATGTTGCGAAGTCGTGGATCGCAGACTCGGTCGGTGGTGGTTGAACAGGAGGAAGAGGAGAAGGAGCGCACGGGGTGGGAATGGGGATTTGAAGAGGGAGAAGGAGTGAGTAAAGGTGGGACGGGTGGGTAGAAAGAGTGGGAAGCAAAGGAACGCAATTGGCTTTGGGGGTGTCAGAGTGTGTGTGGACAGGACAGTGTGATGGCTGGGAACTGGGCTGAACCGAGAATGGCAGGACTGGGGACCGGGGAGGAGAAGAGAAGGACGGGTGTGTGGAGATGGCACACGGAATGGGTAAGGTAGCAGGACCAGGGTACAAGGGAATGGGCACTGTGAAGCCGAAGTACTCCGTACCCTGCCGCACCCTGCTAGGTCTACGAAGTACTTCAGTACGGATAACCCTTCTAAACCCAAGCCAGAATCAGATAGGGGTGGCCCGGGTGAGTAAAAGAAGGAGGAGGGACCCAACGCCTCGGACTGGGGCCCAGCTGACTCGGCGGTAATGACTGACGAAGAGATGAAAATCAGTACATGGCAGCAGCAATCAGGGCCCTGTATGATCCGTGCTGGGCTTGCTTTTGCTTTATTCTTCCCCCGCACAATTCTCATCCTCCACTGACGACGAGGACGAGGACGCACTACCTGCCGTCGATAGCTGCATAGGTCTGCATAGAAAGACTGCCAAACCTTCTGCTGCCCTGGTGATGTTGGTGCTGGCGCCAGGCTACGGAGTACTCGAGATGAAAATGGCTTTTTGGCTCCCAAGCATGACTAACCGCCCAGGTAACATGAACATGACGGTCGAGGGGAGACGCGGCTTGATGGCTATGCAGACATCGGGTGAGTACCCGTATCGGTATCCGTACATTCCAGGTCGACGACTGAGGCGCTGAGAATCAGGGAGCAAAGTGCGAACATCCAGGTCCGTTATTGGGATAGGGGCAAAGGGCCAGGCGAGACGGAGCGTCGGACAGGGGCAGAACAGAGGACCACACCGGTGATACTGCGGCTTTGTGTGGATAGCGAGCCTCCCCGGATACCTGCGACACCTGCCCATTCCTCTGCAATACGACATGTATCCAGTGTGTGAAGCCATCTCTGAAATGGCACAAGCTCCGCGGACGCTAGATTCAGACCTGCCATGTACTAGTCCCTATTCGTAGTGCACTTCGTCGTGCGCACATGGGCCCAGAATCAGATACATGCTAGAATGCTAGCGCTGGCTGTTCTCTTTTACCTCTGGCTGGCGTTGGCGCTTCGTTCGAAACTGTTTCTGTGCATTCCCTAGGACTGACGTCGCTTCGAGTTAGCAGCCGAATCAATACCGTGCTCACCTCACCCCACAAAGACACCGTGTTGGAGAGTTCCAGGCGGAGGGCACCTCCAACGCTTGAGTTCTGCTTTACCTTTCCTGCCTAAAGTTTGGGCGATGATCACTGACCATCACTTTCCAGCCGGGTGGTTCGCTGAGCGTGCGTATCGGGCAGCTTGCCTTTCTCCTCGAGGCAGACACTTTTCTCCATCTCCTCGGCCGTGCCCGGTAGCAGAGCTAATCCAGATGCACAAAGAGCCGGAGTCTCGGGTTTTTCGAGGCCTGCTGGGCTGCCTGACGGCACCGTACTGCACTGACTGGTCAGCGTCCGTATCCTCAGGAATTTCCACGGTCGGGAGACGATGAAAAGGAATTAACTCCCTCCCTGGGCTGCTAGCTGATTCAAGGCTCAAGCCCGGCCATCACCCGCCAAACCCGCCCATCCATCCAGCAGCAAGCAAGCAAGCAGTCCAGCCAACCCAGGGATCTGTATTCCCCTGTTGCCGCATCGCCATCTGCAGTCCCTCGATGCGCTTCCTCGCCCTTTGTGCTCTCGGCCTTCGCGCGAAGTGGCTCGTCTCAAGAGCCCGGCCTATCATTTGTTATTTCCGTCCAACTGCACCCCACCCGGGGCATGGGAAGGCCAATCCCGTTTCGTCTTCCGTCCCAGCACTCAAAATTCCCCTGCTCGCCACCCACCACACCAGATGCGAAGCCCTTGTTCATGCCCAGAAGCTAGCCAAGCCAGAGGTGCCAAGGTGCCAGCATCTCCCCAAACTCTGCCAATGGGGATTTCGAGTCAACAGACGGGCCCTGTCGGTTGGGTCGCAGCCAAGGCACAGTGCGAGGCCTTGGTCCACCTCCAAAGGTACGGAACAAGATGTTTGCTGCTTGTGATGGGTGTGTGTGTGGGAGGGAAGCCACAGTCGTACAGATGCCACCTTATGTAAGATGGCGCTGCTTCTCCTCTCCTCATAGTGTTCATCGTACGGTCGATGCTCGAATGACTGCGCGGGTGGGAACAAAACGCCCGTCGTACTGAGACATTCTGCATCCGTTGTGAAGCATCTCTAGTGACTTCAGCGGCATTGCTCCCAATGGGCCGTTCAGCATCCAAAACGTTCCACTCATGCTTCCGTTGCTGCAGACTTTTCAGCAGGTGTCTGCTGTTTCCAGTGCGTGGCCGACGTCGACAATACCCCGGGCTGCCATTGTTCTTTGCATGTGCACCGTCTCGTCCAGTCGGGAGATGACCAGATGGTGTGGCCTCGGACTTGAGCTAACCGCGCCGTGGAAGTGCACCGCCGGCACATCAATAAGCGGCCCATGGTCTTTCGGAAGCCAGATCCCATTAGGGTATTCTGTAGATGTGAAGGCTTCCTAGTATGATCATCAAAACCATCCCTTCCTTGCTCAGTAAAAAGCTGCGAAGCCAGGCTTTGCCCGAGACGGGTTGAGCAGAGTATATCGAACCATGGCGAACCATGGCGCTCGAAAAATCGGGCGTGCTGTACGAATACAGTGCTGCGAGGCATCAGGTCGCCTCGTGTTCGATTTTCCACTTCTTCCCCAGCAAAGCTGGCTCGGTAGGACGGAGGCGCTTGATACGGGTCCCTTGCTGCGGTATCCGTCCCATCGGCACTGGCCCCAAAAAGCCAAACCCCAACCTTTAGACGTCATGTCGTCTGCTTCAGATTGAGCTTTGCCCCGAGAGTAAAAAGTCTGAAGTTTGGAAACACTATTCATCGGCCCCAAAAGCACGCCGTAGCACCCGAACAGCCGTCCCCCGTCTTGGTGCGTTTGATGGATTACGAACCGTGGATACCCAGCACGGCGGTGTTGCGCCCTGTCCAAGATGTTCGTCATAGGGTCTGGGATAGACTTTCTCACGCTTCCCGCGAGTCGAGGCCGTAAAAAGTAGGCAGCGCGTGACCGTCGCCGGAGCGGCTCGCCACCCGCGTGGTTTCTTTGGTAGATGTACGTTTCGGTGTATCCTCTTGACAGTTCGGATCTTGTTGAAATCGAAATAAGCATGATTGGAGCACCCGAGGCAGACTGAATCAGCCAGGCTCCTAGCCAAGGGCTGTTCCGAGTGATCAACGTCTACCGAGTCCCTCGGTCTCCACATAGGAGATTTATTTATATTAGCATTGGTTGGGCGACTGCTCCAACAGAGAAAGGCCAGGGTCAGGGCACACGGGGGACTGTGGGGGGATGGGCAGACGGGAATGAGGGACGATTCGGGCTTGGGTATCCGTACACCGTGCCAGATGTAACAAGATACGGACACGTTTGCTGGCCTTAAATGGGTCTCGACCTGTCGAGGCGGGAAAAGCAATGAAAATAGCTGATGATCCCCTGGAAGCGATGAATTGAGCGGCTTCGTGAATGCGGCGCAGTTTGGCAGAGCTGATGTTCAGACAATGAGTTGCACAAATGGAGCCAAGGCCGCACTTTGTTGGGCGGCCGATAACCGAATAGCAGCCAGCCGCTGTTGAAACTGGCTTCGGCGAGAAAGGAGGCTGATGTCGGCGATTTTGCGGATGAGGGATGAAGAGAGGAGGCTTCAAACCGGAGCATCAACTCAGCAGATCAGCGTCGTAGCGTGGCGGAGACGTGTGGATATGTCGGGACCGAACGTTTAAGTTGCCAAGACGTGGTTGAGATTCGTCCCGTCTTTCTTCTCTAGGTCGGGCTTCGACCGGGCGGCGCTTTGGAGATGGAATGCCAATGCAATGCACTGCAGCCGCGAATGCTAAATCAGCATTCCAGACGTGACAGCGACTCGGTTGTGAGGGTGTGGGAGAAGATACCTCCGTACTGAGAAGAGAAAACGAAAACGCGAACCTGCTTGGCACTTGTTGGCGGCGGTGTTGCGTACGCGGCTGAAGGTGGACGCCTCGTGCTTGGAAGCCAACGAAGGAAAGGAAGGGTGGACTCGCTGAGGTTTGTCTGTCACACCCATGACGGTGGAAATGAGGGAAACGTCGGGTCGGGATTTTGTCAGTGAGATGGCTGCAGACTATGCCCAAGACGGCAGAAAAGAGCATCGATTTGCCACTCGCAATTCCAATACCGTAGACATGGATGAACGGCGCTCTGTCCACCGTGTCCAGGACCGTAGCTTCGGGTGGTGAGGAGGAGTGAGGAGTAAGATGAGGTGATGATGTGAGTGGTCAAAGAGTTATGAGGAAGGCGTCTTGGAATTGTTATGCAATCCATAGCATCGGGTAACTGCCATCCCAAAGAGAAGGAGCTGAGTCGTCTGCCATTGGCTTCTCATTGGCCCTCATGCGACAGCAGGTGTGGTGCTGACGTTTGAGCCTGCCCTGCGCTGCGTGCCTGCCCGCCCAAAGAGTCGAGTTTTCCGTCGGGAGCAACTCCACCAAACCGCCCCGTGCTTCAGTGGGAAAAAGCCTTGGATGTTACGGGGCATTGTTAGGGCCCTTGCCATGGCCCTGGGTGCCTTTGCCTGTCCAAGGGGTAAGGGCCAATGATGCCGTCCTGCAACTCCCTGACTTTTGCAGGTTGGGGGTCTTTTTGGTGATTCGTTCGAAATGAGATTTCCATTGGCATTTTCCCAACTCGACCTTGACCAGTGGAGACCTACTCAGAGTGCGGAACGGATACACTACGGGAATCGTCGCTCACCCGGCGGCCTGAGCGTTGTTAGCCGACGCGGAGCGGAACAGAACGACTGCGAGTCCACAGCAAGCACGACCTCCCGGGGAGAAAGAAGCCCACAGTTTGCTCTTTCCCTGGAAGGAAAGCAGGAGAGATGAGGAAGCCGCCGTGCCATGTCCCTTGACCTTGCACCCGCACCCGATTGTCGTTTCCACCTGGGCCCACCTGCCAGAACTTGGCTGGTCCTCGTTCGTTCGTCTGCCCTTCCAATCAGCGTCCTCAGCTCGTTCTTGCCCTGTTGGCCTGTTCTCTTTTTTTTCTTTCCTCTGGTGCCAGCCGGAAAGACAGTGTTGGTTAGCACTGTACCTGCATCCCCTGCCTTTCACAGTTCCTGCCTTGCAACCCTCCTTCCTCCCAGTCCACCTGAGATGCGACCCCGACCCGCATTTTGCTTAAGCGAGCCCAACATGTGTGAGATCCACTTGATGATCTGATTCCTGCTGTCTCCTCACTGACGCATGCAGTGCCCGACTAAATACGCCTACCTCTCAGCCAAATCATCGTGAGATGGACCGTCGACCTGAAGACGAGAAGGCCTTTCCCAACATCAATACCGCAGCAAGTCAGGCCATGCTTCACCAGAGAGACCAGACGGCATTCAACACTTTCGGAGGATCACCAACCGTCCAAGCGACACTGCTTCATCCCCAAACATCCACGGTCCGATTCCAGTGCAAGCCCGGCAAACCTGTCAAAGGCATGGACAAGGACGCCACGCGATGCACAGAGATCCGCAGCCGCCCCTCGTCGGCGACATGACTGGATCAAATCCGACGGAAAGGTTTAGTCTTCAGATAGTATCCCAGGCCGCTGGCATGGGAATTTTGTCGACATTCATCACGCACATCCCGACGCCTCGTTTGGCATGTTTGCCAGGCAATCATCACTTCTGCTTACGGAAATCCAGGCGACATGAGGCACACAACCCAACGCCCGCTCCTGCTCCTGCTCCATCTCCGGCCTCGTGGCTTTCTCAACGATCGACCACGGTCAGCATCCCGTCTGGAGAACACGCGCGCTATTCTTCCACGCGTGACCGACTGTCTGACCGATAAGCGTTTCCCTAGTTGAGTTTGGTCTGTTCTCGACTCCTGTGAATGGAGTTGCAACGTGTGGTCCGGCCCCTCCATTTGTGTGAGACAATGGCACGCAAGGGAAGAAGACACTGCCGGCTGAAGCGCAAACTGATACTTGCCAATTGGCGAGTGACCTCACCACCATCTGGGACGCACCATCGAACAATCTTGCATTTCATCTCCCGGCAGCCTCATCTCGATTTACACTCGTTTATTGGGCCGCCCATCGATTCGAGAGCCTTCAATGGACTGCCGTGTAACCCGGCACAGAACTTGAAGGAAGTTGCTGCCGATACAGAGATGTCGTGAGTTGGTTGGTCGCGACTACTGTTGTCTACCGTCGAACGACATGTCCCAGATCACTCACTACCATCTCTCCAGCACCAACCATCTCGTATTTCCCCCCTTCGCCTTCGGCATGTCGGGGCGTGCGCGGTGAACGTACTGCCTCATCGAAGCCTCAAAATGTCTCTTCGCCGTCACACGGCGTGGGAGAACCCCACCCCGGTCAGTAGCCCATACGCGAGGGCAAACAATGCGCTTGGGTGATATCTAATGTCTCTATCAACCACGCCGCAAATCTCTCCTGCGTCCTGCACGTGTTAATTAAGCCATGCAAGCTCCTATTGTGGGGAAGACGGCGGCCTCGAGATGCTCCAACGATTCTCGTGCTTCTCTGTCACGTCCACGGATTTGAGGCTGAAGTCATATACCGAAAATAAAACGAGATGGACATCCAACGACTTGAAGCTTCGCGTGCCGTCGCAGACATGCACGCCATGCCGAGAAGCCTGCACGATCCCGTTATCCAAACAAGGATTCCCCGAGGAGAGCCGCTGCCGCTCCCACGACCGGCCCAGTCGTTCCTCAGTCCACCAAGCCAATGCCTCTTGAAACCAGCTTCTCAGCTCTGCCACCATTCCTCTCGTAGAATAACACGCTTCAAGGACCGGAGCTGCAGAGGACCAGAAACATTCTGGCGCACATACCAACACTGCTCTCTCTGTCAAAACTGCCATGACATGACATATGCCCGTTCCATCCTGCGGGGCTGGGATTCGGGGTCTGCATTTCAGACGCCTTCAAATCCCGACTCTCGGGGCTTGCTTGGGGGGGCGTGGTCTTCAGCCAACTGCGCAAAATGTCTTAGAATCAGTCGTTTCCCCCTCGGTTAGCAGCAGGCGTGGGCAATGTTGCACCAGAGGGGAGCATGGTGACCGATTGAATGGCATCATGGCGCTTTTATTCTTTTTTTTTAAAACTACCCTTCCTCCTTTCGCCCTTCCAGACCTTCGAGATCGCCGTGATACCAGTTTCTCTGCAGGCCCTTTTTTTTGCGCGCGGGAAAAATCGTAGTGCGACGTGATCCTTCACACACAACACGAACCTCTTCTCCGTCGTCAGGGTTCTGTGGTTCGCGCCAGTAAGAGAAATCGGTCGACGCGAAAGAGCGAGCTCGTCTCAACATTGGTCCCCCTCCCATCCCAACCTTGTTTTTCTAACGGGCATGCAAACGTCCCCCAGCATTCATCCCAGCTGTAGGTCCCGGAGTGACACCAAACGAACTTGTCGCGAAGACTCGTTCATGGGGGTTCCCCGGGAAGGAGTGAAGGAAGAGGGAGGGCGCACTGCATTGGTTTTCTGTACCGTGCCAACACATGAGACTCGTCTGCGAGTTCTAAATTGTTCCTGTGTTCTTTTAAACATATACTTCAGCGGAGATAGACACCATCGGCGAAAACAAGAGGCCGTCTCTTCGACTAGAGTTGCCCGCGATGCAGCAGGGCCGAGACAGGAACACAACGAACTTACTGTGGACAGGAAGTCAAGTCTAAACTTGGTATCCCACACTCAAAGTTCGTCTGGTGCGTGCGTGCCTGTGTGCAGCGACTGAGTCCGCCACATAGCTATTCAATTCTCTCCCTGCGACATGCCACCGGAATTCCCAACGATGAAAGGGATGTATCTCCCACGTGGGTGGGGTGTGTGAGAGAGAGAGAGCGATTTGATCGGTTCAGACCAAGAGACCCGGAGTGTCAAATCGTTCGAATGGGCAGAATCTCTGATCCGTGGCAGTTGAGAATTTTTTTGCTTTTTCCCACGCTTGCTGCGTGTCTTGGTGATGTTTGGGATTGGTGGTTTTGCTTTGCTCTACATACGTAGCTTCCTTCCCACTAAACTACTGCATGTCTCGCGCCGTGACGCGGGTCATCGGGAAGTTTGACGTTCCCGAAGAGCCCGTCGAGCAGTGTAGACAGCTGGACAGCTGGTCTCGGAGGGACGAGACCTGGAGCTCGGGTTTTGAGAAATGGTGTTGGCTTTCCCGGTGTTCGACGGGCGATCATACTTGCTTCTTGCGCTTGTCTGATAGATGGTGTTGATTGCGGAGTTCCGCTGTGCTGTTCTTTTTTGCTTTTATCGTCAATGCGCTTCGTAACCTGGATGTCGGTGCCGTATCTTGTTTGTTTTCTTTTTGTGAGATGTATGGTACGGTTGTATTTGTGTAGGCTGCTCGCTTGCGCGTGGAAAGCTTGATGCAAAATGGATGTGGTTATGTTTGTGTCTGGAGGATGATGGTGTCCTCTGGTTCGTACGATAACAATTTCTGATCATAGGATGATCTTGATGCTCTTCATCCGGGACCATCTCAAACATGGTTTCGCAGTGCCTCCGAATCATATACTGACGGCGTATTTGTCAACTTCTCGGACTTATTGTGGCCTCTGGGAGACAACTTCTCTCATGGGGCTTTTTTAGATCGTACGATAACGCTTCCATCCCCTCATTGCCCGTAGGCATGTGGCCCCCTATATTGTCTGCAGCTGGTTGTGGAATGATGCCAGTGGTACTCTACAGACGAGCCTATTGACGACCATGGAGCATCAGAGACTGTAAGGTCGAGTATGGCTTTCCCCCCAAGACTGAGAACATGTTGGCGTTGTCTTGCTCATTGTCTGGGCCGTGTAGAAGGCGTGCGGGCTCTCCAGCTCTTGGTGGTAGTCTTGCTCCTACTGTCCCAAATTCTTCCAGCATCCGGTCGATTTCACGAGTGACTATAGTTGTACGTCTATCAGGTCCCTTATTCGATAAGTCCAAGGCCGAGGAGGTTGTGGTAGTAATGAGCTCTAAGAAAATTTCCTATGCCTGTTTGTTCCTACTTTGACATACAGCTAGTAAACAATTTCCTAACGTCATGGTTGAACAGATGATGGTTTCTGCAAACCAACCCAAGCTCTTTCAACTTCAGGCCCTGTACTGCTTCTCAGGCCGAACAGTGGAAGTGCTCGCCGGCATAGACAAGTCGGAGGAGTCGAATTCATTACCCATCTCAAACTTGATGACTATGAGAGTTGTCAGTTGACGAAACATACTGGGTTATCTCTGCATTTTGAGGAGAAAGACGAGGGAGCAACATTCAAGAATCAAGTTGAGGCTGAAGAGGGAGAGGGAGGACTTACCATCTCTCACACGTTCCTCAACATCCTCCGCGCCCAGAAAGTCTTGCTTCACCATAGCCGAGATGCCTTCAACAAACAGTTTCTAAAGAGGCATGTCAGCTAGCCATCTTCAGTATATGTAACGGGATGCCATACATAGATAAAGATGAACATCTTGTCCAACTCCGTCTCAAACCGTCTCACGATATCGGGGCTAGCGTCGTTGAGCTTGAGTCGTTCGATAAACGCGGCCAGATTCACCACTTCATCCTTGCTATACCGCGTCAGATTACGGATGCCGTCGAGGGCGACCTGCTTGGCGAAGATGTTGTCTCGGAGGTCTTGGAGGTATATGCTGCAGGCTTCCTCGTCGACGCCCGTCTTGGGACATCTCGGGGGGGAGATCCTGATTGGGGTGAAGTTTGAGTCCATAGTTGTTTGGTACTGAGAGGAAACCGTCGAGTGAAGCTTGCCGGTTTTGCGTGATGAGTCGGACGCTCAAGTCAGGTGTGAGGAGGGCTTTTCGGAAGACTTCTTATATCCAAGAGTTCCTCCTCTTCAGTGGCGGAAGCACTTGAATACAACAATGAAGGTATGCGATACAATGCTCTGACCGTCTCAGCAACTTGGTCCTTTATTCTCTGCATCTTTCACGACACTTTGCCTCGAACGTCAGCTTTCTTCCTCGAAACTCCAAACTCTTGATCTTTCAACTAAAACAAATCACGGCGCGCGCAATGGAGAAACAACAATGAGATGAAGGTGCGAAACGGTCTTTCGCTTCAAGCAGTGCCTGATAAAGAGACATGGGAGTCGAATGACTGGATAAAGCATTTTGCATTCATCGCATTCCGCTGCTCAACCAGAATAAGCCATCAAAGAGGTTTCAACGAGGCCGTACTGTCTCTGGAGCGCCGGTCAGAAGACCTCATGATGCAGAAAGCGATTTTCAACTTCAAACCAGGGGCCATGTCCAAAGCTCACCAGCCAACGTTGCAATATTACAATGCAGGAATGAGGTCTATTTTGACACTGGTTTATCTGCTTGTGGCATTCCCAAGATACATGCATTCAGCTGATGAACATCAGTGAATGCCATTCTTGGCCTCGATAGGTAGCATAGTGCAAACGGTGCCCCCAATGACCGCTTTTGCATCAGTCTGTACGTCTTAATATTAAATCAGGCAGGACTTGGGCGACCTCTGGCTCTTTCTATAACTGAGAATCAGTCGTGAAAACGCATCCAAGTTAAGCTCATAGTCAAAGGAAAACCATCAAACATGAGCTCGTCTTCCGAAAAGAGACAAAGAAGAAAAGCTGTAGTTGATAGCACTAATTAGCAAGAGCTACCTCCGGGGTCGAGGAGCAGAAATCAAGTCCGTCTCGCCACGGTCTATCGTCATTCTCTTCATCGGGCTTCTCTCCTCGCGTATTCTCGTGATACAAGTGCTCTCGGGCGAATCTTCTCGGCGAACGAAGACGCCAGTCGTTTGACAGAAGTGTTTCGCGTCACGTAGAAGATTTCGATGACCAAGTGCCGTTGGGACAAAGTTCTCAACACCTTATTCTCTTGGGTGCCCTTGGGGTACATTTGAGGTGGCTTAGCTGAGGTTTTATAACAAATGCGAGACTCATATCGGCAAACGTCACGTCCGCTGCTGCTTCATTGGTTCCGCTCTATCCTGAAGACTGCACCGCTGCGTCTAACTACCAGAGAATGGAGCTCTTGTGCTACAGTAATAGATGATTCCGATGGGATCTGTAACGGAATCGGGGTGACTCCCTGGATCAATTAATGTAGAGTCTAGCAGCTGGAGAATGCAGAAATGGGACCGTATTGTCACTGTCCGTTATCGTTTCCCCTGTCAGGCTTCTTCTCTTGCGTATTCTGAACGTATATCCCCTCGATCTACCTAGCGTGCGCTGCACCCCCCACCAAATGAGCATTTTCATGCCTGCGGATGTGTTTCCGGAGCGGTAGTTGACGGAAGACGCTATCTTTGACACATCGATTGGCAGCAAGCGCTAGCAACAGATGAAGTAGAGATGAGAGCAGATGTACATACGGCGTTGAAATAATGCAATTACTCTCTAACACGGTGATGATGGGTACAAAATGATAATATCGGATTGACAAGACGCCGATACACTAACAGCAAGACCCCTACTGCTTCCCTGCTGCGCCAGGAGACAGACGCGTCTCCGTTGGTTACATATTCTCATTTTCGGAGAGATTTTGTGCCGAGCATCAACTTGCTCTTGCGGGTCGATGGAGTGCGAGGCCAGTGGCTGGAAAAAAACTCAAAAGATGGGAAACCGAGCAAAGCCGAATGCGGGTTGAGCAGAAATCCAATTATACGTCATCTGGAAACGTCAGGGCCCCTTTCGAAACGGATCAACAACTAGGGGAACTACTACTGGCATCAAAAACTACCCCAACTACTCTATTACACATTACCAAGCGCTGCTCGACTGCCGCTGCTCGTCATTCCAGCTCCTCTTCAAACTTCATGGGGAATCATACTACGATCAAACGAGTGAGGGTATTTCCAAACGACACACCGCCCAATCTATGCGGTAAAAACTTCCATCAAATACTGTCAAACGAGCGTGCTTCTTTCTTCTGTCATATATTTCGTTTTCGTGAATGTCTCGTACAAGACCCGCAGACTACATAGCAGTCATGCTGTTGATCCATGGTCATCGAAATGAGACTTCCAAGGCATCACTCAGACGGCCGGAGTCGCAGAGGGAGCGGGAGCAGTCGACTTCTCAGGGAACTGACCGCCGTGCTGGGGCACGCGGCCGTACTGCGTGAAGTAGAGGTTGAGGGCGTTGTAATCCCACTTCCTGGAGAGCACGAGGAAAACGACAGATCCAAAGGGGATCATGAGAACATCCAGGATGCCGAAGAAGATGAAGTGGGGAGTCACACCGATCTTGTTGCCGCCCTCAGAGACGCCAAACGCGATCGGGTACAGCAGCCAGAGCAGGTTGAAGTAGCCAGCCAGCACAAAGTAGTCGGCGGTGGTGCCGACGCGCTTGGCGCCGACGGTGCCCTCGGTGAGGGTCGAGGCGGCCATGGCGAGGTAGGCGACGGTGCCGAAGACGAAGAAGCCCCACTTGTAGACGGACGGGGTGTAGGCGGAGACGAGGTAGCTGATGACCCAGACCCAGGAGAGGAAGACGTTGTAGGTGATTGTGGCCCAGGACGAGTTCGCGACGAGGCCGAGGAGGATGTTGACGATGGGGAAGGAGACGACCCAGTTGATGTACTTGGTGAAGAAGATCTGGCGCTCGGAGACGAGGGACCAGCCTAGGTCGGAGGCGTTGGCGAAGTAGGTGATGGAGCCGACGAGGAGGGCGATGCTCAGGAGGTAGTGGAATATCTTCTCATTGCTTCGGGGCTTGAAGGACAGGGCGAACACGCCGAGCTGAGAAGGGTTAGTTGGAGTGATGACTAGGGGTGGTGGGCGGAACATACGAAGAAGAGCGAGTAGATGGCGACGCAGGCCCAGAGCCAGTTGGAGCCGTTGACGCTCAGGCTCTGCTCGACGGCTGGGGGTGGGTTGATGTCGAGGGCCTCGTTGGTTCGCTTCAGAATGAGACCCATGGCTGGAGATGCTGTCGATTCGAAATGAGACGATATCTGAGAGGGTTTGGCGAGGCCTGTCTGCCGCGGATTGGAGTTTGTGTTGAAGCTATCGTAGCTTAGAGTGTGATGATTGATGTTGTTGTGATGAACTGCTAATATCGAAAGAGGGGGAGGCGAGGGTCTTATACTTCCTCACAGCTTCAACGCCAGGATACCATGAAGTTCCAGAATCTGAAGCAAGCCAGCATCCTGCAAGTTCACCGTCACAAACCTCCGAGCCCGCCGACGTCTTCCTCCGGAGCCCTATGATTCGAGCCGGGAGCTCGAGACCCCTGTCCCACGAAACCGCACAGTCATGGTCCCCAGGTCGGATGAGACGGACAGAAGCAAGGTGAACCCGTAGAAAGTCCCGCCCAACTCGGGAGGTGAGAGAAAGCCAAAGACCTCCTGGCCTGTCAGAAAGCTCTTTGAGTCAGGAGACCTTTCTCTGAAGTCAGCCAAGGTTGGTCCAGATGCAACGGTTCTGCACGAGGGGGGAGGGAGGGACGAGGTGGACCGCGGCACGTCCAGTGAGGTCCGCTCCCAGGGCTGCCGGGGACCGACCCTGGACTTGAGATCGTAACTTGTTCGGTGTTGTGGGGAGGGCGATGAGTCGATGATGGGACCAGAAAGGGCTGAAGGTTATGTGAGCGCCGGAGCCGCCTGCAACGGGAGGGAATCCCGGTACTTACTCACGGGAGTACCTGAGAACGACCTCGTAGTTGGAGTGGAGACCGGGGTTGGATGAGGTATCGCATCGTCGCTTCACTGACGTCAATATGCCGCCTTCTATCACGCCGGCCTCATCCATGAGCCCAAGGCATCATCATGACTGAGCCATGGTCTCGTACATCTGCATGGCCCCTATTCCAACGAAGACGTGGCATGCGATATCTCTCCAGCTCTGGCGCATTCTGTGTTCCAATCTCTGCCTGGATACCGACCTGGCAGGTCCACGAGATGTCATCCAGACTTCTGGCCGATCAAACTCGCCCTGCAAGGCCAATGCCGGGAGTTCCATTAGGGCTGGCGAGGGAAAGCAAATGCCGAACCCGGGAGTGGTGAATGCACAGACGCACAGTTCGCCGTTCTCCGCCCGGCACAAGAGAACCACTCCTTGTCGCTACCCGCCAGTGACCTCCCGGACTCCGGATGAGATATCGAAACAGCCAGAATCCTTGTCGCGACTGCTGAACGGCAGCTTCCTGATACCTCAATGGTGTAACGCGTGGTTCCTTCAGGCGCTCAAAAGAATGGGGCTTTGGCTAAGGAATGGTAACTCAGAAACCTGAAGGCGATGACATTGATTTGATGCCGGCTCGCGTGCCAGTCACACGTGGTGCGTGGAAGAGCTTTCAATCGCCAGGAGGACCCGCTCCGGACTCCCCGGCCGACTTCTACCGGCGGACGCTCGGGAGCATCGGAATCTCATCACGTCCTCTCCCCAAAGACGATGACTAAAGGATGCATGTTGAGGACTAGCGACATATTATTTGCCTAGCAACGGCTGGTCATCGCCTAGCCATCGTGATCGGCCGCGACGCTTCGAACTAAGTAGCGACTCCAACAGGCATGTAGGGTTGCTTTTCTCTTCACTGCCAGGTGGTATGCGAGTTCGAGCTCAGAACCCCCCGAGTCACGTCCAGAAGTTTCACAGTAATGGCGGGGTTACAACACACACAGAGCCGTATATGGCTTCCAGACGAAGGTATCGCGACGTACCTCCACCCTGAACGTCTCCAACTGGATAGCGTAGTGTGGGTCACACGGGAAGCTACCGCCAACGGCCGGTAGTTGGAGATTCTGCAGGCTGTTTCTCGATGCCCGTCCCCCGTTTCGCCAGCAAGCCGCCCATCCCTGTCGCGATAGTGGCTCACAGCACACCCTCACGTCATGCCACCAACAAGACCCTGCCGTCGATCGTGGCCCGGTTTGGACCCCTGTACTATCCATAGCGCCGGCCGCCCGCTGAACCTCTGGTGGGTACCAGAGTGCGTGCAAGCTAGTGAGCTAACCCGACTTTCTTCAGATTCTTTCTTTTCCAGAGCTTTCCTCGACCTCCGTCTCGTGATCATCAGATCACATGGAGGAGACGATCCCGTCCGCAGCTTCCGGGGACCGGAGAACCATCTCGGCGGAAGAGATTCGAGATGTAATCGACGAGAACACCCGGTCTATCAGATTATCAAATGAGCTCATCCGGTGTCGTCCGAGGATTCTCCAAGTAGATCCGAGAATCCTATGACATCCTAGATTCAGATACTGCTTATATGAGAGGTTCTGGAAGGCGCAGATTCAATGTCCGAACTTCCGAGGGCGTGTCAGCCGAGCCGCTCAGTGTGCATGATGTGGCATCCAGTCTTAGTTCATAAGTAAGAACCCAATTCGCCGACAATCCTACTAGCCAGGTGGCAGCTGTTCCATCACATTGTCAATTGTTGGTTCATGTTCTGGCTCGAAATCAAACTACGTCGTCTGAAAACGTGCTTGAATGGTCGGAGAAACGTCCCTCTCTTGTGAATTTACAATGCCTCCAACTCCGAATAAAGGCGTAGAGGACCAAGCCAGATATGAGACCCGTCAATGTATAAACGGCTTCAAAATTCTACAACTGTCCAACGAGGCGCGTAGTCATTTCAGCCCAGGCCTGTGACAACCTCTCAAGAAATATTTTCACCCGAAGCGACGCACAGTAACTACCGACATCACCATGCTTCAAATCAGTCCATTGCATACTTCGTATGTCCAAACCATGCCAATGCTTCATTCATCATGTACTGTTGTACCGTATACAGTAAGCGACCCTACAAAAAACTCCATGTACGTCTATTGTACATTGCTTGCCGGCGACAACGAGTCACGGCATGCTTCTAGTAACTGCTAGCCTGCTTCATCTGCCAGACCGCGCTCTTAGCCCTCTCTCTCACGTCTAGTTCGCAGTCGTCCTCTAACCCCTCGAGTTTTGTAAGGAAACCCAGCTTCTTCAGCTCGTATGCCCGCTGGGCGCAGGCGCGCATGTCGTTCTCGTCATCCTGCCACGTCAAGTTGCTAATTAAATGGCAGAGCGCCACCCGGACCTCCTTGTCCTTGCTGTTGAAGTGATTCGCGAGGAGCTTCAAAAGGTCCGTCTGCGCAATAACCAGTTGTCGATGGCGAGGGATGCTAGCGGCCATGTGCACCAGAATGAAAACGACAGCCTCGATGATCTTGGCTTGCGGATAGAGAATCCTGGCTTCGCGTCCCGAGCCCGAACCTACCGCCCGCCTCGACGTGGGGTTGAGAACCTTGGCTTGCAGTTTCCTAGCCAGTATGTCAAAGAATCTGTCCTGCCCCAGCTCGTTGAATAGATAGTCAATCATCTCCGTCGTTTCGTTTGCCGATTCCGAGCTCGACCCGGACCCTGTCGCTCCGATGAGATTCCTAATGAAATCCAGCCCCTGTTCTTGAATAGCGAGGTCGTCGTTTCGTGCTTTTCGGAGCGGGTTCAGTTCGGCCTCCCGCAGGGCTGCTAACCTGGCTTCTGTCTGGCGGAGCTTGGCTGACCGTCTGCCATCTGCATCGTCCGAAGGCATGGTGGAACCCAGCCACGACTTGGACAAGGAATCTGCCTGATCCATCTCGACATCGCCGTCCATATCGTCTCCAGCGTCACCTGCGTTCTGCTTGTCCAACTTTGATCTTGCCAGGAATAGTGCGTCATCTTCGGTGTCGTCACAGATGAGCTGCACCAGCCAGCCGGACTCGAGCTCTTCCAAGCACTGCTTCTTCGTCTCGGGATCGACTGCGTGGACGAAGTGCTTCAAGGCCCACAGGGCGTTGAGTCGCAAGGCAGCATTGAGCGAATGTGCGTGCTCGCAGAGGATCTTCATGACGCCCCTGTCTGCGAGAACCTATGGCCTTTATTAGTGACTTGATGATACGTGCGGGATGCCAACTTACCTCTCTCATGGGACTGACTTCGGTGACCAAATTGCATATCGCGGCTGTCGCAGCAATTTGGACATCGACGTCAGGATGCCTCAGGAACCGAAACAGGGGGACGGCAACGGCGTAATCAACCAAGGAAGTTCTCAGGATGCTTACGGACCGCGACAGCATTCTTATGGCATGGCAGCCCGCAATCAGCACTGATAAGGGATTGCTGCCGTATCCAGAGTTGTGGTCCGTTGAGGACGCATCAGGAACAGGCCCATCGGGCTCATTATTCTTGGAACGGTCCTTGGGATTTGACGGCTTGCCGGGGGTCGGGGAGAGCGATTGAACAATGTGCGCGACGACTTCTTGGTCAACAAACGCCTTACGATACTCGTCCTTGCCTGCGGCCAATGCCCCTATGGCCTTTAATGCGCTTTCACGCATCCTTACTTTGTGAGCCAGTAGCGGAGGCTGTCCTTCTGGCCCCAAGGCACACGAGGGCGATGGATCTTCCGTGTCCATACCCGTATCGGCTTGTGGCGACCATGCCTTGGCGTACGACGAAGGCGGAATAGGCTCGTACGCATCCTTCAGAAGCTTGCTGAAAGACTTGACGGCCCCGCAGTCAAACGCAGCTTTTTGAAGCGGTTCGCTGTCGGTTATCATACGAGCAAGTATCGCTGGCGTCCGCTCCAAAATCGTCCACTTTAGCGCACTATCCGTGTCGACCAAGGGGGACTTCACTACTGGGGGTGAAGCTTGCAGTTGATCCAGCATGTCCATGAGAACGGGAACGACGAGCAGTGCGAGACTCGTTTCTCTGAAGTGCTTACTTCCAAATCCAGATCTGAAGAGCGTGGTCAGAAGGTTGGCAGCCATCAACCGCTCGAGACCCTGACGCGTCCTGACCAAGAGAATGAGCCATGGAATGAATGGACTCTCTTGGTCCTCCTCGGGCTCTCCTTCATTGCCGAACAGCTCAAACCGTGAAGCTTCCCATACGGGACCGCTAAAGCTGAACTTGGTCGCGGCCCTTCTAGCCTTATCTCGTGCATCGGAGGCGCCTACGGGAGAGAAATGAGACTGCTGCGAGCCCGAAGTTCGGCCTACGTGCACCGGAATCGCAGGAAGGAGATAGTCCATAGCGCTGAGACTTTGTTGCCGTGCGAAACCAAGACCGCTTACTTCAAGCGCGTTCCATGGACCCCGAGTCTCCTTTGCGGGAGTGAACTTTAGGGAAGGGAAAACGGCCATGATTGCTGGAGAGCATAGCAGCATACATGCTCTGAACCGCGAATCTGATATGATCGTCGCCAGCGCTTCCAGGATTGGTGCCAGATTCGCGGTCGAGGGCGCCGGCTCCGGGATAAAGTCCGCCAACCGTTCTACGCGCCCAAAGACTTCAGCGTACGGAATGACATGTCCTTCGGCGACGGCGATGCTTGCCAGTCTTGTTGAGAGCGAGTCAAGAACGTCGGAGTTCGCTAACGCGAGCTGATGCCTCTCCTCCCGGCATAATTTACTAATTATGTTCGCTACCAATGCGATCTGATTTTGCTGCGCCGCGGCCGGGGATGTAGTTGACAAGATCGCGTTGAAAGACTCGATATGCTCGGATGCAAAGACGGCGTCGGCTAATGCTGCTGTAGAGACCGGGGAGTTCGGAGTGGCAAGTGAGGCGGCTTCAATAACGTTGAGCAGAGCGCGGAGGGCCGTCGTAACGAGCAAGGGAGCATTCGAGATCGGGCAGATGTTCGCGAGCAACGCAGGCACGGCTTGGGCGGCGAGAAGGGGTTCGACGAAAGCAGTTCCACCTGTTGAAGCCGACTATCAGCATGCATTCGGAGGACCGAAGCGGCGGATTGGGGCCTTACCGTTGGCGAAGCTGGCCAGAAGCTGGAGAGCCTGTAGTCTTACTGCCTCTTCCTCATTTACCCACCGCGGATTGCCATGGGGGCGAGTGTCCTTGCCGTTCACCTTGGCCGGCGACCGAGCAGTATTGAGTATCTTGACGACGGGCTCCAGCACGCCGAGCCCGGCCCATAGCTCCTTCTTCTGCGCGTGGCCGACGATGTCGTTCTTCAGCGCCCGCAGCGCACTTGTCTGCTCGACGTAGCTCCTCGCACTTAGTATCTGAGAGAGGATCGGTGGATTCGATGATCGGGCCATGATGAAGATGTTGTGTGATGATGCGGGGGAAGGACCTCGGCTCTCTGCTGTCGACTTCAACCAGCACGTCGTGTGCTTGCGAGGACGAAGTTGGGCGGCGGCGACGGAGCTTGCGTCAGAGGCCAAGGTCCATGCAACCGGTCGAGTGTCAAGCAGGAGGGGTTTGAGCTTTGCACGGCGTGACCAAGTGTTTTTCGTTGCGTCTAGGACTGTAAAAACCAATGCGGCACTCGAAAGGTAGGAGGTCGGGAGGTCGTTAGAAAGCCGTTGTTTAAGACGGGATGCAAAAGAGCTGAAAGTCCTCCGCAAAATGAACCGCGATTACCTTAATCACGTCGATAGCCAGGTAAGGTATCGGTAGGCTGGGAGACTGGGTACCAGTGCCAGCTGGCGGCACTGGGGAAAGGCACGTGCACGGGCGCTTTGGATATCGCAACCAGCCTTTCCCAGAATCCTCACATGTCAGCTGAAGCTTGATCAACGCAGACCTATTTGCTGTCAGTGCAACAGAGGCGGCATGTACTATTTTCTTAGCTTCAATATCCAACAATCTACTTATTATGAGTTTATCAGATCGATGTTCTTTCCGTCGAGGTGAAAATAAATAAATGCGTCACGCTTCAAGTCCAAACATAGGAACTCTTGCCGGAGAAACAAAAGCTGGGAGATTTCTCCCGGAAATTGAGACATAGACGCAACAGACAACTAGGGAAACAGTTACGCGAATTTTACCAGTCGACTTTTACTAGCTGTGGAAAGACTCACAGAGCGTGGAATGCATCGAAAGGCTGTGGGTTCGAGTCCCACCTCGGGAGGATGACATGTTGCCTCCTTTTTAGACAGGAGTGACAGGTACAACTTGAGTGAGACATTCTTTTATATACATACGTCAGTTCTTGTTGTCTCTCTCTTCATCTCTCTATGACTCTCCGTATCTCATCTTCCTTCCTATAAAATGGTTCTCAGACTGGACATCATTCAACTCCACTGCACTTCCATTGGCAACGGAAACGTTTCCGCCAGGCGCATGGGGCGTTTGGACTTAAGAATGGCAGTGGCACTAGGTGCTGGAAAATATCTGGGCCTCGTGGCACAACTCGAGAGTGCTCGCAGCGAAAAGACCCACGGCTCAGGGCGGAACGGAACGAGTGATTACGGCTCTTTCCAACTCCCATTGCGGAGTTGCCAGTTAGGTGTGGTGCGTCTAGAAGCAGCAGCGAAGCGGGGAACACGACACGGCGGATGTGGTTTACCTCGTCTGATTGGAGTATCCGGGTCTGAACCATGCAGTCGGATTCCGTCATTGTGAGAAAATAGGGTCTGAGGAGCCCGTAATAAGTTGAAAAACGGCTATGGCTCAAGGGCGTTCCGGAGCTGTTACGTACAACGGAGACATCAGAACGAACGAAGTTGTTGAACGACGTTGAACCACAAGTGCAGCAGTTGCGAGCAACGCAACGGTAGCCGTGTTGTGTCCGAAGCGGCGAAAGAGCAAGAGTCATTCGAAGACCAGGGGATGGATATCTGGCGCGAGATAACTGACATCTGACGACTTTGGTGCGATTCGGGGGCTTAATTAGAGTCGGACTCCAGTGACAGCGGCAGCCGAAGCTGGGGCGCGCGGAGATCAACGTCAGGGGTGGTCGTGATAAGGGGACGAGAAAAAAAAAAGGTAGTGGCAGCTGATTGCACGTTGTGTCGGTGAGGATTCCCATACGATGACGGTAAGGTAAGCTGCAAGGCAGGAGGAACGAGGACGCCAAAGGGGTTCTCGACGGAGTAAACCTTGATCCTTCCGTGGACCTCGCGATGCATCCATAATCCCGTTCATTGGTGCTCTTGGTGTTTTCCACGCGCGCGCATTGCCAAGCTTCTTCCCCCGTGTCCCACGTATCCTTTTTCTTTGCTCCTGGCAATCTTTCTTGTTCAAGAGACCAGAAAAATTTGAGCCTCTCAAACGGCACGTCCGGTCCAGGCCAGCCATCGCAAGCAGCCAAGACCCTGTCAGCACCTGCGTTGGAGGCTGTAGAAAGGTTGCAACGCTGGACCCGAAGCAACTTTAGTGGCTTTTCCTCGGTGTCCAGAACCAGAAGGGCGGTCCCACCTTCACGGTGTCAGAGAGAAAATGGTGCAATCAGCAGGCCTCGAAGAGAAATCAGAAGGGAAAAAGAGCCCGCTGTACTGATAGCCACAAGCACGTTTTCGCTGGCGTACCTTATCCATCCCCACCACGGACGACTGGCAGTGAGTGGTGTGTGCTTGGCCATCATGTTGCCGAGACCGCAGAAAATCAGATTTGCGTGTTCCCCCTCCACACATGCCATGCCATGCCATGCCTCGCCTCCTAACCTCACTGGCTGACGGGCGCGGTACGTACTCCGAGCATTGGCGGTCATCGCTGGCTGGCTGGCTGCCCTGAGTCTGATTGCACCCGTTTTCCAAGTTCGGGCTTGTCCACGGTCCGGGGTTTTGGCCCGCTACTACCTACCTTACCTATTTGCTTTCGCACTATTCGCACTTCCTGTCGTTGTTTCTACTCGTGCCGACTGCCGTTTATGTGACTGCTCTTTGGAGAATATACCCAGTGAACGAGGGAATCGGCAAACAAGCATTCAGCGTCGTTCTCGTCGGCAAAACCAGCCCCTCCCCTCCCGGTTTTCGACGAGTGGTAATCTGATCTTGGGTTTGGCAATCTGCAAATCTGAGCCGACCCCAGACTTCTCTCTACCTACCTTACCTCACCAACACAACCTTACCGACCGTCGTTTTCGTCTTCACCTTGCCTCAACAGTATCGACCGGCCTCTCACCGATACTCGCCCCATCGACTCCTCCCGCTTCCTGCAAGACCCACGATGCGCCCGGGACCATGTTGACAACATCTCCCATCGTCGCCAGCTCCGCCAATGCCTCGCCCACCAGCTTCCATTATGCCCCTACGCGCTCCTCCCCGCACTCGTCTCCTGCCCGGCTTTCGGCCCCTCTGCCGCGGCGGCACTCTGCATCCAGGTCCTCTCCGTCCGCTTCAATGACCTCACCCTCACAACAACCACGCCCAAGACAATATGTAGCCGTCGACGCCGGCACACAATACTCTCCCATGGAGTCTCCCAACACTCACGCCCAGGCGAATCCGGCTATCGTCGACGCCCCGCGCACCTCTGTGCCCGCCACGCCCGCCGAACCCCCACCAGCGCCGCGTCCCCAACCGATAGACCCTTCAGCGCCGCCCCCGCGACCGCAACCAACACAACCACAGGCTGCCGTGGCTCCCGTCGTACGACAGCCGTCGACGACTCTCGCGTCGCCCGGCAAGCGCCGTAATTCCCAAGATCCCGCCGTCGCGCAGGCAGCGAGCGCATCCCTCGCCGGCGAATCGTCATCGAGCGCGGCCAAGCGCCCAAAACCGACGGCCGGTCCGCCCAAGATACTGCCACAGCGCTACGAGCTATGCAGCGTCGAGGACATGGTCGTACTGATATCGTACATGTTGTCGGAACTCATCGAGACCAACGACGCCCTGGCCCTTCGCTCTGGGAGCCTGACTCGATTCCACTCAAGGTGAGAGAAAAAAAAAAGTCTGCATCCCCTGTGATATCGCAACGCTCACACGTTTATCGCGCAGAACGGCACCGAGCATCTCTGTCCTGGAATACTTGAACAGATTAGCAAAACACGCGACGCTGACGCCGCCGCTTTTACTATCCATGGTCTATTACATCGACCGCTTATGCTCACTATACCCTGAATTCACCATCAACACGCTCACGGTACATCGCTTCTTGATTACTGCCGCCACTGTCGCGGCGAAAGGCTTGTCAGATCTGTTTTGGAACAACACTACCTACGCGCGAGTAGGAGGCGTCAGAGTCGCCGAGCTGAAGCTGCTGGAGCTCGAATTTCTCTATAGAGTGGACTGGAAGATCGTCCCGAACCCGGAAGTTCTGGTTGCGTACTACCACGGCTTGGTCGAGCGCTGCCCCGGCTACGCCTTGGAGGAAGAGGAGGCGACCGTGGAGGACGAAGAATCCGACGAAGTCGACGACGATGGGTCGACTGAAATTTCAGACGGTGCCGGTGACGATAGTGGGGACTCGCCCGATGACGAGATCCCCGTGAAGTCCCCGCCACACGAGGCCGGAGGCGCGGCGGCACCGCCGTCGTTGTAGCGGCCGTCTTGAGGGTTTCACCTACACATGAGGAGAGGCGTATTTCATTTGATTATTCCTTTAAAAAGGGTGGGCATCACTGCTGCCTTTAGAGGCATGGCAAACCGGCGTTTGGGCTGGCGGAATTATTTGTTGAATGAGTGATAGCGGTAATGAAATACCACACTTTAAAGAATTCCCGAACCTAGCATTTGAAATGTTATGTGCATTCTGGTACTGGCATTTGGTTTTGGTTCTGCAGTCGTGGGAGGCCGTTGAGGTAACCGCTGCTTCCAATTCTGTGCTTGCAGTTTGCCGAACTAATCCCGGCCCCCCAAGCTGGGTCCCGTCCAACGTCCACCTCTCCGTTCGTCCTTCTTCAAACCAACACCCAACGAAACCAGCGCCGTTACCCGGAGCGCCAACACCGAACAAAAGCAAACGGGTCCCATTACAACCGAAACAAAGATGCGCGCGACATCGCTCCTCTCCGCGCTCTTCGCAGCGACCCTGGCTGCCGCGGCCGAGGCGCGCCTGGCCAAGATCTACGTCGAGCCCGTCTCCCTCGCCGCCGCGGGCAAGCCGCCCTCCTTCCTGGCCGAGGTCGAATACGACGCGAAGCAGCCCTCCGAAGCGACCGTCTCCTCGTTCGAGTTCCCGGAGCTGCCAGAGGACGGGGCGAAGCTCGTGCGCGTGGGCGTCTACGACCCGGCGTCCGCCAGGTGGACTTCGTCCGTCTCGGTCGCCTCGACGGAGAACTTCGCCAAGGGGTACCAGCCCAACATCCTGCTGAGCGTCGACGCCGAGGGCGAGGTTGTGGGCGCGGGACTGAAGGGTGTGGCGGTCGACGCGGGTGTGACGAGGGATTTCGGACCGCAGGCTGTCGTCAAGGTCGCGGGGCATGGCAAGACGCCGGATCTGAACAAGCCTGTCGTGCTGAGCCCTGAGGGGAAGAAGGTCGTGCAAGAGGAGAAGACTCTTTTCCAGAAGTAGGTTTCCCTCGTTTGGGACTCGGACTTGGATGCTAACGTTTCACGTAGGTACTGGTGGTTGATCGCGATAGTTGTCCTCATGACAGTTACGGGCGGCGGAGACGGAAAGTAGATCAAGCAGAGGATGGCGTTTTGCATGAATACCCATTAATTGAAGTTCTACCATTACTGATGATGAGAGTCTGGTCTCCAGCTGCTTTTCCAATAGATGCTACTGTGGAATTGTGACGGAGTTTGAATATGTCTCGGCTCGGCCATTGGTTGCAAAGCTTATCTCAAACGTGGGCTAGCTAGCTGGATTCTTACTGAAGGATCCCATGCTACTGCGAGCTCTACGAATTGATGCCTCGCCCACGTGAGTGGTGTCTATGATCATCATCTTCAGTTGCGCTGAGCTGTCATCAGGTAAGCCGATAGAGTTGGGCGCCAGATATGCGTAAAAGTAATATCCAACCGTTCATTTTCAGATGAATATCATCTCCAAAGAACCAAATCATCGCTACAGTTACCCCGGATTTCTTAATTCAGCCCAATTCGCGCCTTCAAAACTCGTAGCTCGTCACCTAGTTTCCGCCTCTCGAGAGACACCTGAGCAGGCAGATCTGACAAGGCACGTGCGGCATGGCTTTAGTGGCTCTAGGCCTGACCAGGATTAGCGCCGTTGCTCAGAGACGGCATGCAAACCTCAGCAGCGCCTTACAAGCTGGGGGAAGGTACGATCGAATTGATAAAATCCACCGCCTACCTTGCCTGCCTGCATAGCTGCACCTCCACCTCCCAATATTTCCATCATCCACCTACACCAACGCCACCCACCACTTTCGACCACTACAACACTTGCAATACTCTCACTTCTGCGTCGCGCAATCTGAACAACATATCAACACTCTAAAAACCCACCAAACAAGACACAATGGCTGCCGAGAACGGATCCGTCACCGACCCTACCACCACCGTCCCCGAGGTCGAGGCCAAGGGCAAGGGCAAGGCGGTCGCCGGCGAGGAGCCCGTCGAGCAGAGCGAGGCCATGGACGAGGATGAGGACTCCAGCGACGAGGAGGAGGCCAACGAGGTATGTGGAAAATTTCCATGCGCGACTCGATATGCGTTCGCGCCAAAGCTAACAGTGAAAAATACAGACCGTCGAGCCTGGTAGGAGCTACCTTCCGCAACCACCTTCCCCGATCATGCGACTAACATTTCTGGGTAACAGTTGACGAGGACGACGGCATGGACGAGATTGATCTTAACAACATCGTCGAGGGCGGTCGCCGCACCCGTGGCCGTGTCATCGACTTCGCCAAGGCCGCCGAGGAGAACCCCGTCGCCGACGAGGATGATGATGAGGAGGACGATGACTTCCAGGCCCCGGCCGACGACTCCAAGATGGAGGAGGACTAAGCGGGCTGCTGCTCGCCGCGTCAACACTCTCGTCTATTCTTCAGCCATCGAAAATCTGGTGGCATCGTCATGGTCATGGGAACGAACACAGCACGACAGAAAACCGGAATGGTGTTATACAAAAGTTTTACGCGGGCTTAACAGCGGCTCGTCTGGACAATGACGTGTTTGGCGGTTGGACACATGGGGGACAGGCAATGGTGGATGGATATTTCCGCGTTTGGACGGCGTTTAGAGACGAGTTGGTCTGCTGTCTAGCCCGACCCGATGGGAAGGATCACGCTCTATCTTATCTTAGCCGCGCTGCTCTGCCCGTGGGCGTCAATACCCCGACTATGAGTGCTATGGAAACGAAGATTATGCAATCACGAATGTCCCGTGACTTTGGTATTTTCTGTTGATTTTACCGCGTGCCGGCGCAAGAGCAGCTGTTATGCGTTGATGCAGGTCCCGGCGGCCATCCCTCGCAGGAAGACCTCATTAGCTCGCCGACGGGGAGCTATCCACATGGTAGCTGCCAGCTCAATCGCCGATTCATGCATGAGACGACCTAGATCCCGTTCAAGGGACCACCAACACTGCCTTGGCAAGGGCATATGCTTAGTTACGTAGCATACCTTATTGTAAACAGGCCCTACAATGCAGACAAGACGAACCGATCTCGTCCGTTGATGCGACGGAGCATTAAGACGAGGTATAGTTGAACATTTAGGTCTCGGCCGGCATTCACCTGACAGGATGCGGCTCCCGTTGCTAACTGACCGCGCTAGAACCCTCCCAAAATTCCCCGTACTAAGAATGACAGCGCCATTGTGCAGAGTGTTAGGCTTTGGCTGGGGTGTCTGCTCTAAGTGACCCTGATTCTTTCAGAGTAAATAGACCTGGAGGGGGCATCCGTCCGGTTCAAGGAACTTGCTGCCGCTTTCACGTTCTGGCCCTTCCCATCCAGCATTTTTTAGGTTATCATCGTTTTCGATTGGACAGCGGGACGACACGTACCCAAAAGGTACCTTACACTGGTATTCCACCGAGAACAGCTGGTCTTCCCAACCCAGGTCAATATCTAATGGGCGACGCGCGCTTCTCCTTTTCCTCGTGAACTCTTTCCAACGCTCTCGTCATATTTCCCCTTTCCCATACATTAGGCCCAACTCCACCAAATAGCAACGAACGACTCGACAGGGGCCCCGGGTGGACGCAACGAACGGACCAGGCAAGACAGAAAAGACGTCAGTGGACGGACGGGACTGCCCCCCAAGTAAAATTAAAGATCGCCCAGCCCGTCATTCGCATGCCCCCCGGCCAGCGCGAACCAGCAAGCGACGACTAGCCCAGCAGCAACATTAGTTTTTTTTTTTCTCTTCCCCGGACCCTTGGATTGACGAAGGAAGCAAAACAAAGAAGTTCCTTTTCTTCCGTTGTCTGACACAACCAAACGCCTCTCGCCCCTTACTGGCATTCCCGCCTCGAGACACGTTTTCCTCCTTCGCCCCGCGCAGAGAGAGAACGCCGCCAAGGGTTTCTCGTCATCGTCGTCGTCGCGCGCCGAAGCGAGAGCCAGCAAAAGTTACAGATTTCGATTCGAGTTTAAGGGGGGCCTGGAGTCGCCTCGAGTGTTGGGAACACCATGGCTTCAAGGTGAGTTTGGCGACGGAACGATCGCATTTCCGCAACTCCCCCGTGCGAATGCCGGCACACCGCTCGCGCAGAAGAGCTGGATACCGCAAATGTCACCGCCGTGAGCTCGGGGACGGTCGAGAGTCGCGGACTCGGTGATCTCGACCACCGCGGTTCTCCAAGTGGGCAGACGACTCGGCATTCTACGACGTGCGAAGTGACGGACAGCGACGTGGCCGAAATGACAAGAACCTCCCGAGGCAGCTCAGCTAACGCCCGCTTTCCAACCACAGATTCGGCGCCTCCTCGCTCCACCAGCGCGACTCCCGCAGCGCCCTGTTCGAGGGCTACACCGGCGAAAACGCGCGGCGGCCCGTCAGTGCCTCGCCGTCGCGCCTCGGAGGCGGATACGGCTATGGCTACGCCGGCGGCAGCGCTTCCCCCGCGCCGATGGGGAATCACCTCGGCGTCGACAACGGTACCCGGGGCTTCCGGCCCGCGACGCCCAACTCGCGGGGTCAGTACAGCGATGCGGTCCTCAACGAGCTCGAGAGCCAGAACGACGAGCAGGTGGAGGGTATCATGGGCAAGGTCAAGATTCTGAAAAACGTACGTCGTTCTGTCCCCTTCTTGTCCGGCGACTCAGAAGACCATGCCGCGAATACAGCCCAGCTGACGATGTTCTCCAGATGACGGTAGCCATCGGCGACGAGATCCGCGAGTCCTCCGCCCTCGCGGAGAAGATGAACGACACTTTCGACACGACGCGCCTGCGTCTCCGCGGCACCATGAACCGCATGCTCCTGATGGCCCAGCGCACCGGCGTCGGATGGAAGGTCTGGCTCGGCTTCTTCGCGGCCGTGTGCTTCCTCTTCATCTACGTGTGGCTTTTCTGAGCGGGCGAGGGCTGGCATTCAAGTCACAGATATGAATTCGAAATATCACATAGTTAACACAAAGCGAGATAGCTGGGAAGGAGATTGAAGAGTGGCGCCTCAACAAGACGCCAGCCCGCGAGGGCGTAAGAGGGGTGGAGCACTCTGTATCTCGGGCCGACCGCGATTTGGTATTATCCTGCATGCTCGGCGTTAGAGGCGTTTTCAGTTCCGTAACGCTGTTCGAATAAACGGGGCAGAGGCGAGTTGGACGCAGGGGGCAGACGATTGCAAGTTGAGAGGGAGAGATGACGGGCGACACGAAACGACGACCGAACACACAAAAGCAGGCCTTGTTCTTACCGCATGTGTCTACGTTTGAAAGGATGGGACAACGATTGGGGGAACCAGAGAGTATTATAAGCACTTTTTTGTAATAACGATGTATACCGTCTAATGCTACACTTTTTTCTGAGGATTCGTCTGGGCTTCCGTTTGGGGAGAATGCCCTTTCCTTGATTTCGTAATTCGTCTGTGGTTTGTTCGTGTTATGGAGCTGTATTGTGCCTCGCGTCTCGGAGTTTCCTCTTGGCAATGCGTGTATGCTTCGTGCTGAAAGGGGGGTATCATGAATCTGTCCTCTCCCAACCATCCGTCTCTCTTCGGTGTCCCTTCCGCCGGCGCTCAACGCCACTAACGTCTCTGCGCCCTGACGCCGGGACTGCTGTGCATCATGCTGCTATCCATCATGCTACTATCCCCCGACAGCAGCCCGCTCAGGTCCATACTGCTCCTCGGCCCGCCGCCGCCGCGTCGTCCGGTCGGACTCGGCGGCGCCATCAACGGCGCAGCCCGGGGCCCCGCGAAGCTGATATCCTCGTCCTCGTCCTCGTCTTCCTCGTCCTCGTCGCTGCTGGGCTCCCGGGCGATGCTGCTGCTCAGGTCGACCTCCGAGTCCGTGTGCTCGTAGACGCCACTAAGGTCCGCGAGGCCGCTCAGCTCGCCGGCTTCGGGGATGTCGTCGTCGAGGTCCGCGTCCATGTCCATGCCCATGCCCATGTCGTCCTCGTCGTCTTCGCCGTGCGGCACGAGGTCCTCCTCGTCGAGCATGTGGCCGCCGCCCTCGGCCTCGAGGTCCTCGTCCCCCCCGTATATGTCCTCACCGTCGGCCTGGCCGCGCGCCATGGCCTGCCTGTAGGCGTCGTCCGCCATGCGCATTCTCTCCTCGACGAGCTCCTCCCGCCGGCTGTCGCCGTGTTCGCTTCCGCCGCCGCCGCCGCCGGGCTGGCCGTATCCGGGCCCTGGCGTGGAATCTCGATCTTCGTCATCGTCGTTGTCGGAGGAGGGGTCGACGACGCTGCTGGTCATCCCGCTGAGACCCTCCTCGGCCGCGGAGTCGTCGCCGCCGTCGAAGCCGAAGCTATCATCCGCGTCGGGGATCTCGTCGTCGAGGTCGTGGACCTCCTCCTCCTCCTCGGCGTCGAGGTCGGCGCCGAGATCGCCGGTACCGCCGTCCTCGAGCACGTCCTGGCCGGCAGCCTCGGCGTCGGCGAGTTCCTGCGCGAGCTGTTCGCGGCGCATGGCTTCGGCGTGTTCCTTCTGCTCCTTCTCCTCCTCGCGCATCTGGTGCAGCGTCTTGGGCACGGCGGGGGGCTTCAGCCAGCCGCTGCCGAAGTTCTGGATGTGCATCTTGCGGCGGTCCATCAGCTGCTCGTCGGCGCGCAGGCGAGCGAGGGCGGAGCGCTCGATGAGGAGCTGGGCCGCGCGGCGTGACGAGGAGCCATGCTGCTGTTGTGGGCTGTCGGGGTTGTTACGTTGTTCGTTGCCGTCGAGGAGGGCGACTTGGGTCACTGGGCGGCGGGAGGATGTGTACCAGATCGAGTGCGACTGTTGGGCGATTCGGTTAGAGCGAGGTCATGATGGCGGGGATGGAGGGGTCTCGAAGGAGCTTTGGAGGGACTGACGTCTCGCGGGGTTAGGTCTGGAAGGAGGCCAAACATGGTGGCCTGTTTGCCAAAGTGGCAGTTCGTTCGGGGGTCGCTTAGGTGAAGAATTGACGTGTGCCAGCCGGTATCGTCAATGACATGTGAAACGAATGTCGAATGGTGTCTCTAGTTGGACGTCATTCTCTCAGCTGCGAGCGGCTGTCGCGAGGTCACGAAAGTAAACAATTCTACAAAGTACGTACAGTGCAGCGACCGGGGGTAGGGGCTTACCCCACACTCCCAGACGCGCCGCGGCTAGCGCGCTTGATCCCTGCGCAGAAGTTCACGATGCTTCACGTCGAGCCGCCAAAAATGTGGTCAATTGCCATCTCGTCCAACGACATCCCTTGCCGTGGAATGCAATCATCGAGATCTTTCAACGCTGTCACGGAATGTGTGTGGTGCAACTGTGAGGTGATCCTCTGCAAGCCAGGCAAAATCGACCCAGCAACCACCACCAGCAGACAGAGTCGGACAAAAGGGTGCGGACCGTCGCCCACCGCCATGTCTCTTCGCCTTAATCTCTGACCGAGCCTGCTCGCTGCCAGGTCTCTGTTTTACAGATTTTCCCGTGGCTGCTCCCGGCGCCTACGTCTCCTCGGTTCCAATTATGTCTAGTTTTTGTGAGGTAACAGAAACAGGGGTCCGGTACCGCTGCCGCCTCTGCTCGCTTCTGTTTCTCTGAGCTTCCTCGCGTTCTCGACTCATCCGCTGCGGACGGGGAAATGAGGACCAAACGCTCCCTCGCGCCCCGCGGCGGACGCTCTGATGCGTCTCGTCGGGAAAAGTCGGAACTCGCGCTGACATCGGAGCCGTTGGCATTGGCTGTGTGAGTGCTGGAGTGGAGGTTTCAAATGCCATATTTCCGCAATGTGGGAATGTCCCTCGCGGCCATGGGCTGACTCAAGTGGGCTCTTTTTTTTTCTGCCGTTATTTTTCTTGCCGGCCACCCTGCAACGACGGTCTGGACAGTATGTGGCCGCTCCGATATAGGGCGGTCTAGCAGAACGCGAGTCCAAGACGCTCCGTCAAGGGTTGCATCCGCCCGGCCCTAGTTTGGGGGAACGGCCGAGCCGACTTCGGCGGGTCATGGCTAGCGCAATGGATATTGCAGATGCCATGCTGTGCAGGATGGTCCGCTTTCTGTTGTCGTGGGAAATCTCCACCGAGAGAGAAGCGGAATCCGTTCAGACAACGCCGTTGCCAGAGCCGATCCAGGCATTTATAATTGCAGTTGCTCAAGTTGCTGACCGGCAGCCGCCGTAAGCAATGGCTGGGCATGGGGGTTATCTGGCCCATCCTGACCCTATTGTTTGACAGCATTTTAACACCGCGTTGATTCGTCAAAAGATTACGATTGAATACGGGGTTTGCGGGAGACAACCGACAGTTGTTGTCTGTAAACTAGCACTACTCTGTACTCAGCTGAGGTGACACAACAACACGCAGGCGAGGAAAAGGAGGGTGGCCTCGAAAGGGCATAGGCGATCAGCCGCTCTCGCATCTTGGATGACCATCCAGATGCAGGATGCAAACACGTGCTTGTCGTAACGTTCAGCTGAGAACCCTAATTGTCTCGAGAAAAAAAAATCCAAGGCTCAAAATCCTTCTGGCACTGAGTGTGACAAGCATCCTCTGCCATAAACTTATGCACCTCGGCGGCATCTGTGACGTAGTATCTGCGTGGCGCCCAGGCGGTTCACCACCGAGGCGTGCGAATGTCTCTTGTCTGGCTTCTCCTTTGCAGCATTCCATGTCTGTGCCCCTCGACTTCGGCAGGCTGAGCGTTTGAATCCCAAGTCCTCTCCTCTCCTCCCCTCCCCTCCCTCCTCTGGCTCCAATAGCCAAGAGGAAGAAACGTCTGTGCGTGGACGCCAGCAGGGGCTCGTCGAACAGGGAGCTGTGAGATCTCGAACGCCTCCGGTCGGCGGGGTTGCATTCGACAGGGTTGAGGCTGGGGGGTGCCTAGCTTCGCTGTAGCTCAGATGCAGATGCAACAAGTCGCCATCATGGTTGGCCCGAGATAAGACGGTTGAAGATGCGGCTTACCTCTTGATTGGCCGGCTTCTCCAATTTCAAGTTGTCGATTTTTTGACAGCAACCCTCACGGTGTTTGGTGACAACATCTCTCGATGCTGCAAAGCAGTGTGGCAGTCTAGTCACGCGCCCACCACTGCTTGTTGCCGGATGAGAAGGAGACAAATTGCCCTGTCCGCTTGCCGTTCTGTGCAGCAACAATAGTGTATGCCATCCAGTTCATCACTTTTCGCAGTAATTTGCTGTCGTGCTGCTTTGAATGCATGTGCTCGGTGCCGTCCGCCATTGGCCAGCCTTCCCGTTTAATCCGTATTATTGGCAGTTGCAACATCGGGAACCTCGCTCTTCTAGGCCTGCCTCCTAAACAGTTCTCTGCTGGGGATTTCGCTCGTCTGCCCTCCATCGGGCACCCATGGTTGATGACGCCTCGGGCGCTTTCAGGAAAAGCAACAGATTGTGCCGTCAATCCCCTGGTCTCCCGCCGGCCTTTGCCGTGCGGTCATCTACACCACCAACTTCCGTAGATCGGAGGGGTTGATAGGCAAAGGAGATACACCAGCCATCCTCATTCGCGCGACACTCGGATACAAATCGGAATTTGCGTCGATGTCGGTTCCATGACGCAAGAGACCATGATTATCGGACGCAATCTGGTCCCTTGAAGTTGCTACTGTCGCTGACACCATTAGTGATAGACGGCGCATGCATAGCCGCGAGACAGACTGACGGAGGGACAAGTTGACAGCTGCTGGTTCAGCAACCTACTGCGAGTAGCATGTGCAAGCGCAGTTGGAGATGAACGAGGTCCGACGCCTTCTCCTCCCCCAACTCCATCCCCCCAAATCACCCGCATCGGTGCTTGACTTGCCCTTGTTCGTGAAGGGTCCGGGTCCAACTCCTTGGGGGACTTCCTGCGGACTGTCAGGGGCCCCCAAGCCGAGGCGACATCGGCCAAGGGCCTCTTTTTGAAATGCACTCGGCTGATTGGCTGGAGCTCAAAGCTTGCTCTTGATGACATTAACCTTTCAGCTATTCCGTTTCGCAAGATGCAGACTTGGGCTGGGTGACCCCTGTTTTTTCTGCATGCGGTGTGTGGGGTGCATGTCTGGTCGCTGGATTTGTGTTGAATTTCTCTTACACCAAGCTATTGTCGCAAACAACACATGAGTGCAATGAGATTTGGACCGTTGCCAGCAATGTACGGACCACAGGCTGTTGTCGTGGGGGACGGACGGGACAGGCTGTGATTCCGAGATACGTGGCGATCGAACTTCGAATGCAACTTTGGCAATGTTTTCGGAAGTTATTGTTGAAACGACTGTAACAATTCTTCTGGTGTCCGTCCGTACTGCGTGGAACGCGAGTTGGACGTGGACGGCCATGACGACAAACCGAAATCCATTGGAGCACTAGAAGATCGCTCAGCACACGCGGTTAGGTCTCTCGCGTCAATGGTGAATGGCAGATGAGGCGGTCTAGCTGTTAATGACTAGCCGAGCCTGTCAAATTGTCTTTCCAAGCGGCCGGCCGGCGGGTAAATGAAGACCAGGAACTACTATAGTAAAGCAATTCCACGGATGGGAGACGACGGCCGGCGGCCCTGACCTGAGCGGGAGCGAGATCTCGTTCATGCCGCAGATCTGAATTTGGGTCACCGCCATTGGCCAAGAACATATGACGGGGAAGGCAAGATGGCTCCCGAGGCATACCGAGCCTGGCGAACAGCTTTTGAGTGGAAGACAGCGTGCCAAGCAATCCGCGGATGAAAGGTGATTGTCGACCTAGGGGCTGGCCGTGGGCCGAGTTCTTTCTTCTTGCAAAAGATTTAATACAGCGTCGACCTGGCGGAATTGGAAGCGCTTGCGGACAATATCCATGTTGCCCCAGACGAGGCGACCAGGTGGTACGTCAGGGACTTGGTGTTATGCCTCGTGGTTGCGGTTAGGCCCCGTGTCGTTCAACTGATGAGAAAAGGGGAGTACGGGGTGAAGCGTTGCTAGCTCGGTAGGACGAGGTGATGGAACACCCAGCGGTCAGGGTTGGACCCCGCAGAGCAACGTTGGCACGTCCGTTGTGGTGGGAGCACAGCGGGCGGTTGTAGAGGCCGTCGAGGCGCATGGGGACGCAAATTGCCGGGACGTATTACCTATGGAGGTATCTGGGGACGAAGGTTTCTGGAGGGCTGGAGAAAGCGAAGATGGAGAGGCGAGACAAGACGAGGTTGGCGAGCCGGAAGGAAACGGTGGAGTGGGATTGGCGGCCGATGGTGTCGGTGATTTGTGAGTCGATGTGGAGGAAAGTCGATCGAGGTTGACGTGGCCAAAGATGGCCGCAATGTTCTGAATGGTGTGCACTGGTGTGGTGTTGGGTGTCTGCCATTGCCTGGGCATCCGCTGCAAGAGCCTCGCATGGTGAGAAGGAGAGTGTCCCGGCACTGTCGATACCGAGACACGGAATGATGATCTGAGGCGTTGCTCGCTGCTGCGTATTCGTGGACCGTAAAGTACTGGCTGAAGAAGAAGTATCCGTGGTGCGTTTTGGTCTCGATGATGGCCGCCTTCCGCTCGATGTGCGCTTTTTTCTGGCATGTGGTTTTTGGACCGAACGTCCCATTTCCTTTTCCCGAAGGCATGGTCAGCCATCAGCGTCGAGCAGGACCATGGAGGGGCAAATCGTGCGCTGGACGGTCCACTTTCAGGCCATCTTCACCATGGACAGGCCACTCAAGAGAGAGAAATTCCAAGGTTTATTGCAGCGTCGCAACTGAGCAGCCTTGGATAACCATGGCAGGCCTGGAAATCCGAGAGCCAGCAAGGTGACATGGGCCAAAATGGTGGCAGGGGAGCGGGAGTCCACTGAAGAGACATGCCCTGATGGACCGAAAAACGGAGCATTGAGATAGGCGGGGCGGAGTGGAAGACAGAGTCAGAGCTGGTTTGGGACCCCAGCCAATGGGAGACGGTCGTGTTGGATTGAGGAAGACAATGATTGGCTGCCGCATCTCGCTTTCTGCTGAGATGGACTCCACCAAACCTTTTTCTCCGCCTGTGACTGGGCCACTGCTATTTGGAGAAAATGGAAAGGGATCCGCCGACGCGGCAGCCTGAGGGAAAGTGCAATGAGAGAGAAAGAGAGAAAGACCGACTCGCCCGAGTGAGTGGTGAGAAAATGCAGCGCACAGACGTCAAGCGCCGTCCACGGAGGTACGTACCGCTTGCCGCATGTCCCATCCCATCCCATCTCGTTCACTTCCGCAGCATCTGCAGATGGTACGTATCATTCCATTTCCATCCCACCACCCACCCACTGCTGCAAACCCCCACTACGATCACGTCGGCCCCTCTCTTCAGCAGCAGCAGCAGCAGCAAGAACAGACGTGGACGTGGAACACCACCCAACCGAAAAAATACGTGAAAGCCGCAGCATTGCGAGAAGAAGCAGGAGCCTTCGCTGTCTCCGTCTCGCGTCTCGTCTGCACCTCGCAAATTACCAGGGGAGGGTGATACCCAGAGACGGACTTTCCGTTCATAACACTAGTCTGCCAGCTGGATTCTTTTTTTTTCTTGGACTACCGCGCATAACCGCCGCCGGTTGGTCGGCTTGTATTGCCACAAGCCGTTCCGTCTCGCCCAGAAATGTCCAATATCCCGAAAAAGGGTCTCTCAGCCGTGTTGTTGTCGTTCGGTGCCTCCTCCGTCTCTCGGCTCCCAACCCGCCTCTCCTTCTCTGTGACTCTACCCAGTAGTCTCCAGGCTCCAGAATCCCAGTGTCCACCCGATTGTCTCCATCCACAACCACAACCCGTCTTATTCATCCAAATTATCTTAGCTTCGTGTGGTCTGTGATCCCTTGCGGTCTCGTTCGGGTGGCCGCCGGCGAGTGAGAGTCGTTTCCTTTCCAATCCCTCCCCTCCAAACCCCGGCTTGGACCCAGCGTTGCCAGCGCCGACTCAGGACTCTACTCCTCTTCAACCATCCCACCTTTCACTCACTCTCTCACACACACTCTCTCTCCTGGGCTAGGACTGTCCCTTTCATAAAAGGTTGCTCTTCTCCCTCCTCCCACCTTTTCTTCTATCCCTCTTTCTTCCGCCCTCCCACTCCTCTCGCGCGGTGCCTCGACGGTAGAAAAAGAAACCCTCTCGATACCATTGCGCAAATAGCTTGACCATCCGGTCCATTCAAATACCCAACGCTTGCCGGTAAGTCATGAATGCTCACAAACAGAGACACAGAGCCCAAGCCTAGGCTTGATGCTTGACACTCTGTGATATCACTCCCACGTTGTCCCCGTTTGCCCAAGAACACCGCCATCCGAATCAGACCAGCAGAGAGACCGCACAGAGAGACACCAGAAGCAGAGCAAGAGACGACGAGAGACGCAGAGACGCAGAGACAAGACAGAGCGGAAAGAGAGACAAACGCACAGATGCAGAGACCGAGACACAGAATTCCAGAGAGACGCAGCTCCCGATACGAAAACGGCGATTTCCCAATGCTCCTTATCTTCCCGGGAAAGCAGCAAGCAGTAGCAGCAGCAACAGCAACAACAATTGCAGTGGGATAGCAACACCACGACTGCCATATCATTGACATCGATTTTGGCATCTCGGTCTGCATTTTTCTGCGCAGCGCTTCCTGCCACATGCTCTTTTTTGGGGCTTGCGTCTACGACTGCGAGTTGACCCCACACACCCCCAGGTCCAGACAGTCGACCCCTGGTCGCAATCCCTGTGGCGGTGATGTAAGGTCACCGCGGGAATGGAGCTTGCAGTCGCCTATCAGCCGAAGCCAAAAAAAAAAACACCGAAAAAAAAAATCTTGGAGGGGCAGTCGGCCGGTGGCGGCCTACCTACACTAGGCACTACGCACCACGGTAGCACAGAGCGGCACTAGCCTGACGCGCCTGGCAGCATGGCATGGCATGGCATATTGAGGGTGTGTGCGATGCTTGTCCGTCTCTGATAGACGGGGCACTGGCGTCACTCACTTTTAGCCGCACACTTCTCTTGGTGCCATTCCATTACCTCGCCTGTCATTGGCCACTGGCAATCAGCGCCGCTGGGCTCGGTCGGCACCGCGATTCTGCATTCTGCAATCATCCCAATGTTGCTCTGCAGTCGGCCTGGCCTAGAGCATGGTGGTTTTTTTTTTCTGCCTGTTCTGCAACCCTGCCCAAGCTGTCTTTGGCTTGCTGAATGGCGGCTTTCTGGCTAGCCCTTCCCCGTCCACCAATGTCCGGCTTGCATTCTGATGCTTGCTGCTGCAATGGTCTCTGCGACTTGCTGCCAGCGCCGTCATTCCTGAAGCCTTGTGCTGCTTGTTGCATGTGCTACTGCGTCCGCCTTGCTGCTCCGGAACCCGTCCCCAGAAAACCGGTCTCGTACACCAAGACAACACGTCGGGAGCTGCCTCATTTCGGAAGACGTTGCGCACAACCAGGTTCGAGAGTAGAGTTTCCGCTGCTCCAGAAAAAGTGCTCTCCTGGTCTTCCGTGCGTCCCTTGATCAGCTCGAGCTTAATTCAAAGATATCACCCCGCATTCGATCTCTCCAACAATTCTGCTCGCCACCACTTACTTCTCTCTACACAATCTCTCTCTCGGTCTCTCGCCTTATCTGCCCCTCGACTGCGCATGCCTCACGTGTGCGAAGATCTGCTCGTGTTCTCTGTGCGACCCTCCTGCTCGTCATAGGCCGTTTCCCCTCACTTCAGTCATCTTCGCGACAATCGTGTCTTTGCTGCTCTTCACGTCACTAACTTGCGTCTTCCGCCTCGATAGATCAGTACCAGAGCAATCGCTCCTACCGATCGCCTGCCGCAGACTGGAATAGTCACTCCCTAGCCGACCTATACCAGCCTTTCCATTCACATACCGGCTCGAATCCTCGCCTAGCATGGGCCTGCCCGAGGACTTCGACGACCGACAAATCCATCTTGAATCTGAAAAAGAGCAATACACTCCCTATGATTACCAGACGGAGAACAACTCCTCATGGGCGGGTGCTCTGCCGGTGAAGCAGTGCGTCTGCTCTGTTACAAACTCCGAATGGTGCTGTCGCTAACGAGGAACTGCAGAGGATTGTACGATCCGAGCTTGGAGAAAGATGCATGCGGTGTCGGCTTTGCTTGGTATGCCCTCGATTCTCCCCTACCTCGCTCGTGGATCACAGCAACTGACGTTTCGCAGCCACATCAAGGGCAAGCCTAGCCACAAGATTGTCAGCGATGGTGAGATTTGACGCCCCGACTTCGTGCGACTGTTCATGGCTGACCACTGCTGCAGCGCGCAACCTGCTTTGCAACATGACCCACAGAGGTGCTGTGGGATCTGATGCACGAGACGGTGATGGCGCTGGCGTCATGACTTCGATCCCCCACAGGTTCTTCATCAAGAACTTCGCAAAGGAGGAAGGCATTGAGTTGCCCCCTCTGGGACAATATGCTACGGGAAACCTGTTCTTTAAGCCAGACGAGGAGACTCTGCAAGAGTCCAAGAGGCAGTTGGAAGATATTGCCGAATCGTTAGGCCTGCGTGTCTTGGGATGGCGAAGGCCTCCCGTTGACTCGACTTTGCTTGGTCCTGCTGCCAAGTCTCGTGAGCCCATTATCATGCAGCCTTTTGTCGTCCTGATCTCCGCCTACGGCGAAGGCAACGCCCCCGAGAACACCGATCCCGAGCAATTTGATGACAGACTCTTCGAAAGACAGCTGTATGTCCTCAGAAAGCGAGCCACCCACACCGTCGGTCTGCAGAACTGGTTCTACATCTGCTCCCTCTCCAACAAGAACATTGTCTACAAGGGACAGCTGGCCCCCATCCAGGTCTACCAGTACTACTATGATCTCGTCAACGCCGACTACGAGGCTCACTTTGCCCTCGTCCACTCTCGTTTCTCGACCAACACTTTCCCCTCCTGGGACCGTGCTCAACCTCTGAGATGGGCTGCCCACAACGGTGAGATTAACACTCTCCGTGGAAACAAGAACTGGATGAGAGCTCGTGAGGGTGTCATGCAGTCTGACGTCTTCCGCGAGGAACTCGAAATGCTCTACCCCATCGTCGAGGATGGCGGTTCCGACTCTGCTGCTTTCGACAACGTCCTGGAGCTGTTGACCATCAACGGTGTCCTCTCCCTGCCGGAGGCTGTCATGCTCATGGTCCCCGAGGCCTGGCAAGGAAACACTCACATGGACCCCAAGAAGGCCGCTTTCTACGAGTGGGCTGCTTGCCAGATGGAGCCTTGGGACGGTCCCGCTCTCTTCACCTTCGCCGACGGCCGTTACTGCGGTGCCAACCTCGACCGTAACGGTCTCCGCCCTTGCCGTTTCTACGTCATGGACGATGACCGCATCATTTGCGCTTCTGAGGTCGGCACCATCCCCGTCGAGCCCGAGAAGGTCATCCAGAAGGGTCGTCTTCAGCCCGGTCGCATGCTGCTCGTTGATACCCTTGCCGGCCGCATCATCGACGATAAGGAGTTGAAGGAGGCCGTCTCCAGCCGCCAGGACTTCCGCTCTTGGATCGACCAGGAGCTCATCACCATGCCCAAGGTCCTCGAGACCATTGGCAAGACCGTTGACGTCGCTGCCAAGCCTGACGCCACTCGTCTGCAGGAGGACCCCCTTCTCCTGGCCTTCGGCTACACTCACGAGCAAGTGAGCTTGCTTCTGGCCCCCATGGCCTCTGACGAGAAGGAAGCCCTTGGTTCCATGGGTAACGATGCTCCTCTGGCTTGCTTGTCTCAGGCTCCTCGTCTTCTGTACGAGTACTTCCGCCAGCTCTTCGCTCAGGTCACCAACCCTCCCATCGACCCCATTCGTGAGTCGATCGTTATGTCTCTGGAGTGCTACGTCGGTCCTCAGGGCAACCTCCTTGAGATGGACAGCTCTCAGTGCGGCCGTCTCCTTCTTCCCAGCCCCATTCTGTCGATCCCCGAGTTCAACTCGCTCAAGAACTTGTCGACCATCAACCCCGAGTGGACTGTCAAGGTCATCGACCTGACTTTCCCCAAGAGCGAGGGCACCGACGGCTACCTGCGCCACCTCGACCACATCTGCAACGAGACCACCGCTGCCATCGAGAACAAGGACCGCATCATCGTCCTCTCTGACCGCAACACCTCCAAGGACCGCGTCCCCGTCTCCGCCCTGCTCGCCTCCGGTATGGTCCACCACCACCTCGTCAACAACAAGTGGCGTTCCATGGCTGCCATCGTCGTCGAGACCGCCGAGGCCCGTGAGGTTCACCACATGTGTGTCCTCCTCGGCTACGGTGCTGACGCCATTAACCCTTACCTCGCCATGGAGTGCATTCTGAAGCTGAACCGTGAGAAGCTTATTAAGAAGAAGCTCTCCGACGACGCTCTCATCCACAACTACAAGCACTCTTGCGACGGTGGTATCCTCAAGGTCATGAGCAAGATGGGTATCTCTACCCTCGCCTCTTACAAGGGTGCTCAGATTTTCGAGGCTCTTGGTCTCGACGAGACCGTCATCGAGCGCTGCTTCAAGGGCACTGCCTCCCGCATCCAGGGTTCCACCTTTGAGCTCATCGCCGAGGACAGCTTCCGCTTCCACGAGCGCGGTTTCCCCTCCCGCTACACCGTTGGTGTTTCCGGTCTGCCCGAGTCCGGCGAGTACCACTGGCGCGACGGTGGTGAGGCTCACATGAACGACCCCACCTGCATTGCCAACATCCAGGATGCCGTTCGCACCAAGAACGACAAGTCCTACGAGGCCTACTCCAAGTCTCAGTACGAGCAGATCAAGGCTTGCACCCTGCGTGGTATGCTTGACTTCAAGTTCGAGGACTGCACTCCCGTTCCCATTGAGCAGGTCGAGCCCTGGACCGAGATTGTCCGTCGCTTCTGCACGGGTGCCATGTCTTACGGTTCCATCTCCATGGAGTCTCACTCTACTCTCGCCGTCGCCATGAACAGACTTGGCGGCAAGTCCAACACTGGTGAGGGTGGTGAAGACCCCGAGCGTTCTCAGCGCATGACCAACGGTGACACCATGCGTTCTGCCATCAAGCAGGTCGCCTCTGGCCGTTTCGGTGTCACCTCCGCCTACCTCGCCGACTCTGACGAGATCCAGATCAAGATGGCCCAGGGAGCCAAGCCTGGTGAAGGAGGTGAGCTTCCTGGACACAAGGTGTCCAAGTCTATCGCTCGCACCCGTCATTCCACCCCTGGTGTCGGTCTCATCTCTCCTCCTCCTCACCACGACATTTACTCCATTGAGGACTTGAAGCAGTTGATCTACGATCTGAAGTGCTCCAGCCCTCGCTCTCGCGTCTCCGTCAAGCTCGTCTCCGAGGTCGGTGTCGGTATCGTCGCCTCTGGTGTCGCCAAGGCCAAGGCCGACCACATCTTGATCTCTGGTCACGATGGTGGTACCGGTGCCTCTCGCTGGACCGGCATCAAGTACGCCGGTCTCCCCTGGGAGCTGGGTCTTGCCGAGACTCACCAGACTCTGGTCCTCAACGACCTTCGTGGTCGTGTTGTTGTCCAGACTGACGGTCAGCTCCGCACTGGTCGCGATGTCGCCATGGCCTGCTTGCTCGGTGCTGAGGAATGGGGTTTCGCTACCACTCCTTTGATCGCCATGGGCTGCATCTTCATGAGGAAGTGCCACCTTAACAGCTGCCCTGTCGGTATCGCCACCCAGGACCCTGAGCTGCGCAAGAAGTTCACCGGTACCCCCGAGCACGTCATCAACTTCTTCTACTACGTCGCCAACGAGCTCCGTGCCATCATGGCCAGGCTTGGTTTCCGCACCATCAACGAGATGGTTGGCCACGTCGAAGTCCTCAAGGTCCGCGACGACTTGCGCACTAAGAAGACCTCCAACATCGACCTCTCCCTGCTCCTGACTCCCGCTCACAAGCTCCGCCCGGGTGTCGCCACCTTCAACGTCCGCAAGCAGGACCACAAGCTCTACGTCCGCTTGGACAACAAGCTCATCTCTGAGGCCGAGTTGACTCTGGACAAGGGTCTGCCTTCCAGAATCGAGTGTGACATTGTCAACACCGACCGTGCCATGGGTACCTCGCTCTCGTACCACATCTCCAAGCGCTACGGCGAAGACGGCTTGCCTTTGGACACCGTCCACGTCAACATCAAGGGTTCCGCTGGTCAGTCCTTCGGTGCTTTCCTCGCCCCTGGTGTGACTCTGGAGCTCGAGGGTGATGCCAACGACTACGTTGGTAAGGGTCTCTCTGGCGGTCGCTTGATCGTCTACCCTCCCCGCTCCGCCGTCTTCAAGGCTGAGGAGAACATCATCGTTGGTAACGTCTGCTTGTACGGCGCCACCAAGGGTACCTGCTTCTTCCGCGGTGTCGCTGCTGAGCGTTTCGCCGTCCGCAACTCCGGTGCCACCGCTGTTGTCGAGGGTGTCGGTGACCACGGTTGCGAGTACATGACTGGTGGTCGTATCGTCATTCTGGGCAGCACTGGTCGCAACTTCGCTGCCGGTATGTCTGGCGGTATCGCCTACGTCCTCGACATCCACAAGGACTTCTTGTCCAAGCTCAACACCGAGATGGTTGAGGCCGAGTCCGTCGAGGACCCCACTGAGATTGCCTACCTGCGCGGTCTCGTGGAGGACCACCACCACTACACCGGCTCCGAGCTCGCCGCCCGCATCCTGCTCGACTTCAACCGTGCCCTGTCCCGCTTCGTCAAGGTCATGCCTGTCGACTACAAGCGTGTCCTCGCTGAGGAGGCTGCCAAGGCCGCCGAGGCTAAGCGCGCCGAGTACAACCTGCCCGTCATCTCTGGCGTTCCCGCCAAGAAGGAGGAGAAGACCGCCGCGAAGCTCCAGGACATAGAGGAGACCATCGGAGACAACGCCGCCGAGAAGAAGCGCGCTCTCGTCCTCGACAAGACCAAGGGCTTTATGAAGTACCAGCGTCGTGCGGAGAAGTACCGCAACGCCAAGACCCGCACCAAGGACTGGGCCGAGCTTTCCTCCCGTCTCGACGAGGATGAGCTCAAGTACCAGTCTGCTCGTTGCATGGACTGCGGTGTTCCTTTCTGCCAGTCCGAGACAGGTTGCCCGATCTCCAACATCATTCCCAAATGGAATGAATTGGTCTTTCAAGGACAATGGCGCGACGCCCTTAACCGTCTTCTCATGACCAACAACTTCCCCGAATTCACCGGCCGTGTCTGCCCTGCTCCTTGCGAGGGTGCCTGCGTTCTCGGCATCAACGAGGACCCCGTCGGCATCAAGTCCATTGAGTGCGCCATCATCGACCGCGGTTTCGAGATGGGTTGGATGGTTCCTACCCCCCCTGAGGTCCGCACCGGCAAGAAGGTTGCCGTCATCGGTTCCGGCCCCGCCGGTCTGGCCGCCGCTGACCAGCTCAACCGTGCCGGTCACACCGTCACTGTCTACGAGCGTGCCGACCGCCCTGGTGGTCTGCTGATGTACGGTATCCCCAACATGAAGCTCGACAAGCGCATCGTCAAGCGCCGTACCGACTTCATGGCCGCCGAGGGCATCAACTTCAAGTGCGGTGTTGCCATTGGCGAGGACGTCCAGCTCATGGACCTGAAGGCCGAGAACGACGCCGTCGTCATCGCCACCGGTGCCACCGTCGCTCGCGACCTCCCCATCAAGGGCCGCGAGCTCGAGGGCATCCACTACGCTATGGAGTTCCTGCACAAGAACACCAAGTCTCTCCTTGACTCCGAGCTTGAGGACGGTTCCTACATCTCCGCCAAGGGCAAGGACGTCATCGTCATCGGTGGTGGTGACACCGGTAACGACTGCATCGGTACTTCCGTCCGCCACGGTGCCAAGTCCGTCATCAACTTCGAGCTCCTGCCCCAGCCTCCCCCGGAGCGTGCTCGTGACAACCCTTGGCCCCAGTGGCCCCGCATCTACCGTGTGGACTACGGCCACACCGAGGTCAAGCAGCACATGGGCAAGGACCCTCGCGAGTACTGCATCATGTCCGAGGAGTTCGTCGACGACGGCTCCGGCAAGGTCAAGGGTATTAACACCATCCGCGTTGAGTGGACTCGCTCCGCCACTGGTGGTTGGGACATGAAGAAGATCGAGGGCTCTCAGCAGTTCTTCCCTGCCGACCTCGTCCTCCTCTCCATGGGTTTCCTCGGCCCCGAGGCCCGCATCTTCGGCGATGTCATCGAGAAGGACGCTCGCAAGAACGTCAAGACCCCTCCTGGCAAGTACAGCACCAACATCCCCGGCATTTTCGCTGCCGGTGACTGCCGTCGTGGACAGTCCCTCATCGTTTGGTAAGTATTCATTCTGTCGTATCAGCTCATCCCCGATCATCAACTAACCGTCATTCCAGGGGTATCAACGAAGGCCGCCAGGCTGCTCGCGAGATTGATCTTTACCTCGAGCAGTGCACCAGCCTGCCCGTGACTGGAGGCATCGTCAAGCGCACCGCTGGCGAGATCTTCAGCCGGGTCAAGCCCGTCCAGGCTTAAAAAAGCTTCTAGTTTTTGAGGAGTACGAAGAAATGATTCAGAATGACCGCGAGGTCGAGGGGCACAGCGGCGCGGCGCGGGGATCGGACATCGGAAAGGGTTCTTTCATGATACCCTGTTACAAAACATGCTTTCTTAGCGATCTGTTGCTACGCGTGGGTGGTTTCTTTTTGGCTGTTAGATGCTTGTCTCGTTGGTTATACCATATTTGTACATACGTGAAATCAATAGTGTTGTGCATACGTCTTGGGTTCCCGCGTGATTTGGTGGTGAGGCTTAAAAGCCTGATGGGCTGACGACTCTGTGAAAGGAAACGAACAGTGTCTCGCAGAAGTCTCTCTCGAAGCCGATTACTTCTGGAGAGGTTCGGAAGATCTCGAATCACTCGAGACTAGGCTGTAGTAGAGTGAGAGAGATAAAGAACAAACGCGAGCCCTTCGGTCGTCCAGCGCTGATTCTGTCCGTTATGTATTCAGTCCTGCAATACCGTCCAAGCCGAAGGGCCGCGTGACGTTTTCAAGCAGCGCACCCGATGCCACGCTCGCGGAACACCATCCCGATCCCGATCCCGAGTGTCCAAAGGCGTAGGCCACCGTGGGCGACCAAAGCAGGCAAACACAAAACAGCTGAATCTCAGCAGAGCTTTGCAGAGACGTGCAACAGCTACTTCTCTTGGTATGTATATGTGATAGTATGGCTTTTATATGGATGAGCGCTGTTGATTTTCGGCCAGTTCATCAGGCAACCCACGAGATTCGGACGTTTCGTGACGTTCTTGCCGCCCTGTATACGAGTATTAAAGACATCTGACAGTGCTGTTTATTGATTAGGAAGCAGAAGCAGACGAACAGAACCCAGTGTGTTGATAATGTTTCCGGCGGCGGCAAGACGCCATCGGCGCAGTTGCTGTCGATGAGTTCGACCACAGGGAACTCAGATAGTTCGAAAACCGCTTCAGTGTGATTGACTCGATTCGTCCTCTTACTACATAATAATACACTTGAGGCCATGAAGGACGGGGGGACAGGTTAATTCTCCTCTGGATGTTTGCGAAACATGTCCAGGATGGCCGGTCACGGCTGTGGCGAGAGAGAGTTCCGTTTCACTCCGACCACAACGAGAACATGCTGATAGCTTTCTAGACAAGGCTATTTGTTTTTGGTAGTATGACTGGATTTTTTATATGTTTTCGACATGCTTTGTCAGAAAGAATATCAATCATCGCCAAAGAGTATCTGATATCCAACGGACAGGCCTTCTATGCGACTAGGAGGTGACGTCTGTCCCGGCCGGTTAAGGACTCACTGCATACCGCTAGGTTTGCAATTACCCCCATGAAGCTGACTCTAGGAATTAAGATGCTTCTACTTTGGGTTTTAGAAGAACTCACTGCATGAGGAAGTCGCGATGTGCTACTGTTGAGGTAAGCTAGAACTAATATTACTTCTGCTTCTCACGGACTGACTGTTGTGTGACATGAGATGAGTGATCTTGTAGCTGGGAAAATTAATCAAAGTCTTGAGGTGAATCTTGTATATATGTCTGCTTTGAGTCAATTCTGTTTAAGAGTCTTCAAGATCTGCTTTCGTCTTTGCACATCATCTCGGAAATTCCCCATTCCAACAATGATGCTATGCATATCCCGTCAAAGAGACCGCTCGTTTCGCGGGTGTCCTATATATCAAGATATTTCAATTGAAACAACTCTGTTCTAGTCCGTCACTTCCGTTTGTTTCTTATTCACGAACGTTATTCAAACGAGTCTTCATATTGGACTACGACGGTCCGTTTGTTCATTGTACCATTTGCTTCATATTCTTCTTCCAAACATCCACTGAGACCTCACCCAACATTCATTTTGTGTCTAGTTTGAGTGAGTCTCTGACTCTATTCATAGGTCTTGGGCATTGGTATCAACAGGTCGACATCGCCGGTGAGGTGATCTGCCACGAGAAACGGCCCCTTTAAAAGAAAGCTGGCGGCGCATGATATATCCGTCTTCATGGATAGTCGTTTTTGTTGTGATGATGTGGTCGTTTGAATGATCATCGCTGCATCTGGACATACTCTTCGTCGTCATCGTAACAGCTTAGCTCGTTTTCACGAGATTTTTTCAGGTGTTCCAACTCAGATGTGCCCGGTAATACCCCGTATGCTCGCATAGTAGAGACGGACAGAATTTCATTTGTTCTCTGGTTGAGGTATGGCGGCATCGGCACAGCCCGGAATTAATCTTGCTTTTAAGAGAAACTTCATATCGACAGAGGGTAAGAAACTGTGGACACCTGAAGAAGTACAGTCCCATGAGATCATCCAAGTCCGATTTACCTTACGGGTGCCGTATCAACTCTTATATAGATGAAGATAGTCAGATAGGTCTGGATTACCCGCTCTGCTATATATGTAGAAGAAGATGAAGATTTTTGAATAGTCGGCGTGCCGGTCGTGACCGTCTCATCCGGAACGAGCACGGAACTGTGCTTCTTCACTCTTATTTCTGCGTAAACCGAACTTTCCATGACTGTACTGAGAAGGGTGTATATCCTCCGTACTGAGAGAAGTCTTCCGGGAGGAGAATGAAACTCGCGAGATGCTCTAGCATCGCTCTTCTATTCCGTCGAATAAGAACAAGATGAGAGATCATGCAGAGCGGTGAACAAGCACGAGATAGATACCCGGAGCCCGTGTGTCTGGGTTATGCATCAGAATGTCCGCCTGACAACTCCATTGAAAAAAGTCCACGCTTCGAGCACGACCCATCTTCCCCGTCGTGGATAGGAAATCCATAATTTGAAGGACCATCGACAAGAATGACCGCTATATTTTATAAGTCGTTGTTCAAGCATGGGGTTGCGGATGTGGATTTTCCGGAGAAAAATAGAAAGGGGGCGGGCCGGACCGACTGCGCTGACCTACCCTACCGTTTGCTTTGTTTGTGGCGTCTGACCAACTCATCCCAATCCCGCAGGCCTATGGGGAAACTGGTTACTTTGTAGGATCTGTCTGCGTCGGCGTGCAACTCGAGTTAGTTTGGGAGATGTCCATGTGTCTAGGTTGGCTGTGGTAGCACCCAGCTTTCACCCAGCATTACAGGAAAAGACCAGCGAGAATCTGATCAGTCTTGGTGAACAGCCGTTGAAAGAATGAGAAATTCAGCGATACTGTGCCATCATCCAACTTTGTCTTGATGTCAATGCTAGGGGATATATAAACACTGTTTCCTGGCCCTAGTCGCTCGCTTTTCATCCATTTGCCAGCTTTCCAGCATGTTTCGTTAATATCTCACATCGAATCAACCTCAATTTCTGTTAAAGGGGTAGATATCTTTCTTATGGCAGCCTGCTCTCTATCACTTTTCAAAATCCCGGAATACACTGGAGAAAGTGATGATGAACACCGACCGGAGACTTCAGTTGGCCCAAAACTTGTGTCGTTTACTCCTCTTAGAATCTTTATCTCAAGAGTTGTTACAAACCCATAATACCGAGGCTCCCAATCTCTCGTGCTCAACAAAATCAAAACACGATTCCCGATGAGTCATGTCCTGCCTGCTCTGACACATCATATTTAAGATGAACAAAAAGACATGAGTGAAATCAGCGAACGACTTGCACATAACAAGACATGAAGAAAAAGTCTTGATGCCGTCCATGGCCAATACACGGCATATCTGTAGCCATGGAATCACAGGCAGGAGAGCGCTTAAGTCGGCAACTCTGCCAAAGTGCCACATCTCACGATGACCCGGGAACATGCCAACCAGCGCTCGATTCGCATATATAACGTTGCATTTGGGCTGATTCTGGACCAAACAAAGCGCATAGTTAATTGCCTGTCGCGAAGGCGTTCAACATCTCAACGTGCCAGCTGCCGTGTCTTTGAGTTGAGTCGAGAGTGTGGCCTTTCTCACCCGTGGCTACTGGAGCCATGTTGAGTTGCTACAGGTGTCATCATCGTCCTTTATTGGTGTCATCTATTGTGTAAACTCATGAAATAATAAAGGGAAAATGTAACATAACCTTAGCACAGAAACATGACCAACTTACAATGTAAATCTTTCAAAGCTTGACCAGCTTCCTGTCATGCCCTGGTGCCAGATTCATGGTCTGTCGCGGTCATGAATCGAACAAGCACAATTTGAGGTCAAGATTGTCGCTATGGAATGCTCAGCGACGCGTGAGAAGCCTTTATACAAGCGAAAAATAAGATTCCTAAGATTGGATGCTCACAGGCATAACTATATAAACTTCTCTCATTTGCAATGTTAGTGAAATGCCCCAGGCTATGCCCGGTCCAATGGTCTTGTCGATTGAATAGTTGAGAAAACCAAATTATCGTCGTTGCTTCATCATAATCATCATTGTCACACTAGTTTGAAAAGAATGGCAAAGCAACATCCGTCTCCCTCTCCTCTCTCATCCTCCTCGGCTTCGTATTCAACCCTAATACGTAAGCAAAAGAAAGCTGGTGTCTGTCCAATGACTGCAATAGAATCAGGCAAACCAACCGAAACAATCTCCAAGATCGCTTAGACCGCCGCCGTGGTTCTTTTGATGATGTCAACGTGCCTTCACCAGCCAACCGTTCGAGGGCGGTGACGTTTTGAGAAAAAGAAAGGCGTTGGCTGCTTTTTAAATATGGAGTCTTCTGAGGCTGTCGATGGTAAACGCAGGGTACTGAATAGTTTGAAGTCTTCGGTGCAAGAGCATTCTCATCAACACCTGAGTCGGTAGAGGCCTCCTAAGACTCTCATCAGCAGTCCTCAAATGTGAAGTCGATACACGCTAGTCTGCGTTTCGTGAAGCCATAAAGTAGCCTCAAACAGAGCGTAAAGTGTCCTCATAAGGTATCTATTCCCAGCGTCTGTTGCTGTATTACTCAAAAACAAAAACTCACGCCCTTCTGAGAGCGGACATCATCTTCACTTGTTTCCCCCTTTCCACTGGACTACAAAGTCCGTCTGAAAACCCATTTTCATCTCCATGCTAAATTTACATTAAAAAGACGACAACATCAAACACACACCATCCACCTCTTTCTTTACTCCGCAGAAGCCCTGGCGAGGGCCTCGTGCAGGTGCGGCGGGAAGCGGTAGCGCAGCTGGCTGGTGTAGGTGGTCAGGTCGAGCGTCATCTGCCTCATCTGCTCGACCATCATGCGGCGGGTGCCCTCGTTGCCGCTGAACTGGCCGCCGGTGAGCTGGTCGCGCTGGCGGGTGCAGCAGATGATGGTCCACATGAGCAGATTGGGGACGTTGATGGAGACAGGCTGGGACAGACCCGAGAACTTTGAGGCGTAGGCGCGGATGATGCTCGGGTCGCCGCTGGCGTCGAGGGGGAGGATCTCGAGGGAGCGGATTTTCTGTAAACTCTGTTAGTCTAGTTTCATCGGGCAAGGCGCGTGTGTTACTTACGTCGAGACATTGGGCCCACTGGCCGGCTTCGACGAGGGACTTGATGGTGCTCATCTCCAGCAGGACGCGGCAGGCGACCTTATTCTGGTCCTGGATCTTGCGGTGGAACATGGCATCGCGCTCGTACATGGACATCATAGTGCGAGCGAGCTCGACGGGGTCATCAATGGACGCCAGGCTCAGGCTGCTGCCGGCCTCGGCCTCCTGGCCGGCGGCGCGGGGCTTGACAGGCATAAGACGCATGGGGTCCTCGCCGATCTCGAGAGAGATGGCCTCGCTGAGGGCGCGGCTGACGATGGAGACGACAGTATCATACTCGCCAGCAAGGTGGTAGAGAAGAACGGAGTCAGTGGTGCGGCCGTTCTCGTCGGCGAAACTAGCGGCCTGGACGGTGACGGTATTGATGAAGTCGTTCTCCTCGGTCAAGCCGATGAGGGCACCGCGCTCCTCGATGATGCCGCGTATCCGCTGACCGTCGGGACGGATGTCGCCGATGAGCTTGCTAAACTCTCTGGTCTCGAGGACGAGCTCACGGAGGGCCTCCCAGCAGAGGTTGGCATGTCGACGTCCCGCCTCGCCCTGGAGATCCATGTTGAGGCAGATGAGGGTGAGGTAGTCCACGGCCGAGACAACATCGGCTGCGCGGAAGTCCCTCGTGTAGTAGCCAATCATTCTGCCAAAGTTGATCTGCACGAGGTCCTTGACGTTCAGGCTGCGCAGGTCGTTGGATGCGCTGAAGGGATCCGAAGGACGGAGCAGACCGTAGTACTCGAGAGCGATGGCGAAGTGGACTGCGTCGACGTAGGAGAAGGGGTAGAGGTACGCGACGGCCTCCTCGAACATGCCGGAGAGGACTTGCAGGTAGAAGAACATGCCGAAGCTGCCACTGTTGTCCTCAGATGATGACTTGGGGAAGTGCTTGGCACCAATCTCCTTGATGCTAGACTGCAGCTCAGACAAGCCGTAAGCCTCGCTGGCGACCTCGACAGAGCGGTCACCCTCTCTAGCGAGGTTGAACTGAAGCCAGATCCAGTCGTTGATGTCGGTGTTGAGTCCCTCAAGACTGCGGTTGTTCAGATCGCAGCGACCAATAATCTTGTAGCATGCCATGCGGAAGGGGTCAATGGAGTTGTCAGGGGCATTGCGGACCCTCTGTGTGTACTCAGCATTGCACCTATCCTGCAACGTCCGCTTCAGTCGACGGTCCTCGTTAGAAGCGTACCCATTAAGATAGCTCTGGAAAGTTCGGTCGATGCTGCGGAATTGGTTGCCGTTGTCGTTCACATACTTCGCCGCCTCACTGACGTGGCCAGACCGCAGAAGGTAGAAGACAATCGCCCAGACATACTCCCCGCTGACTTGCTGAAGATCTGTGTTATCAGGCACCAGATCCTTCCTCGCGGACCGCAGCCGGATGTACGCTCTGATCTTGCTGACAATATCGGGACGACCACCGAGGTTGGCTTCATGGGGGTGTTTTGAAATGAGACCTTCCACTTCCTGCAGGAACTGCTTCTCCAAGAACTTGTTGGCTCCCTCAAGCAGCCTCTTGCGCATGGCTATTGAGTTGGACGAGTTCGGGGATTCGTCCAGGTACATCTTTGCAAACTGCCTCTCCTTGGCCGTGGCGCCATTGATGGTCGTCTCGGCTTCGGGGTCCTCGCCCACGATTTCTCGCACAGCATGGTACGCCTCGACAATGTGCGGTGCGTAAGGATCGAGAGAGCGGTGCTCGACGTCCGCAAGCTCTGAAAGGATGGGGTAGGGGTGGTTGATGAGGCGGGCTGAGTTGAGGCTGCGGACCTTCTCGGACAGCTTGCTCTGCTTCTCGCGCAGGGATCTGTCGTCCGAGTTCATGTGGCCAGTCAGGGAGCCGTTGTTGTCGTTAGAGCGGTCAATGTCGGAGAACTCAGGCTGGTGAGTACCAATCTTGCTGGCATTGCCAATGACGGAGCGGTGCATGCTCGACTTGCCCAGAACACTGGCTCTGCCGGATCGGGCACCGGCCGCCGGGCCCTTGCTGCGCCGTGAGCGACCAAAGCCGCCGGTGGACTCTCTCATCGAAGCCGCTCCGGCAAAAGAAGTCTCCTCTCTGGGTTTGATTCCAAAGTGCTCGTAGATTCGCTTGCGCTGGGCCTCCCACTCCATCGTCACGTTGTCCTCCAGGAAGTTATCAAAGTCGCGGACGGATCTCTCGAGACCGTCAGCAATCATGCTCATCGTCGTCTTCGTCTGGAGGTTCGCGAGGTACGTCTCGACATCGATTTCGGCCGGGGAGTAGCCTGTCGGTCTGTCGACGCGGCCGGTCTGCAAATCGAGGGATCCGAGGTCCCTGGCAGCCAAGCTAGGGTCGACACCGGAGGCAGCGAGGAGGTAGTGGGCTCTGCCGTCGGAGGGGCGCTTTTGGGCTTCGGTTCCCAGCTTCTTCAAGCGCTGGCGAAGGTCGCCCAGCCCGAGCTGCAAGCTGGGAAGGTCCTCCAGACCGCCCTCGCCATCTCCCTGTCTCTTGCTCTTCGCGAAAAGGCTGTCAAAGTATGCCCCCGATGTCTGGCCCTGCTGCGCTTGCGACTGGTTGTTCGTGTTCTGGTTCTGCTGTTGCGGCTGCTGTTGTTGCGCCGGAGGGAAAAGGGAGCTGCCGAGCGGGTTGGCGCTGCTCTGTCCGAGGGTCGCGCCGGTCTGAGACTGGGGCTGGGTGCCACCGAGGCCACCGAGGCCACCGAAGAGAGATGGCTTTGCCGTAGAGCCACCAATTCCACCGAGGTTGAGAGGTCCTGGTTGCTGCTGCTGCGTCGCCGTCTGGCCAAACAGCGAAGACTGTTGCTGGGCCGGTTGTTGTGTCGTCGACGCACCAAAGAGTCCGCCGCTGGTTGCGGGCTTGTTCTGATTCAGGCCTCCGAATAGGCCACCGGAGGCAGGCGTAGTATTCGCCGGCTGGTTGGCAGGCGTCTGCTGTCCAAAGAGACCTCCTCCGGTGTTCTGCTGGGGAGTGCTGGTCGAGCCGCCGAGGATGCTGCCACCCAGGGGCTTGTTGCCGAAGAGCGACATGGCGATATCTCGGGCGCGTCAAGTCGGATGCGAATTGAGCACGTCGACGGAGGGAGGATCGGGAAGAGTCGTGGGTGCGTAGATTGGTGACGCGATCTGATTGTGATCAGGCGCGTTTGGGGATAGAAATTTTGAGGTTTGGGAGAGCTCTCAGCAACAGCTCCACTGATTGGCGGGGAGCGGCCAGGCAACGGATACCGGGGGAAGTACCGGGTACGGACTAGGCCTGCATGTCACTGTCGGCTGATGAGTACACAATACTCCGAGCGTCCCACACACCTCCACTGCTCACCGAGAACTGCTTTCGGTGAGTATTCTGACTTACAAGATGTTTGGATTTTTGAATTCAGACAGCCAGTCCACTTAATTAGTTATTTTGTCCCTTAATTCGTAACTAATACCGCGTGTCTTGAGAAATTATTGAGGTTTTGATTTCTTTATCACCCGGTTTCCAAAGCCAGCTACATTTCCCATATTCACTTCAGGAGCAAATCTACTGCGGTGTTAGACAACAGAAGTAATTCTAAACTGAAATACATTTTGATCAATACTCACCATAAGCGTCTAAATTCTTTCATTTCACATACTCTGGGCGCTAAAAAGGACTTCTTGCCATGATTGACCTGGACATCATCCTTAGCCTAACGACTTGACCAAACTTCACTCTCCCAGTCCGAGATGACGCCTCGGATGTTGTAGGTGAGACGTCTGACAAGTACTTAAGCTAGATCGATTCTGAAGTTTATCTTGACACAGAACTAATTTATTGTATCTAGTTCAGTCTCGATATAGGCTGATCGATAACACTCAAAGCAGCCATTTTCATAGCCATAGGCCTTTGGGACCCTTCCACTCGACTCCCTTCGTGTTCGAATTGATCTGGTTAGGCTTTGTAGGTGTTCAAGATATGTTTGTGCATTAAATTTCTCTCACGAAGCAGCTCAAAGTCTCTTGAGGCCAAGAATTAATTACACCTACAAGGCGTGAGACGCGTCACGATCATGCCCCAGGTGGTATTAGATAGCATATCTCATCTTTGAAGTGACATTATCCCATACCTTAAAAGTTGTTTTAGTATTTAAACTAAAGCACAGAGTAAAGCAGTACCAAGTAACAGTATACCTCCAATTAGGGACAAGCATCGGCGTGGTACACCAACCCACCTTTCACAATCTCCATCCCCAAGAACATACATCAAAGCAACCACACGCTATCGAAAGACATCCGTCTCCCTGCCATACACCCCAACCAACAAAGCAGCCCAAAACCAAACCAGATACCAACCAGATTGACCCTAAATACACGTCTCCAAGAAATCGAAACCATCTCCGAACGCCAGCCACCCAACAAAACCACCACCTCCGAAGCGCCGAAGATGAGACGACACGAACACCACCACACTCACCACTCAAACGCTGAACATCACCACAAAGATCTCCGAGAAATCCGATCTAGAATCAGCAACCGCGTATTCAACCCATCGCCAAACGCGGCCCGAACTAAAACCACACCCTCCGCCGTAGGCAGACACCAGGCACCCGAATCACACCACGAGATCCAGCAACCCCTGATTCCAGCCATCTCTCTACCCGCTCAACCGTCACGAGACATTCCACCAGCATCTCAAGAAAACACATCAGCAGCCAAGAAATCTCACCACGATCCGGTCCGTTGTAAGCCCCCCAATCCCCCCTCCCTCCCATCAACTACATCCAGACCGGATTTACCCACACCACATAAAGAAGATCCATAATCTACAATCTCGCAGTATATATCGCCATCTCCCACCCGAGAAAAAAGTCTCGTGATATCCCGGCCCATCTCCGGAGCCTCACCCCAAAACCCGCCGTATACCATGCCCCCCCGAGCCCCGCTCCGAGTCGGTGATACTCCTCCGGCCCGATCCAAAAGCAGCCTCAAGTTTCTCTTACCTCACATCACTTACTCGGTTCCACGCCTCAAAGACAAGCATTTAATCTTCGGGCCGTAAAGTCAGCCTACAAAAGCCGGGTACTTACGTATGACGAAAAAGCCCATCCGACCTGTCATAGTCACCCCTTTTACCGCGCCGTCGGTCCTGCCAATCACGCCACCCGCCGCGGCCACGGCACGTAGCTGTCATGTCTGCGCCGCTAGTGCACCGGAGCGGAGCACACCATCACCTGTCACCAGACGCCCGGTTTCCAGGTGATATTTGTTAGTCAAGAGTTGCGTCTTGTAGCCTCCTTCAAACGACGTCACAGAACATGCCGGCGGAGATGATCAAATGTGATAGACTTCTTTCATCTACGTACTAGCTAAAACAGCCGGTCTGGGCTTGTGTATATCTGGCAAAGCCTTGCAAAGAGGAGCAGATAAGGAGCCGCGAGGCTTGCTCATTTCGTTGTTGCGTCATGTGGGTATCTTTTTTGACCTCTTCTGTGGTCTTCGATTCCCAAACGCCTTGCAAATGCTTCGAGCCTCCCCCCAACGAGGTCGAGAAGTCCATGTACCAAAATAAATCATCTGTGTAGGGAAACCGTGTCTATCCCACACCCCCAAAAAAACAAAAATCATGTCGTAGTTGAGTTGTCTGAACTCCCCAAACGCCTCTCCCGAGCATTACCATTAGTAGTGTACAATTCGTCGTCATATAATACAGTTTAGAGCCGTCGTAGCCCTGACCCTACGCAGCGCGGTCGACGGTGCGCTGGGGTCGGTAGTTGGGGATTTCGGCGAAAGTCGCCTTGTCGGCGCTGTAGCGGTAGGCGTGGAAGTCGTAGCCGTAAGGCTTGGGCTCAATCGAGTAGAGCATGCCCAACGGAACATCCAAATCCGCAATTTCGTTGCGAGTAAGATCCATGAAATACGCCATGAGAACTCGGCAGACCGAGCGGTGGCCGATGATGAGGACGTGGTCTTCGATGCGCTCGATTTCGCGCACCATGTCGCGTAGGCGTGCGATAACTTGGAGGTATCCCTCACCGCCAACGCCAGGGTAAGTGTAGTGAAGCTTGTCTTCGGCGCGCTTCTTGTACTCGCCGGGAAATCTCCTTGCGATCTCCTCGTAGGTCATGCCCTCAAAAAGGCCAGCATTGAGCTCGTTCAACATGGCCCAATTCTTGACATCATAATCGTCGTCGGCCTCGAAATGTTCCGCCGTCTGGACGCTGCGCTTCAGCATCGATGTCCACACGCAGAAGTTCTTCTCCTCCAACTCGCGGTTGAGCTCGGGGTACGGCGGGGTGTGATCGCCGGCCTTGGGAGGGAAGGATGACTGCGCAATCTTATCCTTCTGCTCGATGAGCCATTCTTTTCGCTTTTGAGTGATGAAGTCGTGGAGGGCTTTGCCGTATTGCTCTCCATCGGGGGTCAAATCCGAGTCACCGCCAAGCTTTCCGAGGCGGTTGTCAACACTTTGTCCGTGCCGTGTAAGCCAAATTTGCCTCGGGGCCAGATTGAAAGTCGTAAGGTAGGAGCTGATTCCGCCACTCAGGAACCCGCGGAGTCTGTGTTGAACCAATTTGCGTCCAACGTCAATCATCTGGGCGAATGTCAGCATGACGTCGAGGTGTAAAAAGTGGGCGCAAACAAACCTGGATGTACTGCATGTCATGGGCCTCCTCATAATCGCCAATGGGAACGTAGGCGCTCTCATAGGCGGCAACGCGCTTCTTGAAGTCTGCGAGGGACTGGTGCGGATCCTTGTCCTTGTAGTCGGGGCCTGAAAGCTTGAGGCGCATGTTTGCCTCCAAAAGCTGTGCGCGCGTGTTAGTCCCTGCGATAGCATGCAACTTGCGGGTGGCAACTCACGTTCTGGTCGTGGCAGATACTCTCAATGAAGAGGATTCCAAGCTTGGGCTCCCTCTCCTTAATTCGGTCGACCAAAAGCTGACGGCGGTGAATGGTGCTGTTGGTTGCATCAAGAATACCGACGGAGCCGCCTTGGTGAAGGAGGTAATCCAGCAGTTCGTCCAAGGTGTCGAGAGCAACCTGCTCGCGGATCTTGGATGCGGTCTCGTTGCTCGGCTCGAAGAACTTGGCTGATTGGTCCATCGTGTCGGCATCGGGTGTGTTCAGGTCCAGCTCTGCGGGCTCTTTCTTGGTGTTGTGCGCTGTGTGACCGTTCAACAGGATGGAGGCGGCTTGCGTCGGGGGATCGAACTTCATGGGCGAAGGGGACCAAGGCGATTTCATGGGGGACTTCATGGGGGAAGAAATGCCCGCGGCCACACGTCTCCTGTTTCCGACATTGAAGATGCGCGAGTTATACTGCTGCCATGATAGGTATCTTTGGACCTTCTTGGTGATGTATGATTTTCCTCTCGCGGGCAGGCCGACCATGATGATGACCAGCTTCGCCGCGACATCTCTGTCGCTAATCTTTCCATCGGGCGACGCTCTTGAGACGGTCATGCCAGGGACGTTGAGTGTGGCGGGATGGGGGCGGAGTCGTGGGGTCGTTCCTCCCGAGTTTTGTCTGACTGGCGGACTATTCGGACAACAAGTTAGCCAAGCGCTGCAACACACGAGGCTGTAAAAGCCCAAGCCACTGGATAGGCAGTTTTTACGACGTGACATCAGTTAAATATTACATACATTCTAGGAGAGTTCGGGGCGGTCGAGACGACGCTTCGCATGGCTGGAGGGGTATCGGAGGAGGCGATGAGGGAGCGGTCGCGCAGGGCGATGGGGCCGCTGAGATCGTTCATGGATCGGATGGCATGCGCCATAGCCGGGGGCGGTAGGAGAGCATCGTGAGGATGGGAAACGGGAGGCGGTGGCAGCTCGCCGTTGGATATGGTAATGGTCGGCGACTTATTCGAGCGAGTTTGGGAGGATGACGAAGGCGCGCGGGAATCCTTGCTGGAGCTCATTGCCAGCTTCGCCAGAGCAGATTGCTTAGCCTGTATAAGGCCAAGGTCTTTTTCTCGGAAAACGAAAAGTCAACAACGGGATGATTCTGAACGGATGTGTTTTTCGGGCGGGAAGGATATCGACCGGGACGGAAGGGAGGATGTTCAATTAACTTCAAGGCGCTCACGAACCTGGACTATAAGGGAAGATTGCGGAAGGCATGGAGAATAATGTTCGAAGTAGAAGTGGTAGGTAGACCGGGCTGGCGAATGTACGGTATCTAAAAGCCCAAAGGGTCTGGTGCCGTGGACTGCAGTGGTAGGAGTCACACAGTCACAGCCCACTAACAGCAGGGTGTGTGAGACCGGGCCTGCCGTTTACGTGCAGAGCGTAAGGCAATGGAAGGCACCTAGAGCGTTGGCGGGTTTGCGGGTTCGCTCTGCTAAATCTCGGTCGCTTCGAGGACGGAGGGGAACAGTGAGGGCTGCACCCAATGGCGGTGCAGGGATGGGGAAGCTGGTCGAGCTGTCCGACGTGGGTGATGAAATGTGGCGTCCTGGATGGCTAGCTCGTGCCTTAGCGCGCAAGGGTTCGCACTTTTTGGTGGTCTGGGCAGAGCCAGCAGAGAGCCCTGGAGCCCTAGAGAGGAAAAAAAAAGTTGTTGAGAGGGGACCCGGACAGGGAAGCGAAGCGTGTCAGTGGACAACAGGCAGGGCGCGGTGTCCAGGTATGTTCGAGCAGTTGCTAGGTAGATGTCGTCGAGGTGATGATGACACAAAGATGTAAGTCGAGTCGATGTTCAGGCCGGTAAGCTGTAAGACAGGCAGGCAGTGTTCGTGATGACCTGAAAGGATGTAAGACTTTGAAAAAAAAGATGCAAAGGTCGGGACGGACGGGATCTAGGTGGTTAAAGTACAGAAGCAAAAAGAAGAGGGGTCAGAGCGATGGAGCCCCGAGATGGAGGAAGAGGAAAGGACCGATAAATATCTCTCTCCAGACTCCAGTCGACTGAGAGTATGAGTGTGAGGTCTGCAGCAAGCCCCAGAAGTTGTTGGATGGGGTGGTATGGTGAGTCGAGGTGAATTATTAGAATTGCCCTTGATTTAGATGCCCTGCCCTGACCTCCCGTCTCTGTTGGATCTTTTCCTAGTCCTGGTGGTGCCTCAGGAAGGGTGTCTTTGGGGGTGGGAAAGCGTCGGGAGTGAGGCGTGAAGCGTGAGAAAGCCAGATCCGAGCCGAACCTGAACACGGAGGCTAAACTCGACAGGTCGTAGTATCAAGAACAGACTTGGCAAGGTAGGTACTTTCCCGGAAGTCAGAACGGAAGGTGCCTTTTAGGGGACCTCTTGCCATGACACATTCACTCACATCAAGAAGGCACCTGGAAATCGAAGCCTTCTTCATTTCTCACCTCGCCTCACACAACCTCGATCCCTCCCACCACCAATTCCATCGAATCGGCGCGCACATCCATTCTCACTCACATAGCGCCCCAAAGTGCCCTGCACCGACGGCGCGTCGGCCTTCTAGAGACGTTCCCTCAGTGGGGTCCTTCTCCCTTGGGGGCGCACGCAGACTGGGGCCCAGGAGCTGCATGCTCGGTGGCCGGTCGCCGATGGCCCTTTCGGTTTTTGCCAATTCCATTCCAAGTCCAGGGTATCGCCAGCCTGCTCAGGTTCCCCCCGCGAGCGGTACCCTGTCCAACGCCTTTCCTGTGGCACCGGAGCCCTGGGATTAGCCAGCGCGGGATGGAGGGACAAGTCCATGCCGGGGGTTTGGCGCGTTTGGTGGTTCGAGTCGTTTGATTTTATTTTATTTTGGCCCTATCTTTTTTTCCTTCTCTAGCAAAGTGGTTTAGACCGAGTGGTGGACTTGTCAAACGCGGCGTCTGGGCGTCGTAGACGAGCCACGCGTTTCCCGTCAACATCTTCTTTTTCACACCGGTGCCAGCTAACAAACAACTACTGGAACACGGTATCAATGGAAGATCCAATCAGGCCGACGGGGAACACCACAGGGGGCGACCGGGGCGGATATACGTGATGGACAGCGGCAGAATATCCACGAATACCTGAGCCCTGCTCCTGCTGTCTCTGCGCCTTGAGCGGTTGCGAATGTCAATCAAAGTGGACTCACCACAACGTACCCGTACCCGCGGGAGTGAGGTGAGGCGAGGTGAGGGGACTTGCAATCGCTCCCCCGTTCCGCTTACGGCCTGAAGCTCGACCTTGGTTGATTGCCAGCATTCCACTTTCCACCTTTCCTGAGGTCATTTCGCGTGTTTGCGACCAGACGCTGCGCTGTTGTATCATTGTTGCTGGGCGATATACCTTATTCCCAGGCCACCTCAACCGGCCCTTCTTCCGCGGTGGTTTACGTAGACGCCGTGCATGAGAAGAAAGATGAGATCGTCTGGGTACGGCCGAGCTCAAGTGATGCTGTAACAGCCTCGAGCTGGGCATCTCATCTCTCCTCTGCGAACATGGTCCCCAGCCAGAGTCAAGGCCTCAACCTCAGGCCCGGTCAAGCTGATGCGTCGACGGTGAAATCATACAATGCCTGTTGGAAAGCTGCTGTTAAAAACGGAACATTTCCTTATCCCAGGTAATCACTGCGGCTCTTGATGGCCGCTGGCGTTTGGTATTTTGTCCCGTCTCTCGTCTCTTGTCCAATGCCTGGGGCCAGTTCGTCCACGCCCTCTGATGTAGTGCCATGCCCATGCCCAGTCCTAACGTCCACCGTCTGGCCATGTCATGGATGTCAGCCAGCGCCATCCTCCGTGCGCCGCGCCCGACGCAAACCTCAACAATCACCTCCCGTCGTCCAAAATAAGCCCAAACATCGTCTTGACGGCCGGGACCCTCTCCCCGTCTGCCTGGGTCAGGCTCCGTGCCGTCTGTCGTGTCTGTTCTCGCATCCGTGTGCCTGGTGTTTCCCCCAGTGCATACAGTACGGCCTGCTACAGCTCGCAGCCTGCAAATAGCACTGCGACGTACTGCGTTCTTGGCTCATTGAGGCGCTCTCGCTCTTGTTGCTCACTCGTTCAAGAGATGAGGCGGTCTTATTCACCGGGCGTGTCGGAGATACCCCGTCGATCCATCTGCGCTTCCCACTTCCCCTCCCACTCAATGTTTCACGACTCAGTCTTCCAGCACCGGCCGCCAAGTCTGTCTCCTGAATCAACTGCCAACTGGTGCCGGCGTCGATGGCTAGTAAACCGTCTCAACTCTCTCAAGCATTCCAGCCATCAGCCAGGCTGTGGTAAAGAGGCCACTCACAATGAGCCTCGCCAACACGCCTTCAAGCCCACCAAAAGCTTATCTTTCTATACCTCTCGCCTCCAATTCGTTTGAGTTAGGGCAAGATTATACTCTCAGCAGCTGGTGCTGTCATCTGCCCTATGCGGTGTTGCAGTGTGTCTCCGACCACCCTCTCAACAAGTCAGTCGCTCGCTGAGAGGGATGGGATACACAGCATGATTTGACACACCATCTCCTGGAGTCGCGTGCCGGTGATAATAGTCATTGCATATTTCGTTGGCGTCGCGACAACTCAACTAGCGCTTGGGCTGACCTCGGAACCACCCCGAAGTCCGGAGGCTGGCAAAACCCTCCACGCCCCGGAGATCCGCTCCAGATGAGGGTCCGCTGCGTCTCGGTGAACTGTGGGCGTGAACCCCTCATCGAACGAATCCCTGGTCGTTCTCGACTCGATGTGGAGTGGACCTCTGGAGACTCCAGTCCCCAGGAAGCAGGCTGTCTGTCATTGTGAAGTGTCAAGTGCTGAACACCAATAAGCCTGCCTTGTCGCCGTTGCTGCCAGAATGGCCAACCCTTCGGTCTGGGCGGTGATGTCAAGAAAGTCGGCTTCCCTGTGCCGCCTGCATAGCTTGCAGAAACGGCAGGATGTCGACCCGTATGTGCCGCCAAAGTATGAGAACGCCATGCCATCTGCCTCGAGTCGAGGCCAGAGTCTTACACCCAACACCATCAAGCACAGCGTAATTGTGCCATGCCAATGGTAACTGGTAACCCAAACGTGCCAGCCAATCACCGCTCAAGGCGCAGAGCTGCCAGGTTGTCTTCATGCTTCGTTCAGAACAAGGTCTGGGCATGAATGACGGAGGAGGAATTTGGCGCAGAACCCCCACTCCAGGCTTGTCGATGGAAGCAGCGTCGTTGTTACACTGCAGCTTGCAGACTGCAGCAGAGACAACGGAGCTTCCCTCCTGAACTCCTCAATATCAGATTGTGGGGAGCAGAGGCTGATTGATTGCTTCCATGCTTCAGGCGCCGGCGGCGCGGGCCTCATTAGCACTCCTCATGCTGATGGATGCCGCGGCGCCGCCGCTGACCCTCCTTTTATCTGGCGGAGAGGGCTGTTCGTACAGGTAGCATGTCGGAGCAAGCAGGCTATTCCTTTCCCGCCACCGACTCCGCGTCCATCGCGAGGGGTCCACGGCAGACCGTGCCGTCGCTTGCTGGAAAATCCCACGATCTGCTCTCAAGCTGTGGACCAACCAGTGAGCCTAGTTTCGCCAAGAGCACAAGGAATGCCTGCTGGATCTGCGAACGCAAAGGCGTCACTCAGGTCGAGTCTCTAGGGGCTGGTGAGGGGAGTCTGCCGAAAGTCGGCGCAACACCAGCAACGCAGAGGCAATTAGCAAGAGCGGTTAGCAATGACTTGCAGTCGTGGCTGGCGGGGGAGAACAGGTTCGCCGCATGGAGTGCCGTCATCGGAGATTGAAGACTAGGCGACGGGGCTTCCACACGTGGGGTTGAATTGGCGTTGGACGATTGCATTTCTAAGCTGCAATGCTGAGCGGCGCTGGTGCTCCCGGGGGAAACAAGAGTTTGTCTGACTTGAGAGACTTTCTGTCGTCAAATGTTGGATGGCCAATGAGACACTTGAGGATCAGCGTGACAAGCTCTGCTTGGAGCTGTTGTGAGACAATCCAGGAACGGTAAACTGTTGTAGTCCGATAGCAGGAACAGCTCTGCTCTCTTGTTGAAGGCCTGGAGCTCAACCAAGGAAGCCGGGGAATGCGTCGGCTTCTGATGGCGAGAGACTCGATCCTGAGCATTGCTGAGTCTTTTTTGGTGAGGTTTCGTGCCGTTCATCTCGATGAGCCAAGACAGTTTCAGCGACAGCAGCAGCGGGCGACGTCCCCCCCAAGCTTGTTGCCTCTCCCCGCCTGCCCGCCTCAAACTCCATTCTTGTTTACTTTTGGCGCCGAGATGCTTCTTCATCCTCCATCCGGCAGGTAGGTAGATGGGCCCTGGTCAGTGTCCGGCCGCCGCCTGCTCTGAGTGTTCACGAACACCGAAACTCCACTGACAGGTGCGAAAGAAGTCCAAAAACGGAAAGAGCAGAAACGCTCGCAACTGCAGCAGAATCACCCAGGTGCAGTTACAAAACAGAGAGCAGCTCCACAGCCGCTGGACGCTGATGTGGATGATCCGCGTTGGACTCTCGCCGTGGCACCGAGGTGCTTTAGCGATCCGCTAAAAACAGCTTATCGATAAGGTGGGTGGCACTGGGTGGCAGTTGCTGGGATGGATGTCCGCCAGCGGCTCTGCTCTGTGCTGCGCTGCGATTCGATTCGATGCAGGGACCTGGTTCCCTGCAATTGTGCCTGGACTGAGGGCCGGGGCGCCGGGGAGCTGGATCGTCAAAGGAGTCAAATTTTCTGATTTTCCGATGCTTCATTCCCGTGCCGGCCGCGCCCATATCCACTGTTCGGACCGTTTCCAGAAGCTCTTGGCCTTCAGACGCATCATCCATTGATCAAAGACGCCAGACGATCCGATAGGGTCTCGTCTTCTTGTTGTTTCTTTGTTTGGTCCCGATTTGGCCCCCGTCGTTTCAAGACCTGGACGACAACGACGTTGATCTTCGCGTTCCCTGGTTACATCCGTCCTTGAGCCACCTATAGATGGCAGGCTGCGGCTGCGGCTGAGACCAAGACTGAGACTCTCCGACGGACACTAGAGATATCAGACCCGCCCGTTGTTGATTTCCAAGAATAACTGCATCGCAGATATCTTGGCAGCGTCTCTCGACAACTCTCAAACCGACCTGCCGGGCTTCGTCAAGGGATCCGAGTCATCTTGGAGTTGGGCGATTGAGAGAAAGACAACGAAATCGAGGTTTGACTTCTTCGCAGGCAGAAGCAGACTGTCAAAGGAGAGAAGCAGCCAGACAAAGGGTGCAGAGTGAGAGAACAGGAAGGAGGGAAGAGTGCTGGTCGAGGGTGCAAGTGCCTTCTGTTGCTGGTGCCTTCCTTAGAGACCTCAAGTCCTGCCATCCACGGCAGAAGTGCTTACCTCACTTCTGTCATTACCTGTTTTCACCTCAGGTTGTGACTGCCTGGGTGACTTCCACTTAGAAAGCTGCACAAGAAGAGGCGGCTGCACAACCTCAATCCCCGCTCATCCAGCTGACGGCAATCACCCTCAGCCATCTACCTGCTGAGTCGACAGAGGAGAGAAGTCTTCCACACTCAGGAAGGAGACTCGTGCCTACCGATTTCATCGATTTCATCGTGACAATCAAGGTACAAGCAGTAACTTGGCTTAGTTTGTTCAGGGCAAGAGTCAATTTCTGCAACTACCATCCACGGTGTACCATTAGGAAATACTCGCATCCCTTCTGGATCTATTTCTCGCCATCGAACTTCATCTTCTTCTTCTTGACTGCGTGGCCGAAAAACACAACACTTCCAACCCCAAGAAACCCTCATCGCAACGCGTCTTTGGCAAATCGTCTTCTTCCTGAGATTCCAGGCTGGGCTTCATTCAACCTTGGCCACAATCTCTCCCGAAGACGAAAATCTGTCTGCTACGCGCGGCCAGAGTAGAACAGTTGTCGTCCGGAAAACACCAGCACTTCTTGTAGCAAGCATCGCCGGTACTCCCTTTCGGAACCGCCTGTCGCTACCAGCCATCACGCGAGTTCTCGCTTCATCCGATAGGCATCGCCTCCTGTCAATGTGAGTCATAAGATGGAGTCACCATCGTCTACCTTCAGTCCGATGCTAACGGCCTCAGCCTTTCGTCTCCCATCTCACCTTCGATCTGAAGATTGTACGAATAAAAAATCGCCACAATGCTCGCAGTCGAACGCCCCACGCCTCCGGAGACTATCTCTGACATGTCAGACAGCCGGGTCGATGAGAAGCCTGAGCACACTGGTCCCGATGTCATTCAGCCTCACCCGCTCATTGATGAGCTTCTTCCACAGCAGCTAGGCCGTGGTGTCCTGATTCCCCTGAAGACGACCCTGGAGATCCGACAGGACCACACGATCGTCCAGGCCTTGCTCACCAGAGCTCCTGCCAAGTCCACCAACGATGTCGTCAAGTAAGTTCAAACACCAGATCAAGAGAGCAGCCCACTGACCTGAACACAGCCTTCTCCGCTCGATGCTCCCTGAGGGCGTAGCTAACAGCTTGCCTCATCTGCGACGGTGCGCGAAGCCTGCCGATATCCCGGCTCACCTGAAGACCCAGTTCATGAACGACTCGCCCGAGGGTCGCCAAGTTCATACTGGCAAGTCAACCTGGATTTACATCATGCTTGGCGAGGAGAAGGACTTTGACAGGGAGAAGTTGGTTGCATCATTGACTGCGATTGAGGGCATGGACGAGAACTTCTTCCTCACCAGCATCCCCATCCCCCTGGTCCCTCCCACCTCCCAGGTCCAGGCGGCCATGTGGACGTCGCAGTTCTGGCCTACGGTCTACAGGAAGAACAACCCCCTCGGTCCCCACCCTAGCATGGTGGGACGCTCTACTGATATCATCCGGGACGAGACGTCTCTGTGGATGTCTCTCGCTCACCGTGTCGCTCAGCAGGCCAAGCAGAAGGGCGTCGGAGAGCCCATGGGAGCCGTCATCGTCCAGCGTGAAGGCGGAAAATCAGAGCTTGTAGCGGTTGCCGGAGATGCTCGTTGGCACCAGGAGCCCAACAAACGCGGTACCGGCAACCCCATGGCCCACTGTGTTCTCAGAGCTATCAGCATGGTTGCGCAGAAACTCGTTCGGGCTGAGCGACGGGCAGCCGGACGCTCCAACGAGTCACCTCTGCTTACATACGACGCCTTCCAAGACAGGCCTCTTCTTGAGGCTGAGAAGGCCATCTTCGACGACGAGCACCCCAACACGGACGGCTACCTGTGCCATGGCATGGAGATGTACCTGACCCATGAGCCTTGCGTCCAGTGCTCCATGGCCATTCTTCATTCACGCATGGGGAAAGTCGTCTTCGCACACCGAACGCCGCTTACCGGAGGCATGTGCTCAGAAGACAGGGACCACGGCCACCCTGAGCTGGCGGGCTGCGGTGGCGGAGAAGGTCTCGGCCTGTTCTGGAGACGCGAACTGAACTGGAGCTTGCTGGCTTGGGAGTGGGAATCGAGCGACTGTGTGGGACCTTTGCCGCCGGTTGATCACAGAGTCCATGCTTAGTCCCCATGGGACTTTACGACAATACCTTGGTGCTTATGGCCGAAGATCCGGCCTAGGCTTGAACAGTCTTTGTGTGGAGGGAGGCCAGCAGCGAAGATGCAAGCTGTTGGCGTTCTCAAAACACCAACATCGATACCCCCTGTATACCGGAAACTGCTTCGGCCCCCTGATAGCCTTTGTTCATTGTGTTTGCCCTTTTATAGTTGGCTCAGACATTGGTTTGGAGGGCAAGCAGAGGGGTTAGATAGTCCTCTCAGCTCTAGTCGGATATGCGGCGTTATGAAGAAGTCTCGGGAGTGGGCTGGTGGAGGCCAGGTCATGAATTATACCCATGCTGTCTCACATGTAGATTACGGCAGCTCTAACAATGAACAAAGCTCTATGATTTCAGCTGCCCCTAATTATGATAGTGACTTTGAAAGTGGGATGATTTCTACTCTGCTCTCATAATTCAGCCTCGTTCTGAGCTAACGACAGCTACCTTCAGCGCGCTAAGAAGGCGGCAAGCTTTGCTGTGCCGCAAGGCAGGGAAGGTCGTTACTGCGGGGAAGGGAGGCGCTTCTTATCTTATCAGCCGGCCCAAATTCAGCAACAGCAACCTCTCGGAAAACCAGCATCAAAGCGGTCGCTGATACTTCGTCGCCGGTCGTTGTCGTTTCTCAATATTGTTCATTCTTTCCGTGTTTCGGCATGCGCCCGAACAAAGGCAGCTGCTAAGAAAACGGTTCTGAATCCACAGCCTTCGAGACCCCCTTCGGCCCGCCCTTCGCAACATGACCCGCCTTTGACTCCTCCCACGCGACTCGCACATGGGTGGCTTTTGCAACGATTGATGCAGCTACAAGCTCCCCGGACAAAGATCGTCGACTTCATTCTGCTACAGTCAGGAGCTCCCAGAATACTCTCACCACCTGCGAACTTGCCGAGCCTACTTATAAGAAGGCAACGAAGCTCGACACCCTGGCGGAACATACGCGACGTACGCGACAGGCGCGACAAGCAACCCCAGGGAGTCTTTGCGATCCTACGACGCTTGATTGAAGACATGTCGGCCAAGAGAGCAGCTCCCGCCACGGGCGGGAGCCACTGGAAGAAGGCCAAGACGGAGAAAGAGAAGAAGTGGTACGCCGTCAAGTCTGGCAAGGAGCCAGGCGTGTACGAGACGTGGGATCAATGCCAGGCCCAGACCACCGGATATCATGGAGCTGTGTGTAAGTCTCGTCGCAGCCAACCTCTTCTGAGCACTCTGGATCATCGGCTAACACACGGTGCCCGCGCAGACAAGTCGTTCACGCGCAAGGAAGATGCCGAGGCATTCGTAGCGGGCAAGAAGGTCCCGGATAGGAGCGGAAAGCCGAAGCCGCTGAGATACTACGCCGTCGCCCGCGGAAACTACACGGGCATCTTCAACGATTGGAGTGACGCCCAAGATTCTACGAGAGGCGCCAAGGGACCTAAGTACAAGAGATTCGACACGCTACCCGAGGCCGTCGCCTTCATGAGGGAATGGGCCGACGAAGAAACTCTAGATCGAATCCGGGGCGAGTACGGAGATGTCTCAGACCCAGAGCTGTCAGATGAGCAGGAGGAGGAAGAGGAGGAGATCCTGGAGCCAGGTCTGTTGCGCATATTCACGGACGGCAGTAGCTTGAGCAACGGCCGACATGACGCCGTGGCAGGCGTGGGCGTCTTCTTCGGCAAGAATGATCCTAGGTATGTCGTGTGTTGCATATCCCGTGGAGTTCAGCCTGCAGCTGGGAACACCGGTTTCGGGCTCGCGTTATACTGAGGAAGCGAGCTGACCCATCCCAGAAACATTTCCGAACGTCTTGAAGGCCCATTGCAAACGAACCAGCGCGCTGAGCTTACCGCCGTCTTGCGCGCTCTCGAGAGCATCCCGGCCAAGGTATCAGTGCAGATCTTGACTGACAGCAAGTACTCCATTAACTGCGCCGAAACTTGGTGCAAGGCGTGGGAGAAAAAAGGATGGAAGACGTCAGAGGGGACTGATGTCAAGAACAAGGACCTAATCCAGGCTATCCGAAAGAAGATGGTCCAACGTGACGATGCGAAGGCGAAAACTGTCTTCACATGGGTCAAAGGACACGCCAACACCCAGGGCAATATCGAGGCGGACAGACTGGCAAATGCGGGGGCTTACTGTGCTCCTAAAGAGGCCAAGGGCCGGACGAAGTTGAAGACAGAGAACGAAAAGCCTTTCGACACAGAGTCTTTCGAAGATGCCCAATTCGCCGCACTTTTCGACCATCCGGACACAATCGGTGCTTACCCTACCCTCACTGGAGCACTGAAACCTTCTAAGGGTCGGACGAAGCTGAAGAATGAGGGCCGGAGCGACTTTTGGGATCCCGAAGGCGAGCCTCTCTTCCAAGTTGAGTCAGACGGCGAGAAAGACCAAGGAAACAAGCGACGACGAAGATGATGAAACCCACCTGGCCTTCATTACGGCATGGAATCGAAAATACAGTCGCTCTAATCGTACACACCTGCAGAGGCCAGCAAGCCCGGCATCTTCGTGGAGGAATGTGCATTGGACGCGCCGCCTGGTCGTGTGCTGGCTGCCCGATACATCACGTGGCTCTACCCGTCAGTCACGAAACGGCGTCGATCGGTTTGGCGGATGGACACAAGGAACCAGCACACATCTCTCCTCGGCTGCCAGTGGTGAATATAGCGTACGGTCAAGTTTGTCTTACGACAGACCCAGGCGCGCGTATTGCTTCAGCTTAGACGGCATTCATAACGAGAAATCCCTGAGCGTTCAACTTTGCTGGAGGAATGTGTGTACAGGCGAACACAGTACAAATGGCGACGGGTTTGTTTTGTTTTCATCGTCTCCTGTAAAGAACTTATATTCTCTTTCAAGGGTTTCTCGTCGATAGGAAGGAGTTTTGAGGTATTTCATCGTAGCGTCACGGACGGCATTTTCTTTTGCGCTGAGATATCCCCCCTCGGAGTCAATATCACATTTCTTCTCATCCGATCCCCTCTGTCCCTGTGCGAAAATACCTTGTGGTGATGATACGCGGCTCTCAGTGGACACGTAGCGGTCAAAACTCTCCTGTGTGTGTATGCGCCAGCTTCCCGATGTCCGTCGTCGCGAGAAACTTCTGCTCGTGGTGGCTGGTTGCCTTCCGAGAGAAGCCTCCAAGAGAAGCCTCCGAGAGAAGCCTCCAAGAGAAGCCTCCGAGAGAAGCCTCCAAGAGAAGCCTCCGAGAGAAGCCTCCGAGAGAAGCCGGGGCATGGTCGAGACCTGGCGGATATCAGTACATTTTTTTCTTGGCGAATGTAGCCCGTACGTAGGTTGCGGCAGAAAAGAGACGGACGGGACGGGAATTATGCACACGGCCACTTCCCGATTTGTGAAGGATAAAGAGGCATGGATGCCGGGCGTTCTAACTACTTTGGACAAAACAACAATGGAATTGAATCCCAGACAGAAGCGGCGCAAAACCTATCCGTACCTAGGCAAGTAAGGTAAGGCAAGATACCTTACCTTACGTAGAATACCTAGACCTGGCACTAACCCCACGTGTTGTGAGAACACCCCCACGGACAAGAAGAAAAAAAAATCAAGCAGACCCTTAACAATTTTTCGTCGCAAAGCGGCGGTGATGACGATAGGTGTCCATGCGCACCCATGACTGATGCGCGGCTTGTTCATCCCGTTTTCCCAAACCGCCGTTCGCCACTCCCTGACCTCTCCTCCTCTTCCTCTTCCACTTTCCTCCCCCTTTCACCATTCCGCACTTCCATTCCAGCCTCCGCTCCCGTGCTGATCGAAGCGACAAAAGACAACAATTCCCAAGTAGCTTTCCGACTCTCGTCGCGCATATCACGGACTGCCATCCAGACCCGAGTCTGGACACTGAGGGGCGCAAATCGCAACCACCCAATCCGAAGTCACCGTCCCAGACCGCCCCTTTAGGTTGTCTCAGTTTCCTCTCCTCTCGTTGCTGTGCGAATTCCGACCCGAGCGGTTCGCGCAAAGTAGGGAAGCAAGGGAGAATCGGGAAAAACAGCAGTAGCAGCAGAAGCCGCGTTTTTCCAAGAACGCACTTCGTCGTCTCAGACTCCCCCCTCCCAATGACAGTCAGCCACGCGAGCGCCGCAGTCATCTCCGTCATTCTGAGCCACGCGATTCGTTGAATCGACATCTTGTTGCGTGTGTCTGATATACCCCATTTTGTTTGCGATTTCGAGAAAAGGCCGCGGTCGGTCAAAGGCGCAACCCCCGGTCGGAAAAAAAGCTTGGGAGAACAGAACGGCTTGTCTCGAGGATAGGGGCTGTTTTGATTGGAGCATCTCGCAGCAGATCGCGGGGCTTTGTGACTACCCAGGTGGAACAAGAAAGAAGTAGCCCCTTGGCAAAAGCTTGGTTCCGCGCGCGAAACGCAAATCAGCGACGATGCCTACTTTGGCGGTCACAAACTTCAACATCATTGTCGGTGTGCTGGGAGGATGGATCTCATTGTTCGGGCTGGTCTCGTTTCTCTGCAAGGAGAAGTATTACCTATCCGAAGCGCGTAAGTTTACCTACATACCTGTCGGCCCGGCGACCTATTACCTCGCAGGTCGAACGTGCGTAGATGCGGGATTCTGTTTGGCTAACGAGACGTGTCAGTGATATCCCTCTTGGCGGGCGTGGCCTTCTCGCCCCCGGCGGCGAATCTGATCAGACCGCTGGAATACGCGGGGTCGGAGGAGAACGTCGAGAGCGTGACGCTCGCCTTCTCGCGGCTGGTGCTCGGCGTGCAGCTGGTGCTGGCCGGCGTGCAGCTGCCCAGCCGGTACCTCCGCACGCAGTGGAAGCCGATGGCGCTGCTGGTCGGGCCCGTCATGACCTGCATGTGGCTCGCGACGAGCCTGCTCGTCTGGGGGCTGGTGCCGAACCTCCCGTTCCTGCACGCGCTCGCCGTCGGCGCCTGCGTGACGCCTACGGACCCGGTCTTGTCGAACGTCATCGTCAAGGGACGGTTCGCGGACCACAATATCCCCAAAGAGTTGCAGAACCTCATCATTGCTGAGAGCGGCGCCAACGATGGACTCGGATACCCGTTTCTTTTCTTCAGGTGCGATTCAATCCGTGCTGATTTTTGGACGAGTGAAGGCAACAGCTAACGGGCAGTGCAGCTTGTACTTGATCAAATACATCGGCGATGGTGGGAAGCAAGCTTCTGGCGGCGCCGGGCTGGCCATGGGGCTGTGGTTCGGCGAGACCTGGGGCTACACCATCATCCTCAGCGTCATCTACGGAGCTGTCGTTGGATGGCTGGCCAAGAGGCTGTTGAGATGGGCCGAGAGCCATAAGTACGTCGACCGCGAGAGCTTTCTCGTGTTCGCCATCTCGTTGGCTCTCTTCATTGTTGGCACATGCGGTATGATTGGCAGTGACGACGTCCTCGCCTGCTTCATCGCCGGTAACGCCTTTACGTGGGACGACTGGTTCCGCCTTGAGACCGAAGACGATTCGTTCCAGCCGACGATAGACATGCTTCTGAACGTGACCATATTCATGTGGTACGGGGCTGTCCTGCCCTGGAACGAATTTCTTCACAACAACGTTATCCCCATCTATCGTCTGATTCCGCTGGGAATTCTCGTGCTGATGTTCCGGCGCTTGCCGTTCGTCTTTGCGATTCACAGGGTTATTCCGCAGATCGAGGAGGTGAAGCAGGCCATCTTTGTGGGCTTCTTCGGGCCCATTGGGGTGTCGGCCGTCTTTTATCTCTACGTCACTCTCGAATTCATCCACACGTTGAACGAGGGCGAAGAGCCGCGCGCAGATGTCGCTCACATGGGCGAGGTAGTCCGAGTCGTTGTTTGGTTTCTGGCCGTCTGCAGTATCGTAAGTTTTCGGGGGCACTTCCGGTCCCCCGTTCCATCTCCCCGTTCCGCCCCTCCGGTGAAGGCCTGAAATAATTTGTTCCCTAGGTGGTCCACGGGCTGAGCATTCCGCTTGGAAAGCTCGGCTACTACGCCCCTCGGACGCTGTCCAGGGGCGTATCCTTCATGAGCGGGGACGGCGACGAACCGCGGTCCTTTCGTGTCCGCGGGAGGGTTGCGTTCCCGTTCGGCCGGTCCAGGTCTGTAGCATCCAACGGTGTCGCGGACGCCGAGTCCGGAACGCCGTCCGAGACAGAAACGAGCCGGGCTGTCTATAGAATCGGCGGGTCCATCATCCCCCGTCAGCAGGGCCAGTCGGGTACGTCGACGCCTAAGCGGCTCGATGAACCGGCCCAGCGATCAGGCCCTGAGGATGGAGTTCTTCAGACTGAGGTGGCTGATCGGCGTGAGGCGTCAGCGCCACAGGCACCTGAGCTGCCAAGCCGTACTATTCGGTTTCCCGATGAGACGCCTGCCCCTCAGGGATCTCCCCGCGAGTTGTAGGGTCTGTGAAGCGGATTTCCGCTCACTGCCGCAAACCCAGTGTTTGCGAACTCTCGTGCAGCATATGGGCTGGGTAAGTATAGTGTGGTGTGCCCTCAAGGTACCTTGGCTGGTCGTCCAGTCGCGAAGGGGGATATGTGTCTGTTCATGGAAGGCTTGAGGGTTTCTCGCCTCCCATTGCTTTCAAAAGGTCTTGTCTGGCGTTCAGATCGAGAGATATTCTCGTTTCCTGAAGTCAGACGTTCCAGACCTCGATTAGACTTGTGTTGTCGTCCAAACGGAGGGTTGGGATAGCTACTTAGAGTAATTAGACAAGACTATTTTGAGATTCGCCGTCGGTGTTCGTTCGGGCCGCCTTTTCTTAGTGGATTGCAGTGAAAGGCGACAGTTAAATTTCCGCGAGACATTTGACCACAATTGGTGTGCCCGCCCAGCGGCGGTTTCGTCAGTAACTGATATCCTCGAATGCGATTGAGCCGGGTTACCGCCGTCACCAAAGACCAGCTGATAAGTCATCTGAGTTTCGCTCCGGGTCAGATGAAGACCAACTTCATGCATGTACTTCGGTAGGTGTAAGGTTTACATAATGAGTTTATGCAGACAGTCAATTGTGCACCATTGTGTGCCACTAGCCGACGACACACTGGCGAAGGCTAAAGATGGTGGTGGTGTTGCGGCGTTTTGGCGAGATTCGGCGCGATGTCGGGGCTGACGATTGAAGCGTCTCGGCCGGTGGCTGGCAGTAAACCGCTCAGACGGCGAGGCGAGGCGAGGGCTGGAACTAGGCAAGATGGCGCGAAAGGTATTGATCAACTTGTTGAATTTCTTGCTGACAGCGGAAGTGGTGTCGTTGGTGGTTGGTTGCTGCTGTGGTGGTGGTGCAGGTTGACACCATCCTGCGGCAAGGGTTGCATTCACCACCGGGTTCTGTTCCTTGACGTTGGGAAGCGCGGCCGACTATCATGCTTCCGGAAGTCGACATCGGACGCAAGATGCACAGAATAGCTGCCGGCTCGATATCGTGGCAACGCAACCCGTTATCTGCCGGGGCGTTGCATTGCGCGTTTTTAGGGGTGTCTGCAACCGGCCAAAATGTTCGCCAGATTTTGGCTCGAATCTAGTATCAGCCCGGATGTGTTGCAGATATTTGATGTCTTGTGTCTTCAGAAGAAACGGGACACCAGAGCCAATGGGGCACATCATCTCCCGGCGGGAGTTGAGAGCAGAGTGTGTCTTGGAAAGGTCGGATGCTTCCTAGAAGACCGATTGGTTTCTTGGATGGAACGGTCCGGCCGAAGTTAAGTTTTGGACACGCCGCAAGGTGGCATCATGATCATCATCTGTTGTTGAGGTAGGTGCTCGATGGTTGATGCATAGTAGGCGTAACTAAGTGGAAGGTCTGAGGTACCCGAACTCGCAGTTGGTAAAGTGCATTAGGTTGACCGGGAAAGAACCCAGGTTGTGAACCTACCAAGGCGATTTGCTTTCCGCCGAGTTCTACTGGCTTTGGCACGATAAGACGTAAGCGCTGAGACGGTGGTCTCTGCGTTTAAGGTGGATGACAGAGTCCGTGGAAGAGTTAGTTTCTGGGATTATTGAATCGGCGCAGTTCGAATCCAAAAAAAGAAGAAGACAGGTTGCCGTTTCCGTCGATATGCAGAGCCGCGGCCAATATCCGTTTTGTGTAAGATGTTGCCTGGAAGCGTAGAATGATGGTAACAAGCCACTGAAGCAGAATCCCCACGGTGGAGAAGAGGAAGGTAAAACCTGGCGATGGCTTCCAACATGGCGCGTACGAACAAGAATGGCATCGTATCCGTACTCTCAGCGTTGGTTGTGGGTAGGATTCCGAGGGTCCTGACTGGATAGCAGTTCCCAAGCCTGCAAGATGAGGGAAGATTGACGTTGGTTGCTGGCCTGGCCAAGTTCTCGAGTTGAGGCAAGTCAGCCTGCGAGGGCAAGGAAGGCAGTGGCGGAATTGCAACGCTGCATCGCATCTTGGTGCTTGGCCGCACCTCAGGCTAAGGCAGTAGTCCACAAGGCAGGGCCAGGGGTGACTGGAGCCTTGGTGTTTCTTGTGAACTAAGCCGTAAAGGCTCGGAAAGTCTTCGAGTTGAAACAGTGGAATGGGGGGAGGAGCCCCGAGGAATGAAGGTGATCCTTTCTGGGCTGAAGTGGGTTCAGAGAGAGCGGGCGGATTGGCAGAATTACTGCGCAAGCGAGGGCAGGGCAGCTGGGCACCGGAGGGCGCTCATCTGCGGTAGCGTACAGAGAGTCAGAGTAATGTCCCGTCATAATTTACCAGGAAGACTGCCCTGGCGCGGGCTTCCGTGCTGTGCCGTGATCTGAGGAGTTGACGCGAGGTGGTTGCTTATCAGCGATTCAGTGATGGAAGGGATGTGGGTTGTCTGAGTCTCTCGCAGAGAGTGAAAATGTTCACACTGTATTCAGACCCTAGCAAGGGACCGACAGAGTTTCTAAAATTCCCATTGGTCAAAAACGCAGTGGCTTGAGTGGGCAGGTGGGACTCTCGGAGAGGGCTGCCATTTGTCTTGGCGGCTCGTGGCGCAGGAGCCACACGCCCGCGGTGAGTTCGCGTAAGCGTTCCGTCCACTAGCAGCCCGGAGGTGCCTACCTACTGCGTAAGGTAATCAGGTACGTATCTTTCACACTCTTTCCCCTCTGCTGGTGAGGTGGCCATTGCCAATTGGTAACTTCACCACTCTGTATTCCATCGAGTGTCCAGTGACGGTGGACCAAATGCAGCAGTCGTTGCCAGGTCACAATCAGGCAATGACAAATACGCAAGCTGAAAGGATAGAATGGAAGAAACAGAAGGTGTCATATCAAAAGTCCCTGGGTTAGGTGTACGCGGGCAAGTGGACACCAGACCAGAGGGTAAGGTACCTTACGTGGAGGGATCACTTTTCATCCAGACCACCACCACCAACACCACCATCTAACACCGCCCTTCCGATGAAGGAAACACCGACAGCAAGGGCTGGCGGCGCGGGAAACACAGCACAGGGCATCAGTCAGTTCCAGCTCTCCCAGCTCCCTCCAGGTCCAACTTTGACATGTCTCGTACACTAACTTGGAAGCTTGAGCACTGGGCATCCGGCACCACAACGCCAGCCCGAGTGCACGCACTTCAATATTCTAATGGATGTGACAACAGCACTCACCGTTCCCGTTCCCGTTCCTCTATTGCTTCTGTTTCGTTCCAACTTGCGTAGTCCCTGCCAGGAAGGTGCTCTTCGTATGGAGGCATCCGTCTGCACGGCACAAGTCAAAGCAAAAGCGGGCAAGGAACATATCTAACAATGACACTCTACAAGTACGCCATGCACCCACCACCTTTTGCTGCAAGGTCGATCAGGGAAGAGACGGATTGATAGCGACCTTGATCGTACTCGTTCAGTTTAAACACTGAACAACCGGGATGACAACGACAACCTCGCCCGAGCTTGCGTCAGGTCCGGGTCCGTCTCTTCTACCCGGAGCACACAGCCCAGTGCTGCTGCCGCCGTACATAGACGCGATGCCGCTTCGACTGAAGTAGTCGATTCCGAGTCTTGAGACGTTGAGTTTGGTCTACCCGCCCGGCCACATATACAACAAACACACAGGCGCTCTCCTTCGACCTAACCTCGAATCACATAAGATCAAAACGCCTCCGATCCACACTTTGTTCCATTTCACCATTGTTCGTGCTATCGACGTGTCTGTGCCTGTGTCTTGTCTCTGATTCGGCTGCCGTCCAGGTTGCTGTACCAGAGTGGCTCGCTGTGGCTCGGTGCGTACAAACCGACATTCGGTATTGTTCCTCGACATCCTTCTCCGCGCCGCTCTTCAACCCAATTCAGCCAAATCCATCGAGACTTTGTTGCCTCATTCTGCGCCAAAAAAACGCCTACTTCTCCCGTCACCGGAAGGCTCCTTCATCAAGGTCACACCAAGACCGGTCGACAGCCGTCTCGTCCTCGCTGACGCCGCCTTCGCTGCCGTCAGGACGACCTTCTCGTCCGTCTCCCCTCAACGGCGGCCGCACCACTAAAGGGCTCATTGGTCTGGACGCACGCAACTGGCATTGGCACGACGGGCATTGGTCGCACTGATTGGCTTCATCTGTCCCCAATTTGCGTCTCCATTGCTCTCCTCCCCTGTCCAGCTCAGGGCAAATTTCGAGTCACCGCTCAGAGGGACGGTTTTCGTTTTTGAGACATTGTTACCGCCTCGACTGTCCGTCCGTACGTACATGCGCTGCGCGTCTGGCACCAACCAGACCGTGGTGGGAGCTGTATTTGGCGGATCAGACTGGATCTCTCCGATTCTGGACGTACAATTTCCGCGCTGGCTTTTTTTTCCTCTCCCTCCCTCCCTTCGGCCCAGCCTGACCTAACCTAATATTACCACTCCTCTCTCAAACGGGAGGAACGAGAAAGGCAGAGAGAGAGAGGAAGAAAAAAACCAATCTAACAACACTTTTTTCCAACCTCCGAAGACAGCATACGCAAGAGAAAAAGAAGACATTCGCGTTCCTGGCGCCACAATGGACTCTTAGGTCACCATATCTGTTACTCCTATCGTCTCCGCACCGTACAGATATTGGCAATCACTTTGGCTTTGGCTCAGTACGACACAGTACACACAAGACGAAATACACCCGACAGGCATCCCAAATTCCGAATCTCACCTCACAATTCCCCCGACGGCTTCTTCTCAGGGTCTGTTACACCGTGTATCCGCACCGCACTGGCAACTCGCAACACTGCCCAGCCTAGCCCGACCCTTGCTTGCTAGCCCAGTGCGACAAACTCTCTTGGATTGGATTGCCAACGAAACTCGCGACTCCCTCAGGTCTTGTCCTGTCCTGTCCTGTCCCGTCCCGGTTCACAGTCGGACTCGCATTAGAGGGACACTGGACGGTGGACCCCCCACTCCACCGCCTGGGCTACACTGTACACCACTATACCACGAGACGCCCTTTTCCCCACACAACATCCCCAGACCGAGCTTTCACCTCCTCCCCTTTCGTCGCCATCTCCGTCGCCGTCGTCGTCGTCGGCCTCAACTTCCATCCTCGATCATTGTTGCTGGTCAAGGTATGACGACTGCTGGTGCCGCCATCGGTGCCAGCCCTATACCATCCGCTCCGGTTATGTCCGCCACCATCGACTACAACGAGTTTCTCGATTACGACGACGAAGGCTTCGGTGCCCCGAGCCCGATGCAGAATTTCGATCTGTCCAACCCCGACACCCTCAAGTTCCTGGAATCATCCCAATCGCTACACGAAACGAAGTCGCTCGAGCCCCAGGCCACTCTGTTGGCCAACGGAACCGTCGCCGCTGGTTCTCCCGACTCCATCGTCGACTCGTTCCGAGACTCGTCCTCCGATTCTGACTCCTCCAAAAGGACCGGCAGCTCCGCCTCCGGGAAAACTGCCTTGACAGCCGGCGACGTGATGATGACAGATGGAGCCGATATCAAGCCTGACTGGGAATCCTCGGCGGCCTTCGTCGGCCGCCCAGAGGATAGTGTCTATCTCTTTGGCGCGAATGCCGACGCGACCGCCTTGCCCGACCTCGATATTGGCGCCGACGAGTTCATGAACGATTCATTCGACTTCGAGAGCGCCTCCAGCAGCCCAAATGCCGTCGGAAGTGCACCGCCCGCCAACATGGAATCGCCCGAGATGCCCACCATTCACACCAACGGCCCGCAAAAGCCACCTGCGCCCAGCAATACCAGAACCAAGAATCACGCCAAGAGGAATTCGGTGAGTCTTGCCCGTTGTCATCCAGAGAAGCGCGACTAATCCTGTCAGCAATTCTCCATATCACAGCCTATGAATGGGCTGAAAATGACCAACTCGAGGGAGTGTTCACCCATGTCTCAGTCCATGATAACGAGCCACGAGGCTTCGCCGTCAGCCTTCTTCAACAGCTCGCCGTCGCCGGGCGCGCCTCCAGACTTTACGAACGCCGTCGCGATGAACGCCATGAACCCGAATGGATTTTGGCCAAAACTGGATCCGGCAGCGCAGCACCAAATGGTACCCCAGAACATGTCACTGCCACCGCAGTTCCATACGCACGATGGTCTACCGGTCATGCCTCAACATATGCCCGTGTTCACTCAACCCAACTTCGACTTCGTCAATCGCCAGCCACGGTTGACGATTCACCCGACACCGAACAAATCCCGCGTCGAGACCCAGATTCCCATCAAATTGACTCTTTACCCGCTCCCTCAGGGCATCAAGCGCCTGCACCTGCCCACACACACCATCTCGAAGCCCAAGTTGCTAGCGAAGCCACCAGCCGAGCGTGCTCCCGACACTCTGGAGCTACACACCATGTTAGTGTGCACTAGTGCGATGACAAGCGAAGACAACCGGCGCAAGGCCTTCCAGCGCGCCGCCGCCGCAGCCGCCACTCGCAGTCCCGTCATGAACGCCCGATCTGCTAGCGACGAGGACGATGAGGAGAACAAGCCGCAAAACGGAGGCGAGGTCCGTATCTGCAACGGCTGCATCACACGTGAACGGAAGCGGGCCGCAAGGAAGAAGATCAAGAAGGTGGAAGAGGAGGAGATGTGGAGTCGAGACGAGACGAGGCGCGTGATCGTCTTTAACACGCAGGAAATCAAGGAGTGGCAGACCCCTAATGGTGTCGTGTCGGACTCTACGGTCACTGGGCGGCCGGAGCCGGTGGCTCCCGTTGGAGCGATGCAAGTGGATGCGCCGATGAGGATTGCGTGTTACTGCCGCCATCACGCTGAGAAGCAGGGTTTCCAGGTCATTTTCACCATCACGGATTGGCAAGATCGCGTCGTCGCACAGGAAATGTCGCAGTCGATCATGATCACCGACGACCACAAGACTCACCCGATCCCGCACCTAAACACACCCGCCACACAGGGCTCAGAAAACAGCATTGTGCCCATGATGAGCACGCCGTTGGACACAAGCCCGCTCAACTCTGGAGGCGCCCCCTTCCGACTGTCACACTCGAGTTCAGATCTGCAGAACCTGCACCGCAACGCCCCTCCGGCTCCGTCGTTCCCCGTTGCAAACCCCGCGACCAAGCCGCCGGCGCCCGCACCTTCAACAACATCTGCTCGGTCCTTGTCCCGGCCGCCGTCCCCGAACGCACACCCAGGGCCGATGACGAAGAAGCGCAAGGCCAGCGGGTCGAGAGTGCCCATTGGCATGGCGATGACCCGTCTCGATACGACGCCTCCTCCTACACAGATGCCTGGAAACCCGGTACCTCCTCCCGCTGTCCCTTCTGCTTCGACATCACCTTTCACTCCCAACCTCACCAACTTCCAAAGTCCTCCTGATGCGGTCTTCCAGAACGGAGCTCCTCCCGCTATGCCTCAGCCGTATGCTACAGGTCCCCCCACCCCCAACAGCAACGACCAGACAATGTTCACCAACGCGAACCGGTCTGCCAGCATGGAGAACATGTCGATGACCATGTTCTCAGCCCCAGCTTCGGCTCATCAAAGTCGCGCGGCCAGCCCTAGTAGGCTAACGAATGGCGTGAGCGCTGTGCCGCAAGGCCAGTTCAACGCCATGTCGTTCATTCCTACAAATGTTGCTCCTGCCCGGCCTCAGCCGACCATTCATAAGATCATTCCCAACGAGGGACCGAAATCTGGTGGTATCGAAGTCACCATCCTCGGTGCGAGCTTTTACCAGGGCTTGGAAGTGCTGTTTGGAGACCAAAAAGCCACCACCACCACCTTCTGGGGCGAGTCGTCTTTAGTCTGCCTTCTGCCGCCATCACCCGTCTCTGGTCCTGTGGTGGTCACTTTCAAGCAGAGCCAGACGCAAGCTGGACAGCCGTTCCCAGCTCTCTCCAAGCAGAACCAAGTCTTCAAGTACGTTGATGACGACGAGGAGAAACTTATCCGCACGGCGCTGTCAATCCTTGGTCACAAGATGTCCGGCCAAATGGTTGACGTGAAGGAACTCGCGCAACGCATCATTGGTCAGGGAGACTCGAGCTGGGGTTCTTCCGGTGGCTCGAACAACGCTGGTTTCGGCGGAAACACCTTCAACATGAGCACCGAATCTCAACTATTGAAGCTGCTCGAGCTGATTGATCTCGACGACAACCCGAGAATGTCTCGCCTGGATCTGAGGAGAAGTACCGGCCAAACAATCCTCCACATGGGGTGTGCTCTGGGATACCATCGCTTCGTCGCAGGTCTGCTCGCCCGTGGCGCTAACCCGGATTTGCGGGACAAGGGCGGGTTCACCCCGATGCATTTGGCGGCCTTGAACGACCACGAGTCGATTGTCCGTAGGCTGATGCAGGCCGGCGCCGATCCCACCATCCGAAGCCTTTCGGGGCTGCGGCCGGCTGACGTTGCTCGGTCGCGCAAGGTGGTTGAGCACATCCGTCGCTGCGAGCGTCACATTCGGTCTCGCAGCGGAGGCTCGTTGCACAGCCGAGCAAGCAGTGCCGCATCACTCAGGTCTCTCTGGGATCCTTTGAGCATGTCCAGCGAATCTGAATCGGCTGATGACGGCGAGGAGAGCCCCGAGTACTCTTCCGGAGACTACGAAGACGAGGAGGAAGAGGAGGAGGCCTGGCTCGATATGCGCCGCCGCTCCAGCGGTCACGCTTTCACGCCTCGTCCTGACCGACAAACTCTTCAAGGAGGCCATGACGAAGTGGAGCCTGGCCTTGCGTCGCCTACGACCGCCATAGCTTCGGCAGTCAGAGACCAGTTTGCTGCTCAGATTCAGCAGTTCCAGCAGGCCATGGCTCACTTCCCCAACCTCCCACAGATGCCAGCGCTACCAAGGATGCCTATGCTTCAAGACTACCAGGCATACCTCCAGCAAAACCAGTTCATGGGCAGAGTCACATCATTGATGCCTAGTATGACTGCATCAAGGCCTGGCTCATCTGACGACGAGAACCCGAGACAGATTGACGGCCGCTGGTGGGACTTGTCATCATACAGGACAACCAACAACAACTCGGCCCCTCCACCGGCGTATGACGAGATCTACCCGCAAGAGGAGCTCGACAGGAAGCAAGCAGCCGCTCTTGACGCTGCTGCTGAGGCCGTTGCCGAACAGCAAGCCGTGTACGACGCGGAAGCTGAGACGGAGACTGCGGAAGCATCCTCGAGTATGGCACCAATCCCGAGCGTACTCAAGATTGGACGCAAGAGTGCCATCACAAAAGAGCAACAACAGAACTTCCTCCGAGCACGAGAGGCCAAGTTCAAGGGAATGCGTAGCGACAAGAACCTGTGGTTTGTTTGGGTAAGTTTTGCCAGAAAGATGCGATATTGTACGTTGTACTAACAGTTTGCAGATTCCACTGCTTACCTGTATACTGGGCGCTATGCTGTACAGCCGGTTCCCGCACTACTTTGCCATGGCCTGGGCCATGGTTCGCTCTGCGACACAGTTTGAGCAAGTTCCTGATGTTGTCAGGAACGTGCAGGACCGTGTCGTCGAGGTCCTTTAAATGCCGTTTCGCATCGCCACCTTCTTCACACTTTTGGGGGATTATGGGAAGATACCCACCCCTCTTTATTCGTGTTTTTGGATCTGAGATAGGGAGAAAAGGAGTTGGTTTGTCTGGGGACCATGAAGAGCAGTTTGGTCTCCTTGAATTAACAGCAAAACGGGGAACACGGCACGGCATGGGAGCGCCGTGCCTTTTTTGGTCGGACGGAGGCCTGGGACATCAACGCCGACATCGCGCAGCACGGAAAGAACTCTTTTCTCACGGAACCAGCAAGCCACCTCACTGGGAAGTTAAGCTTCTACTTTTCTTGATCGTATTCATTTTTGTTGCCTTTGTTTTTTGATCTTTTGGAGTATTGTGCGGGAAAGCCTCGACCGATCGTATTGCTGGGAGAAGAGAGACGGGAGGAGGGAAGGGAGGGTCTAGATGACCCCACGGGCAAAGGGTTGTATCGAGTATATATAGCGAGGCTACTTCGACGAACCATTTTTCTTTTATATAGAGGCAGACGACGTTATCGGTCTAGGCCGCCAAATAATGTCACTGGTATATTCAACGTTCTCGTCCGCAACGAAGTCATCGTGACCAGTAGGTTCCATCGACGTCGTAGAGAGGTCTCAATTTCACGCCACAGGCCTCTCTCTGCCATGCCCAGCCACTTTGAGAAAATATGATGCAACCGTGTCTCGAAGCCAGACACAAAAAAAAAAAAAAAAAACAGCACGCTGGGCGCCGGTGTTGATCGTAGACTGACAGAACGCGGCATCCGATGCCCGGCCATGTGCCGGTATATAATAAACGCCCTCGTCACTGTGGGAGCAGAGCATTCCAGCTTTATGACCACCTGAGAGCAGACCAAGAGGCGTCCAAGTATTCTTCGCTGGTGTCTCCGGGTTGGGTGTGTCGTACGTATCTCATGTTCCTCTTTGATTAGTTGGTTGCGCCAGCGCCAAGAACTCGGTTTCGTCTGTCTCCGCTGCTGTTGTGGGCTTATTCTGTATGGTATTTCTCGTGGAGGGTTAAGATTTGATGTGTAGGATGGGAGAGTTTGATGTTGATGTAGGCTGGCTGGCTGTTTTACTTCAACATGGCCTGATGCAGCGAGAGGGGCAAGAGGTCAGTGCACTGACGACCATTGGATGGCTGGGTGTGGCTTCTCGTCTCTTTTCTTTCATCGTCGAGTGTGTTTTTATATCTGATTGATATGCCAGTCTCGTGAAGGGTGGGAGTACTCCGAGTGATCGGGGGACTCTCATGGGATCGCCGAGCAACGTAGATTCAACTCTACGAGGATAAATATCGACCTTGTCGTGGGTATGGTAGGGTAAGCCGCTTTCATTCATGTTTCGCGGCCTCCAGACGGCGGGAGGAACCGCACGATCCGCTCGGAACAAGCCAACATCTAGAACGATGAATAGTGAACGATGATTAGTGCCGGCAGAGACTACTACCAGGCAGAAGAAGGATGGATATAAGGTCAGGGTTGGTTTCTGTCGCCGCGGTAAATCATATGAAGAGTCTCACATTTCTGGACTTTTCGTAGCTGTTTACGTCTTATCCTGCGGGAATACTAGAGAGATAAACCTGAGAAAGAGAGAGAGCAGCGTGCTCTGTTGACACTCCGAACGATGGTTGTTTCTTGGTACTGGGAAGTGAGGAGTTCTTGTTTTACTCACGGCGGAGTATCCAACTGGGATCATCAAGACGAAGAAGCGGACAGAGCTGCGGTCCTGTGGCAGGATCATTGCCGGTATTGATGACATCCCTTTATAGCTGCGAAGATCCGATGTGCTGACTGCCGCCCTTGGTGATTCGTGTTATCGGTTACTGCGTGGAGCGTAAACCGAGGATCCGTCGAGCATCGGGGAAAACTATACTTAGAAGGACGGCGAAGTTACGACTCTTTCATGTTTTTCACGCTGGATTCTGTCAGGCTGACCGTTTGGTGATAGCATATTTGGTCAGTCGAATTGTGAACACGTGCAACATCTGGGGGTCTTTCAGCTCCGCCGACCAGTACTCAGCTGTATAGATTGGGACAGAAACCTCCCGTCAGACGTTTGGGAGAGCAAGGCAGAAATGGAAACGCGCGAAATGGGTAGAAGCAGGAAACTATCTTATGTCTTGACTTTGGTCGAACTTGTAATTCGATTTGCTTGTACACTTGGTCATCGATGGTCTTGGTAACAGAACATCCGGCCTCCAGGCTAGGCATGAATATTTTGGATGAATAGATGCCTAATGCTGGTGAATAGAGATAATGATGACTGCTTGGTAATTTTGGTGACACAGCTTGGTGCTACGTTGGCTCAGATTCTACGCTACTGGCGAATACGCGACGACAACGAACGATGATCTAGACCGCAGAGCAACTACAACGCACATGGATTGACCGCATGCCTGTTCGCAAAAGAGGGGGAAAAAACCGTCTCAAGGCCATTTAAAAGACGTCGAGTACGAGAACCTATCTTCTCACCTTCATCTCTAATATTCACATTAGCGTGAGGCATAAAGCGTGCTGGAGTTGTCCATCTTATAGCGCGAGAGCAGTGAGGGGTATTTTAGGGAACTAAGCACTCGACTATCTCTCGTGTGAATTTGCTGCTCATACTCTTGACTCAATGAAGATGGTGCAGCCACGATAGATCCAACTCGTCTGGGATTTCGACGTCTGATTTGATACTAGATACGTCGACGAACCGCTGCAGAGCATGGTTGTGAGCCTGTCTGCTTGAGTATAAGATAGCAGTCCAGAAGGAAACACGTCGTCGTCTGCGAATTTGTTTCCGTAGCCACGAAGAGAACAGGCGAGGAATAGAGAGACAAGAAAACTTTTGCCAGTCCGAGGTCTCGCTGACGACACATGACCTCGGCGTTAGCCAAGCCAATGTTGATATCCGGCAGGCTCCAGCACTTCTCGGCCGTCTATGAGGAGACAGGGGTGTTTGTGGTCCTCAACAAGCCCGCGCCTTGCAAACCAGATATAACGATTTTTATTCCCACTACATCACAGCGTTCATTGAAGACCGGGGTAGAACTGTCACTGACAAAGTTGAGGCTAGATACGACGAGTGTTATGGCGCTTGATTTCAGCCGGCGACAAGCGTTGTCGGAGACTTAGTTGTCGTCATCAGCATCGCTGCATGACCCGTTTGAACAAAATCTCAACTTGTTGCTCAGAATAAACATGTCCGCTCATCGTTGCCATATATCGACTAAGTGGTTGTGTGGTCATATGTATGACTGTGAGAAGATAAGTATACGTATCGGTTTACCTCCAGGCTGAAAGAAAATGACAAGCAGCAGGCATGCTTGGTCCCAGCCGTTGTAGAAAACTATAGTTCAACTCAAGCATCGTACATTTAGTGAGTGTCCAGTCGCTAGGACTTCGTCGCCTCTTCTCCGGTTTATTATGTCTGTCCCAGAAGACCGGCCAGCTTACTTTTTCTGAAGCCTGGCCTCAATTTTATTTAAAAGCCAGAGTAACTGCCTTTTCAGCTTTCATCATACTGATTAGGGTTATTCAGGCTTCTCTTAGGGGTGAGCTGAGATTTAGATGCTATATCTTGGATAGCTTACACAATGAGATGTGTTACAACAGATACGATTGTGGCTTCAAATTCAGCTGTACCTGTTTTCAAACTTGAGAGTGCATTTGAGTTGAAATGCGACTGCCTTGCTGGATGTGTCACTCTCACCGCCTTTCTTCTGATACTTAGATCTCTCCCACTTGTTCTATCCGTTGCTTGTTCCTCTGGAATACACCACAAAGAGTTAAATAGAGGCCACTCATCTACTTTGTTTCGTTGACCACCTCCTTCTGCGTCGTTGACAGCCCAAGATCAACAGCTTACCTGGTACCCTGACAGGTGAGGGAACTGGGAGGCAGCCGCGAGCGAAGACGAAACCACATCATGCCACAAAAGCCAAGTGCAATTCTTGGGCAGCAATAATGCCTTGAACGATAAAGTGACGTTCAAAACTCGCGTCCGTCTCGGGCTTGTCCATTCTGACGGCGACGACAGACGCCCCATGCGACGAAGAACTGTATAAAAGACAAGCTTGCAATATGCCCCGGGTAGTTTCTTTACACCCGGATACCCCGGTCCGCATCGCGAAGAACGGAGTTACCAAAGATGCATGCTCGCTACCCATGATCTTTCGCGTGAGACTTGTGGCCCAAAGAGCCGTCTAGCGAGCTCCCGGCCAAGATAATCGGTCATCTTGCGGTCTCGTCTCTGTTGTGAGCTTATACAGGCAGTATGCATGATATCATGCGATCGAAAGTTTACAGGTAGAAGAATGACATCCCGGCTTAAGTTGAATATAATTTGTTCGATGTCTGGAGACACTAGGGACCGTCAACCGCATCGCCGGCTCCCTTCTCTCCCCATCTCGCTTTCGATTAACTGGCGATCGCCGCACGCCTTGCCCAGCATGCCGGACGAAGCATCACTACGCCAACAACTGAGCGTCACACGTAGACCGCAGTCGACGACGAATCGGATGTCGATCACCATCCAACTTGAACCCTCATTCCCGCGATTTATACCTGAGCTGAACTCTTGCTGACAAAACCCGTCCCATGTGGTGGTACAATCATTTATCACACCAAGGCCAAACGGAAGCATCAACCCGCCGCAGCAACTAGCTTACTTACACGATGCCCACACCCGACAGGTGAGATACACAACTCAAGATTTCAATTCCATTGAGAATATTCGTTCACAAACCAAAGAGAGCAAGTCATCACGCTTATGACGCTAGCAACGCTCAAATGCCAGAAATACCAGGCCATTCGAGCCGAGTCAAATAAGTCTGAGGGCGTTCGTCGTGTACAAGTGTGTTCAAACTTCGAGGGCAAAGCCCGAAGATATAACAGATTTCGAAGACAAGTTTTGTTGTTTAGATAGGAGAGCATATGCTACACCGAGATACATCACTGCATTTTGCCACGCTGCTCGCCTACATGTACACTGTGTCGGGGAAGTTTTCTTTGAGCGGCACGATGACGCGAGGTCTGACTGACACCAAGTTATGTTGAAAGTTTACCGAGCTCAATTGTCTGAAAGGAAGAAACCGACTGATGAGGGCTTCACGAAGCGTACGTTCATGATGAGTTTACTCATAGAGCTCGAATTAGGCTTCACTTTGCTAGTTACTTCGTTGAATGGGTATGAAACGGTACAAACTGCCAAAAGACCTGCCTAACGCCTACCATGACCGCCCGATTCCAATGTACTCGCAAATCCGTGCGACTAATCTGCACCAAAACACAAAATCTTAGTGACCACGGCCACGTCCTCTGGGGCGTCCACGTGGGCGACCTCTACCACCACCTCGGCCCCTTGATGAACCCCCCCGCGCATAGCTTGGGCCGGGAGAACCGATACCTGTTTCCGATTCAGACGAGGAAGAGATCTCGCTCTCAGACTCGGAGTCGATGCCACCCAGTTTGACGACCGTGGGACCGCCTGTGGACCGTCGCGGAGGCGGAGGGCTCGGGCTGGCACCAGGAATACCGGAGTCTGAAGAAGACGCGGACAACGGCGATGCTGCGGGAGCAGCGAAGTCTTCATCGATCTCATCACTCTTTTGCCAGCGCCTACCAGTTGCAGCCGGAGGCGGCGGCGTCATGTCCGGCGTGGAATCCTGTCTGGCTGGGCCAGGAGGAGGAGGCGTCATGTCTGGCGTGGAATCCCGCCTGGCTCCGCCGGGAGGAGACGGTGTCAAGTCTACGGTCGACTCCCTGGCTGGCTCCTGGGCTGGCCTGCTGGGAGGTGGCGGTGTGACATCAGGAGTTGACGCTCGAGATTCTCTGGCAGATAAGGTAGCCCTTTGGGGGAGAGATATCTCCACGGAGTCTCGAGCTGCAGCAGAGGGTGTTGACGTTGCAGCATGCTCACGTCGCTCTGATAGTGCCGGCGTGGCGGAAGGAGTGCCCCTAACACTCGACTTACGAGAGGTGAGCTTGAACTTGCCGCCACGGGCCGCAACACGGGCCGCCATAGACATCATCCGGCTTGCGCCAGCCGGAGGCGGTGGTGGGGATTTGTCACCGTCATCGTCGGCTGCAACTGCGGGCGGGGCAGTCTTGTTCTTAGGCGGCCGGCCACGACGCCTCTTGACTGGCTGCTGTCCTGCTTCAGTTTCGATGGACCTGGAAACCGTTTGTTGAGGAGTATCTTCGCCAGCCAGCTCCCGATCCAGCTCCGCTTCGAGCTCAGCTTCCGTTACATCGTGCAGCCCGTCTTCATCGTCATCGTCATCTTCCGAGTAGTTGCGGTTCCGAGCATTGAAGGAGCTAGCTGCATCGATTGTAGTAACGCGACTGAGTCCCGACCTTCGTGATGCGCGTTCCTCTCGTTTCTTCGCTGCGATATCCGATGCAGATGGCGTCGACACAGCAGCCGCCCTTGTAGCCGAAGCTGGGGTGGAGTTGTTTGTGCCCCTTGGCGGCCTTCCTCGTCTCTTAAACGTCTTCGGGGTTTCAGTAGTAGTCGCAGCGGCAGCATCAGCCGCGTCAGTTCCCTTCTGAATGAGCGCACGAATCGCGTCGGAAGCAAGGTCCAGAGGGTCCGCGCTGCTGTCACCAGGCTGAGGCTCATCGTTCTCGACAAACAGCTTAGCACTGTAAGCAGGTACAATGTCATCTGGATCGTCAAGCATAGGCTCTTCAACCTCCGCGTACGACACCTTAGGCCGTGCGTGTCGGAGTTCTGGAACGTTGGCAGGATATGAAGGAGGCCAAGATATGGCTGATGTGCCTTTTGAGCGCTGAGCATCTCCGGTCTGTCCAGCTTCTCCCTCCTCCAGCTGAGCCGGTGCCTGATCCTCGGGCGCTACGCTGGCCTCTCCAGACTGTCCCGCCTCGCCATCCCCAGCTGCATTTGCATCAGCAGAGGCAGCTTGGAATGAACCAAACAATGCAGGATCCATCGCAGATTCGTCCGTTGGGTTGTCTTTCTTCGGCTTCTTCCGGTGGTGACTACGAGGTGCGTTGAAATCCGGGTCAAGGTCATTTTCTTGCTTCGCTTTTCTCTTGACAGCTCTGAGGGTCTTCTTGAGGAATTCAGCCTCTTCGTCGAACTGCATCTCGCCGGGCATGGGCATCTGGAACGGGTCGAACAGGATTTGGTCGGGTCCAGATGGCTCGTAGTAGCCCATACCGAGCATGCGTTGGCCCATACTCATAGGATCCGGGTAGGCTGACTGGTCCCAGTTGCCATCCGCACCCATGTCGGCAACCGGTACAGATTGATCCTGCTGCGCCTGGGACATGTCCATGTCGCCGTCGAGACCGCTCTGATCCGGATATTGCTGCACGTCTTGCCCATCGAAAACATGACTCTGGTCGCCGTATCCATTCGTGCCGTTAGCAGCAGGATGAGCGCCGTTAGCGCCATTTGCGATATCCTCAGCTACAGCTGCAGCCGGTTCCTGGGCCTTGGCAGTATCGGCTTGCTCTCTCAGGTTCATCATCCGCTTGCTATTTGTGCTGCGACCTTCTTCGCCCGAGGCCTTCAGCCAGCTCAAGTTGTGGACGCGGAAATCGACCAAGGCCTCCACACTTCTGTCATCCGCGATGGGTCGGGTATCATGGCCAAGGAGAGTGTTCTTCGGCGCATACGGAGTGGTGGTTCCGGCGCGGCGACATGCGCCACAGTTGCAAATTCCCAAACATCTTGGACAGAGCCAGTTTTCGTTTTCCTGAACCGTCTGAGGCATCAGGTCAAACGCCCGGTAGAGAACACCATAGCAAAAGCCTTCCTTGCAGTCGGGATTCGAGCAAAGTTGGACTTTGTACGCATAGTCCTTGTGGCAGCAGACGTGACAGCGACGAAGTTCTCCCTTCTTCTTCTTGCGCTTGTACTTCTTCTTCTTCGGTTTGCCGTTGTCATCCAGTTCGGGCTCGTCTTCGGACTCTGTGAGACGCTTCTCCTCGTCGAGTTTTGAGATGTCCTTGAATGGTCTTCTGCTCAGGCCCTCTTGGCAGAGTTGAGCAAGTGATTTCTTCCCACGTCGAGTCCGAGCAATTTCAAGCGGCTGAGGAGACAGCTCGATGTCGACAAAGCCGTCATTCTTGATAATCATTGACCGCCACAGCTCGTAGTTCTCTGTGAGCTCTGACCATTTCCACTGTTCACACCATTGCAGCTTCGAGATGCAGAGACATGATCGTCCCATGGCGTAGCACTCCATACAGACATCGTATGCATCCTCATCACCGTTAACCAGAGTTCGCACACAGTGCTTGCAGGTCAGAAACCGGTTGAAGATGTTCGATCTGCAGTATGAGCAGGTGACGCAAGAGTCGTACTCGACATACTCAATCTTGTTCTCTTTGGTTGCAAACATCTCATCGACGAGAATCTCCGTGAACAGAGAGAATAGGTGTCGGAAGTCGTTGGCGAGCTGTTTGAATCGCGCGGAAGACCGGAAGAGATCGGAACCCAGTCCAAGGCCCATCTCGCTGTTCTCTTCAGCCTGAACCATCTGCGCGTAGTACTTCTTGAGGGTGTAGTAGATGATCGCCTTGTTTTTGTACTGCTCGTCGCGGCAAACAAGTCGGGCCTTGGGGAGTGCCTCATGAAGGGCCATGTCCAGCGTCTCAACAGTCGTTCGATTCCACGCAACCTTCATGGTGCGTGTGCCCCTGTTCCATACTTGGTGGGGAGCCAGAGGCGGGATGAGAATGAAGTCCCCAGGCTTCTGTTCGACAATGTAGACCGGGAAAGTCGCCTTCTTCCAGGCGTTGATTTGAGCAAAGTGCTTCTCGATCTCAATGTCGTGTCCAAGCATGGACAAGAAGTACTCGCGGACAACTTCTCGATCCTTCGTCTCCGTCATGAACCAGATGGAGCTGCCGGGTTTCTCTCCATTTTCGCTTCCTGAGGCTTCCACCATGATGTTCTGACCTAAACTGGCGCACATTTCTCGGTGGGCGGGGGTGTATGTTCCTTCGTGGCCGATGTAACACATCAGGTTCTGCGCCCGCATCTCTTCAGGGAGACTTGACATCAAATCTCCTGCGCGGGCGATAGTCTTTTCGCCCAAGCCGCGGAAGACGTCGCTGACGCGGTTATCCGCGCCTCCCTTTTCCGTCACATTTTCATTCATGTAGAACAGGCTCGGGGGTATGACCTTTTGAAGGTGTTCGTGCCACTCCGGGGGGCAGTCGATATCTTTGAGGTATAGTCGCTGTCTTCGTTCGTCGCGGAAATTATTCGGTGTCCATTGGTTTGTGAGCTGCTTCATCGCTCGTAGATAGTGTCCCATAGTCATCGGGATTTCGGACTGGCTGCCGATATCACGAACATTTTCCTCTTCGATCTCGACGGGTTAGATAGTTGAACATGATTGAGTGGGAACACAGAGTGTGAAGAACTCACGTTTCTTGTCGTAGGTGGTCTCGAGCCATTCGCCGCTGAATAGGCTCTTGGGAAGGGCGTCATTCCATTTCTCAATCACCAACGGCTTTCCTCCTTTGATGACCTGAAGATATACGAGCTTCTCGAATTCTTGAGGACCCAGGCCCTTGATTTGTGCCGTTGAGACTCGGAGAACCCATTCGAAGTTGGGAGTCCTGTCGACGAGGTCATGAAGGTCCAAATCCGGCGGTATCGGATCGAACTTCGCCTGGGGATGCATCGAAGGAGCCATCTTGGTGGGAGAATCACCACGCAAGGTGGGGTATCTTCAGAGACGCGTCGGTTAAGGATGCATTCGGGGTGTGCAAGTCGCTTCGGTTCTGGATGTGCAGAGGTCGAGTCGTTGAGGTTGGGCAGCTTGGCGTGCCGAGTTGATATGATGCGAGATGTGGACAGAGGAAGGCGCAATCGGCACCAGCGTCGCGATGGAAGGCGCTTGAGCGTGTCGCGAAAACGACGGAAGGTGGCGCCGAACAAGGCTGACCAATTCACGTCCAAAAGTTGAGCGAGGTTGGAAACTCAAATGCGCAACCAATCAAACAGGCGCGCCACGCACGGACCATGCGCAGTATCAAGGGTAGGTCGGTCCCGTCGTTGACAGCTCCAAAACTCGGTTTCTTCGGTGCGACGAACTGCTCAAGGTGAGTAGGCGGTGGGAAAATCCAAATAGCTCCTTTGCCCGGTGTAGGTGAGTCGAAGTTTCCTTATATGTGAATTCTCCTTTTGACTCCCACCAATCGTGTTCGAGATGGGCAAGAGCCCACTCCCACTGCCGACTGCCGACTGCCTTTTTTGGTAGCTGTGTAAGTTTTGCTCGTGAAGATATCCAGGATGAGCTTCGCTCGTTGTGAGATCGGCCTGCAAGACATATTTCTTTTTTATTGTTTGCGATAACATATTTCAACCCAACATGCAAAATTTTATTTTCGGTCCTTTGAGCGTATTTTTGCGTTCAAAACTATGGCCAAGTTTTGGCGTCCCCTTCAATATCTCTCTCTGCACATGGTCTTCGATAGCATCGTCCGAGCATATAAAACTCATGGACTAACATTCTTTCAGTGAGTTGAAATGAGGCAAGCCATCCTGCTCAGAGGCCCCCTGCGGGCGGCATGTCAAGCTTCATCCCGGAGAAATGCCTTGTTGCCCATGAAGCCACCGGGACTCGGGCTTCAAGCGCATAGGAAGCCCGTCACGAATCTCGTCCTACGGAGTTCAGTCCGCCAGCAGCAGACGGCCCTACACACATCAGCAAAGTGCCTCACGGCGTCTCTGACACAAAACACGCCGGTAGTCCCGCCGCCTTCCGACTCCGTCTACACGCCGCCCAAGACCGGCCTTCTCTCTTACCTGCCGGCATCGTGGGTTCCTTACGCCGAGCTCGTTCGAATCGACAAGCCGATGGGTACCTACTACCTCTTCTTCCCATGCCTCTTCTCGACACTTTTGGCCGCGCCGATGGCCATGGCAGGTCCCGGTGCGGTCATCGGAACCTCTCTTCTCTTCGCCTCTGGCGCTCTCATTATGCGCGGCGCAGGGTGTGCTATCAACGACCTCTGGGACCGCAACCTCGATCCCCACGTCACGAGAACCAAGTTCCGGCCCATTGCGCGGGGTGCCATTACCCCCTTCCAAGGTCTCGTGTTCACTGGTACCCAACTTCTGGCCGGGCTGGCAGTCCTGGTTCAGTTTCCTACCTCCTGCCTCTACTACGGCATCCCGAGTCTTCTCCTCGTCGCCTCATACCCTCTCGCCAAGCGCGTCACATACTATCCCCAAGCCGTCCTCGGCCTGACCTTTTCCTGGGGCGCTATGATGGGCTTTCCGGCGCTCGGCATCGATCTGCTCTCCAACAGCGCAGCACTGACTGCTGCTGCGTGTCTGTACTCGTCAAATGTCGCTTGGACGGTGCTGTATGACATGATCTATGCCCATCAGGACATCAAAGACGATGCCAAGGCCGGCATCAAGAGCATCGCTCTGAAGCACGATGCCGAGACCAAGCAGGTCTTGACTGGCCTGGCCGCAGTTCAGATTGGTCTTTTGGGCATGGCTGGCTTCGCCGCTGGCGCTGGCCCTCTCTTCTACATCGGAAGCTGTGGAGGTGCGGCGGTAACCCTTGGCATCATGATCAAGAGGGTCAACCTCAAGAGTGTGGAGGATTGTTGGTGGTGGTTCTGCAACGGCTGCTGGCTCACCGGTGGTGTCATCAGCTTGGGTCTTGCTGCCGACTACGTTGCACGATACCTGCAAGGCGAAAAGGTGGAGGAAGAGACTCAACAGGCGTAGAGGACGTCATGCGTGTACCAACATCATCTGTATTCATAGCACATAGAAATCGGTAATACCCCGTTCATCACGCCCGATACCCCATTTTGTGTGTTCTTTGCGCGTAATGATGCAATGCCATGTCCCGTTTTGGTGACTTTCATGATGTTTTATTTCATCGACCAAAGTCTACCCGCAGTAGTCAGGACCATCCATAACCGTGTGATGCCAATGCAAGCGTGAACTCCGAGTGCCGAATTTTCTTCCACTGCCTCCCATCTTGTCGAGCCTTTCGTTACGTTTAAGATCTGGGCTTCTCCTTCTTCTCCTTCCACAGGGCGAGCAGACCGACACCGGAAACCTTGACGACCTTGAAACGGACACCGGGAATATCACCCTTGGCCTTGCCCTTGCGACCGAAACCAGCCAGGAGGACCTCGTCGTTCTCGTCAACGAAGTTCAAGCAACCGTCGTTGGGGACTGTGAAAGAGTAAAACCGTCAGCAATTCTGTCATCTAGGCCACCTCATCTCCTCCGTTTCCACTTCTTGCCCATCCACATCTGTCCTTCCATCATCGAATCGAAGAAAATATCGGGAGGGGGTGTTCGTACCGAAAGCAGTGACCTTCTTGCCGTTCTTGATCAACTGAACACGAACGCACTTTCGGATAGCGGAGTTGGGCTGCTTGGCCTCGACACCGACCTTCTCGAGGACGATGCCCTTGGCGTGGGAGGAACCACCGAAGGGGGAGGACTTGAAGGCGGTACCCAGGGCACGCTTCTTGTAGCTGAGGTCAGACCACTTCTGGTCCTTGCGGTGAAGGCGCAGCTTGCGCGCGGCGTTAAGTCCACGAGGCATGGTTGCTTTGAGGTTATATCGTCAGTTCAAGAACTTCTTCTGTGATGAATGAAAAAGGCGGGGGTGCGATCGGGAATTCGTCGTCGGCTTCGGGGAAAAAATATTTTTCGTCGGTGACGGGTGCGAGGGCTTGGGTATGATGGCGTAGGCGTAACGTACCGATTGGTTTGGGGGTATCGCGAGTATTGACTTGGTGGTGATCGTATGGGCCTACTTCGACGCTGCAAGAAACTCGACGCACCCAACTGAGCTGGTCAGAGAAAAAATTGAGGGTTTGCCCTAAATTTTCAGTCACGTGTGGCAGCAAGCTGGTCAAAAAAGCGAACGCGCAGTGGCTGGTGGTGGCTTTGGTGTCCGCTTTTCTGGTCCAATCAATCGACGGCTGGGAGAGCTCCCCGTCCGCGAACCCCACGTCGCCAGGATGCCCCCAGGTCCGCAACCCATCCGCGTTCTCAACCAATACGATCAGATGTCAAGAGACGCTGTCTCAGACGGAAAGTCCAGAGCGCGGAATGTTCACGACGACACGCAAAATGTAGGCATGTCTCAATCAGCCAAGACCAAAGGAAAGCAGCGGGATCCCCCGCCATCCCTCTTTCTCCATCCCTCGCCATCCGCCTCTCATGCATCGCTGCCGGGCATCCTCGCGCCAGGAGCGCCGGCAACTTCATCTACAGGAGTGACAGCGTTGCCACCGCCGCCAGCCATGAACCTGCAACGGAACGGATCACTTCATACCGGCTCGGTGGTCACGCCGTCCGTTGCCCGCCCCGCCGGCCGCAACCTCAAGACGGCCGACAGTGCCCGCAGCACCGACAGGACCGACGCATTATGGGCCGAGATGCAGGCGACGCTCGAAGAGGTTGAGCTCTCGGCGGCTGGCGGAACTCACGTCTTTGGACCGGATCACGACCGCAAGCTGGAAGAGCTGCGTACGGCCCAGATTGCGCTCGCTCAGGCCTGGGCTCGCAGCGAAGCCGATGAGGCCATCGAGACCGGCCAGCGCTCCAACACATCCGCCGCTGGCGAGGAAGTCCGCAACCTGAAGAGTGCGGTATTGGGAGAGACGGGCATCGCGTCAGATGGCGGTGACGGCCCGCGGAGCACGGGGTCCGGCAGCGCGCGACCAGGCAGCAGCGGAGGAACGGAGTGTCTCGGTGCTAAGCTCGAGCAGGAGACGGAAGTGGACATCCTGCTCGCGCGCAAGAGGCGGGAGGCCAACGACCGGTACTTCCAGCGAGTCAACCAGGGTGTGTTGGACGTCGTGGCCAAGCTTGAGGATGTCGCTGTTGCAATGCAGGCTGTCGAGCAGGAGACCAAGGACATTTGGGGCGAGAGCGAGAGCGTGACTGGAAGTGCAAAGGGATAGAGGCCTTTGAGGGTCTTGTGGACGTTACGACGCCCCTGAATCTTCCACTACAACTTGTTTCTACGCGACTCGAATTACCTTGCTTGGAGTTTCTACTGGGGATCTTGAATCGGCGTTGGGGATCACATGCATGGGAGCGTGCAGAAAACAGAGGTAGGATAGTGGCCTTGGTAATGAGTCGTACTGGTGCCTATACTTCTCAGGCTAATAACAGACACTGAATCAATGATAATCTTATACATGTCGAGTGTACTGTAGGAGGCGTTATTGTCAAGATGTCAATTATGGTTTGGCAGACAAATGCAGTACGGGGACGGAAAGTCACTTCGGACCGCCAGCATCGTGTCGGTCCGTCATTCTCATTGCTGGTCTCGTCATCGGTAGACCCGGAAAGAACTGTCCACGTGAACCAATCCATCTTTTGGATCATATCGACATGTCACCGTCCTCCTTGAGATTTCCAACTCCGGGAACGACGGGAGCGTGGAACGGCCGATAGCGCCGTTGAGCAACCGGTTGCGGTTGGAAATCTGTCAGTCACCGCAGCGTTCATCGTGTGTTTCGTTCTACAGCGGGCCGATGAAAATGGTGCAACAAACTATGCACTCACAGCAGTGAGTCTGAAGTGGTGGCCCTACTACGTATTCCGCTGGACCTTCCAGACAAGGAAGGCCGGGTTCAGACGGAACGAAGTTCAAGCACGCAGAGATACAGCATGGTGGAACTTCCGCTGCGACTGTGAAGCTCTGCCAAGACCCTTGCCACCTAGAGAGTCGGACGGAACGGCCAAAAGAGTTTAGAAGCATATGCGTGTCGAATCGATGGTGTCGGGTTGTCCCATCATTGCCGGGCTCCACCACTCCACGTCCATCACCAATGACGCTCGCTACGGGCGGGCCCCCTTTTGCGGTACAGCGCACCTTGCAGGGCAGGTGGTAGCTGTTGTGCTGTGGAAGGCGTTCTTAGTGGCCTACCGCGGTGTCGGGGCACCTCACTTCATTAAGCGACTGGACCAGTGACAGTCGCCGGACAAAGTCAACCAGGAGACTTCCAGGTCCGTCTGTCACCGATCAACTTGCTCCTTGCATCCACCCATCCCAATCCTCGCTCCGTCTCCGTCTCCAGCAAACAACGATTTAACACTCGCGAACCCCCCACTCGTCGACAGATCACCCTGGGGACTTCATTTACCGTATAGTACAGACTGTCCTCGCCATTTCCGCCAGTCCGCGCAACCCTCGACATCGGTCGATACATCCGTCGCTCTGACCTCAAAGCGCTCAACACCAAACACCTCTGGATCCGACCAACGTCGAACAACAATCCGACAAAATGAGACCCTACGCTTTCCTCGCCGCCGCTCTCACCATCGCCTCCGGCGTCATTGCTGTCGACCAGATGAAGTCCGTCATCATCTGGACCGACAAGCCGTCCGTCACGGACGACATGATTGATAAGGCCAGGAAGGCCATCGAGGAAGCCAAGGGCAAGATTACTCACATCTACAACATGCAGGACGCCTTCAGGTATGAACGAGCTGGCGCTCGAGTGAGGAGTACCCTTTTGCGGCCGCTAACCAGGTGTGTAGGGGATTCGCTGCTGTAGCACCCGAACAGGTTCTCAAGAATGTGAAGGCTATGGAGGGCGGCAACGAGATGAATGTCGACGAGGACCGGGTCGTCAGCGGTTAATCGATCTATCGAAACCCCAACGCCAACGATACCCCGATGGCACGACCCGCGATACGATTATTGTGTGAAAGATTCGACTAGTAAAAGAAGGACTTTGGCTGGACTAGGTCACGAGGACAAATGATATCCGCCCCCTTCCCGGCGGCTGCGACAGGGACAAGCAAGGAGGCACTTTTTTACCCCCATTTTCGTCTATAGACGGTATTATCGCTACGGAGTCAGGAGTTTCTCGAAGTTGTTGCAGTGTGTTTTCGGACACCACGTACCTTAAGTAGGGCGAGAAGATTTGTTGGGGGCCACAACGGCTCTCAGTCCTCCTCGACGCCACAAATCAAAAACCAATATCAAAGCATACATTATTTCTGACTCGGATCTGGCCTCGACGGCTTGCTCTCGTATTGATGTATTGATGGAATTTAGGGTCTTAGCATCGTTGAAGACACAGACGTCATGGCGCCTAGTGGACGATCGTTCACCAAAGACAGGACGGATGCGGCTCACAACCACATGGCAATCGACGTCAACAACAAGCTTCACGGGAAGCCTTCCCAGTGACAGTCCACATGCTGTGATGTGCCTGACGTGTGGAGAGTTTATCGTGTGCGGCAAGCAGATGCGCAGATCAAAAGCGGATTTCTGCGCGTTCTAGCCTGCTCCACTGCCCGGCCCAGAAACCCCATTCAACTTGATGAGAAATGGATATGTCACTGTGGACGCAATCTCGGGTTTTGCAGGCGTACGTATCGTCCAGAGTGCCCTCGTGCCCTCACGGCAGACGCGTAGCTCAGGAGAGATGGTCCTCGACTGCGCACTTGGCGGGACAAAGGCCGGCGTTTCTGATGTCCCTCGGCTGGGCTGCCTGTTGGATGGGAAGGCTCTGATGAAGAATACATGGTCATGTCACAGACGAGTCAAAGCGCATTGTGGGGTGTCTTCTGAGGAGGAAACACCAGTCTTTTAGGGGAAGATGCGGTTTTCTCAATCACGATGAAGAAAGATAACGCAAGGGGGCTGGAGAACAGGAGAAGCAATAGTCAGTCTTAGTTCGTCACCAGCTACGGTCCACCAGACGCCCAAGGCAACGCTACGGTCGCTACCGTGCCGGACCAACCTCCCCAAACTTTTACGGAGCAGATGGGATTTCTGGAGGATCTGACAACCGCGACCATGGGCGATTCCGACTGGAACGCTGTGAGTGATATTGGAGGGTTAGCCGAAGCATGGCTCAAGGGATATCCAAGGCGAGTCTGTGCTCCCTCACCACCAGTCTTCAGACTACGCAATATAGGAATAGGACATGTTTTACCCGTGTTCGGTGTTATTGAGTAGAAACAGCTAGTACTGTTCATCCGACAGGTCCTTGGGTTGCTGACCGGTCGTCCTTGTGTCACCGTGTCAGGTTGATTGTCTGCGAGCAGCAGTCCCGATTATGATTCTTCGTGATAAGCCTTTCTTCGAGAACCGCAGGCATCCTCGCGAGAAAAAGGAAAGCCAGCAGGATCATTTTGCTCTGTTATGCGAAAATGAAAGGCTTACTGTCGCGGCTGCTGTTTGGCCGGCCTTCCAGGCTGGTCCTAGGGTCAAAGAGGGAAACAAGGCGCTGTCAGTGGCCTCTGGTCCTCTCGAGGAGCGGCCGCCCCACCGTAGCATCAAGCCCCCTGGACATCCGTCCCGCTTCGCGTCACTTGGAGTTTCGGGCTTGGGGGCGGGAGGTGCCTTAATGTAAGGATGTACCTGTCGACCGGCAGTCGCTGTCGTCTACTGCTGACGATGCTGGGTGATTAGCTGGTTACCTGATCCGCCTTAGCACTTTAGGTAGCTGCTAGGTGCGCACGTCGCGGCAAGGTGCCTCGACTAAGACTTCCCTAGCTGCCTTTGGCAATCGATAAGGGGAGCTTCGATGCAGCAGGATGCAGGTCATGCAAGATTGAGGTCGGGTGGATTCGACAGAGAAGGGTTGGAACGTGAACAATGCGCCTGTCTTTGGATGACAAGACACTTTTTTTCCTCCTTCCCTTTCGTACCCTGCAATCTGTCGCAGTACAATTCAGTTGAATCCCTTTCAACACCTGTGCACGAACAAGGCCTTCTCCCGGTTTTTGGCCTTTCACCGCCCTTCCTCGGCCGACGACGAGGGCTTCGACAAAACCATTTTTATACTTTATTGTCTCCCTCCCTCGCCCTCCCTACCGCGCCCCGTCCGACTGCCTGATCTATGCGATGCGAACTTTCCGGGTCCATGGAACCACACAACATTTGCCGCTTTGACTTACAACAAGCACGAACACAACGACGAACCTAGTGGAACCCGAACCGAACCTACCTAGCTGTTTTCCACGTGCTGCTCCAAAACCCCGAGGCATAGGAAATCTAGAATACCGACGACAGACGAAGACGACGACACCCACGACTACGACTGCCACGAACGTTACGACGCGATAGACGGGCAAGATGCCGTACTCAGAGGGCGCGCAGGCCGCGCTTGTGCAATGGGTAAGTCTTCATCCTTGATCTTCCCTGCAAATTAGCTATGTTTGCTAGCAGCCATATTGTCCTGCTATCCCAATGGCACCCGAGAAGACCCTATGCTGACCTCTTCTTATAGGCGAACACGTTTCCCCTTGATAAAAAGGCTGACTCAATAAACGACTTCCTCGATGGCCATCTCCTTTCCCAGGTCCTACAGGACCTTGACCCCTCCTACGACGCGAACACCGGCGAAGGCGCTCTCTACGATGTCTACAAAGGCATCAACAGGCTGGTCTACCGCGAGTGCCCAGGGCTCTCCGGCAAAGTCAAGGCTGCCGACATCCGTCCCAGAGCCAGAGAAGCGCACCCGGAAGCTATCTCCCAGGTACGGGTCATGAATACTCAAGCCTCCCACCGGCTGCCGCCCAGGAACTATGCACTAATTCAGAAATCCTCTCAGCTTATCGCCGTTCTTTTTGCCATTGCCATGCTCGGAAGTAACAATGAACGATACGTCACACGCATTACCAAAGATCTCTCGGACAAGGCGGTCCTCTTCCAACTCCAGCGGATCACCCAGGACATGAACACGGCAATCAACGAGTTCAACGAGGCTGAACTGGAGGATCCTTCAGACGTCGCCAACGAGAGCCATGATGCCGATCTTGCAATGGAAGCCGACAATATCCGTCTCCGCGCCGAAATGGACAAAAGGGGGAAGCTGCTCGCAGACATGGAGACGCGCCTGGGTCATTTGCAAGAGAGCTATGACGACCTCAAGGACGAGGTCGTCGCGAAGGGACGAGAATTGGAAGCGTTCCACAGCGCTCAGGATGGCGCCGGGAAGGAGGTCATCAGATCGCTGGAGTTGAAGCTGCGTGAGCAGGACGAGCTCATTGCCAACCAGGAAGCGCAGGCCGAAGATGATCGCATTGCCAAGGAGCGACTGCAAAGCGAGGTCACCGCTCTCAAGGCCAAGACGCAGAAGCTCGAGACTCTCGACGATGAAGTGAAGGAGCTGCGTTTCAAGAATGAAGAGCTCTCTCGCAAGGCCAACATGGTGGAACGGTACAAGCAGAAGCTTGAGGCTCAGTCTGCGCTTTCGAAAGAGATGGATAACCTGCTTTACGAGAAGGAGCAGATGCAACGCGACCTCATCGAGTACGAGAAGGTCCTGAAGAGGAACCAGGCCTTGGAGCAGACGAACGAGCAATACGCCTCGAAGCTCAGAGATTATGAGCTGCAGTATGTCGAATTGGACGCCCAGCGCAGGGCTCTCCACGACGACACCATGCAGCTCAGAGCTCGCCTGCAAACCCTTGATGCCCAGCGTCTTTCGGATGAGAGGCTCATTGCCGAGCTGCAGGACCAGATTGCTGCGGGTACGGGCCAGTCGGCCATGTCCCCTGATGCTGCCTCTGCTGGCTTCAGCCTCGAGCAGGAACTTGAAGGGGCTGGCAGCAGTGCACCTCCTAACCTCAGTCTTGAGGTTTCCCGCCTCAAGGCCGAGAACAATCTTCTACGCAGTGGTATGGGCTCTGCATCGGAGAATGCTCGGCTACGACAGGAGCTGGACGATGAACGACGACAACGGGAACGCCTCCAGGGCACATACAACGAAACCTTTGAGAAGCACCAGCTTGCGGAAGCTCAAGTCAGCGCCTTGATTGGCGGTGGCGGCGAAAAGTCAGTTGAACTCGTTAATTTGGCTCTCCCACTTGGTCTGAAACGAGTACTAACCCAAGAATACTACTACAGCGAAGTGTTGGCGAATTTGAAGATCCAAGTTGCCCAGATGACCCATGAACTTCAGGCCGAGAAGCGAAGACTGAGCGAAGTCCAGGCTCAGCTTGCTGACAAGGATCGTGAGCTGCTCAGCGCGAGGACAGATCTTTCTGCCGTGGCGAAGGATAGTGTCGACGCCCTCGAAGAACTCAAGTCCACCGACCAGCTCATCTCGGCATCAGTTCGAGAGGAGCTTGAGGCTGCCCGCCTGCAAATCAAGAACCTCAGCGCTGACCTAGAGAACCGACAAAGTTCACTCATCAACGCCTTGCTCGAAAAGGACAAGATCCGTAAAGAACTGGACGAGGCGAAAGAAGGACGGCCAGAGGGTGCCGAACCAACGGAGGCTGTTCAGAAGCTTCAGGACAAGGTTGAGAAGCTGCGCACGCGACTCAAGGAGCGACAATCGGTGAGTGATGATCTCCGCCCTCAGTCCCCATGTGCGACCCATGTCGGTGTATCCCAGCTGCCGGCTGTGCCCTCACCGGCCGTCCTGTACGACAGCAACCCGTCATTCCGGATGCGGGCACCTGCTTGTCACTCTCATACCTTCTCGCAAGTCCAGCCACGGTATAAGGTGCCCGAACAGAAGGCGGGTTGGATAAGAACTGTGACGAGCAAGATATTTGGGCGATCAGATTCTTCATCACGCTCTAGATCTCCATCACCTTCTTGGCGTCGATTGCGATTTGACTTTTGATCTGTCATGGAATGATGTGTAGGTTTGAACGGCCAAAGCTGACAATGAGTTTCTCTGCAGCAACTGGAGAAGTCTGAGCAAGATAAGTACGATTTGCAACGGAAGCTCAAGGCAGCGGAAGGTGGAGAGGCGGCTGCGGCTCAGAAGGTACGTTTTGACCATAATATGTTACCCTTTGAATGGAATTATCCTCCCAAGTACGGATCTTGTGTGACTAGGCCAATGCTGACTCTTTAACGAAAAGGCCGCGAGCGACCAAATTATCAAGAATCTTCAACGCGAAAACGCCCTTATTGCTACCGCTTGGTACGATCTTACTAGCCGTATTCAGAGCAACCATGTGGTGCTGCAACGGAGGAACGAGGTGCCCAAGAGCTGGCTGGGTAAACAGCGACAAATGGTCAACGGTATGACATCCCCCTCTTACAAACGACGACGTGACAAGTGCTGACATACTGTTGCAGCCACTCCTAGGAGGTAGAGCAACCCAAAGTGTCCAATGCACCCTACGCAGGCACCCATCCCATCCTGAAAAAAATCTAGCCTCTTCTTAAGCCCCTTTTTATATCTTATCTCAACCTCTTTTTACTTTTATTGGCACCTTGATCCTGGAGTAGCAGAAGGCATCGTTGTTGGCGTTGGCTTCTTTCTTTGGTCTTAGCGGATAATGGGATGGCTTGGCTGGCCTGCATCTCGGAAGGGGGAAAGGGGGGAGGAGCATTGCATTGCATCGCGTGGTGGTCGGGCGGCACTCTCTGTCTCTCTCTCTCTGTTGTTGCTTTCACAACGGTTCTTTCTACTCCTTTTACAAAAGCAAGAGAAAGAAAAGAAAGCCTTGCTTTGTGTGTTTGTGTGTCGCGCCCCGTCTCGTTTCTACATGACCCTCCTTTCTCCTTTGTCTATAGTTTCTAGCGCGTGGTTGGGGAGGACGCAAGCCTTCATTTTTAAACCTCGATGAAAATGGTATAGAGAATGGAGACGGAGTATCGATCTTATCATGACACTGAAATTTCGATGTGCCTACGGGTTCTCGGCAACCATGTGGCTGGTGCTGGTTTTCTCTCGTTCCTGGTTGTCAAGTACATATCACAGCAAGGATGGCGGCGTCGCCTCGAAGTTGATGCCGATATCCTCGGGCAAAGCCATCGGAGCGCTCGATTAGGTTCAGGGGCGACCAGCAAGCCGTCCCCTTCGTGCTGCGTCATTTCATCAAATGTCGGTCCTCACGGAAGTAGAGGCATTGACGAGGGCCAGTTTTTTCGCTCATCCGCGTGGAGTCCTGGACTGGTCCTCCGGAAGTCGGGAAAACCGGCCCCGTATTTATTTTGGTGGAAGGCCAGGTATGGAATGCCGAGGATACGCCCGAACTCGGCGCCACGCGACCGCGTCCCCCGACTCTGTGTATCACTTGAAATGTCACCATTGGAAGGAAAGGACGGGTTTGTTTTGAAATGTGTTTTGATGTTCAGTGCCCCATCCAACTGCCGGTTTTGGTTATTAGTGAGACAAGTGGTTGTAGTACATACAAGCGTGCGATATTTCTACACGATAGGTTCGGTTCGGTTTGGTGCGGGTCGTTTTGACGAAAGCTTCGACAAACGTCCACCCGCCCACTCCCTCCATGGCCCCCAAAACGTCAATTCGCAAAATGCAGTGTAAGCCTGCTCGATAAAGGCGTGGACAGTCGTGTAAGAGGATATTCCCTCCTTTCCAGTCCTTTCATGATCCATAAAACAGTTCCATAAAAAAGTTTCCTCCGATCCACGTTGCCTCTATCATCTGCCGGCCGTGGTTTCCGCGAAAAGCAAGTTCCGAGGACAATGGCAAGGGGTTAGGCGATTCCTCTAGGCGAGGACACAGAAACAGGCGGACAGAGGAGGCGGATTCGCCTCCGTGAGCCGCGTGGTCTGCTTAGTTCTTGGAGGTGAGGCGGCTGAGAATGCCGGAGGAGTGGCCCTTGCGCTGAGCGTCGAAGATCTCGAGCATGTTCTTCCACACCTGACCGGGCTGCTGGGAGGCGTCAAGACCCTTCCAGATACCGGTCTGCTTGTAGTAACCGACGACGGGGGCCGTCTGGGCGTGGTAGGTTGCGAGACGCTTCTTGAGGGCCTCGGGGTTGTCGTCGGAGCGCTGGATGAGGGGCTCGCCGGTGATGTCGTCCTTCATGTACTCCTTGGGAGGGTTGAAGGTGCTGTGGTAGCTGCGGCCAGAGGCGGGGTGGACGAGACGGCCGGTGATACGGGCGACGAGGAGCGAGTCGTCGATCTGGAGCTCAACGGCGTGCTGAAGCTTCTGGTTGCGCTCTCTAAGCATGGCATCGAGGCCCTCAGCCTGGGGGACGGTGCGGGGGAAGCCGTCGAGAATGAAGCTGCAGAGGTTGGTTCGCGGTTAGCGTTGGATTGTTCGGTTTCCTTCGGAGTGCGCCACGGAGCTAGACGGTGTGTCTGTTGGCTTCGCGACGGGTGACGGATGCGACATACCCTCCCTTGCACTCCTTGTTGTTCTCCAGCTCCTCCTTGATCATGCCAATGACAATGTCATCGCTGACAAGGCCGCCCTGGTCCATGATCTTCTTGGCTTCGCGGCCGAGAGGAGTCTTCTTGGCAACTTGCGATCGGAGCATGTCACCGGTAGCCTGCGGGGTGATGATCGTCAGAAAACTTGTAGATAGCCGAAACAGGCCAATTGACTTACCAGATGGCAGCAGTTGAACTTCTCCTTGATCTTGGGAGCCTGGGTGCCCTTGCCTAAGCGGGAGTTGAGAAATCAGCATAACTGTTGCAGAGAGGCAGGCAACCGAGCGCAAAAGGGCTCCATTGGAAGAGCATACCGGCACCGGGGGGACCGATGAGGATCATGCGAACCTCCTCGGTAGAGAGCTTGCCAGAGCCGCCAGCCGCGCGGTCCTCCAGAGCCTTGATTCTAGACTCGAGACTCTCGACCGTGTTGGTCAGCTTCTTGACTGCTTCCTCAACGAGACTGCTCATTTTGACGGCTTGTGTAGAGTTGAGTGGGGGGCCGGACCGAGGCTTTTAGGAGGGGAGGTAGCAAAGAGATGCAAGAAGAGGCTACTCAAGAGAGAGAGAATAGGAGACGGGGGGGAAGAGGGGAGAGGAATCGAAGATCGGGTTGGAGGACTGGGGAAGCAATAAAGCTTTGCGGGAAAAATAAGTCGCGAAAGAGGTTGAGAATTGCTGCAAGGTCTGGGTACAGGGCCAAGGTCGCCCAGGTTTCCGTCTCCAGTGTGGTCGAAGGTACCTGCCCGCTAAGGTAGAGAGAGACCTGGACCTGCGACCTGGTTCTTCTCCAACGTACCGAGCTTTGCGCCTGGCGAAAATGGCCCCGTTGAGTGCAGGTGACAGACCACCGAGCGCCCACGGCGTCGCAGATGGGAAGTCGTGATTGGCCAGATCTATTGCTGGCCTTCTGGTCTTCCGCTGGGGAACAAGGTGGTAGGCGTTCGTTCGGCTGTTTCGCAGCGTAACACGCCTCTCCATATTTCCGCCTGGGTACCACTGACTGCGCTTCCGTTACAGCGCTCAACCCATCATTGGTCGGCGCTCGCCGCTCCCTCTCCGCCGAGGTTCAGAGAAGGCCGGTACGTACTCTCGGAGCAGTCTTCCAAGACTTAGAATGCACTGCGTGACAGCCAGAGAGGGCCGCTAGGAAGCTTGCGGATAAGAGACGGCGGACGGCATCAGAACATCTCGCGAGGAACATCCAGCCCCCGGCGCAACGGATAGGACGCCTTGGGTATGAGGTCACTGGGCCAGGTTCGGCCTCGAGGGCTCGGTGCGACATGTGAGTCTCTTAGGGTCATCCCAGTCCACCCGCAATTCCCCGAGAAGACATTGAGACAGAGGCTTCGTGTCCAGCTGTCACTTGTTGAGGCGCGTACAGCAGTACCCGTTCTGCGATGGAAATAAATCCGTCGTCGAGCGAGTCCTTAGTCAGTGAGGACGGAATGCAAGGCACAGATGGAGATGGACCCAACAACACAGGCGAGCAGTGGCCGACGCCGGACTTGGCTGTCGGGACATCTTGATCGCGAAAGACGAGCGGGTCGAGTGTGGCATTTCAGCCATTTGTGGCTTTCAATTGATTACATAAGATAACTCAATGGAAGTTGACGAACATTCCGTCACTTTGAATGTTGTTGGCCTGGAAAGTGCTTAAGTAACGCACCGCTCTCCAGCTTCCACGTGACCCGACAAGGCTCGAGCTTTCGTTTGCGCCTAAGCCCGATTCGTAGCTAAGCTGGGCGGGAAGGCAGCCTCAGCAGTACGACACCACCACTACCTCACTGTCCATACACCATCACCACCAAAAACACCGCCGCCTCGCCAATCCTCCATCCTTCACGAACCCGACTCAATCGACCTCCCGAAGCTACGAAATCACCTCTATCATGCCTGCCACCACCGCAGAGACTCTGTCTCTCGTCACACGGAATGTCTCCGTTGCCCCTCTCGTGCTTCTTTCCGTCGTCGATCACTACAACCGGGCGGTAGACAAGGGATCGAAACGCAGAGTGGTGGGTGTTCTCTTGGGCTCAAACGATGGCAAGAACGTTCGTGTTTCGAACAGCTTCGCAGGTATGATCACTTCTGCATTGCAGTACGCCGTGGACCATGCCCGCAAGGCTGACAATTACGTGTAGTACCCTTCGAGGAGGACGACAAGGACCCCTCAGTCTGGTTCCTGGATCACAACTATGTGGAGGGCATGAACGACATGTTCAAGAAGGTCAACGCGAGGGAAAAGCTTATCGGATGGTACCACTCTGGTCCCAAGCTGCGAGCGTCCGATCTGGGCATCAACGAGCTGTTCAAGCGATACACCCCGAACCCTCTCCTAGTCATTATTGATGTACAACCGAAGGAGGCGGGTGTGCCGACGGATGCATACTTCGCCGTGGAGGAGATCAAGGATGTAAGTGGTGTTACAATCCGCCTCGAGACCCTTCGCTGACGCAGTGCTCACAGGACGGCACAACTACCTCGAAAACCTTCGTCCACACCCCGTCGATCATCGAGGCCGAAGAGGCAGAAGAGATTGGTGTCGAGCACCTTCTCCGCGACATTCGCGACGTCGCAGTCGGCACCCTATCGACCCGGATAACAAACCAGCTCCAGTCCCTCCAAGGACTGCACCTCCGCCTCCGCGACATCGGCGCTTACCTGCAGAAGGTTCTTGACGGCCAGCTCCCAGTCAACCATGCCATCCTCGGCAACCTCCAAGACGTCTTCAACCTCCTGCCCAACCTGTCGACGCCAAAGGGCGACGGCAAGTCGACCGGCGGCGAGCTCTCCCACGCCATGAGCATCAAGACCAACGACCAGCTCATGGCCATCTACCTTAGCAGTCTGATCCGCGCGATCACCGCCTTCCACGATCTCATTGAGAACAAGATCCAGAACCGCCAGCAGCAGGAGGAGAAGGAAGCCAAGAAGGAAGAGGCGAACGGCAAAGACGAGAAGAAGGATGACAAGGTGAACGGTGTCAACGGCGACTCTAAGGAGTCCGCGGACAAGGACAAGGAGGCGAAGGAGAAGAAGAAGTAGATGACGTTGCTTGACGAAGGCGGATGGAAACCACACAAATACGGGAACTGATACCCGCAATAGACACTGGGACCGAGGGGCATGTCATAATATCTCGGCGTCCAGGAGGGCAAGGCCGGGGCGGGAAACAGGCATATTCGCAAGAAAAGAATATGCCTTGTACAATGATAGCATTTTTTGACTGATGACCCGAAGTCTGCCTAAATCTCGTGATGGTTCCTACATGTCTCCCACCGTCCCGGCGATCGCAGCCCGACTCATCCTCCTCTCCGTAACGTAGCTCCCCAGCACACTCCCCCACTGCTCCGCTAGTAGACAGGCGAGCAGGTGCTTACAGCAGGGCACCCCGCCACGGTCCAACCCGTCCAGACTCAACCCCCCAAACTGCCACTCAGGCGACGACGGCACTGCCTCATCCAGATCCTCGGCATCAGCGCCCAGGATCTCAATTTCGTCCTCTCCCCCACCGGGCGGCGGGAAAGCCTCGAATGCGAAGTTGGCGCAGGTACAGTTCCACGCGTCGACGTGAACCAGATACTTCGTCCCCGCAGAGCTCACCGCGCTCGGATCCGCCTCCGTCTTTTTGCGGCGGGAAATGGTCGACGCCACGGAGCGGACGACGTAGAAGGACGCCGGATCGCGCCGGTCGGATCCGGTCACGCGCTCTGCGCCGCCCCGGTCTTCCGCATCCTGGTCGGGCTCCGGCCGGCGGTCTTCTACAGGGTCTTCTCCGTCGAGATCGACGTCCGCGGCGTGCGTGTCGTCTCGGACGACTCGGGCGACCAGGTCGCGGTCCAGGAGGTCCAGCGCGGGGAGGACGATGGAGGGGAAGAGGACGTGCAGGGTTACCAGGAGCGGGCGGTGGGAGTGCGGGAGGGATTTGAGTGCGTTTTCGGACGTTGTTGGTGCGGTGGTGTCTGGGTCGTGGGGGGACGTGGTGAGGGCGTTTATGAGGCTTGTGAGGACGGCGCGCGGGGTTTGTGGTTTTGCCATTTTGGTTGCCTTGATGGCTGAGAGCGTGGTGTTCTTTGCATTGAGGACGATCGGCTCGTTAGTTTTTTTTTAGTTTTTTGGAGTCTCTTTTTCGTGTTTGCGGTCAGATTATATTCTGCTGTCACCCGGAGATGTTGCTGTGTAAGTAGTTGAGAGCTCGCCGGGTCTCGATTTGAGGTAATCGATGGAACACGCCACAGCTAGAAACACCAGCAAGTCACAACCTAACCTCATGTGGCAAACGGGTGTCTGAACAGAAGAAAAAAAGTTCTCTTTTCGAGTTTGGCCGCCTGAAGGCTTTTGTCTAATCTCATTATGTCGCCATAAAAGGGCATAGTAGTACAGCAAACATCGCTCGCATCCATTGCTCCAAATCCAGGTTATTTTTCTACCCCTTTCCTACATATTTCCACTACACCCATTCCTTGGGCGCCCTCAGCACGTCTACGAGACGCTGCTCGCGGCTCTTGGGCTCGGGCTCGTGCATGTACTTCCAGCTCGCCGTCAGGGGCAAGCTCATCAGGATACTCTCGACTCTGGAGCCGGGGGTGTTGAGGCCAAAGGCGGTGCCGCGGTCGTGGACCAGGTTGAACTCGACGTACTTGCCGCGGCGGATCTGCTGCCAGTCCTTCTCGGCCTCGTTGAAGGGCATGTCCTTGCGCTTCTCGAGGATGGGGAGGTAGCCCGGCAGGAAGGACTTGAGGCAGTCCTGGATGAAGGCGAAGGTGTTCTCGCGGTCCTTCTCCGTCTCGTCGAGGTCGTCGAAGAAGATGCCGCCGACGCCGCGGCACTCGCCACGGTGCTTGTTGTAGAAGTACTCGTCGCACCACTTCTTGAAGCGCGGGTAGTAGCTCTTGTCGTGGGAGTCGCAGGTCTCCTTGATGGTCTTGTGGAAGTGGACGGCGTCCTCATCGAAGAGGTAGGCGGGTGTCAGGTCGCTGCCGCCGCCGAACCACCAGGCGTTGGAGGTGCCGTCGGGGTGGGCGGTCTCGAAGTAGCGGTAGTTGAGGTGGACCGTCGGGGCCATTGGGTTCTTCGGGTGCAGGACCATGCTCAGGCCTGCGGCGAAGAAGGGGAGGGCGTCGACGCTGTCGTCAAGGTTCTTGTGGTTGGCGCGCATCTTGGCGATGGCGGGCTTGGGAAGGGTGCCGTAGACAACGGACACGCCGACGCCGCCCTTCTCGAAGACATTGCTGTCCTGAAGGACGCAGGTGATGCCGCCGCCGCCCTCCTTACGAGTCCATTCGTCCCTGCGGAACTTTCCTCCGTCGACCTTCTCGAGCTCCTTCACGATAATCTGCTGCTGCTCCTTGATGAACTTCTCCATGCGCAGGCGCATAGGAGACTCCTCGGTAATGTCGGTCTCCTTCTTCGTGAGGGCATCGCGCTCAGCCAGGCTCGGCGAGTCGAGTTGGAAGGGTTCCTGAACGGCCTGCATGTTTGATCGGGTTGATTAGCGGTTGGTGTCAAGAAGCGGAAGCACCGGCATGGGTGGGTGGTGCGGAGAGGTGTTGCTGCAGTACCATCTTGTAGGCGAGGGGTGCTACGGCAGCAAGGGCAGTTGCTCCAATGAGAAATCGGTTGAAGGCCGGGTTCGACTGGCGACCCTTGAATTGCGACTTTGCGGAGGATGAGACGAGCCTGCGACCCAATTGAGGTTGCTGGAGCTTGGAAGCGGTAGCGGTTGCGGTTGCGAGTCTGGTTCGGGAGCTGTTGAGTTGTGCAAGCAACCTCTGTGAATGCTTGGTGGACGCCATGACGGGCAGAATATAAATACAGACAATAGTGAAGAATACAATAGACCAATTGGCAAAGGAACGACTTGGGTGCACAGAAAATCGAATGATTATTTCCAAGTGAGAGGCATAAGACCACCGGTAGCAATGATGGACTGACCGGACCGTCGTTCGAGCCAGTCAGGCCAGCTGTAAAAGTAAATTCGGGTATCGTTCCACGTTGAATGGGCGGGACCCCGGTCACTGAAGCGACGGCAACGGAGAATAGCAGTGGACAGCTGGATAGCTCCCCCTCAAGGGCCCAATTGGAAGGTGGGGTGAGGTGTTGCAGTGCCGCCGAACGCCGGAGACGCCTCACCGCCTTCCCAGATTGTCAGTGAGAGAAGATCACGCTTGAGGTCCAGCCCCAACCAACTCCTTGGGACAGTCAGCTTCAACGAGTAGGGTCGCAGCATTGGAAGAGTTAGATTGGGGTCTAGAGCCTGGGGAAGGAAGATATGCCGGACATGAATGGCGCAACAAGTTGGGCAATATTGATCGTATGATAACTCTTTCGGGACTCATCTCTGATCATTACCTATTTCTGTGTTCCTGAATACAGACATTGAATTTGGATGAGAAACCGACGATACTCGTTGATAACCCTTCTCTTCTCCGGCTTGATCTGTCACCTGCATCGTCGGTTATCGGAGGTCCAGAGCAGGGTTCCTTAGCTAAGCTTGTCAGATAAGACAATACAGTGCATGCACCAGTCGCCAACTGTTTCTATGCTTGACTCCCTCAGAGTCTTCAGTGTCACCTCTTACTGGGGGGGAATGACGTCAAGGAGAGCCTGTCTGACAAGAGGCATAATCGCTGTAGCTGATGACGAACAAGCACTCAAAGGCTTTGGGTGACAGGACAGTACGAGAGTAAAGTAGCACAGACAAAGCAGCGTGCACGTATCAGGAGGTCGTCCCTACAAAGACCCCGTGAGACTTTGACAAGTCTTGATGTGTTGCATCCTCGGGGTAAAAATGGCACAAAGCCGCAGGACAGTGTGCCAGGGCCTCCAGTGACTCAAGACTCAGGTCGGCTCGGGAAGGCGAAGGCAAAGGTGTGCCAGGTTGCCAGCCTGCGTCAACTGGTTGCGTGGTCTGTCACTGGTCACCTGCCCTGCTGGAAGTGTCAATCCCGCCCCAGCACTCTGTGCACCTGCCGCCGCTTGACTGGCTGAGTGGACCTGCAATCGGTGTCTTGCCCCGCTCCGATAATCCGATAAGGATAAGGACGGGAAGGTGAGATGCTGATTCCAGCTTGGACCAGTAGGATCGGAGGAAAGGGGGAGGCGGGGAACTCCTAAGCAGCTTAGTCATTCACAGTGCTCTTAGCCTCTTCTCAGAATGCGTCTGATGCAAAGTACTTTCTCTCAGGTTCTTGCCGGTGTTGGTACAACCCGTGGACCAGAGATCCCGCCTGAGCCACCCGCCGCCAGCATTCACTCAGTGACCGCCCATTCCATCCCCGTGTGTCTGACCGACCCCAAGGCAACCTAGAACCCCAAGGCGGCAACCACCTTGCTTCGCCTTGCCTCTTCTGCCTTCGCAAACGAGCCCCTCGTTACCTAAACTCTCTCTTCTACACACTTCGCTTGCTCGCATCTGTCATCACCTTTTCCTCCCAAACACATCTCGCCATCTATATCAAGACCGTCGCCCGCACTCCACCCAGCTGCAGACCGCTGAGAAACCCACAACAACTCCATCAACCACCCGCAACACCTTCATCATGCGATCCAAGTTCAAGGACGAGCACCCCTTCGAGAAGCGAAAGGCCGAGGCCGAGCGCATCCGCCAGAAGTACTCTGACCGTATTCCCGTATGTTGTCCTTCCATCGCTTCATCGTCGTTGATGTGTCGCCGTGGGAGCCTCGTCGTCGCCGCTGCCTTCGTCAGCTGCGCGCGTTATCGCCGGAGCCCCACGTCTCCGACCGTCACCGCCGATCTCCGTATCAAGCCATCATGAACCTCCAAGCTAACCAACGTTTTCGCCGCGCAGGTTATTTGCGAGAAGGTCGAGAAGTCTGACATCGCCACCATCGACAAGAAGAAGTACCTCGTCCCCGCGGACTTGACCGTAGGCCAGTTCGTCTACGTCATCCGCAAGCGCATCAAGCTCTCCCCGGAGAAGGCTATCTTCATCTTCGTCGATGAAGTCCTGCCTCCCACTGCCGCTCTGATGAGCAGCATCTACGAGGAGCACAAGGATGAGGACGGGTATGCTCTCAATATTCCCCCATTTTTGTCCGGTCGCAGCATGCTGACTTATCTTCCAGCTTCTTGTACATCACGTACTCGGGCGAGAACACCTTCGGCGGCTTCGAGACGGCGTGAGCTTCATAACTTCTGACGACACGACTTCAGAATGTTCACGGCGTTTCGGTCTGCTATGGTTTAGCACGTTTAGGAATGGGTTTTCTCTCTAGTACGGTTATCGGATTCCCCCGAGTTGGGGGCTTATGAAGCAACGCAGTCACGTTATCGCGCGGGGTCACAGGACAGGGTCAGGCGTGACCGCCCCCGACCGGATCAAGAATCCCCCATTTGCGCGGCTTGGGATCGCAAACCAGGTATTGAAGGCTCGCGGAGACATTACTCGTCATGGAAATAGGACCTCTGGATTTAAGTGGTTTCCTTAGAACGTATGCTCAGTCGCCTTCTGCCCTCTTCCCTTCAACCACAACGGTGATTCTTGTTGGCACCAGTATAGTAAATCGTCAACGTACGTCCCTCCTTCAGGTCGGTCTTTCGCTCCGCTTGTATGTCTACGTGTCATCTGAAACTTGGGATTTCTCGTCGCGTGAATTCTAGACGCTGTATAGCCGACGGCGCATAATCGAGAAGTGTGTTAGTAAAACGTGCAAGCCCGCCTGCAGCCCCTGAGGGTCAAAGAGCCCGTCTGACCCATGCGGGTGGAAAGAAGAGTCCGCAACGCCGCCAGCAGTGGAATCCGTCTGTTCGGTATTGTACATGATGATTACTATGCAGCGTCGGTGACGGAGAGGTTCGAAAGCCCGGGTCTGGTAGGGGACGAATATGCAGTCATGTCGGGTTCGGATCGCATGTTGACGCCTCGATCATGCTGTTATCGTCCGAAATCGTCTTGCGATTATCCCGTCTAAGCGTCCGTCTTCATGTGCACTTCATAAATGCTTACATGCGTGAAAGTGAACGTCCGGTCCGTCAGCCGCGCATCAAGCAGTGGCTCGGCGTCTGCCTGCTGCATGAAGGTGAGCCGGTAGTTCTCGCTCTTGTTCTCAACTCCTCGTGCCGCCAAGGCCGGCAGTCTTCCACCACGAAGATAACGTTCACCTTGCGGACCGTGTGCAGCCTGCGTGCGAAGGCAACCTCGGTGATGCCGCTTTCCTGCGAGCCCTTCGGGCCCGCACCCGGTTCTTAGCCGTAGGGGGAGCACGACAACGGTCAGAGGAGGAGGCGGTATCCGCTTCTTCGCTGTCCGGTTCCGTCTCGGGCTTGTCGAGGAGGTTTGGGGCGGTCATACGGGCGCCGGTCACTTCGGGTGCCATGATGAACATCTTGCCCCGGAGCTGAGCTCCAACAAGCATGGCGGCGAGGATATTGAGACGAGTTATTGCGTCTGAGTATATCTCCCCTCGACGATTTGCTTGGGTTCCAACCAGTAAATGAAGGCGTAGGTGACGTTGCCCGTGTTGTGGAATACAGAAAGCCAGATATTGATGAGGGCACTGGCGGAGATGAAGTTTATTCTTCGGCCCTTGAGACTGTAGTTGTGTATCAGATAGGAACCTCGTGTTAGAGTGACAGGTTGGCGATGGTCTTGATAGAGTTGACGGACTCGGCTGTGATACCGACAGCCTGAGCAAAGGCTCCGGCGTGCTTCGGAGCGAGAGGAAGTTCTGATCTACACGATTTTGGTGCCGAGGAAAGTAGCGAAGATGATGGGACTTATCATTCCGATTCTCTAGGTCATAATATGGGAGTGAATGATGAACAATAGGAGGTTCACTACAGTGGCGAAGATGATGCTCATCATGTAGTCGCCATTCGAGTTCCTGCTAGAAGAGAGCGCGAGGAGAGCATACGATCCTGTACAGGGGCATCTCCGCGCTGTATCTGAAGGCCAATCATCCGGCCAGTTTGATGAGAAGCTTGATGGAAGCTCATGAAGAAGGACATGGCTGGGCGAATGACATGAGATGGCTGAGCCGTTGGCATGCCTGAACACGGTTCCAGACTCATTGTAAGTGCAGCCGACTACGAAGTCAGCGGTCAAGGAGAGAGCAAGCCGGAGAGAATGAATACGGACCAAACAGCTTTCTGACCTTTTGCCAGGCTGGCTTGTTACTGTCGAAACCATTGGTCTAAGGTTCCCTTCCCCCTGTTTCCCAGGGTTTCTGCTCCTGTGCGTCCTTTTCTTTGGTTGTAATGGTCTCTGTACGGTTCGTTGAATTAACAACCCCTTTTCAATCACGAAGGTTTCTATAGACTCAACTGCGGTGGCGTTGCCAGCTTGCGAGAGCGCATGTCTTCCTCGATTATTTGGACGTCCCGAATGTTGGTCAAGCTTGGATGCACGCCGTTTTGGAGGACGAGGTTAGTTCGTGTGCCTTGTTCGACGATTGTTCCCGCATATATGACGATGGATAGACTATGAGCGATGGAGATCAGGGTGCGGTCCTTCGAGACGCTTTCCACAGTCCTTTGAATTTGTTCGCTAGCAGAATCCAGTTGCCTCGTCGAGAGTAGATCTTTGGATTCGTATGGGCGGCCGCGCTGAATCCAGCTCTGTTCTCCAACGTCTTCCACGAGCTGTGATAAACAAGAGTCATGAAGCGTTGCCTCGGACCACTGGTGCTATTCCTTTGTCAAGTTGACGGGACCTAGAGCGACGTTTTCGACGACGAAGCGATCTAGAAGCAGGCTGTTGCTAGACCAGGCTGGTGTGACTGCTGACGTTTTCTACATTTAAGGAACGGATGTGCCGCCATCGAGAAGAATAGCATCTTTGGAATCCTCAAATCAAATGGTCAAAACTGCGATGCCTGACCTGATGCTTCCTCGGAGGCTGACGATGGCGGTGTTTTTGGCCTCCGGGGCACGCCAGAAATGTGTTCTCGAGAGTATACTCATGAACCTAAAAGGGATATGTAAAAGCCAGACCGCGGAGCTTTGAGGGTACTTCGAAGGGGACGGACAGCTTGCCGCCATCCTCGGCCATGGTGTCGATATCAAATGATAGACAACGTCCTTTCGCTTGATAAATATGGGCGATGTTGATCCGAAAGGGGGGTAGTAAGTGGGCGGCGGTACCGAGCATTATACTACCTATGGGAAGTCAGCAGATAAGTCAACACTTAAGCCATGCGGTCTATATATCGTCGGCGATGATGAAGTTTATAGTTAAACGTCTGCATCAGGCACCATCGCCTCTTCCAGCCACCACTTCGAATATATTATTCCTTCCTTGACGGTACGTAAGCGAACTCGCGGGCTAGACTAGGAAGCATGACAACTCTTTCAAGCTTCTGTAGCTGTAATCTTCCCGATGCCCCCTTTTTGAGCGAGACCTAGGCGCGATGAGAGCTTGGCTTCCAAGCGAGACCCTGCGTTGGAGGCTTGGACCATGTGAATAGGGGATAGCGCCTTGGATCCAATTGACAAAGCATCGGCCATGCCATCTGACATCGTTCCGGCCCATTTCCGTGAGAAACCTCCGTATTCGATGGGCATGAACAGGAAAACCGGCATAAGAGAAGCTAGCATTCCACATGAATACTTGATGAAGCCGATGAAGGAGGCCGTGGTGAAGAGCTTGGCTATCGGGATGAAGATGGCAACGTTCCCAGACTTTCGGTCGGAATGATTTGGATGCCAGCTGCGATGACACCTTTTGATTCCTGGAGAGCCCAACATCTTGCCCAAGCGAGCCGTAGGAAAGCTTTTCCTACAGGACTCTAGCTCAAGGGATCACATAGTATGTTATAGCCGCATATGAAGACAGTGGCACCCAGACTCATGTGAACGAGCTGCAGCGATTTTCGTCGACGACGGCCAATTGGTAAGCCTTGACATCTTGGATCACGGTGGTATACACCTCTTGTGTTATTGATAAACTGGTCAACTATGAAACCCATCAAGAAGAATAGCGAAGAAGCTGCAGCAGCCGTGATGCCATCAACCAGGAACAGCAAATTGTTGATTTATGTTGGTCCGGCGTGGAATGGTAGACTGAAGAAGCTGAAGGTCTTAAAACGCTGTGCAAATGTTACCCATCTCAAGAGAAACCGATCAAGCAGACATTGAACCAACACTTGGCCATGCCGCTTCTGGGCCACGTTACTGCCCCATTACGATTGGAGTATCACTGACAGCCTATTCGGTTGCTGCCGGTCCCGAATCTGTGTTACCAGCCATGACGATGCAGCATCCCACTTAACAGTTAGGCCCTTTGACTAGAGCCTTCGTCTCGGCTGAAGCCGAAAAGAAGTTGTCGGATCGTGAGTAGACACCACCTTGACCAAATAGCTCGAAATTTAAGGACTGGTTTGCGTCACAAAGCTCTTTAGCCGTCACATCCGCTTGAGGATGGTTTCTTCAGGTGGTTTGGATCGATGACAACGCACAGGTCGTCGCCAAAACCCCGCCACGGAGTTTAAGCAATCCCGTCGTCGCGGTAGAGCTGCAGTATCTCGGTGACTTGGTATTTCTAAGGAGAATGAAGTGGAAGGTACCTCAACGTGGCCATTCTCTCTCTTGCCTGTCTAGGGCATCCCCAGAGCCGTGAATGCAGTGACATTCGTCACAGGTTGAGCACGTGAAAAGTACCAGCAGGATCCTGGTTAAAGGGTGTGTCTGTTTGTGGGTTGAGACTTATTTAGCGCTGGTGAGTTTTGGGACGGCCGGCGGACGAGGATGAAGGGACGAAGAGATGTGGGGCCGATGCCGGAGTGTGGGTTCGGATCAGATAATTTGTCTTGGCGGAGGCCGGTGTATCCTTTCCGGATCAGGTATCGCTCTTGCCCGGTACGAGTACGGAGTACGGAGCCCTTGCTCCTCTGCGGATCTGCATTCCACAAGCAAACCTGCACCTGTTCAACTCACTGTGATTTTTTCCCCTTCCCTTCGCAACCAAATTTTTTTCTAAGGGGAAAATGGCGCATCTGGGCTGGCGGGTTTGCTGCCGCCCACACACACACACACACCCTCATACCCGCCCATACAGAGTGACACACCCTCACAGTCCACTCCAGCTCTCATCGAAACCTCGCAAAGGGAAGGCCATTGGGTGCAGCTGTCGCAATACGGAGTAGCCCCGCGCGCCCCAGGACTCTTTGTGACGCAGTGAGCCCCAACGATCGGTGAGCTCAGACGGCAGCAAAGGAACCCGAGATGCAACGACTCCTCGAGTTCAGGTTTACCGGCAATTCGACATCGGCCGCCCACTCGAAAACGAGGCGCAGCCCTGGAACGCGTACCTTTGACTTGCCCTCATTAGGTAACGGGTTGATCTTTCCAACCAGTCAGTCCCCTCCAGGCCACCGACTGAGACCGGTCTGACCCGGCGCTGGGAGTGGCTTGCAGGCTTGTGAACGGATCTGATAACTTTAACTCCTCCACCATCTGATAACCCCAAGAGGGACAAGACAGAACAGGACCCCTACAACCCTCCAACGGCCACACCAGACACCCGTTACACCAGCAATTTGCTCCATCCCACTCTTGGAAACCACTGCTACCCATATTATTTGTACATTCGCATTGTAGCACTAATACATACTTAGGATCCCTTTCCCAGTGCCCAAAGTGACCGCCCAAACCCACCCAATCATGCCGTCATCCCAGCCGGCGCATTCCCCTTCTCCTCGCTGTCCTCCTGTCCGCCGGCCCCCTCGATCGCCATGGCCCAGCGGATCCAGACTGCCCTCCGCCCTGCTGTCTCGGCTGCAGACTGCTTCTTCCTCCGAGCTCGTCCTCGGCTGAACTTGCCCCTCAACCTGCGGCCCTCTCCCGCCCAGCCATGGAGGGGTGAATCTGGGTCCTTGTTGGGAGGATTTGGTGGGATTCTTTGGGCAACTTTAGCCAGTCTAAGTCGTCGTGCCCCTCGCGCAAACCGACTCCGTTCCGATCCAGGCCCGCTCGGCTTCCGGCGGGCGCTATCTTTATGTTTGCTACTCTCTAGTATGCACATGTTCCCGTCCGCAACTGCATCTTCAATCTCTTCACTTGCCTCTACCTGTCTCCCCCATCACGGTCTTGCGTTTGAGTCTTTCAGTAGTTGCTCTCGCCGCTCCTTCTCGTCTCTTTCCTCTTCTCCGCCCGACGTAGAATCCTCTAGCCAGCACGATACCCCAACAGCAGACAAGATGGGCTCCCTTCCTACCGTTCCTCCTTTCAAGGTGTTCGTCGCCGGCACCTCGTACGCGGGCATGTCCACCGCCCTCAACCTGCTTGATCTCAGCAAGGGCGAGTCGCCGCGTCTCGCTCACTCTCCCTACGAGCACCACCCCGACTTCAAGAACGTCCCCGTCGAGATCACCATCGCCGATGAGCGTGACGGCTTCTGTAAGGATACATACCCAACAAGTCAATCAGCCACGTGCTAACCACCGACTCCGTCTAGTCCACCTGATCGGCTCGCCGCTCGCCTTCGCCGACCCCGCGTACGCCGCCAAGTCCTGGGTCAAGTTCCAAGATATTCCCGCCCTCCAGCGCCCCAACGTCCGCTTTATCCAGGGCAGCGTCAGCAAGGTCGACCCGGCCACCAAGACGGCGACGGTCCTCGACCACGTCACCAAGCAGCCCCAGGACCACTCCTACGACTTCTTCATCGGCGCCACCGGCCTCCGCCGCGCGTTCCCCGTGGTGCCCCAGTCCCTCACCCGCAAGCAGTTCCTGCTCGAGGCCGAGGAGCAGATCCACGCCGTCCGCAACGCCCCCGACGGCGTCGTGATCGTCGGCGGTGGCGCCGTCGGTATCGAGATGGCCGCGGAGCTCAAACTCATCGAGCCCAGCACAAAGGTCACCCTCGTCCACTCCCGCGACAAGCTCCTCTCCTCCGAGGGCCTGTCCGACGAGTGCAAGGACAAGGCCCTCGAGCTCACCCGCGAGGCCGGCGTCGAGTGCCTCATGAGCACCCGCGTCAAGGAGACGCGCAAGCTCGAGCCCGCCACCCCCAACGGCCGCGCCCGCTACGAGGTCGAGTTCACCAACGGCGACAAGCTCGTCGCCAGCGAGGTCGTCATGGCCATCTCCCGCCAGGTCCCCTCCACCGACTACGTCCCCGCCGCCGCCAAGGACGACGAGGGCTACGTCAACATCCACCCCAACCTCATCTTCTCCTCCGACATCCCCAACGCCGCCGACCACGTCGCCGTCGGCGACATCGCCAAGTGGTCCGGCATCAAGCGCTGCGGCACCGCCATGCACCACGGCCACATGGCCGCCATCAACGTCCACCAGCTCATGCTCGCCAAGCTGACCGACGGCACCCACAAGCCCAAGTTCTTCGAGCTCGGCCACGTCGACCCCATGATCGGCCTCGCCATCGGCAAGAAGGCCGTCGCCAGCAGCCCGACCTCGGGAACCCAGTGGGGCGAGGACGTCATGCACTCCTACTTCCGCGACGACCTCGGCTTTGACAGTGAGTTTTGCCCCTTTTTGACACTTTGAAACTACTCGAAAGAATCGTTATACTGACTGGTTATTTTAGTCTGCTGGAACCACATGAAGCTTGGAAAGGCTGACAACTGAATCTGCTCTCTACTGTGATTTCAATTGGGGATTTTTCTTTCTGGGTACAACGGAGTTCGTGGGAGTTATGATGACGACGCAATGTCCGTCCGGTAGTTTAGAATAAATTGCCTAGACATAAATGCAATGATCTTTTTGACGTACTTCAACCAAGTCACTTTTCCAGTGCATTGTTCCTTCTCATGTGTATCACACTCCAACTGAGCTTCATGTTTAAATGTGCAAATGATGTTATGTATAATGTTTACTCAAATTATTGACACAATTCTACAGCAGAGGTATACCTAAAAACCGCAGCGGACACATTTTACGTACAAACCATTCCCCATCTCATCCACCCAGAGCCCCACACTGCATTCTATGACTTACAGCTTGGGGACGAGGCCGAGACGCATGCCGCCGACGACCTTCTCGTTCTCGCCGAGGGGGCAGAGCTGGAAGAAGCGCTCGCGGGAGCAGCGGACGAAGGCGCTGCGCTTGTGGGGGAGGTCGACGAACTTGTCGAGGCCGAAGCCGTGCATGAAGTCGTACATGAGGACGGTGTCGTTGGTCTTCTTGGGCTCGCCGACGACCCAGGTGGTGCGCGGGTCGTCGAGGTAGAGGAAGTGCATGAGGGAGGACCACCAGGCGCTCACGCGGTGGGGGCCGCGGAAGCGCACGTCGCCGACGAGGGAGTGGCGGCCGCGGTCCCAGTCCTGCGCGTCGTAGTAGCCTCCGAGCTTGTCCTCCTGTTGAGTCGTGTGTTAGTCTTGCTTGTAATTCTTTTTGTATGAGGTGATTTGGGAGTCCATTGGGGGCTTACCTTGGCCCAGTAGACCTCAAAGTAGGCGAAGAAGGTGTCCTCCCAGGCGGCGAGGATGGCGAACTGGTGGGGGTCCTCGTCGATCTTGCGCAGGTACTCGCGGTGCTGGTCGAGGGTTCCGGTCTCGTTCCAGCCCTGGGAGACGCGGGGGTCGTTCTGCCACTCGTGGAAGAGGCGGAGGTGCTCCTCGTTGCGGTAGTCGAGGGCGACCATGGAGAAGGTCTCGCGCAGGTGGGGGATCCAGCGGCTGTAGACGGTGGCTCCCGGCGCGGGCTTGGCCGGGCGGATGGGGTGCCAGGCCTGCTGGTAGAGGTTGGGGTTGGCCGGGTCGGAGGCCGGGACGGCGGTCATGGTGTGCTGGAGGGGGGTGAGGGGGTAGGAGGACAGAGGGCGGTCGACGAGGGAGGCCGGGGACTCGGCGGGCAGCCAGACGGGGCGGGGGCCGAAGGGGGAGCCGGCGCCCTGCCAGAAGGCGCTGCGGAGGAGGACGACGGTGGCGTTGTCGGCGGTCGCGGCGGGCTTCTGGGAGGCTTCCTGGACGGGGTGCTCAATGGCGAGCAGGACGTCGCGGAGCTGCTGGCCGAGGACGTCGGCGCCGGCTCCGCGCAGCTCGAGGCGCTGGAGCTCGTCGGCCGGGCGGAGGACCCAGAGGACGTAGACGAGGAGCCATGCCTGGGCGAGGGTGGGCGCGGTTTTGCCGTCCCAGGAGAAGACGGTGCTCGGGGAGCGGCGGGAGCGGGCCCAGGGGCTGTTGTTGGAGTCGGCGGGGAGCTCGCTGGACTTGAGGTCCGCGGGCTCGGTGAAGTAGAGGTTCTCGCTGTGCAGGCGTTCGGGGACGGGGACCTGCTTCGCGTTGCCGGCGTTGGCGGCGTGGGGGGCGAGGCGGTAGAAGTGAAGGCCGCCCTCGGCGGTCTTGCCGGCGAAGGTGTCGTGGTTGAAGGCGCGCTGAACCGCGTACTCGGCGTGGTACGGGTGAGGCAGCTTGATGATGCTCTCGTTGGAGGAGGCGATCGCGGCGAGGGAGACTGGTGCCGACATGGCTGCGGTGTTGTGAGGTGCGTTCCTAGGGATGGTACGCGTTTCTCGGAGCTTGATTGGAGATGGAAACTAAGCTCTGGAGGATCAAAGGGGTATGAGACGTCCTCAGGATTGACGCAATTGGTATTATCACAGCTTGAAGCTTTTGGGTAAGGTATTGAGAGGCAGTTAGAAGATCGGGGAGGTAAGGTAGGTGAGCTTCTAGCTTCGGAGCTTCACAGACAGGCTATGTCACCACCGCCTACTCGTTTGGACAAAAAGATGCCGAGTTTACACCATCCAAGACCCTGACAACGCGACGACCCTGGTCGCATTCTCGTCGGAATAACGCCGCTCGTCGCCGTGCCATGCCGATGCCGTGCCATGCCACGCCCTCAAAATTTTCTTCAATGGGCTGGCAGTGGCAGGCCACACAGCATTTCGAGCAAGCCTTGCAGCACCAAGGGTCAGTCATGACATCGTCGCGACACACCGTCAATCCAGCGCCAGTCCGGGGTGGTGGTGGTCAGAGGAGGTCGACGGCGGGGTACGCTTGTATCCTGGCTCCGTGACAGCTCCAAAGGGGGTATGCGTAGACGGGGAAGCAGAGGTACAAACATGTACCAGAGGAATGAATCGGTAATGAACATGGGGTGAGGGATGGCCCCGTGAATTAAAGGTCCACGCCTTGCACTCGCAGCGGCCAAGACCTCGGGTAGCAGACGATGAGCACGGAGCGAGACGAAAATACTCCGAGAGAACTTTTTTTCTCGCACGTCACCCTGTCCCAGACAGGTTCGGACCAAAACCAGTAGAGTTCGGCGTTAAGAAGTGGTTCATCCCTCGTCGTGGTCGTCTCCTCGATGTCGTCAGTTGCGTGCGCGAAGGGACGGCGGTTTTTTCCTCCAGGGAAGGTGGCTGTCCTTAGCGGATCTGATAACTTTATTAGAACCCAGTTCGGTGATAGCTCCGGCGTCGGAGGGAAGGTGGTCCACACAGCGGCGGCCACCAGCCGGATCAGATAAGATCAAGAGAGAGAATTTTTCTTCATGGGCGGGGCAGCGGGCGGTAGGTGGAGCACGTACCGGTACTGCAGTACGTACCGTCTTCCCGATCCTGCCCGTGGCCCCTGCTCCTGTCTGTGGAGGGGGCGTGCGTTTCTAAAGACCCCATCTGCCCCTCAGTGGGGTCAGATTCGGACGTGAGGCCTGTTTTGGTGCATCTCCTGGCGCTCGCAGAAACCTCTCTTGGGATCGCAGATCGTCAGTGTCCAGAGTGCGCGACTCTTATTTTTTTTTGTCTTTGGTTTTCTCCTGTTCTTTGGCTGCCTCCACCGGCATGCTCGTCGCTGGTGGGACACACTGGATCTTGCTCAGGCACAGCGCTCTCCAACATGCGGCATTGCCGTCCGTCTGTCTGTTCCCGAGCAACAAGCTTCTGTCGCCGTTGGAACGCCGTCTGTTCTGCCCTCCCACCGGATCTGATAAACTTCTTCGATCGGCTCTCCCCGCCTGCCAAGTCCCTCATCTGCCGCCCATCAACCGGAAGGAACTCCCGTTATCTATCCGTACGTGATATCTGCTGTGCCGCTCGAACGAACAACCTTAAAACTCGGAGCCTTCCGAGCTTGGGAACGCCGTTGACTCTGTTGATTTTGAGGTAGCCCAACACGAACATCGGCAACAGTGACCAAGCCGAGGGCTGAATGGAAAGCTCCGTGGTGATCACTTCCACCGTACTCCATAACGTGGCCCCGCCAAGATTGATAACTTGGAAACCGTGACTCAGGGTCTGTCATGTTATTTTCGTATACATCGTATTTACGTCGGTCGCCGCGATGGATCTCAAATCGGCTTTACAGCCGGCAGATCGGTCCCATGTTCTCCGGCGGCGCTTTCGGCACGGAGGTGCTGCGGTTCGGACCAGTCACCTCCATTGTAACGCCTGTGGATTGATGATCCGATTTGGACCGGTGCTCACTGCTCTCTGAGGCCGCGGCCTGCGACTGCAACTATAATCTTCCTCAACTAAAACTCATGCATCTTCCGTCTATTACCAAAGGACTATGGAATGTATTCCGACGATTATCTGACAAGAACATCATATTCAAGTCTCTGTAGTCAAGTTCATATTGGTGAATTGCGGACAAAGAGTCTTATCGTGAAGCAAGTCGTGTTCAATAAGTCTATTATTTATCCAGAAGCAAGCCAAAACAACCAAACATCTCATCAGAGCTGCATGACAACCCACGTAGCATCCATAGTCGCGATCCCTTCCCCCTTCGCCTTAACCTCCTCAACAGCCTTCTCGATCCTATCCACGTAACCCAACAACTCCTCCTCCGCCTCCTTGCCCAACTTCTCCCCAAGCACCTCCTCCTTCCACGCAGGATCCAACACAGCGCCGACCTCCCACTGCCCATCCAACATCCCCGGCGTGTCTACGGTCCCCTTATCAAACAACTTCCACCCTTCTCCCTCCGCCACCCGGATCAGCTCCTCGGGGCTCAGCGCACCTCGCACATTCGACTGCTCGAGCGTGAACCCCCGATCCTCGCGAAGCGCGTGGAACCGCTTCTGCGCCTCGACTGCGAGCTCGTGCGGGACCTGCGCCGGCGAGGACGCTTTCAGTGAGTACTCCGCGAAGCAGAGCCTCTTAACCCTGCCGGACGAGTGCAGGGCCTTGAACAGACCGGCGACAGCCTCGCGGGAGGGGAAGTACCACAGCGAATGGCACAGCGTCGCGGCATCGAATTCCTCCGCCGGGTGCGAGGCGAGGTACGACGGGCCATCCGCCTGGTGGAACGTAATCCGTGACCCGTACTCTGACGAGAGGATATGCGACTGCGCCTGCGCGAGCGTGAAGGGGCTGCCGTAGTCGCCCGGGGCCGGGTCGAGCGCCGTGACGTGGCCGGCCGGTCCGGGACCGGTCGGCGGACCACCACCACCACCACCCACGGCGTGCGCGAGGACGAGGGCGGAGTCGCCCTGCCCGCACCCGATGTCGAGGACGCGGGAGGACGGGGCGATGGACCAGAGGGACGTCAGGCGGAGACGGTGGGTTAGTTGGGGGATGATGACTTTGTGGAGGTGTTTCGGGTCGTGGGGATAGGCTTTCGCGAGGGCGAGGAGGGTTTCTTGAGACATTGCGGGCGCGATTTGGTTATGAATGGTGTTTAGGTTAGGAGTCTTGATTTGTTGTTGATGAGCTTGATGTTGGATTGGGCTGGGAAACTTTAGTATTTAATCTTCAACATAATGACTACATTTTCGATTGAATTGACAATCGTTGGTTGTCTTGCAACTTACGATGAGAAAGCTTACTTGCATGAGACAGTCTAGTGAGTCACCCACTTACTTACACGCTCATCCGAGCCACCCAATCGTCTCACCCTCAAAGTCTTTACAAACCCGAAAATACGTGGAAATCAATACAGTTTCAGGGTTTCGAGTGAGATGTTTGAAAAAAATGAACGAATCAACTGCTTCTCATTTCTTAATTGAGAAGGGCGCTCTTACCATCTCCTGCAACTCAACGGCTGTGTCGTAGGCTTACAGGTCATCGAGCTTCCGTACTGGGAAGTTGGAGTCACGGATGATTGGCGATTTTGGCCTCACCTGAATTTGGCCTCACTGGAGCCTCTTGGCGGCACATCATCCGCTCTTTTCCCGCAATTGTTCCGCATTTTCTGAGTGAAGTTGAATAATCACGTCAAGAACATGGATGGATCTTGTTGCGACCGTGATTGAGTTTCAGTGAGCACATCGCAAATCATGCTTAACTTCCGAGTTCCACTAATAACAAAACTCTGTTAAACGTCTGCTTGAAAATGATCTGGCTATATGGGCTTTCTATCCATCCTGTGCCCCAAATTACTAAAGAACCAAAGAAAGCAAAACACTTTTGTATGGTATCGCTCTGTGCACTTGTCGTTTCTCCACCCCAGCTCTAAGGCACTCTATAATTTACAACTTGGCAGAGATCTTGCTCTTCTTGAGAATCTCGTCGCCAACCTTTGCGATCTCGAACTTGCGGACCTTGCCGCTGCCGGTGAGGGGCACGTTGGCCGGCACGCCGTCCTCGCCGAGCCAGAAGATGTGCGCGGGGCTCTTGTGACCGCCGAGGCGCTGGCGGACCCAGTCCTTGAGCTCCTGGAAGGTCGGCTTCTCGCTGTTCTCGGCGCGCTGGACAAAGGCGCCGACAACCTCGCCGTAGTGCTCGTCCTTGAGACCGACAACGATGGCCTGGGAGATTGAGGGGTGGGCCATGAGGCGCTCCTCGATCTCAAGGGGGTAAATGTTCTCACCACCTATTGGGTCTGTTAGTATATGGTCGCCAAGATGGCAACTTAGAGATGCGGCTTACCTCGGATGATAATATCCTTGAAGCGTCCGGTGATTGAGCAGTATCCCTCATCGTCGAACACGGCCTCATCGCCAGTGTGCAGCCAAAGAACACCAGCAGAGTCACGAACCATGACCTCGTTGGTCTTCTCCGAGTTGTTCCAGTATCCGGCCTGGAGCTGGTAGCCGGCCATGCACAGCTCACCTCGCTCGCCCATGGGCACGATGTTGCCGTCTCTGTCGACGATCTTGGCCGAGGCGTGAGGCATCAGCGTGCCGACCGTCGTCAGTCTCTTTCCAAGAGCATCGTCGGTGAAGGCGTTGAAGCAGGTAGGAGAAGCCTCCGTCAGTCCGTAACTGCTGGTGAACTCCTTCATGCCAAGGCGGTTCACCATCAACTCCATCAGGTAGCGAGGCACGGGAGCACCCGCAACGATACCGGTGCGGATCTTGGAGGACTTGAAGTCATCCGGTGCGGCTTGGAACAGGGAGTCGAACATGGCCGGGACACCGTGAAGCGCCGTGCAGTCCTCCTCGAGGATGGCCTTCAGAGTGGCCTTGGTGTCGAATACTTCGGCAGGGTAGACAATCTTGGCGCCATGAGTGATGACGGACAGGAGACCCAGAACAAGACCGAAGCAGTGGAACAGAGGGGGAGGGCAGCAGAGGCAGTCGTCGGGGGTCAGTCGCATGCGGTCACCGATGAAGCGGGCGTTGTTGACGACGTTGCTGGGTCAAAGTCAGCGCTGGTGATCATCTCCAAAGTTCGAGAACTTACTGATGGGTAAGCATGGCAGCCTTGGGACGGCCAGTGGTTCCACTGGTGAACTGCAGGTTGCAGACCTGATGAGGAACGACCTTGCTCATGGCAAGGTGCAGCTCCCTCGGGCTTTGTCGCGAGCTCGACTTGATGAGCTCATCGTACGTCTGGTATCCCTCCGTGTCGCCCCGGATCATGACAACCTTGGGCCCGTTGATCTCGTTCGCCAACTGGTCCAAGAATTTCCTGTTGTCGAGTCTGCCGATCTGCTTTGTGGTGAACAGGATCTTGCATTCTAAGAAGTTGTGAGTTTGCGATGCGTTTCTGACGCCATGTTTCCGACTTACCTGAGAACTGAACCGCGTACATGGCCTCGCTGGGCGTGTAGGTGTTGTTCAAGATGACGAGAATGGCACCTATCCTTGCAACGGCGAAGAAGATGGCTGCGTACTGCTCACAGTTGCCCGCCATAACACCAACTCTGTCTCCCGACTTGATGCCCATCTTCAGGAGAGCCTGGGCGAGCAGCAAGCTCTGCTGGTTGAGCTCGTTGTACGTCCATCGTGCGCCGGTCCAGGGGATCACCAAGCACTCCTTGGTACCGTGTTGGTAGGTCTGGAGCTCCAGGAGCTCACCGAGACTCAGGTCGACGAGAGGTGGATCGCGAGGGCCGTGGAGGATCGATAGCCTCTGCGTGGGAGCAAAAGGCTCGGATACGGTTGTGTTTGATGTTTCTGTGGCCATGTTGTCGACGAACAAACGATTGCTAGCTACGGCTACTTGGTTGAAGTTTCTACTGAAGCGAAGCTTGTCGTCGATTGTCGTCGTGGTCAAGATTGTCTATGGCAAGTGGAAGAAATTCGGCGATCTTCGTACAACGCTGCCGCCTTGTCGGGTTCGCATGGCAGAAATAAACTGGCCTGGTTCCAGAATCCATGCACAGGGCCCTGCTTCTGCGTCACCGCGCCGAGGGACAGCTTCGGGGATCATCTGGATCCAGCCAGAAGCGAGCGAGGTGGCCTCCACTTCGCCGAACTGGGCTGGCCAAGCTTCGTTTTCCTGTGTCTGCGGCCTCCGTTCTGAAGAAGGCGCCACGCCGCGCGGGACGTTGCGAAGTCGCGCCTCGTTGTTGCGTTCAGGGTCTTTAGTCAATTCATGCAGTCAGCCCGGCCTAGACCGAACTGGAAACTGCTTCGCGCTGGAAGCTATGTATCCGCGGAGGAGGGGCTTTTGCGATCCGATCATGGCCACTGGCGTCACTGAACAGTGGTTGGATTGGCTCTTTTCCTACGCCTCATGCCACTGAGACCACGAGCCTTCAAGGTGATCGTGTCAGTTGATGACACTCTGTAGCAGTGGCTAGGATGCAGGTGTGTAGAAGTGGGATGCGATGGATCGAATGTGTGGGTGGAAAGACTTGGTTGTTCATGACATGTGTGCGTGCATGGGAGGTGGATGAATTGAGGATGAATTGGTGAATGGCGTTTGCAGCTGCTTTTCCCGCCCCCTGTCTGCTGGGGTACCTGCTGAAGGTACCTCGCGGTACACTGATGGCTGTGACCAATCATAGAGACCCAAACCCCACATTCTGGCACTAAAACCCCACCCCAACCCTGCGCGTCGTCGGATAGGTTCGGGACTTGATCTAATCAATCACATCTTGGATCAGATAAGATTACGGAAGGAACATCGTGCAAAAATTTTCTCAACCGAGGTAGCCCCCCCCTCCAGTGCTTTTCCTCCTTCCATATTTTTTTCTTCAACGTAACCTCGTCCTCAGTGCCTCCGACAATCCTCCGCCTTTCACACCCTCCGAAATCGCTTCTCACCCCCGACCTTCCTTAAACTCCACGCCAATCCACAGATCGTCGTCGACTTGTCGCTTCCTAAGACGTCAGGTTGCAGCATCCACCTTTGTCCTGGTCACCCTCCACGTCTGCCCACTCTGACAAGAAAGACAGACGGAGAGTACCGCTACTTCCGCCCTCGATGCCTTCTCGCTTCTCGTCAGGCCATATGAGACCGCACCCTCCCTCCCACTCTCCCGGCTTTAGCGTGCCCTAGGATTCGTCACCTCTCACTCGCCCGGGCACCCTGATCTTCATGCAAGCAAGGTCTTGGCTTGGCTGCCATTTAATATACAAAGCCAAGGCCCAGAGCCAAGACATGCAGGTTCCTCCCTAGAAAGAATTCAGGCACAGAAACTTTTCTCTTCTCAGTATGGCTTGCAGATTCAAATCGACCGCGGCACACCCAAAGTTCAAACGTCTAAACAAGAGTACGGGATACATGACACATTGTCTTGGCGCTATCCTACGGAGATCGCCATGGCTATGCGCCACGGACTAACAATGATCATTTGAAAGGCGGGTATCCCTGAGCACGCCACTCCTTGAACGTCAGGCCCTTGGCGATGGACGGCATCTTGACCATCAAGGGAATCTCGACGTCCTTCTTCTTCTTCACCAACGCAGCCCGGTGGACAACCTTCTCATCGAGCGTTTCGAAACCCAAGCGGTTGTAAAGTGGGTAACCCACTGGAGAGGACTCGAGGTAGACGGGCAGTCCCGCCAGCTCGGCCATGTCGAGTCCCCATTTCGTCAGGAGGGCACCGACACCTCTTCTCTGGTGCTCCGGCCTTACAGCAATGACATGACAGTCTGCGCCGCGAGAACACATGTGTCATTAGCAAAAATGAACCAAACGGGCTGCAAGAGGTGCCTCTCGAGGATCGAACGGGGGTTGAGAAAACAATTGTCACGGGTTCCACTCACAAACGTGTCTCCGGCCACCCCAGAGCTTCGCCTTAATGTCACAGATCGGGCTGACCAGCTCCTCGGCCTTTTCTCTGTCTTCGCCCTTGAGCCAAGTAATGCCCTGGAATTCGTATTCTTCCGGGGTGCGCTCCTTGAGGAAGACGTCCCAGAGGGCCATGCCCACGATCTCGCCCGTTTCCGAGTCGACGCACTTGAGCGTGTACTGGGTGTCGCTCTTGTGCCAGTAGCTTAGCGTGTGCTTCGTGTGATCCTCGCGGAAGGCCTCGTCGATGCCCCCCGGGAAGAGGAGATCGATGAGGGCGTCCCCCTTGAACGCTGCAAAGTATGCATCGTATACCTTGGGGATGTCGGGGATTAAAGCGGGTAGGACGGTAAGGCCCATTGCGTCTGTAGGTATGAGCCGAGAAGCAGGGCGAGATCCCGAATGACTGGCTGTTGTGGCGTTGTTCTCTGCGTCGGTCTGTTTTTCCGGCGCAGCAAAGATGCAGTGTACGGTGAGTGAGCCTCGATCTGATCTGAGGTTCCGAGTTGGAGGGTCGCTTCGAACTGACGAGAATGTTGTGCGTCGTTCCGATAGCAAACTGATAGCGTGCGGGTGTCGAGATGATACGTCGATCCAGCAGCAGGAAAGTCCGGTATCCCACCTCGTTCTCCGACCACAGCGTGTTATGGATATTTAGGCTGGCCGCGCTTGAAGACTTTTCCCTTACAAATGGGAGTTGGATTGTCCCGCACAATTCTTGACAAGAAGTGGACTCAACTGCCGAGCCCTGGTTTCGCCAAAATTCTACTCGGGGTTGACGCGGCAATTCACACCAATGATCAGGGTGTTATGGAAATGCCGCAATCACGAAACGGCTCGTTATCGGATTTGCCCCGCGGCTTGATGCTGGTAGTAGCATGTGTTCTTCCTATTCGATCCGGAGGGCAGAAGTTCGTCCGTTATGAGCCAGTTCTCACCGGACCCGGAGACTATTCTATTAGTAGCGTCACAATCATCAACTCCTTTCTCCCCACATCCGCCGGAAAGACTCATCAAGTAACGGGCGACAAAGGTCGCACAGCCCCGGCAGTCATGGTCCGTTAAAGTTATCAGATCCGCGATTTCGAGAGGGCTTTCGTTTGTGCGCACCTCCTCGTAAGGCATCGATGAGAGAAATTTTCTCAGACACACAACACACGGCGCTGTCCCCGGCCTTGCCTCCGGCCCACAAGCGGACACGCTGCTTGGCACTCCTAATCAGATCCGTTCTTCAAGACCCCGGTCAGGCACAAAAGTACCGCTCTGTACATCACACACCCCCTTCCCCTCCCTCCGTCCTCGTCTGCAGGGTCACATCGACCCACGACATCATCACACACACACACACACCCTCCCTCGTTCAACGTATGATGAGATGGCGTCTTTGGCCAAAAGGACCCGTCATGAAACTCTTGCCTTATTGGTACTTCGAGGGTGTGCTCAACTCATTCGCATCTGACGTCCTTTCGCTAATGCGGCATCACTTAACATAGTACCGCATAGTAAAGGCCCAGTCGTTCGCGCCGACGACGGTCTACCGATACAACTCAGTACATACCCTACCCACCCGGAACAGCTTCATGGATTAGGCACGTTGCGCCGTTGTGGCTCGCATCTGCCCTTCACCAACACATGAATGGCTTGGAGTCTCTGCTACTGCGCCTTTTCACAAGCTCCCCCCGCTGCCCTTCTCGCCGTACTTCGTACCGCAGCTCGGTTTGCGAGGGAATGTAACTCGGTCGCAGTACCAGCCATGGGGTTCGTCGATCCAGAACGAGTCGGCACGCTCTCCAGCCCGCATGCAAGGATGCGGCCCGAAGTCTTGCAGACTTGCACATAAGAGCCTCTGGTGGTTCACGAGAGCGAACTTCGCGTGGAAAACGGGTAGCTCTCCACCCTGCCGGTTGATCTCGTCACAAAATCTCAGGAACCAGTCCTCAACTTCAACAGTCGCAGAGGGAACAGTTCTTGTCTCGTCAGCTTGTGAAATGCTGCAAGTCGAACCTCGTCCTACCTCATAACGCTCGTTACCCCTCCCCCGCGCCCTCCGATCCCAAGAGAACACCAGACGAACCATGCATTTGCGGGACGGCGAAGGTGGCGGAACCGCCTACCAAGAGACTGACCGCGCAGATGGCTCGAACGGCCTGACCAACGGCACCGTCGACCCGTCCTCGACGAGAACCATTGCCGTTGCGCCCCGCGATGGCGCCGAGAGCGGCGTCGCCGCCTACAGACTTGAGTTGCTGCTCGCATGGCTCCTCGTGCTGTACCGCAACAATGACGACGGCCTGAGCCGTGTAAACTGGGGCTTCAGAACGCGAGACGGCCAGCAACCGTTGGAGAACAGCTTAAACCTGAGTGAAGTTCCTTTCAGCAAGGACAACTCGATAGCCGAGGCTCTCCAGATCATCAAGAACCTCGATGCCAACGAAATCGGTGATGCGCAAACGGTCCCGGTGATATACTTCAACAATGGAACACCCGCGCAAGGTGGCGCTGAGAAGACGCCTTCCAAGCGCTCTCATGACGTACGTAGACCCAATCATAGCTCTAATTCTCACCAAATTCCTTCAAAATTTCCATATTTCAACTTGCTGATTTGAGGTTCCAGTGGACGTACCAAGTCGAAGCGACCGTTCTTGAGCAGCAGATGGTGATCAAGGCCCAATGGGACCGGGCGGCCGTGACCTACCGTACTGCCGTTTCCCAACTCGACGCCTTTGTCGAGATCTTCTCCAACATCCTCGAAAAGCCCGATCGCCTCATTGGAGACACAGTCGGGCCTACCGCCAAAGACCTCGAGCAGATTTGGACCTGGAACGCGGAGCTTCCACCGAACATCCAACGATGCATGCAAGATATCATCTCAGAAGTGGCCGCCAATGGCCCTGACAGGCCAGCGATTGAGTCATGGGACGGAAACTTTACCTACGGCGAGGTTGAACAGCTCTCTACCCGCCTCGCGCGTCATTTGGTGCACCGCGGGGTGACGGTCGGCTCGACTGTTCCCATGTGCTTTGAGAAGTCAAGGTGGACGACTGTGGCTCTTCTGGCCGTCATGAAGGCTGGTGCCGCCTTTGCGCTCACCGACCCTAGCCAGCCTGAGGCCCGTCTACGGACCATCGTTGAGCAGACTGGAGCCACGATCATCGTCACATCCCAGTTGCAGAGCGAACTCGGTCGTCGCATTGCGCCCGAGGGAACCGTCATCATTGTCTCTGAGGAGGTTATCAGCTCAGACTCCCTCGAGCTCGCCCCTGAGCTGCCTGTTGTCCCGCCTTCCTCCCCCCTCTATATCCAGTTCACCTCCGGCAGCACGGGTAAGCCCAAGGGCGTCGTGATCTCCCACGAGAACTTCACCAGCGGCGCCATTCCTCGTGGCGACGCTGTCGGCTACCGCGCGCACACGCGCTGCTTCGATTTCGCTTCGTATGCTTTCGACGTCAGTATCGACTGCATGCTCTGTACGTACGCCGCAGGCGGCTGCCTCTGCATTCCCTCCGACGAGGACCGCATGAACGACCTCAGCGGCGCCATCCGTAACAGCAAGTGCAACATGGCTCACATGACTCCCTCTGTCGCCCGCGTTCTGGACGCGGATGTAATTCCCTCCCTCGAGGTCCTCGGTCTCGGAGGTGAGGCCGTTTCTGCCGGCGATGCTTCGACGTGGAGCAAGACCACCAGCGTCATCATTGCCTACGGCCCTTCGGAGTGCACTGTTGGTTGCACCATCAACAACAACGTCAAGGTTTCCACCAACATCGGAAAGGGTGTCGGTGGCCTCTGCTGGATTACCGACCCCGATGACCACGACCGCCTGATGCCAGTTGGTGCTGTTGGTGAACTCCTCGTCGAAGGTCCCGTTGTTGGTCCTGGGTATCTCGGTGACAAGGCCAAGACTGACGAGGTCTTCATCAATGATCCCGCCTGGCTCCTCGCGGGTGGCGGACCTGCTCGCGGCAGACATGGCCGTCTCTACAAGACCGGCGACCTTGTCCGCTACGACCCTGATGGCACCGGAGCCATCGCTTTCGTCGGACGCAAGGACCAGCAGGTCAAGCTCCGAGGCCAGAGAATCGAGCTTGCTGAGGTTGAGCACCACCTCAGGGGCAAGATGCCCTCCGGTGTCAAGATCGTTGCCGAAGTTATCAAGCCCGGCGGTACCGAGCCTACCCTGGTTGCGTTCGTCGTTGAGCAGCAGCCCGTTGACTCTCCTGATGCCGAGGGTGACGTGACCACCTTCTCCCCTGAGTTCAGCCAGGCTATCGCCGAAATTGACATCGCTCTTGGAGCCGAGATCCCCCGCTACATGGTTCCCTCCGCATACATTCCTCTCCGCAAGATGCCGTCTCTTGTTTCCGGCAAGATCGACCGCAAGAAGCTGCGTGAGCTTGGTGGCTCCATGACCCGAGAGCAGGTTGCCCGCCTCCGCGTCGCTCCTACTGAGAAGAGCGAGCCCGAGACCGAGATGGAGAAGGGACTGCAGCAAGTCTGGGCCAAGGTTCTCGGTGGTGACGCCACCATTGGCCTGCATGATAGCTTCTTCGCCCTTGGTGGTGACTCTCTCAGAGCGATGAAGCTGGTGGCAGCCGCCAGAGAGGAGGGCATTGCTCTTAGCGTTGCAATCATTTTCAACTTCCCTACGCTCAAGGAGATGGCCCAGAACGCGACCAAGGTCTCCAAGGACGATGATGTCGCCATCGCTCCCTTCTCCCTCCTTGAAGAGGGTTGGACCCCTGAGGAAGCCCGCGCCGAGTCTGCCAAGCTTTGCGGCATCGAGGAGTCCTCGATCGAGGATATCTACCCCTGCACGCCTCTTCAAGAGGGTTTGATGGCTCTTTCTGCCAAGGTCAAGACGGCATACACTGCCCAAAGAGTCGTCGACCTTCCCGACGCGGAGACAGCAGACAAGCTTCGCAAGGCCTTCGACGTCGCAGCCGCGGATTGCCCCATCTTGCGCACCAGAATCGTCCAAGTGCCCGGACGCGGTCTTGCTCAGGTGGTCATCAAGGAGGACATCCCCTGGTTCATCGGCGATGACTTGCAGAGCTACCTCGTTAAGGATCGTGAAGAGGACACTGATCTCGGCAAGCCCCTTGTCAGATATGCTCTCATCACTGACAAGGACACTGGCAAGGTGCACTTCATCCTGACGATGCACCACGCTCTCTACGATGGTTGGTCCATGCCTCTTGTCGTCGAGAAGGTCAACAAGGCCTTCGACGGCGAGAGAATCCAGCGACCTGCGGGATTCAACGCCTTCATCAAGTATCTCAATGGCATGGACCGAGCTGCCGCCGAGACATACTGGCGCGATCAGCTCCAGGGAGCTACGGGTACTCAGTTCCCTGCTCTGCCGTACCCTGGCTACCAAACCCAAGCCGACTCTCTGCTCGAGGTCTACGTACCCCTGACCGGCCGCCCAGCTTCCAACGTCACCGTCGCAACTGTCATTCGCAGTGCGTGGGCGTACGTTGCTTCTCATTACACTGGATCCTCTGATGTTGTCTTTGGTGAGACGCTCACCGGTCGCAACGCCCCTATCAGGGGTGCCGAGGAGATCGAAGGACCAATGATCACTACCGTTCCTTTCCGCGTCCAACTCAACGGCGAGACCACCGTCACCGACTTCCTCCACGACATTCAAGACCAGACCGTTCAGCAAATTCCTTACGAGCACACTGGTCTCCAGCACATCCGCCGTCTCAGCCCTGATGCCCTCGAGGCTTGCGAGCTCCGCACCGGCATCGTCCTTCACCCCAGTGCCGACGACATCGACATGGAGGAGTTCAACAAGTACCCCGCCAACCGTCTCGTACCTGCCGGTGACGCGGAAGCCGCTCAGGAAGCTCTCAAGTTCAACACCTACGCCCTCATGTTGGTCTGCTCCACGGACCCTAAGGGCTTCCTGGTGATGGCCAGCTTCGACTCCAAGACCGTCGGCAAGCCCCTGATGGAGAAGGCCCTCGCTCAGTTCTCTCAGGTTGCGCAGCAGATGTCCAAGCTCACCGATGCCCCTCTGGCTGATGTCAAGTACCTCACGGAGGAGGACCAGGCCGAGGTTGCTCGCCTGAGCATTGAAAGCTTGAAGGCTGTTCAGGCCGAGTACCCCGAAGCCGAGGCCGCTTGGATTGTCAACACCAGCGACTCTGGACTTCTTGCACCTCCGGGCGTCGTTGGTGAGCTGGTGGTTGCTAGCAAGACCGAGCTGGCGTTCCCCACGCTCGACAAGGCGTCCTGGGCGGAACCTACGGAGGGCACCAAGCTCTACAAGACGGATCGCCTCGCCAAGTTTAACCCCGACGGATCTATACACTTCGCCGGCAAGAAGAGTGAATTGGCTCATAAGGCTCCCGCTGCTCCCAAGGCCCCGACCAAGCGCATTTCTGCCACCTCCTCCAAGCAGAGACGTCTCCGAAGCCTCTGGAGCCGCGTCCTCAAGCTCCCCGAGACCGACATCGGTCTCAACGACAGCTTTTTCAGACTTGGAGGTGACTCCATCGGCGCCATGAAGCTCGTCTCCGAGGCTCGCCTGGCCGGCCTCACCCTGACTGTCAACCAAGTCTTCTCCAAGAGAACGCTCTATGACATGTCCTCCGTCCTTCAGGACTCAGAACCCACACAAAGCTCCGACGAGACGACGAAGGCCAGCGTACCTTTCGAATTGCTGGAAAACCCTACTCCCGATGTCACTGAAAGCCTGCGCCCCTTGTTGGCGGACCCGACATGGAAGATTGTCGACGCCTTCCCTGCCAGACCTCTCCAAGAGGTCGCTGTCAAGGGAACCATCGAGATTCCCAGATTCTCCGCGCGTTACGAGGCCATGTACTTTGAGACCGACGTCGACCGCCCTCGTCTGTTCCAGAGCTGCCAAGAACTGGTCTCCCGCAACGAGGTCCTTCGGTCGGTGTTCGTCCAGCACAACGGCACCTGCGTGAGTGTCGTTCTCGAGGACGTCAAGACTCCCGTGGAGGTTTACGAGATCGACGGAGACGTCGAGGCCTTCACCCACCAGCTCTGCGAACTTGATGTCCAGACCCGCATGCCTCTTGGCTCGGTCTTCGTTAAGTGGTTCTTCGTCCACAGTGTCAACGGCCAATCTGCCCTGATCTTCCGCGTCTCGCACGCACAATACGACGAGATCTGTCTGCCGCTGATGCTCCACCAGCTCTCTGCCCTGCACGAGGGCAAGCCCGTGCCCAAGGCTCTCCCCTTCTCCTCCTTCGTCAGCCACGTCGTCAAGTCCAACATTCCCCAGAGCGTCGACTACTGGAAAGAGCTCCTCCAGGGCTCTTCCGTCTCCGTCCTCAAGCCCGACACCCCGATCACGGAGAGACAACACTACGCCATCGACCGCACCTTCGACATCTCTTCCCGCTCAAAGGACGTCACCATCGCCACCCTTCCTACGGCGGCCTGGGCCCTCACCCTTGCCCGCCTCCTCAAGACCAAGGACGTCACCTTCGGCGAGGTCGTCAGCGGCCGCAACATCGACTTCCCCAACGCCGACATGGTCGTCGGCCCCTGCTGGCAGTACGTGCCCGTCCGCGTCAAGTTCGAGGACGACTGGACGGTTCTCGACCTCCTCAACCTCGTGCAGGAGCAGCATATCTCCAGCTCCGCGCACGAGGGCATCGGCCTCAAGGAGATCGCCAAGCTGTGCACCGACTGGCCCGCGTCCGTGGACTGGTTCGACACCGTCGTGCACCAGGACGTCGAGCACGTCGAGACGCTCGGCTTCTCGTCGGCCAGCAGCAGGATGGAGACCATCTACCCCCACCAGGAGCCCCTGCGCGAGTGGAAGATCCAGGCGTTCCCCCAGGGAGATAAGTTGACCATCGAGATTGTCACGTTCGAGTCGTGGAAGGGACATGCCAAGGAGCTGTTGGACAAGATTGAGAAGACGTTCGAGGTGCTCATGGGTAACCCCGGTGCCCCGTTGGCTCCGTTGTTTGAGCAGTAGAAGGTGGATTGTACGTATTGTGTGCCAAACACTGCTGGGGATGTAGGTTGATGATGATACCATAGCTGGATGAGTGGTTAGGAAAAGGACTGCAACGACTTTGCATTTTGTATTGGAGTTTTGTTTCTAATTAAGACTATGTTCCGTTATCTGTTGATGTTCTATTTTTGCTGGCCCATGAGAGCTCCTTCGTTTACAACTCACCATCGCTTCTGCTTCGTCCACATGGTCAAAGTCTTATACCTCGCGGTATCTTTGAATATATAGGGCCAACCCGCAACATAAACTTTTATGACAGATGTGGATTGCGGGCACATATCAAGGTCCTCGTTCGGGAACCTTGCAAGCACCCCTTGGGGTAGCTCACATGACTGAAAAGCCATGATGGAGACGGAGAAGTCCTCAAGTAAGCTCTGTCAACGCCCGACTATCAACGATATAGAGCAAGATTTCGTACAGACTTGTGTGTCAATCCTGGAGGGTTTAAATGGCAAATTAGTCTGTGATGAAAATGACTTCTTTGGTCAGATATCTTGTGAGAAAATTAAGCATCATTTCTGTCGTGATTCGAATCGTCAAGGTCTACTGACAGTATTCGCCACGACGACGAAGAAATTTTTGGTTTTCTCGGGTCATTGAATGGACTATCCATACATGACGCCAAACTTGTGAAAATTCTTCATGGCAGACTATAATTCGTGTTCTAGAAGCGTTGAAACCGACCAATCTTTACACATAGTCAACATATCCAGCACACCTCATCATTGTAATCATGCGTAACTTCAATAATCTTCTTCTCGCGGGCGCCGCTCTGTGGAGCTCTGCATCCGCCTCTTCCCTTGACGTTTCCGATATCAGGAAACTCGACTTGCACCACGATAACCTCAATAACAACACTCGTCTCGACTGCTACCGCGAGCAAGAGTGCAAGGACATTCGCACATATGAGTGTAAGACAGGCTATACCAACGTCGGATTCTCCAGAGACAGCTGTCAAGGGGTGAGTAAAATAGAGCTACCAAAACAATAATCGACTTGTAAGCTAACAAGATTGGTAGCCTGACTTTGCAAATCCGATCTGTTGTAGCACAAGAACCACCAACCGCTTCGGAGTAGACCAAGACGGGAATAAGAAGAAATGTATGTGGCGCGGCACCGGCCCGAACTGCAACGGCGCTGGAGCCCCAGGCGAAGTCGTCTTGTTCAAGTCCGGCAACGGCGGAGGCCCATCTGAGTTCGGTGAAGTAGACGACAAGCAGTGTTCTACAGGCTACAAGTACTTCACGTGCCCCCTGCCCGAGTGGGAGGGCCTCACGTCCACCTGTCGATGGACTGACTGGTACGATCTTACTTCCCCCTGACATTCGAGTACAACCCGTGTAAACTAACGAGGGAAACAGCCAAGGCCACTGCGACGCCGACGAGACGGAAGTCGCCCACGCCAACGACATGTACGGCAGGTGCCCGCACCAGGGCGTCAGGCGAGGTCTGCGGTACTGCTGCAAGAACGCCAGGAAGCCGCTGTCCAACTGTCACTGGGTTGGCCAGGGGCACTGCGATGATAATACGTGTAGTCCGGACGAGGTCACTGCTGCGAGGAACCTTGTTGGCGATCATCTCAGCTGCAAATGTATGTGGAACTATTGTTCATGGGAGAACTTCGCTAACAAGTTGCTAGATGGTCGTGAGAAGTCGCTCTGCTGTACCCCTGAGATGGAGGCGCTGGAGCCGGTTGAGCCTCCTGCGAATCCAACTCCGACTAATGTGAACCAGTCGGGTAAGATGATCCGGGGTGGTTGTCTGCTGAGTGCTGGTGTGATCTGGGCTTGGATATGGTTGTTTGCCTAAGTTGAAGGCGCCACGTTAGTTTCATTGGTAAAGACATAGAAGGCGAGAATGCATTCGTTCGTTGAGTAACATGGTCACCACGACCTGCCCCTGAATTTTCTGAGATACTCAACGTCATCGAAATCCGTCGGTCATTATCAGTCCAACCTTTCCAAAAGCTCGTGAGCCTGGTCTTGATGGTATTCCTGCCCAACGTTGTCTTATTGGTACTCGCTTACCCATGCCTCCTGCATGTCTCATGCAGCTACAAGCCAGGTAAGAAAAAGGGTGTCAGTTCTGAGTGCCCATACAATCAGGGCGGAAGGAGGCTCGGTTCGTTGCTGCCAGTCACCGACTCGCCCAATCCGCCCTGCCATGCTTGCGTGCCTGCTCAGCTCTCGCGTCGTCGAGGAGAATTTCCTCTCGAGATAGATCGACTCTAACATCTTTCCCTCTGCAAACAACTCGTGTCCCTATTCCGAATTCTCGTTCAGAACACTTGCTTTCTACCACGAAGACGAAACTTCAACATCCATTGCCATCGTCAAGATGTCTGACTACTTCTCCTTCATCGACGTCGACAAGCTTGCCGCTGATATGAGCGGCGATTTCCCTGGTATCGACTTCGACTTCGACAATTTCGACGTCACGAACTTCCCTGATGCCGGCGACCAGAATTACCAGAACCACGCTCCCGATCAGATGCCAGGCAACTTCACCTTGACTGAAGCGGGAGATCTTCCTGCCGAGCTGGGCAACATTTCTGGCGAACCGTCTGCCTTCTGGGACCCATTCAGCCTCCAAGCGCCATTGGCCGAGACAAGTCACACGACGGACATGTTCAACGCGTCTTACATGGACGGGCTTGAATCCGTTGGCTGTGGTATCGCCCACGTTGGCGCCAACGGACTAAGCCATGCAGGGAACTCGGATCCGTAAGATTTTTTTTTTACCACTTGCTAACAAAAAGGGTGTCAGTTCATCATTGCAGAATTCGGTCGGCTTTCCCATGACGACTCATATTCGAGCAGACAGCCTTGCGGCTCCGGCCAGACCTAATTCGATTTCTTCGCCAGAGGAAAGCCACGCGAATTCTGCGAGCCAGTCACATTCATCACCGTTGACTTGTGCTCAGTGTGGTTTTGTTGAAAGCAACTCATATGCCTTGAGTGAACATGCCAAACTGGAACTTCACAAGGCATATCGATGCAATGTCGCAGGCTGTGAAGTGCGCCTTGCATCTCGCACCGAACTGGAGTCTCATCAGCGCAGACCTCATCTCGGTGACCACAGACGAGTGGAATATGACCAGCCTTATGTTTGTGAAGAATGCAGAACAGAGTTTCGCAACAAGTCAAAGCTTCAACATCACGCCAATGAAGCACAGCATAGTCCGTTTGCCTGCATTTGCGGCAGCAAGTTCGCTCGTCTGGACGTTCTGAACCGACACCTCGACTCTTTTGGAGACAAGATGCCCAAGCATCCATGCCAGTTCTGCAAGAGACACCAGGGAAAGAACGGATTTCGCAGGAGGGATCATCTTCTTCAACATATCCGAGGGTATCACAAGTTCGAAGCTGAGGGCAAGATTGGCGACATCCTCCCTTCTCGACGTGGTAAACACCATGTGCCTCCCGTATGCCCTCACAAAGATTGCTCGTATCATCGAGGTGAATCTTTCATGAGATTGAGCACCGAAGAGCAGCGTCGCAACAAGCCATTCGAATCCCAGTCCGAATACACGAAACACATGAAGGTTGCTCACAACCACAGTCAATACCCCTGCAATGTTGCTGGATGTAACAAGACCGGAGGGAGAGGTTATTCGAGAGAGAAAGATCTCATTAACCACCGGAGGAAAGAGCACCCCGACGCTGAAGCCTATATGGCACAGCCACGAGACGTCAGAATTCCCTGTCGGCAACCTGATTGCAATTCAAAGCTGTTTCCCAACAGTATGGACAGGCATCTTTTCCTCAGACACGTTGACGAGTGGCGACGGATGAAGTCGAGCTAAATACTGCCGACGAAGACTGGCGCCAACATGTCCCCTACGCTGGGGTTTCTCTTCTCTTCTTATGGGCTGTATTTCATTGTCTTGCCCTCTATTTGTGCCACCTGTTTTGTTCTGATAGTCTATCTTTACTGTCTCTATCACTGTTGTCTCCTCAGCTGCACCCCCTCCTGTCCTTACAGCAACTTCGTTTGACGTTTTGATTAAGTTTCTGGTTCCCTTGTCACCTTTTCTGTACCGCGTGTTCCATAGGAAAATACAATAGAAAATCCAAGTTATCGAGTTGAGACTGATCCCAGCAAGCACAGACGTAACTCACCTCCTCGGAATTGTAGCCAAAAATAACACCCAGTAGATTCAACGAAGGATATGATGTGAGATCTGCCCGTTGTCACAACCGCTATTTAATTGCTAGTTTCACAGTGTTGCTGTATATTGCTTGTTTCCAACTTGGCATGGGACCAAACGCCGCCTGTTATTTGTCCCAATTGCCAGTGTGTAGTTCTCAATGTCTGGGCATATTCTGATAGTACGTTTTGTTAGTCCGAAATCACAACACGTTCATATTGTCCCGGAGCGAGAATCTTTACGGCATCGACTTTCAAACGCATCCAATCTTTATGTATCCTCTTGGGATTCTCAAACGTTAAAACTATATGATACTCATTGTGCTTGCCATATCAAAGCAGTATAACGTGATGCGGTGTATAAGTTGACCTGATCTATCAGCAAAACCTCTATTACTATTCCTGGAAAGTATCGCCTCGAGTTCGATTGGGTGCACTCAGACTGCGTCGTGAAGTGTGATGTTAACTGTATTCAAACTACCACATTCGCCATCTAAATCCCGGTCCCGTAGTGTATCGCTATATGTCGTAAGTTTTCATCTGGGTATTGTAACCAAACGCCTCCCACCATCCACACCCACTAGAGCCCAGTCTCCTTCAATGTCACCTGGACATATCCATATCCTGAACCCCCAAATCGATGGCCTGTAAGACCGAGTCCGCATAATCTCTATTCGGCGCAGCGAGCAACAGCGCGTCCGGATGAAACCCGTCCTCCTCCCACGCCGTCCCCCGCGGCGCCGGATTGGGGGGATACAACGCGCCCACGTGCCGCGGCATCGACTTATACCGCTTGCCGGTGTCGTCGACCCACGTGAGCGACTGGGTCCGGGGGTCCCGCGCCCGCGCCTTCTCGGTGAAGTAATCGATGGGCGACTCCCAGTGCGGGTCGTTGAGCAGCAGGCGCGCGACGTCGGTTCGGTCGTCGAGGAGGAGGGCGAGGCGCGGCGCGGCGAGGTCCTCGGTCCAGTCGGCGCCCAGATGGCGCACGATGCCGGCGATCTCGCGGTCGGCGATGCCGTCGATCCACCACAGGTTCTGGACGGCCTTCATGAACATGAGGTAGTGGGCGAGGATGACGAGGGCGCGGGGCCTCTTCTGGCGGCCCAGCTCGACGAAGCCCTTGGGGATGAAGGTGAACCAGGTGACGACGCGGAGGGTCATGATGGGGCTGAAGCCGTGGACGAGCTCCGAGTAGAGGGAGCCGAGGTACTTGAGGGTGTCGTAGTAGGTTGCGACGTCTTCGAAGTCCGGGTCGCCGGGCTTGATGGAGGTGATCATGAAGAGGAGGTTGTTGGGGATGTGCAGGGCGGCCTTGTCGAGGTCGATCGGGGGCCTGAAGAAGAGCTCGGCCATGCCCGACTCCCATACCGTCTGCGGGGTCGCCATGTCGATCATGAGGCCGATGCCGCGCCAGACTATCATCCAGTCGATGATGTAGAGCTCCTTCGTGCCCGGTTCGCGGAACATTTGTGATGAGAGGGCTGTGAGAAGGAGTGAGGTAGCGATGAGGGCGGGGAATGTCTCCGGCTTGAATTCCTCGATGGCCTTGCGGTAGCCCTCGAAGGCGCGGGCACGGTAGCGGAGGGCTCGCGACGGCGCGATGTCCTGTCCGAGGTGCTGGAGTTGCAGGGCCGAGGTGCCCAGCAGACAGTCCATGAGGAACGGACTTTCGAAGGCGTGAGCCGGGATCTTGATCTTCAAGATATCGTCGATGCGCTTCACCCTCCCGGCCTGAGTCGCGAAGGAGGTGAAGGTGTTTGTAGTGTAAAACCACAAGAGTTTCATGTCGATGGCATCGTGCTGGCTTGTGGCAATGTAGAGCGGCTCCTTGACCACAAGCGCGTTGAAGTCCTCATCGCCGCTCTGCCCCGGGGTTTGGGCGCGTGATGAAGTTGAGCCGGAGGATGAGGATGGCGACCCCGGTTGCTGGTCGGCGTGGGAGTGGGCCGGTCCGGGGTAGACGCACTCGGCCTTGCGGAGCACGCAGTTGCGGCAGGTCGGGCGAGCTTCGTCGCACTTGACCTTGCGAGTTTTGCAGTTCCTACAGCCCGTCCTGGACTTCTTGTGAGGTCGTTTTGAGTGGTACGGCTTATCCTCCGGGGGGGAGTTTGCTGAGGATTGTCCGGGGTTTGAGAGGATGGTCATTGTGTCATTGAGGGGTCTTGGCGACTACCCGTCTCTCTGATGACTGGCTGTAAGATGAGAAGAGAAGGTTGACCACCTTATCCGAGAAAAGTGAGGACGCTGCTGGCAGGAAGGATGAGGTTGTAGGTGAGACTGAGAGGAAGGATGGTGAGAAAAAGGAGCTCGGCAGTGGCAAGCAAAGGTTGTTTGCAATAAGGTACAGTAGTGTGAAGTCGGAGGTTCGAGGTTTGGACTGCTCGGACCTCTTTTTACAGGGACGCTGTCAACGGCCGGACGGGAGAGGACGTCGTCGGAGTTGAAACAAAGTTCAGTGAGTGGGTGACGTTGCTGACGAAATGAGACGCAGAGCGATCGGATGAATACCGTAAAACACGCCCTTCTTTGCGTTGATTAGTCGGCCGCTAGTACCGTGACTACTGCGTAGAGGTGCCTTTGACCAACGAGGAGAATTGTAATCGGAAACTGCCGAGTGCCAAATCTTGTGTCTTTGGTTGAGGCGTGGTAAAGGCTGAAGTTGTAGGTGAGGCCTCACCAACAATTCAAATTGTCGCCGTCGAGGGACCCCCGGAAACTTGTTGGTTGGCTTCACTGCCACAATCATGCGGTGCTGTATCAACCACTTTGACCCCACTCAAGCTGAGCTCGACTAGGCAGTAAGTCAGCGGTAGAATGACAGGCCGTTCTTATGTTAGTTGGGTAAGCGAGCAGCCGAATCCTTCGTACAGAGTACCGGGTTGGAAGAAGAGCCAAGAATGACATAACATGAGCCAAGTCCATGTCCACGCAGTCAAACAAACATTCTCAACGTCGGCTCACACGTAGTGAAATACGTGGACAGGCTGACGCAGCTGGCATCTGGCAGGTTGGCAGTCTGCCCAAGTGACATAAACGCATACGCCTCCCGCCCTCCTTCTTTTCCCTTTCCCTTGCTTGCAGTTGTTCCATTTTCAGCTGGGCGTGGTTTGGATTTTGGTGGCACGTTCGATCTTTGGGACGCCCGGCGCCTGGCTGGGCTTGAGCAGAGGGGGGTGCGGGGCACAAGGTCACTGGCCATTGGGGAGCCCCGGCACAGACGCTCGGGCCCCATCACGGGCCTGATCCACCTCGGATGGGAGCTCACAGCTGCTTCTGCTTCGCCCGAAGGTGGCTCCAGATGGCTCCAGATGGACCGCCTCCTCCGTTCCTGACTGCCTCCAGCACAAAGGTCACATGACTTCGCGTTTCTGACTGGTTCTTCCGTCTGAAGGAGTACGCGACGGAACTGTATTCTCGGCCGACGCTCCGGTCCTTTGTTCCGGACCTGAAGCTTGTGACAGCCGCAGCGGTTGCAGAGCCTCATCGAGTAGGAGGGCAGTGTTTTGTTTAGCCACTGAGATGGGATCACTTTTCCAGCTACCAGAGGAGCTTCTCCTGTCGCCTCTCTTTGATCGCTATCCCTGTCGCGAACAGCAGATTCGCTCTCTGGCAACTCTTCTCCATGTAAGTCGTCGTCCTCAGCTCAATGCGCTTCTTCCTCCCACCGGCGTGTTCCAAAGCTGACATGTGTATGTGTGCCAGCCATCCGCAGCTCCTTGCCGAAATGTCGTGGTGTACGGTACCGAAGCTACCGGAAAGTCTGCCGTTGTCGAGTCCCTCCTTCAAACCCTCAGCGCTCCCTCCACCGGTGACGAATCGCAAGATGAACCGTCTTTGAAATATGCCGTCGTCAACTCCATACAATGCATCACCGGGCGTCATTTGTTCGAGCGGACCGTGGCCGCGGTAGTAGATGCCTTACAATGGGAATCACCGCCCAAGAAGTGCGAAACGCTGGCTCAATTGACGGTCGAGCTGTGTAAGATGCTCAAATATACTCAGAGGCCAGAAGGCTGGAGGCTGGTTCTCGTCTTCGACTCAATTGATCGGCAGAGAGATGCCCCTGCAACCCTTCTGCCCGCCCTGGCGAGACTATCTGAAGTGGTCAGTCGCTTCAAGGTCACCCCTTTCAGTACACACAGAAGCTAACACACCGTCCAGATACCATGCCTAACCTGCGTCTTCATCGTCACCGCTCCCTCACCCTCCTTCCTCCGTTCCTCCTTCGCCCCCCATATCCAGTTCCCGAACTACACAAAACAAGAATTCGTCAAGATTCTCTCCATCTCCCCGCCTGAGCCGACACCAACCACGACGCAGGACGACACAAACTTCCTCTGGACGCGCTTCTGCGGCGCCGTCTGCGACGCCCTCACAACCTCCGCAGCCCGCACCCTCCCTTCCTGTCGGCACAGCTGCGACGCCCTCTGGCCGCGTTTCGTGGCGCCCATCTTAGCAAGGACCCACGGCCCCCGCGAATTCTCAAAGCTCCTCATCGCATCCCGCGTCCACTTCCAGGATGAGTCTCTCCTAAACCCGAGTATCGTATCCATAAAGCCCGGCACCACTACCTCAGGCACCGCCGTCGCGAACGGCAATGCTCCTCCAGGCACACCATCGAAGCACACGGCGCAGCAGGCGACGAGCATCTCCGCCACGACGGACCTGACCTCGTTGTTACCAACCACCGCCCGCCTTCTCCTGCTATCAGCCTACCTCGCCTCGCACAACGCCCCGCGCCACGATCTGGTCCTCTTTTCGACCTTCCACCACGGCCGCAAGAAGCGCCGCGGCGGCGGCTTCGTGGCCCCGAAGCGCGGCCGCCCGAGCAAGCACCGCAAGATCTCGCGCAAGCTCCTCGGCGCGCACGCGTTCGTCCTGGAGCGTATGCTGGCCATCTTCGCCGCCCTGCGGAGCGAGTGGGCCGCCGACAGCGTAATCGGCAGCAGCAACGGGAGCGTGGTGGACGGAGACGTCGGCATGGCCATCTCGACGCTCGCTAGCTTGCGGCTGCTGATGAAAGTCGGCGCGGCTGGCGATCAGATGGATCGGGGCGGCAAGTGGAGGATTAACGTCGGATGGGATGTCATCAGGGGCATGGGACGAAGCCTCGGTATTGAAGTGGAGGAGTGGCTTGTCGACTAGATACCAGTTGCATTTCACGGTAGACTATGCAGGATCATATGAGATATTGGATCAACATTTATTCCCATTTCGTTACAGTACATTACAGGATAGTAGTGCCAGACCAACCAAGTGAGCTCCTTATCTTCTCCCGCGGGTATTTGCCCATGATTGGCATAGCATAGCATACCATTGCCAACAATCGACACCCGAATCGCACGCATAATTCGGTGACTCAGCCCGTGCAATGCGCGAGGCAGACGCGGAAACCCCGGATGTTAAAGCAAGCGCCATCCATCTCGTCCAATCCAAACGCCTGAGCCGTCTATATCCTCTCCGGCGTATTTATGTGCCTCTGTGTCTATTATCAGACTGGTTTTGGAGGATAGCCCCAGTTATGCAAAGGCAGGCACAGTCTGTACCATCTCCGAACCATCAAGCCATAGAGAACATGCTTTTTTCATGCGTTGTACCAACCACCCCATTATTCGGCGCCTGTCATGATAGTACATTCAAAGTTGTGGATAGAAAAAGATTCAAACGTTTTGGAACACACAGAATTTACATGAGGTCTTCTACATGCCAGCCTGCCGGTCTCCCAGCCGCCAGGTGTCCTCCTGCTTCGTCCCCGGAGCGAGCCATGCGGCGTTGCTCGCGCCGCGGGACCGCGCGCTCACCGGCCCGTCCGACTTCTTAGCGTCGTCGCCGTGCGCGGAGTGCCCGTTCAGAGACTGGAAGGCTCCCGCGGAGACCATGGGGCTCTCGAAGACGGGGGCGTCGCGGCTCTTGTTCACGGCGTCCTTGGTGTTCAGGGGCAGCAGGGGCTCGGGCTTAACCTCCATCATCTTGGCCTTGCGGTCGGCCTTGTCGCGGTCGTGGGTGCGGTCGTAGAGGTAGAGGCCGGCGAAGGTGAGGGCGATGCCGACGCCCTGGAGGAAGGTGGTCTGGTTCCGGAACCAGATGATGGCGATGACGATGACGAAGACGCGCTTGATCAGGCTCGCGACGGAGTACGTCACGGGGGAGACGAGGGAGAGGAGCACGAAGGCGAGGATGTTCTGGCCGAAGTGGAAAGTGCCGTTGAAGATGAACTCGATGGTCAGGCGGCCGTGGTCGAAGGAGCCGGACTTCTCGGTCAGGTCGACTGCGCCGTCGTGGAGCACGTCGCGGATGATGCCGGTTCCCTCGCTCCAGAACCAGATCGGGACCGTCAGGATGAAGGCCATGCCTGACGAGTAGCAGAGCAGGTTCAGCTTGTCGAGCTTCTGCGACCTGGCTGACAGCCCCTCGGCTTCCGCCTTGGCGGCCTCGTTGAACAGACGCTTCGAGAAGATGTTTTGCGTCACGAAGATGATGGTGGCGAGCAAGGCGTAGAAGATGCCCAGCAGTTCGCCGCTGTACTTGTTGTGCTTGCCGGAGCATGCCAACATGACACCGAGAGTCAGGGGCACCAGTGACAGATATGTGTTCATCGAGTACCGAATGTTGAAAACGAATCGGTAAGCTAGGACCGTGAAAAGAGGAGAAAGGCCCTTGATCGTGTGCACGAGTGAAACCGGGATCTTGGACGTCGCCGTCGAGCTCAACAAGTGTCCAAAGATCTGGAACGCCGCCAGAGGCATGGTCGTCTTGATCACATCGCGGGAGGGGTAGCGAATCCCATGCTTGAGCGCTGGTATCGCCGTCTTGAGGTTCGGGAAGACATTCGCGAGCCAGGCGAAGAGAATACAGTACGTCGCCACGAAGGCGAATTGGATCAGTGTGAGCGTCGCAGGCTTGTCGAACGCAGTGAGGATGGATTTCGACGAGGTATTAGTGAGCGCGGACGACGTGTACCAGAGAACACAGAGCGCCTACGATCGCAAACGGTCAGCGCCTGCTCGAGAGTCTACATTGGCGATTACAACAAACTCACAATCAGCCTGGGAGACACGGGGGCTTTCAGAGCATCGGCAATCTCGTGGGCATTCTGGCTGACGCTACCACCCCTTGTCCTTATGTTGTGGATGGCGTCGCCGAGGCTCTTCTGTCTACCGTGGCCGTACCGGGTCGCCGGCTGTCCTGGAGGGGCCCATCGCGCAGCGCGACCCTGAATGCTCTCTTTCCTGGGCTGCCAGCGGTCGCCGCCGTTGGGGGCTCCGGGCAGCGCGTAGCCGTTTGATCTCGCGGGGCTCGTACCCCTCGAGTCGTTGGTGAGGTGGGAGTCTATGTGGTCGGGAAACTTCTCCATGCCGCCGGTGGCAGAAGAGACGCTGCTCTCGTCGTCGTCGTCTTCTTCGTCTTCGTCTTCGGTCGATCGTCTGGGCGAATGCTGTCGCGATCGATGGTCAGCAGATGCCGAGGAGGTTTGGACGGAAGAGCTGGATGCTGTGGAGCGAGGCATGACGCGAAATGCTGGGGGTGGAAATTTGGCGGGGACAATTTCTAGTATCAGAGGGATCCAGCTCCGGCACTCGCTGGTAAAGTGCGAAACAGAGATCCTTTTTAATGAATCAATGGTTACTCACCTTCTTGCTTGGAAGTTGGTATTATAAACGAGCGACAGATGCGGCATTCATGCGCGAGAGGAAAAAAAGTTTAGAGTTGGAGTAGTAGTTCAAGCATTGTCTCTTGATTCGCATAGAGTCGAGAGACGAGGAAATCAGATGGGCGCTCTGATGATGGAGGCTCGTGTGAAAGGGAAAAAGTCTCGAGACCAAGGGCGAGAATTACGAATATCGACTCCGTATCTCCGTACTGGGGGCAGCTGTCCTCATCTCAATCAATCGGAATCACCACGGTGCAGCGTCAGCAGCTGGGAATGGTTGGATTTCGGCGGCCTGCCATCCCTGCATAGCCAGGGGCACATATGTCAGTGGTGAAGCTCGATGAAATGTTCTGCCGTGCTCCGATCAGGATCCTGGTCCGATGGACCCGACGAGTCAAAGCTCCATTTTCATGCGGCGAAGGACGCCAAACATAGTGAACCAGTGACGCGGTACGTACCCAGCGCGCAGAGTTGAAGACCCACTTCTCCGTAATTGTCCTTCAGCCTCCAAAAGTTTGGCGCGGCCGTCACGCATCTGCGATCGCTTCCAGGCCTCAGTGGATTTACCCATTCGCCGACAAACGACCATCCATCGCCTCGTGATTCGGTTTCACTCGTCACTTTCGCCGCGCGCCATCGGCGAAAAACTTCCTTTTGAGATTCGCGCCGGAAAAGCATGGGACCTCGCCCCGACCCTAGACGATTTCTCAACCTCGCAATCCTCATTTACTTCGTTACCCAAGCCGTACCTAAGTCCTTCAACACCGCGGCGCAACTCGATTCAAAATGGCGGCCCCAAAGATGACCAAGAACCAAATGCGCCGGGCGAAGAAGAAGGAGCAGAAGAAAGCCCAGGCAGATGTACGCGCTCTTGCCACGGACACACTCACGTTTGGAGCTGACAAGGAACAGGCCGTCACGAAGCCCGCCGAGACCGACGACGAGAAGACCCCCGAAGATGTGGAGAAGCAGGAAAAGCCCGCCGATGAGCTCGAAGTCAAGAAGGATGCCGAGACTAGCACCAAGGCCGAGGCCGACGGCCCGGTCGACGACTTTAACCCGGACGACGAAGCGTTTGCCATGTTCAAAGACATTTTCCAAAAGTTCGGCTCAGTAGAAGAAGATGAGATTGCCAAGGAGGCTAACGCTGGTAACCAAGGAGAGGCCTTCTGGGAACAAGACGACATCCCTAGTGAGGATGAGGAGGCCACAGGGCAGACGAAACTCTCCAAGAAGAAGCGCAAGCAACTCAACAAGCTCTCCATCGCTGAGCTGAAGGCGCTGGTTCAGGTTCCCGACGTCGTCGAATGGCAAGACGTATCCTCTTCAGATCCGCGATTGTTGGTGCAGATCAAGGCGCAAAGGAATGTGGTACCCGTGCCAGGTCATTGGCAACTGAAGAGGGAATACCTCTCTTCCAAAAGAGGTATCGAGAAGCCCCCCTTCAGACTACCCAAGTTCATCGCAGAGACGGGCATCACGGAGATGCGTGATGCTGTTCTCGAGAAGCAAGATCAACAGTCCTTGAAGCAAAAACAGCGCGAGCGAGTCGCCCCGAAGATGGGCAAGCTGGATATAGACTACCAAAAGCTTTACGACGCGTTCTTCCGCTTCCAGACCAAGCCAGAACTCACCCGCTTCGGCGAGGTGTACTACGAGGGCAAGGAGAGCGAGGTTGACTTCCAACACTTCAGACCAGGTGAGCTCAGCGAGGCCACGAAGGAAGCTCTAGGCATGCCCCCAGGTGCTCCTCCACCATGGCTCATCAACCAGCAGCGCTTTGGTCCCCCTCCGTCATATCCCACCCTTAAGATCCCCGGACTCAACGCCCCGCCACCACCGGGCGGCTCCTGGGGTTTCCACCCCGGCGGCTGGGGCAAGCCCCCAGTAGACGAGTTCAACCGTCCCCTCTACGGCGGTGACGTCTTCGGTCTCACGAACCAGCCCGGAGCTCCCGCTCAGCAACAAGTCGCACAGCCTCTGACCACCGGCGAGCCCGTCGAGAAGTCGTTATGGGGCGAGCTGCAGCCCCGCGACGAGGAGTCCGAGTCCGAGGAGTCGGACGACGAGGACGAAGAGGAAGAAGACGAGGACGAGGACGCCGCCGGCATGCAGAGCCCCTCGGGCATCGAGACCTCGGCCGGCATGGTCTCGTCCGTGCCCACGGACTACCCGGGCCACGGCGTCGAGACGTCGGTGGCCGGCGAGATGGACCTGCGGAAACAGCGGCGCGGCTTCGACACGGAGGAGAGCTCGCACCCGCGGTCCGCGTACCAGGTCATCCCCGAGCGCCAGCAGCGCGCCGAGGGCTTCTTCGGCAGCGACAGGGTCTACGACCTCAAGGGCCACAACGGCGCCGGTCCCGGCGGCGTGCCGGTGCTGGGCCAGGACGACGACAGCCGCAAGCGCAAGAAGCCCGGCGACGTGGACGTCGCCATCGACGTCGACTCGCTGCAGAACAACGACGGGCTCAGCAAGGACGAGGTCCGCCGCCGCTTCGAGGAGGGCAAGCGCGAGGACGGCATCGGCGCCAAGTGGGCGTACGAGGACGACCTGTCCGAGATGATTGCGCAGGAGTCCCGCAAGCGGCAGAAGGTCGACGAGAAGCGGACCAAGGAGAAGAAGGAGAGCAAGTACAGGTTTTAAGTAGCAGTGCTTCGCTCCGCTGTCCGTCTGGACAGAATGTAATGGTATGCCCGAGCTGGGGCTTTGCCCCCGAACTCTAGGTGGTGTTTTTCATGTGCAATAGGATCGGCGTCGGCTGGCATAACAGAATTCGATACACAGTTTTCATAAAGATTCACGTCGTTTTTCGATCAATGCAGTTAACAATAGCTTGCATGTGTGTGAAATCGTATGGTATTCGTATTAATGATCATGTGCCTTGATGTCGCTAGAGACCCTATTCTATCGATACACCCAGTCAAATAACGCCGCGTGCATGCAGATGCGTCCGCTGATGACGAAAGGAATATACATGCCTGCCCTGTCTCAACCGCCTCTCAGCATCTGCCATCTCCACAGTGTCTTCTTTTCTCCCCGCGCAGCGGCCTTCTAAGCCGGCTTTTCATGCTGAGGGATGCACTCGTTGCAGAGCCAGTCGGGATCCTCGACGCTCCTGATTGCCTTCTCGCTGATGCAGTCCGAGTGGTAAAGGCGCTTTGTGCATTCCTGTTTCCCGTGTCAGCATACTCTCAGTAACAAACCCTTTCCGCGATAGCTTACCACTCTGGAACACAGCAGCAGCCTAGGGCCCAACACGGTCAACCCGCAGACCTGGCAACCGGAGGCGCTCTTGCGGACGTGAGGTCCTCGAGGAGAGTCTTCCGGCGCCGGTAGCGAGTTGTTGCCGTTCTGAAGCTTGAGCTTCTCCCTGCAAGAGTTGAGATGGTCCAAGCCCTCCTGCACGGTAGCGTGGTCGAGGCTATTTCTGGCCAGGAGATACGTCAAGTGCTTTCCGAACTCGACGTTACGAGACAGCTTTGAAAGCAGCCAGTTCGCGTTGAGCTTCACAAAGTTGAGCCAAGCGCGGGGGAAGTAAATGTTGGAGGAAATACGCTTCGTGAGCATGAATCTGTCCCACTGTTGCATGTATTCTCTCTCCTCTGGCGGAACGTCTGAGAAGTCCGCCAATGCGTCCCGATGCCATTGAATGAGCCATTCGTCGTTCGGCTGTGGGGCCTTGTACTCGGTGCCTGGCTCAATAATAGCCCGGCTGATCGGATCATACAGCTTTTGCTTAATGTCCGGGATAAGGAGCTTGGAACGTGTCTATGTTCGTTAGCAACCTGGAGTACAAATGATGGAAGACAACGAACCTGAGGGGGAGGAAGCCTGGCTGCTTGTTGCCGATCTCTAGGCTGGATCTCGGTGATGCTTTCGTCTTCAGGCCCAAATCGGGAGTCTAGTTGTGAGGTGTTTCCGTCGGCAAACTCATCCAGCTTGAAGATTTTAGTCGGCCGCGACACAGAAAAGCCTGACCCTGCGCCAAATGTGTACGACTCATATCGGTGGGTGACGCTGATAACGACACCGCCTCTACTGTTTGTTTGTACTGCATAATCGTATTCGGCGTGCTGGGTGATGAAGTGTCCTTTAAGTTGCAAAAGACTTCCGTTGAGAAGACCACAGGTGACGCAGCGGTAGGAATCCAAGCTGACTTTCTCGGCGGGCAATTTGTAGGTGACGCTCTTGTCTTCCATGACGTGGGTATTTCTCCGTTTCTTCCGCTTTCCCTCCCTGCCTAGGGCCTTGTCACTCATGTCCTTCACATTATAGTTTTTGGTAGGACCGCGAGTTCTGAGTGATCGGTTGGGAGTGAGTTTCTCGAGCGAATCATCGTCGTCCGGAGCCTCTCCATTGACCAGACCGTTCTTGGATGCCTTCACAGGAGTTGTGAAGTTGGATTTCGGATCCTTGGAAGGAGTTCCGGGCGGACTGTCGAATTGAGGGGGGTTCACGGAGGATTCGTTGCCGTTCACCTCTGGTAGAACCGTAATAGAGGGCTTGACACCATCTTCCAATTCACGGATGGCTCTCGCCTCGAAAGCCGTGGTCCATCGGACATCCACCTCGAGACAGTGATCTGTTGCTGCGAGTGTGGTAGGACTCTTCTTAACTTTCAAGTTCAGGACAGCCGGCTCTTTCGAGAACAAGTTGAACATGGCAGCCTGGAGGACCCAGCGATGGGGATCGACCTTGCGGGAACTTCCCAATTCCTCGGTTGAAGGATTCAAGACGATTGGGGGCCAATGCGTGGGACCAGCCGCCTCCAACTCTACGACGAGGCGGTAATCGTTGGCCAAATCGAAAGAATAGTCGTCCTCGTGATTGACGCGCATGCAATGCTTGGGGATGTAGAAAGGCTCCTTCAAGCATACGCGTGCTATACGTAGAGGCCCACCCGGGTCCTTGAAAGACTTGATCTCGCATAGTTGGCTGTTGCAGTATAATTGGATCTGATGGTTGCCATGCGTGAGTATGATCTTGCACCTAGCATCGATCCTGATATAATCATCGCAGGCGGCAGCACTGATGCGTTTTGAGTCCTTGTGGAAGAGTTTGGTGACTGAAACGGAGAGGTTGTGCTGTACTTCGCTGACCTCGTGGGCATGGAAAAGCTGATCAACCAGAGTATGAGGAGGATTCTTGTGGGAGTGGAGGCGTGGGCGTTTAGTGGCGCGCCTGTCGTCGTTGTCGTTCTGGAGATCCCCGGGAGCGGCGGCCTTTTGAGCCGTGGACTGGGAGTTCCCCATAGCTTGCAAGATATTCCTCTGGAGAAAGGGAGTGCTGCGCTGGCGGCGCGACTGAACCGTCATAGCTGAAGGAGGGAAATCATAAGAGGTTTATAGAGGTAGAGTGCCGTTGGTGCGCCACAAAGGTTGAATGATCGAGCGGCTTCAGTCCACCTTGAGGTAGGCGCGATCGCCCCTTACTTCGTCAAGCCCACTTGGACGGGGCGAGCCGGAGAAGACGTCTTTTTTGCTCGAATGCTCATTGAAGATGGGTGACCACTTGCTGACGTTTCATGGCAGGAAAAGCCAGAATCCTTGAGTGCCGACCTGGTGTGGTAAAAATTGGGCGTCGCGATGTGAAGAACCGAAGAAAGTAATGGGCGCGCAAAAAGAAATGTCGTCGATTGTCAGAGGCGTTGTGATGGGCAATCGGTTCAAAAAAGACCAGGTTTGACCTAGTAGGACGCGAGTCGCGATTTCGGCTGAGACGAGCAAAACAGCAAGCCGCTTTGACGGATGCAAAGATTCGTGACACCTGAGCCGTTCAGGAGCAAGAAAATGGTGCTTGGTCGTCCGCTGAGCAGAGCAGAGCAGAGCGCGCGTCAGGCAGCTGGGAATAGAGGCGCGGAACGGCTGGAACGGGCCAGGCAATTCAAGCAGGAAGACGTGTGGAAGCCGAAGCGCGTCGTTCACTGCTGAAGATCGTAGGACATACTGCACACCCCGGCCAAGCCAGGAACAGAAACAATTGGATATCGGGGGGTGGGACTCATTGTTGTCATTCACGTCTGGCAATTCCACTCTGCGAACAGGGGGGAGCAAACGGCACGAGAAGCGCCTTACCGCAACGAGTGACTGGGGTCGCTTACTTCTATATGACTATTTCTTATTGGTTCAAAGGAGTTATTATATGGGTCCCAGAAAAACGAAGACGGCAGGCATCCGACACTGCAACTGCCAAAGTCGACTTGGGTCTGGGTTGGCTGGTGTTGCCATTGGGTCCGTCTCAAAAATAAAAATATTTGTTCAAAGAGACAACATAAGGCCAACTCTCCTCTCGACAACTCTTGTCACCAGAATCAACAAACACCAGCCAGGTGAATCCTCGAGTCGCCAAAGCCTTATGTACGAGGACACCTCCAGAACGGCGCATGTCTTACAACCCAATTTTGAAGCCAAAATTCAAGACTCCCACAATACGCGAAGCCGAAGTGCTTGGTGCTCGATACCTGCCTGACCTGGAATCCGTCAAGGGAGCAGGGCCTGGCTGACGACAGGATAAGAAGAAGCTCTCACCAAAACAGGCCACTTGAGCAAGATGCACGGGCCAGATGTTTGTGGAGCACTCGGCAAGCGCCAATTGCTAGGTACCTTAGGCAAGCGTGGCAGCCTTGAGGATGCAGCACGCTAGTGCAAGGCTGTAACCTTGTTCAGTGTTGTTGTTGGTTCCAGTGTCCGCGGGTGTGTCGAGCGCGCCTGCCCCACCAAGTTCGACTCCAATTCACCCGCACCTCAGTGAACCTTCTCTCTCTGACTTCCGATACAACCTTTTCTGCTTCACTGCTGCACCTTCTTTTTCTCTAGCTGCGCTTGGTTATTATAGCATCTTCCCACACCCATTCCGCCCGACTCTGTAAAGTTGTCCCACGCGCTCCTAAAGTCCTCCGGTACTCCGACATCTGGCGCATCCCGAACTGTCGCAAACGTCATAGTGCACAACTTGAGTGCGATGCGCTCGCTCTGAGGCTCGCACTCATCGCCTCGTTTTGGCATTTTTCCACCGAGGACGACATAGCTACTTCAAAACCACTCCATCAGGTATTCACTGCGCCCTTGATTCTTGATGCGCATCGTCGACATTGGGTCCCACTGACATGTGCATCCCTGCGACGCAGGTCACAACATCCTTGCGCCATGGCTCCAGGACGACCATCCTCCGCCCGACGCACCGCCGTTGCGTCGTCCTCGATCTCGGCACGCATGCGAATTACCAAGTCCGGAAGCGGATCTGATTCTTCGAAAGACAAAGTGCGATCTAGCCCCAGGTCGACTAAGCGAGTCCGACCGAAATATCGCGAGAGCTCCGGGTCCGAATTATCATCAGAGGAGGACGAAGAGGAAGTTGAAGAGGTCACCGACGATGGAGATGATGAAGAAGAGGCTACCGAGGGATACAAGTCAGCGCGTCCATCCAAGACCGGCAATCGCAGAAGCTTGCGAACCGCGGAAGCATCCCGCCGCTCCAGCACCAACGCGAGGGCGAGTCGCGCGGCAGCCAGGGACAAGAGGGCAACTGGTATCGATCTCAAGAAAGTTGCCACTGGCCGTGTTTCCGGAAAGTCTGGCAGAAAGCGAGGTCGGCCGCCGATCTCCATAAGGAGGGCTCCAGAAGACGACGTCTCTGATGAAGACGAAGATGGTGAGGAAGGCGACGAGGACGAAGATGACAGCGAAGACAGCAAAGACGATCTTACTACCAAAAAGTCCCCTAGCAAATCTCCAGTCGTCAAGCGGCGTCGCGGACGTCCCCCGAAGAAAGCCGGTCGTGGCGCGAGGAAGATTTCGACTGCGCCGGACACGCCGAAGCCAGAAGTCAGCAGCATCATACCGAACTGGCTGGATCCTCGCATGCAGCACGCCATTTGGGTACAGGTCTTTCGGTTCGCCGCACTTGGCGGCGATGAGGACGAAGAGGGTCAGGATGTCAACTGGCTGCTCCAGACCGCTCGAGTATGCAGAGATTTCGCCGATCCGGCCCTTACAGTTCTCTATCGATGCCCGCCGGTCACTACCGAAACGAAAGCATATGGCCTTGCTGAGCTTCTCGAGAAGCCACCTTCAATGACTGCGGTGAACTACAGGGCGAAAATCATGTCGCTTCACATCGACGTTAGACTGGTCTCTCTTCAAAACCACACACCCGCCATCAAGTTGATGCAGAATCTCCCTCGTCTGTCGGAAGTTCTCCTCTCGCATGGATACGATCAAGCACCCTATCGATTATTGGTGAAGCCGATCAAATGGACCTACCCTCCCGATTTGTGGCAAGCCCTTCAGCCTTCGCCCAATGCGAATGCCGAGGTCGGCGACAAAACAAGCATCACCCGCCTTCAAAGCTGGCAGTGGAGCTCGAGGCTAATGGACAAGGATTGGGAGGGCAGTCTTGCGAATATGAAGGCAAAGCATCAACTGCCGAGCTTCGCTACGCTCCGAAAACTAAGGCTGGTCAACTACCAGCTCCCATCGGTCAGACTCGAGAAGGACGATCCCGAAACACTTGCTGAAGATGAGAAATCTGTGAAGGCAATCGCAGACGCACTTTCCGCACTGAACAATCTAGAGCAGTTGGTCTTCGAGTCGTCGACAATCATCTGCACCGCGCTATTCCCTCTTCTGACAACGAAGCTGAAGCGTCTTGAACTGGTCAATTGCAACGAAGTCACTGCCGACAACCTCGGATCCTTCTTGATATCCAATGGCCAACAGCTAGAAGCTCTTGTGCTCAATCACAACCGCTCATTGAGCTTGGCTTTTCTAGCGATCCTTGGCACTGCTTGCCCGCATCTTAAGGAGCTGCGTGCAAACTTCAGATACTTCAGTCTTTTAGAGACAGTTGACGATAACGAGCCTCAGTACGATCATCTCTTGCTTCCCGACCAAGTGCCTAATTGGCCTTCGGCACTCGAGACTCTCCACTTGGAGAACCTTCGAAAATGGGATATGGAGACCGCAGAGATGTTCCTTCAGTCTTTCATCGACAGTGCTCCGATTTTGCCCATGCTCCGATACTTGTCCGTCAAAGCGATGTTGGATATTCCGTGGCGACAACGAAGTACTTTCCGCAAGTCGTGGCAGGAGAAGCTCGATACAGTTTTCCTCCGACAAGTCGATGACCCGGAGCAGAACTTCACCCTGCGCGAAAAGCCTGATTCCGCGGAAGCGGCAACTACCAAACGAAAGCGTAGGAAGGCTCCAGGCGAACCGACGCGCCGCAGCAACCGCGTAGTTTCGCACGGATCTGGCCGGTCGTCGCGCGCAAGCAGCACGTCGAAGGGACTCCGTGACCAGATGCGCAAACCGAAGACATACCGCGAGCCCGACAGCGACGAATTTGACTCCGAGGAGGAAGACGACGTCAACATAGATCAGACGGCGGACGACTCAGAGGATGATACTCCTCACAAGGATTCCAAGGAAGCCGATGATGCGTCTACTTCAGACGGCGCATTCATCCAGGGTCTTTGCACGGTTGTCGACATCAACATCGACAACCAAAAGTTGAGAGAACATCAGTACAGCATGGACGACTTCCTTAACGTGGAGGGCGACTTCGAGAGTGATGACGAGTGGAACGGCGACGTGGACTTGGATTAGTATTAATAGCCATCCGCCCAGGCCGGGGAAGCTGATGAACACCATTTCGACAACTTACAACATTTTCAGCCAGAGGCCTGTTGGATTCCCACGTCATCGACCCTGTTCGCTCTCTCTATCCTCTTTTTCGACTATTACACATTATGTTTTGGACTCTTGTCAGGCGTTGGCGGTGGGAAACTGGGAAGGCTGAGAGGGAACTCGCCCGGACGGCCATGAAAGGACAAGGATCCCATGGATATATGGGAACGCGTCATGACAAATGAACGGAACGACCAGGATGATGACCACCACCAAACCAACCTCGATATCTGATATTATCATCATCCTAATTTGTTCTTCGGGTCCAGGATGCAAGGAAGACGAAATGACTTTTATCAGTTAGTTAAGTGAATAAAAATCAGTATTTACTAGGAGATGTTCGTGTCCACCTGGGTTTTGATACAATTTCAAGTGACGAAATGAAGGGTTCCCATGTCCTGGTCGAATTGTACACTGCCGCAGACAAGACCACATTATCATCACGTTCCATCCAAGCGCAAAGAAATCTCAACTTTGCCCCCCGATCTCCAGTCTATTACAGCTTGTCAGTATGTATCGACCTGCGAGTCAACAAAGGCCTGAGACTACAGGGAAAAGGTTTCCTTCTCAATTCGTACAAATACGGATAGGCTATACGCATCCTATCCGCTCATGGTAATAGTACATGATCATCAATCCCTAGGCAAAATCGCAAAACCTCCTGATGCGACTGATACTCGAAACAAAAACTTCTTCTCTCGCCTCCCCTCTGATGCGTCCATCTCGGCAAAACGTCCCCGTCGTCTAAGGTATTTTTACCCCTCTTAAAAAGCTGCCCCTCCCAATCCCTCGCCGGCCAGGCTCTTGAGGCTCTGCTCGCTGAGATCGACCCTCGTCTTCCACGCCTTGGACTCCATCTCTAGCTTATCCCAAACCTGCAGGCTCTGGCGGAGCTTATCCTGCTTGGCGTCGAGCTCGGCCCGCGCCTTCTCCTCCTCAGCCTTGAGTTTCTTGTAGTGCGGCTCGATCTCCCTCGTGATGCCCGTGGTCGTCGGCAGCAGGGACGGGTCGATCTTGCCTCCCGGGATGATGGGTGGCAGGGTGGCGAGCATGCTCTGCGCGAGGGTGAGGCGCTGGCCTGGGGCACCGCCATGCTGCGACGAGGGGCCTGTGGGCGGATTGAAGGCCTTCGGAGTCGGTGCTGGGTTCGTCGGTGTACTAGCACTAGAGGGGTTGGCGCGCGGACCTGTGGGGATCGCAGAAGGTCCGTTGCCGGTTGCGGAGGGCGAGGTTGTGGGCACTGGGGCCTGGCGAGGCGGAGCGGCAGACCAGGAGGCTCGTCCCGGTCGGTTGCTGTATCCGCCTCCTCCGCTACCGCCTCCACCGCGGGCTGGAGCTACGTAGCCTCGAGGGCCAGCAGGAGGGATCGTGGGACTCGTCGCGTCTGCGCGGGAGGGCGGGGGCGGCACGCTCGGGGTTTGCGGGTGTCTAGGTGGCTGAACAGCTGGTGAGCCGGCGGGCGCAGAGAAGTTTCGGGTCGCGGCAGGGCCGGTTGGAGGAGCACGTAAAGCGGCGGGGCCTCGAGGAGGCGTCTTGGCCACGGGCGCGGGGGCCGTCGTCGGTTCTTGAGGGGTAACGACGGCGGCGGCGGAGGCGGCGGTGGGGGTTGCGGCGGCGGAAGGTTTCGAGGTCGAGGGGGGCGGTGCTTCGCGCGTCGTCGCGGATGAGGACGCCGACGACGTTGCGGCAGAGGCACCGGCGGTCTGGAGGGGGGGTGTGGGATCCCGCTCTCGCTCGCGCTCTCGCTCCCGTTCCCGTTCGCGTTCGCGTTCCCTTTGCTCGCGCTGCTGCTGCTCCCGCTCCCGCTGTTCCCGTTCTCTCGATTGCGGCCGCGAACGTGCTCGGATAGAGGAGGGAGGATGCGGTGACGACTTGCCTGAAGCTGACCGAGACGTGATGGCCGACGAGATGCCGGAATCTCGAGGCGGAGACGCTCGTCTGTAAGAGGACCCGAGGTATCTCTCACCGCCGCGACGACTCGTGCTACGAGACCGCGGTCGGTAGCCGCCTCGGGCTGCCGGGGGTGGAGGGGATCTCCTGGGCGGAGTCCTGTCACGAGGAGGCCTGTCGCGAGCGCCGTACGGCGAGCGCGACCGTCTTCTAAGGGGAACGGATGAGACTGGGCTCTGCGCAAAGGGGGGCAACGAGCGGTACCTGTCGTCCCGTCGATCAAGGTCCCTTTCCCTCTCCCTCTCCCGGTCGCCGCGGTCACGATCTCGCTCCCTGTCTCTGTCTCTGTTGTCACGGCGAGGCGGTGATCTGGCACGCTCACTGCGCTCGTCTCGGATGGCGGGAGACCTGCCGATGGGACTGCGTCGCCTTGACGGACTACGTCTCGGCGATGGCCGCCTCACGGGGCTTCGAGTGCGGTCTCGCCTGCGCCAGGTGTCACTTTGTGGACGGGTGTCTCTGTTGTCCCGGGATCTGTCGCGTCGGTAGCGGTCGGCGCTTCGAGACCTGCGTCGTGGAGACCTGCCGGGCACGTAGCTGTCGGAGGCCAAGGGAGGAGGAGTGCGGGCACGCTCTCTGTCGCGGTCCCTGTCACGGTCCCTATCCCTGTCCCTATCTCTGTCTCTGTCGCGATCTCTGGTGTCTCTGTCGCGGTCCCGGTCGCGGTCTCTGTCTCGTTCACGTTCTCTGTCACGATCGCGGTCGCGATCACGGTCGCGATCTCTGTCACGGTCTCGAGGGGGGCTTCGGGCTCGTCGAGGAGAGCGGTCACCTGCTCCGCCCCTCTCGCCTCTAGGAAAGGGTCTCCAGGACTCGCCAGCGCCATACCGAGTAACCTCGCCGTCCTCGTACCTGTGTGTTCAATGGTTAGAATAGCTGCTATGTGATGTTGAATGATTTCTTGAAGAGTGAGTTGGTGATGGCCAACTGACGAGGCTGAGGGGTGTGGACGCTGGCCATTGATGATAGATATCCAAAACAGTCGCAAATGCTGTAAAAGCACGATGAACAACTTGGCACCGGGCTATCAAACGGTATGCGACTCATGAAGAACACCCGTACGTCTCGCACTGCCGACTAATGCAGACCAATGTCCACACTGACGTGTGCAGGCCTTAACCGGTTGTTGGGGCTGAGGTCGAAGAGGTTGATGACAACGAATAATTTGGGACTTACCTGCTTCTCCTGTCGCGATCCATGCTGGAGAGCTCGAGAGCAGTGCGGAGTTGTCGAAGTGGATGAGATAACGCGTTCGCGACAGCTGGTGATAGCTGTGATGCGCGATCGTGGTGTTGAGAGGGTCAGCTATGCCGTTTGCGCCAACGCCGACGTCTAATGGAGCAGGGTTGCTAGCATGGAAGTTGATTTGATCGGCCCCTGAAAATTGTCAAGGTACCCACATCGGACGCTGCGAGCGGCGTTATCCATCTTCCTAGACCGGATAAGATAATATGTGGCCAATGAGACGTGAATATGCATGTGGCTAACCCACATGCACTCTCCGAGCTGGGGCCAATCATAGCTCTGGAAACTGACTGACAGCTATGGCGGGCACCGCCAAGCTGCAACCTCCATCTCACAGAAATAGGTACAATAAAGGTGGTGGTCTTCAGACGAACCTCGCTGGTTATCGGAAAGTGAAAGATGCTTCATGACTATGTGTATTGATAACCAGGTATCTGCATACCTGGAGACTGTCCTGCGCTCACAAACTCCAAATAAAAGTGCCTCCCTCCTCACTCATGATTTGCTCTTCCGACTCGGAGGCTTTCTTCATCTCGCATGTCGAACGGCCCTCTCACGTCGGCAAACAGTGTGAGGTGGTCTAGTCCGGCGTAACGCTTCCACTACGAAATACATTTCATCAGTTCTCAGGTGAACTTACAGCCTAACCTGGCCTGCACATCAACTCATCTTGTCATCTTCGGTGGTGTCTCCTCCCTGACGAGCTGCCAGCTTCTCCAGCATCCAACTCTGGACCTCCTCGGCATGCATCTGCATCATCTTGTTGACGCCATTCGAGTTGCTACGGATCACTGTGCCGAAACGCCGCTTGGCCACCCTACGGACTGTATCTGGGCTGTTCCAGCAACTGTGATCGCGGGCAACGTAGATTCGCGAATGGTCCTTGTACCATGTTGAAAGCTCGTTATCAACATCCGACTTTACAGGGCGCAGCATCCCATCAACGAAGCTAGCGACTCCGGCTATACGCGCTTTGCAGTCTAGTAAATGGTCAGCAAATTGTATCCCCCGTATTGACTCATAACGCGTACCTCGGCTCGTAAGGAGCTGCTTGACTCCATTATATGACCGGCCAACACCGAGCAGAAGAATGTCGTCCGCCTCTTCATACAGCTGGATGTAGTTGTCCCAAAGATAATTCACCAGCTCCTGGAGTTCGGCAAGCAATTCTTTATCGGCCGTCTTGTGATTGTACGGATCCATGTCCTCGTCTCGAATGACTTTGCTGGGGACATTGACATCCATGACCGCAATATCTTCGCCAATGGCCCAGTCAATGTACTGGGTGACACTGTCGACTATCCATGCGTTGTGAAGCTCAAGATGTCGATCAATGACATCAGGCTGGGCGAGAAATTCCGGAGGGTCGTGGATGATGACGATGAGTCGACGCGCAGACTGAATATTAGGTGTCACGAGAACTTGGTTTTCGTATGACTTGAAGAGGTGGTCTCTCTGGATGAACAGGGGGATCATTTGGTGCCTCTGTGAAAGATCCTGTCGCTGACCAAGTCTGACATGGTCATGCAACCTGGTGGCGTTGAGTTCTTGGATGTCGGGCACAGGAACAATGCCTGGCCGCATACATTCCCAGTATGGTGCCTGGTAACTTTGAACCTTGGCAAGGACCCTCGCTGCGTCCTTGTTGAGCAGAGGGATATCCATCTTCGGTGGGGGTTCTCCCATCAAAGTGCGAGCAACGGCCACGGCCGAGGTAGAGATGGCTTGCAAGTTGTAGCCACCCTCTAAGCACACAGCAACCTTGCCATCCGCCAGCGACATCAGCATGTGCGTCATGTGAGCGTAGCAAGTCGGTGTCACAAAGCAACCGCCGAGCTCGTCGCCGTCTGCAGCGTCGAAGCCGGCCGAGATGACAACGAGGTCAGGGTTGAATTCGTTCGCGATGGGCATGATGATCTTTTGAAATGCAGCCATGTACTCGCCGTCGCCCATTCCCTGGTCGTGCCATCCGATGTTGATATTCTTCCCGAGACCCGGCCCGGTGCCGCAGTGCTCCAAACCTCCATCCGGGATGTCTTGGTTATCGGGCTTGCCCGGGTAGAAGACTCCGTTTTGGTAAACATGAAGGGAGATATATAGCACGTTGGGATCGTCATAGAAGATGTTCTGAATTCCGTTGCCGTGGTGGACGTCCCAGTCCAAAATGAGAACTTTGCGGCAATCCTCGGGATATTCCTGTTGACAGATCTTGACGGCCACGGGAACATTGTTGAAGAAACAGAATCCGAGTGGTTGGTCGTATTCCGCGTGATGACCCGGCGGTCTGATGACCGCAAACGCATTCTTGACGTTCCCTTCAACAACGTGTTTGCAGGTATCGATGGCGCCTCCACAAGACAAAAGCGCTGCAGTGAAAGTAAGGCTGCCAACGTAGAGCGAGGCTCGGCCCTGATCGTACTGTCTACTAGTCTCCCGCAGGGTTTCGTAGTCCATCTTGGACAAGTCCTCAACCCAATGATAGTGCAGCGGCGTATGGGTGGTCAAAATCTCTTCCTTTGTGGCCTCGCGGGCGCCGATTCTCCACATGTACTTTGTTGGGGTGTCTCGCAGGACCTGGGCCACGTTCGCCTCTGGGCCTGTGTAGACTAAACCGGCTCTCTTGAACGCTTTAAAGATCTCCTCTATACGACGAGGATCTTCGGGATGATGAGGTGTCGAGCCAAAGTCGGCATTGACGTGAAGCTTCATCCGATCATCATAGCAACATGCTGTGGGGAGAAGTCCTCGTCTGCGCAGCTGGTTCGAGACATCCACGTTTTCACTTTCATCTTCGTAGTCCTCTTCATCTTCCTCGTCGGAAGGCGTCGGATTCTCGCTTTTGGGATTGCCGCCGACGGCCGCAGCGACACCATTGGGTGTCGTGGTGTGATTTGAAGGTCTGTCGTCGCCGCCCATGACGACGTCTTGGTCGACACCGTCCATGGCGCAAGGTTGGCTGGTCGACTAGCCCGAAGGACCCGGGTCAACCTGATCCAGCACCAGACAAGCTGAAATGATCAGAATGAGAAGCTGAGAGATAGCGCGAGGGCGAAAGAAGGCCCTGCTTTCCGTGAGTATGCTGGGGCTTGTAGCCTGACTCGGGAGGGCGCGCGATTTGAAGCCAGAAGAAGCGGTATCAGGCTTCTGCAGGTGCGACTGCCTTGAGACCGGTGCCAGGCAAAACCTCTAATTGGATACACCGTATCCGTAAGTCTAGCTTCAGCCCCAAGATGGAAACCGCAGTCTAATTCGAAGTCAGTCTGCGAGTCTTGCTTGGATGAAAATGTATGTAGGATTCGATAGTAGGCGAGTAAAATGCCGTCGGCAGAAGAGCTTGATGATTCAAAGCTTGAACAATGGTTTATTCCAGGAATAAATCATCGAGTAGACTCAGTCCCTTGCAGATAAAGCCTTGAATGACAACGTTGAGCCTTTGTTTGGCAGCTCTGATGAAAGATGTGACTAGGAAGGCACTGGCCATGATGTATGCGTATCGTCGTCTCATCCGCACCCAAATTACCACAGAATACCGCAGTCTTTGTTCCTGTCCTATGAGGACGATTGGAAGGCGCAATATGTCTATCACTCACCTTTTGGATAGAATTGGTTGATGTTCGGCGGATGGTTGAGGCGCAGAAGACGGTTTGCTTGAGAAATAACCAAAGAAGCGCCAGGTATGTGACATGCAGCAGCGCGGCCACGATCCGCGGAGTTCGCTGTATCGAAGAGGCCAAATAAAGTTGAAAAATTACCAGAGAAGGCAGCTACAGCAGACGCGCAACAGAAGACGCCAGGCTGTTGCGCGCGCTTGCTGTGTAGGACGATTAATAGGTGAGTGGCCGGGTGTGAGTGAGAACAAGATGGGAGGCTTGGGCCACTGACAAGGCAGGAGCTGGCCACAACACCGCCGCCTCGCAGGGTACACCCGCCACAGTAGCCCCCCTGTAGCCGCAGCCTTGCACTACCTAAGACACACCGACTGCGCTGAGGTATCCACGCTACGGAGCACAAGATTCCCATTTAAGGCAAGTTGGGGGGGACTGTATTCGTAGGCCCCGTTTTACCTCATCTCAATCATACCATCTTCAAGTTCCCACCGAAATTTACTGCTTCGGCATTGTCTGCCTCCTTTTCACGAACAGCCTGGCAATCCTCATCACCTTGATGTCTTTACTCATCAGCAATTACATCACGGCCGGTCGAGATACTGCTAGCCTTCGCAGTATTCCGCCAAAGCTTCAAGGCTGTGAACTTATAGAGTAGGATCATGTATTTGCAGCCGAGATCTACATTAAGCTCGTCTAGTCTAGGTCGTCACCCAAATACATCTCGTGCGAATAACCAAACCCATGTCCTGCGGTTCGACAAAAGTTATCTCGCTCAGTGAGAGCCCATCCGTCGTCTCCCGGCGGTGTCCAATCACTCAGAGGCTGCCGGAAAGCCCCAGGAGCCACAATCGTGCCGTTGGGTATCCCGTCGTTCTTGAGATGATCCTCGCATACGTCGTCGGTATCCACAATGCTCCCGACAATGTTCAGATCGCGGATTTCGAACAGCCATGGGCGTTCGAGAATAACGGATTCAACGGCCCCCTCAAAGGATTGCTGGTCGCGGGAGAAGTTAGGGTGCCTCAGGTTCACGTCTGTTACGAGACGTCTTCGCGGATAATTGAACAAGTTCTCGAAGTAAAATATGAGATCCCGTGGATCCAGCTTGGCGTAGGTGTCCACGATGCGCTCGCGCATATTGTCTTCAATGGTCGCATGTAGCGTTGAGATGTCCTGCGGCTATAGATTCAAGATTAGCAATCAGTCTGAGTTGCTGATTTCGGGATGGCTTACGGGTCCCAATTTCTGCTCCAGGATTGGGTAGATGTAGTGTCGAATAAGCTGCTTGACACATGTGAAAAGATCTTTCATCTCCATCAGTTCACGTGTTGGGTGCAATCTGGTGTGACTCATTCGAATGTCATTGACAAATGGCAAAGGTTGACCGCCGAGAGGTCGCGGTAGCTCGCCGTGAAAGTAGGATGCGTAGAGCCACCAGCGATAGAGAGCTCTTCTGAGCTTGAACTTCTCCGTCTCCTCGAGGTGGCGGCAGTCCTCGGGTGCCGAAAACCAACGGAGTCGAGGGTACAATTCTTCCCATCGCCGCACAACCATACAGTACTTCAGCAATGAATCGAGATCGCCATCGACAAGAGTGGCCGCTCTTGGCGCCGGCAAGGCATCAGCAGACCCAAGCTTCCCACTGTCGATTATCTTGCTGAACAACACCTGCTCAGGAGACAGTGTAGAATCGGTCTGGAAGCCACCACGTGACAAGGTGACGCCAGCGATGTCACCTGGGAAACGGCGGAAAACAACCTTTCGAGGCTGGAAAGTGTCTCCGTACCGGCTCAAGTCTTGTCCTGATACCGTGTAGACTTGAAGTAGTTCGGGAAACGGGCTGAACTCCCGTTGTAGAACAGGCAGTAGGATAGCCGCTCTATTTGTTTTCAGCAGACCGTGGAAGAGCGTGGTGACCTGCCCCAAAGAGAATATGCTGCGCACGTCTAGTTGCTGAAATATGTCGAAGATGATCTCGATGGGAAGGCCCTCGAGGCCTTCAAGCTTTCCATCGGTCTCAAGGGTATGCAGCGCAGCTTTCGACTGTGACGGCGGCGCCACAAGTAGAGACGAAAATGTGGGTTTCATCTTGCGCTTGCTTTGTTGAAGAATGTGAGGACGAGGCGTTGACAGTCGTGATTATGGATGAGGCTCTGAAGATACGTTTGATGACTTGTGCGGGCTTAGTAGCAGGTCCTCCTGCTGAGATAACCGCAAGCTTGTCGGAAGAAAACGATTTTGTTCAGATCTGCGGCACTGCCGAAGTGGGCGTGACAAGGCGGGTGAGATGCGCAAGTTGATGAAGAGGGCAAACGAAGAGAAGTGTAGAATGAAAAACCGGCGATATCAACAGTTGGTCGACAACAATGGTTTCTTTGGCGGCGAACTTGAGCAACAGTCAAAGGCAAGCCGAGAGGCCCTCGGCTGTGGTAATGAGACAGTCTAGTTCTATCAAACATTAGAGATCGATGTCATGCTGAAGCGATTGAAGATCTCACTAATAGTTTGCAACATTTTGCTTCGTTCGATCTATTCAGATCTTGGTGATCGGTTTCCCGGATTGTGTTCAGACAGGTGTCCGAACGAGCTTATCGTGTAGCTTGATTATCGCAAAGACCCTCCGAGGTAGGAGAAGTGCCTTCACCGACACTGGCAGAAGAACCTGCTGAAATGGCTGAATTTCAGAAGATATGAGGCAAGAAAGCCCCTGTTGACCTCACAGATGAATCGATTCACCAGAGGCGCGTTTTTGACGGGCCTATTTTCTTTCCACCCCGGCTTTGGGGCTATCAAGAAGACAGAGAACGCAGACTGGCATCGTCCGTTCAGTACGCGCGGTTTTTGTCGATGTTCGCCCTTGGGGGGTCCGACAGGTCATGCTCAGTCAACAGACGCGGCGATGGACGTTCAATCGCGACCGGGAGGAAGAGAGCACGAAGAGTTCGAAGGCACGGAAAGAAGGACGGACGCGAAGGTGACGCAGAGGACATGCACGTCGCCCCCGGCTGCTGACCTAAACGTCGGCCAGGAGTCGATTTGGAAGGTACAACGGGTTGCAGTGGGTTTCGGCCCCTGGCTGGCGTCAGCGCCGAGCGACAGGGGTTTTCGCGCTCGTGCTTGTTAGGTACTTGAGACTTAGCGACCAATCACTGCAAACCCGGCTTGACTTACACGTTCTCACCAACATGACTGTTATTTCGACGGCACCCTGAGTAAGGCTGGAGAAGCTGTTTTGTTTGGCGGGGAATGTACAGAAAGAAGTTGCAGCTTCTCGCAGAAACAAAATGGATTACTCATTATTATGCGAACAGAGCCTTAGTGTCCAGCTCATCCTTCGCCACCGAACGTCCATCCTTGCTCCTGAGTCCAAGGTCTCCCTTCTTCGACAGCCGCTCAACAACCTTCTCGGCCCTCGCGTTGTGGCGCACTGCCTTCTTCTTCCTGATGTCGGATCGCACGAGGTTCGGCGACACGTACTCCTTGTTCTCGTAGATGACCGGTCCGCCAAACGAACCTAAGCAAAGTGGTCAGAGTCGATATCAGGCATTGTGAGATTCGGGTTGTGGGTTACCTTCGAGGATGACAATTGGTGTCAAGGTGAATCTGGGGCCAATCTCGACAAGCTTCGTGGAGATGGTCTTGCCGCCCTTGCTGACGGTCTTCTCCTCACCATCTTCCTCGCTGCCTTCCTCTTCCTTGATCTCGTAGTTACTAATGACTCATGTTAGCCTAAGTTGGTGCAAGACAGGCCTCGTATAGCAAATAAGCCTTGCTCTGCGTATAATAGACGTACCGAACCCAGACCTTCCCATCCAACAGAGAGAAGCTCATGACGTGATCAATGAACGGCTTGGATTTCTTTGCCAGCGGGGGCACGCCCCACTGCTTCAGGAAGGCTTGCTTCATAACTGATATTGTACTCTCGTTAGTAAGAGTTGGCCTCAAGACTATTTTACACGTACGTTGCAAGTGAGGCTCTGTCTCAAACGCGTTGTCAAATGACAAGATCGGTCTGCTTCCTCTCAAACCTAAGGAAACATCGTTAGTTACGTGACCACCACGCCAAAAACAAAGAGGAAGAAACAAACAATTGCCGGGCATGTTCAATTCGTCAAGAGTATGAATATTTTGGACATGAAACCTGATGGTAGGCCCATTGCCACTGGAAGACATGTAGAGGTACAGATCTTTGTTCTTCCTCGCTTCGAAGTAGCAGATGTTGTTACCTAGAAGATTGAGATCAGTTTTGCCGCAATGAAAGGCGATATCGCGTTGACTCGGCAACGTCGCAGGTCTTCCTACATGAGTAGAGCTCAGCAAGCTCGTTCAGCCCGTTCAGGTTTCCCTTCCGGTCATACTTGACATCCCTAAAGCCGACATTATTAGCCCGGTTCCTCAAAGATAACATGGCCTGTATCCTGCATGAAATATACGTGATCACAAAAAGTATGGAAGAAAGGGTTCACCCAAAAAGCAGTGACCCAATTTCTAGACATTCTCGATCGACCGTGTTCGCTTACTTCTTCGCATGGGGCAACAGGACAGCCAAGTCGTTGACAAGGTGACGGTGTCTGAGATATGAGGTTAGCAACTGTCCATGTTGAACCGTTTGAAGTCAAACGTAGTCAACTCCCAAACCCCAGCTCGTCAACGCCCTAGCCGGAAGTCATACCTGTACGACACACCTCTGCTCGTAAGCAGCAAGACGCGCTGCTTGTTGACCTTCTTAGCGACCACGTCACCAGGCGCTGCGGCCTTCTGGTCTGTCTTCTTCGACAAGCTCTTGTAAACGGACGCCATCGTGGCTGTCGAGGGCTGGAGGAGGTAGGTTCGGATGAGGGGCAATCAGTCGGCGAATCCGGTATAAGAAAACCGAATCAACGCAGCCGTAACAGTCGCGAGGGTCCAAAGAACGGTTTGGAGAAAGTCCGGAAGCGTAGGAAAAGAATTGCGGTTGAAACACCTTCTCGCAGCAGCTTAAACAATTCGAGGATGCCGCGCAGGAGTCGGCTACGATGTTTGCGCTGGACTGGCAGAAAAAAAAAAAAAGTCGGCGGCTGCATTTCTCCGAGCGATAAGGACCTTATCGGCGCGCGGACAAGCGGGGCGGGACCCCACTAGCATTTGCGAGGAGCGCTAGCTGAGTGAGGAAGAGTCCGCGCTGGCAGACAGCGTGCTGGGGGGAAAGAAACTTTGTGGATCGCAGGAGCTTGCAGCCCACCTCACTGTGTGTGCTGTCATCAAGTCAGGAACGTACGTCTACCAGGTACAAGACTGCGGGAGCTCCTGAATCTCCACGTGTTGCTTTGCAGGTCAAGGTCCTTGCCGTGTCATTTCCCGGTGGATAGATGTCTTGTCTGTTCAGGGGGCATATTCAGGGACCAAAAGCCATGAGGATCGCAATGTCAAGGCCACAGGCACATGGAAATACTGTGGGCAGGGTAGGTACGTCAGAACAGGTAGCATATATTGGTTTCTCCCAGGCTCACGTGAAGCGGCCGACGATGCGACCCATCCGTCCCATGTAACATTGTGGACTCCGACGCTGTTGGTTGACGTGTGTATCGATGCGAGGGAACACGGGAGGCAACCTCAGCTTCGCAAAATTGGTATGACAAACCGCCTTCCTGGGCATCTCAGATCACCAAGCAGACACAGAGAGACCCCGAAGCATTAAGATGGATTCATTCAACTACGTAAGCATGGCAGAGCGATCGTCAGAAAGGTCAAATCCCAGACAAGCCGCACTGAGCCGTATAAAAGGAGAACAAAGGAAAGGCCGAGACTGTACTCCGTCCCCTCAGAAATCATAAAAAGACTCGTTGGATTCCTAGTCGTTCCTCGATGCAATAGCCCCCTCCTTGACCAAGTGACATACAGATTCCGGGGCATATAAGAGACGCCATGATATCGACCGTAGAGGCCCTCTGGGAGAGGCCACGAAGAAGGTTTCCCGGATAAGAAGGGTGCTTAACAGCACTTGCCGCCCTTCTCTGCGCTGTCGTCCGCGGGCTTACTGAGCGCGATGCTGGGTCCAGTTCCGATCGAGGCTTGGGCACCGTCACCCGAGTCGAGGGCTTTGCTCGAAACAATTCGGTAGATCTCTGTCGGAGAGGCACAAAGCATGTCAGCTCACGGGTCAGGTTAGGGGCCTGGTGTTTTCGGGTCGCCAGGGTGGGGGGAAAGAAGGCAAGAAACGCACCGGTCAAGATGTTCTGGAATGCAAGCTCGACGTTGCTGGCGTCGAGGGCAGACGTCTCAATGAACGAAAGGTGGTTCTCGCCTAAAAGCCAGGTTAGTCAAACCGGGGTTCGCAGCGCTCCTTTTGCTCCTTCACCGCAACGTACTGGCAAAGGACTTGGCCTCCTCTGTGGGCACGGCTCTAAGGTGGCGCAAATCGCTCTTGTTTCCGACAAGCATGATGACGATGTTGGCATCAGCGTGATCCCGCAGTTCCTTCAGCCATCGCGTGACGTTCTCGTATGTCTGGTGCTTGCTGATGTCGTAGACGAGGAGGGCGCCAACGGCTCCTCTGTAGTAGGCGGAGGTAATGGCGCGGTACCGCTCCTGACCAGCGGTATCCCAGATCTGTGCCTTGATCGTCTTGGAGTCGACCTGAATAGAACGGGTGGCGAACTCGACACCAATTGTCGACTTGGAGTCAAGGTTGAACTCATTGCGGGTGAATCGACTGAGAAGGTTGGACTTTCCGACGCCCGAGTCTCCAATCAACACCACTAGAAGGGGTAAAATGTCAGCTTGCTACTCGGGATCGTCGTGGCCATCTCGGGATGGGGTCGTTGGGGTCTAGATGGTCGTCGGCGCACCTTTGAAGAGGAACTGCAGAGAGCGTCAGGTTAGCGCGAGGAGGGGGCAGACAGCTTGAGGGAGAGAGGGGCGAGCGGAAGGGGTCCAAGGGAGGTGGGCGATTGCGTATGGAGAGACTCACGTCATATTCGTCGTTGGCCATGTTGACGGTTTGGTTGTGATGCGATGGACAAGTACTGAAGATGTAGGATCGTTGATGTTGCGAAACCAGAACACTGCGACTGGATGGAGGTGTGCGCGGCCCCGAGAGATAAAGCAGTTGAGTTGAGGCGACGCAAGGTGTAAGGGTCTGGAACTGAACCAAACTGGAGTGGACAGTGCAGCTTGTGGTAGCGTGGAGGTGAGGCAGCAAAAGTTGAGAGTGGTGGTGTCGGCGCAGCAGCTGGGAGCCACTGGGATTGGCTCAGGGTTGGCGCTGGGGGGTGAATTAGCCACTGAAGACGAAAGCTGGGAGGAAGGAAATAAGGTCGGGGGTAGCGCTGAAGCGGACGGGACTTCTGAAGGCAGCTAGGTACGATGGGGAAAACCCAGGGTGCCTCAGGGATGGAAGTGACTTGGGTACAAAAGTGAGTAGGTAGCTGAGTACTTCTAAAAATGCCTGAATAGGTATCTAGGTAGTCATTCTAGCAGTTTGAGAGAGTACAAACACACTGGACGCATTCTCTGTATGCGAGATAAAAGCAGTAGGAGGTATCATTCCCCGAATGGCTTGTTCAGAACCAGCGGAGAATACGACAAAACAATGTTTATTTACCTAGGTAGGTACCTATATCGCGTGGTTAAAGCATTGCAGTAGATGTTATTAGCATCATTCATACATGAACAGAACTCCCTGGACAGAGGTGGGGTGCTAAATATCCGGCATGGAACTGCAAATGGGAGATCTATGGATCAGTAACTTGCGGGCTGCGCAGGACCCAGCAATTGTTGTTCTGCTGCGAAGCAGCTTTACGGTAACAGAAGGCACTTTCTCACCGCAATGCCTTCCATTCGTCCTCTCGGATTCCATGCCAACCGCAAGGTTGACTGGGGATGCTCCACGTTCCGGATGTACTGCGAGCCGCCGTGCCACACCACCACACGACATGCACCAACCACCACTGCGTCACTTGTGGTTTCTCCCTATGTGGTCTGTCGTGGCTGTCTTGGGAACTGACGTGAGCTGAGCAAGTCTCTAGTGGACGGGATTCCGCCGTCGGTATCCGGGAGTGTCGCGTTTCACATCGAGCGTCACGTGTCCCGAACCCGTGGTCCAACCTGAGTTCCTGCCTGATTGGGACCTCGCCATGAACCACTGGACGCGTGGTAAAGTACTCTAAACTCATAATCTGACGTCTTCCATCAAGATAGGTGGGCGAAGTATGTCTGCAGCATCTGGCCGGCATCTCCGGGCACGTTATCCCTAACCTCCAAGCCGTAGCTTATCCCCAGTAAGTGCGTGCTGTTCATCAACGAATAACTACCTTAGATCCAGTAAAGACGCGTGAAACCACATCTATCCGGAAATTCAGATAAGCAGGTACCTTAGCTTCTTCTGTCTGGATTCCTTCGCTTTGAATATCGGTTAGGACGAAGACTGGCGGATGGCGAGAAACACTCTCTTCCGCATCATGATGCGCAGCAAGCTCGAATGGAACCTCAGAAGGTAGATTGTGTACCTGAAGACACCTAAAAGCCGGATGAAAGACATGATCATAGACATGATCATCAGCTAGAAATGGCTGAATGTATCTCAGTCGGTCAATGATGACATTCGCGGGAGCAGCCAGTGACCCAAAATTTCGCGCTGTTTGTCTGGTCTTGAAAGAGTTGAATCCATATGGCATGGTAGCGGTGCCCCTTCCCTTTTTCAACTGCCCGTCCCGCGATGGGGCGCACAGACCACCATTCGCTGGATCCCGACGAGTCGTTCCTGCCTCACCTGCCGTTACCATTCACCGGCTGTCTACATCTTCAGTCCCGCTACAATAAACTATTTTACCTTGGACACCAGTCACGGAATCCCTTACATCTTGATTTACGTTGTCGATTGATTTTATCTCACCAACCAAGCATCGCTTGACGCACCCGCGTCAGTATCATACAGGTCCAAAAAGCTCGCCTCCCAACCAGAACATCGTCTCATTGGTATTTTCCTTCCACACTCGTAAAGTTATTCGGCTAACATTTGATTAGACGTCTCTTGCTCGACGGCACTTGTGTATCTGCCTGGGAGATCACAGACTGTCTCTCATTCTTCAAACAGCGTGCCTCCAGCCCTGACACCATTATCACGCGCTGTGGTCCAAACTCAGCCAAGTGCAAGGACCGGAGCGGCGGGCATGATACCCCAATAATGCCATGACTTTTGGGCTTTGAGACTGTCATGGGAACTCCGGGCTTATTCGTCAGCGAGGGCTCCTCCCCTCCGCCTCCGCGACATGATCCCGGCCAAAAGGAGGATGACGAATTATCTATCAACTCTTCGCTAGCTTCCCAACACGACTCGGACGAGGAGTGGTCCGTGGAAACCATACATTATGAGACATTCGATGATGGACGGAACTTTTACCTGGTCGAATGGACTGGGTATCCCCTTGAGGAAGCTACGTGGGAGCCAGAGGAGAACGTGTCGGGTGAGCTGTTGGAAGAATGGAGGGCCAAGCAACAGAAAATAGCCCGAGGCGAAGAGGAAATTTTCAACGTCGCAGCCTGGCAGGAGTTCGTTGAAAAGCGTGCCGAGGAACGTCGCAAACGACACCGGGAGCGCAACTTCGAGCGCAAACGGCGCGGCCTAGAACTTTCTCTCTGGGAAGGGGAGTCTAAGGAGGAGTACTACTCCAGCGACGAGGAAGTTGCTCAGGATGATTTCAACGACATATTGCCGCCACCGAAACCCACCGGACGGCAGATTGATGCAATCCCATCCATTGAGGATCAGCCCAAGCAGCCGCTCGGGCAATCGACCGCGGGGAAGACCGCTCAGCCTCGCAAACGGGCCTCGTCGGGAGAAAAGTCCAAGTCACCGACCAAATCAAAATCGCCTGCTTTAGCGGTACCGCCACGCCTGCAACCTAAATCGGCTGCATCCACCTCGACCGGGTATCAAGGTACTGCAAGGAGGCCTACGGTCGTGAAACCCGCCAACAAGCCAAACACAACCCGGACGACTCTCGCTTCGAAATTCTCCCGACCTACTCGAACAGCGAAGAAGACCCAAACGGGCGCGAGGACGATGGTCAAATCTACGGGCAACGTCTTCACCAGCGGCAAACCTATCCGAACCCGTGCTCGATTGAATGATAACGCGGCAGACACCTCCCAAACTCCGCGCACCTTCTCGAATCACCGTCTGAAAAGGAAGGCTGAATTGCAGGGCCGGGACAAAGCTGATCAAGCGCCTGCCACTCTTCCGACCACGCTGTTCAGCATCAGTAGCGGCCCTCCCGCAACTGCTTCCTCCACGCACTGTCCTCCTGCCACCGGCTCGCCCGCGGCTGGTTCTCCCGCAACCGCCTCTCCAGTTGCGGACTCTCCTGGGAAGGGTCTCCCCCTCGCCGGGAGCACCAGTGCGACTCCGGGGCCTCGGTCGGTGTTAAAGCATTCAATAGACACCCTGACAACGAGGTCAGCCAGCAACTCCAGCGTCGCAGCTCCCGAGGGAACCGGTTCGACACTCCAACGGCCATTGCCAAAGAAGAGGAAATCTGTTCAATTCGTGTTCGATGATCCCTTTGTCGAAGAGCCGGAAGCCATGGATGTGGACGACCAAAGTCAAGATCGTTGGCAGAGACCAAGAGCTCCTACGCCACCTCCAAGCTCTCGAGAAAACGATGATATTCGAAAGCCGCAGCCTATTCTTCGCAAATTGTCAATCCAACAATATCAACACAAGGCTGTCGGGCGAAATGTCGACATGAGTATTGTTATGGGTGGAAGCAAGGCCGTCGAGGTGACATTCGAGAGTGTGAAAAACGAGTCCGAGCAGTGGCACTCCCATTTCATCAATCAAACGGTCTTGCATTTCGCCAGGAATTGTCATGGCCCAACCTTCGCTAAGCAACGGGATGCCGTTGTTGAACGTGTTCTATGTCACGGCAGTCTGAAAGCAAAGTCTTCAACGGATGAGTACGCCATGGAATGTGCCGCTGGACGACTCCTGCTTGGGTCCTTTGGCGCCGCCTACTTTCATGATGAATTTTCAATCATCATCTATGCCGGGGCCTGTGAAGCCTGGAAAAGCGTCTTCACCGAAGTGGACGCTTCAAGTCCGTCACTTGCAACCCTGAAGTACGTCATATACAAGCCAAGTCCCGTTGCCACCAAACCTCTGCCGGAACGTAAAGCAACAGCGTCAAAGCTCGCAGACGGACGTGGCCCAATATTCCAAGATTTGCTACGCATCGATTACCACAGTCTTATGCCACCCGGCCTCAAGGACACGCGGCACAACTTCTATCTGGCGTTTCCTCCATCTCGAAAGCAATTGCTCGACGCTATCAGCGAGTGGCTACATCTCCAAAATCCACATTGTAAGGTCTTTTCGACCAAAACAGCTGGTGACTGGAGGGCCTTTACCAACCCCAAAATCGTGGAGACTGGCGTCATCATTGTTCACGAGACATCCACTGAATCTCTGAGGCAATTTCCCGAGTTGCTGAGATTGCTCTCGTCGAAGAACAGCTCTGCTTGGTTATTCTGGTGCATCGGCGAGTCACTCCAGAAGCATCCGCTTTTCCCTTCCATCCGTTCCTTTCACGATACGGCCACGCCAGGCTCATTCGAGCTGACAAGGCTATTCCCGCATGGCAACGCGGTCCTTCTTACTCCGAGTTTCCTTATAGCTGAACCGCTTCGTGCTTTTCAACTTCTCAACTGGTATAAACGGATGCAGCGGAAGCCCGCCAGCCCGAAAATTGTAGCCGCAGCTGGTCTTTCTCAATTTCTCCGGGATCTCGCTATCGACAAAGCCGATCAACGTAAGAGATTGCTAGCTAGAGGCGGCAATGAAGACGAAGCACGAAAGGAGAAGCTCAGTCAGGTGGATTGTATGACCCGTTTCGATACGTCGGCCACTGTGGATAGCATGCAAATGTCATTCATGGATTGCTTGCTGCCTGATGAACAGCTTGCCCCCATCATCTATGCCGACGCATGCATTGATGCGAATGACGAGCAAAGTTTGGTCAATTGGTTCGGCTGTTGGACGCAGACTCGACTCGACCAGTTCCGCAAGTTCAGCGTTCTAGGGACAGAGGGTAGCACCGAGATCCGTCAAACGATCAAGTATGAAGACCTTCCGCGCTATACGCCTGGAACAGAACGCGACCATGCCGCAGAGATCGACTTCGGCTCAAAACCAGAGACGGCGGATGGAGGCCCCAAGACCGCTGACATGGTTTTGCCTGGCGGAACCAAGAAACTGGTTGGCACAAGTGCTATTCAAATCAGAGACTTTCTGTTTCCTCTTGCTAGGACTATAGCCAACACAAACCCTGTCATATTTCCCTCGCTCTTTGCAAATCCAGTCTCTTACTACAGAGATATCGAAGCAACGGCCGACGCTATGGGGGACTTTCGCAGAGAAATGGCCACATATCAACAATGGCTGAGGTTTACATGGCCGTTCTTTGCCCGATACAACCCCCCACACATACCGGACAACATACCAAGAGGCAACGCACCTCATATATATAACTGTTACTTCGCGTTCTTCTATACTCCCCAGGGCTATGTGGCCTCCGAAAACAAATGGCAGGGGCGTCGTCCGTGGGCTGCAGTCTATCGACCGGAACATCCGCATGAAAGGCCGTGGGAATCGACAGAGCTTATCATATGGGATTGTGCGACCAGTGATCGATTCGCGGGCGAACGCGAGATTCTCCTTTCACAACTTAACGAAGCTCAACAGCAATTGATTGAGTTCGTGGAGGACCACGGCCAAGAGAAAAACGCCAAACTTCCCCTCAACCGTGTCTGGCTGGGAGGGTTTCTTCCAACAGCAGAAACCTTGCCGTTCGATGCCACTATGGAAGCCCTGGAGGCTATGGTAAAGAAACCGTTGGAAAATGTCCCGGTGTCAGACACCGAGCTACTGGCCAAAGGTTTCCGTCCGGTGATACTTCCGACTCACGTTACCCCGAGCACCAGCTCCCCGGACAACATGTCCATTGACCTCGCCGACGATCTGTTCGCCGACGAGGATGATCTCGACAGTAAAATCATCTTCCACCCGCCTCGGAGCCCCAGGCCGATTCATAAAAGCCGGTGCGAGAACCTGCTCTTCAAGTGGGTCAAGCAGACCAGGAAAGGCTCGAGCCATTCGGTGCTCACGTACTCCTTCACGCCTACCACGGAATGGTACAAAAGGCAGCAAGTGGCGGAGAATCGTAACTTCGAGCACATCTACGTTGGGCCTTGGCCGCGCGTATGGGAGATGTTGAGAGTTCCTCACGGTACTCCAATGACGAGTCAAGAAGAGAGAGAGAAGAGCAGAAACACCTGACATGGTCTATCTGGGGAACGGTAAAAGTTCTGATCGACAAGCGATGTCACGACTTTTCATACTACAGTCCGCCCAATTGGAGACAAGGATGAAAATGTACGAATACTGTATCAGATGTTGCAAACTGAGACAACCAAATAGCATCTGTAGTGAGCTCAGGAGATAGTTCAACCAAAAAATTGACAGTTGCGCAACTATGATATCTTAGTTATGCGGGTTGATGGCCAAAGACAGGTGCTCAATATAGGAGAGTTGAGCACCGGTTATTACGCCTTTTGTGCATCGATACATGATCCCAGAGACGACGAGAGGAGCAAGACGAATATCTAGTATTATAGAAAGGGCCCTTAGCACCTAGTCTCTCGGAATTCTTCATGCTAGTCATCCGTCCGCCTCCGCGCAGACGCACCCATATCCCTTATCGACGTACATAATGTTGTGCCTTGGATGCTATCAGACACAAAGACGCAATGACCTTTTTTACGAAATACTGAACAATGGCTACCTGACTGTAGTAGGGAAGTTCCTCGTGCTAAGCAAGACCCCCTTGACGCGCCTGATGTTGTCCTTGGCCTTCTTGATCTCGTCGTCCGGCTCGTTGGACCGGTATCCGTACAGCCCGCCCGTGAAGTCCTTGGGCGCCGGGTACGCCATCTGCATGAGGTCGTCCTTGAGCAGGTCCATCTCCGACTTGAGGTGGGCCAGGTCCTCGGCCTCGGCGACGCAGCCGTCCCTGAGCGTCTTGGCGTGCCCGCTGATGTTCGACAGCTTCGCGCCCGCGGTGGTCGAGGAGCCCTTGGCGCCGGACAACGACGCCCCGCTACCGCCGGCGGTGGTGCCCCAGGGACCGGGCGTCGGGGGGTTCGAGGTCTGCGTGCCGATGTCGCGGTGGAACATCTCGGAGGGGTCGTCGATCTCGCTCGCGACGTCGTCTTTTTGGGTCTCGGCGGCGGCGGTCTTGGTGGGCGGCGGGATTTCCGAGACTGTGCTTTCGAGCTTCTCGATTATGGCGGAGAGCTTTTGGGAGGTCGCGTCGTGGAGCTCTGTGCGGGCTTCGTTCAGGTTCTCGACCATGGGCGCGACCAGGAACTTGCTCGTGCCGTAGACGAGGGTGGAGATGCCGGCGAAGACATAAAGGGTGTTGAAGATGCCGTTGGCGGTTATGAGAGGTGGTGGGCGGGTCGGCTTTGTGAGGAACTCGGGGTATGTGACGACGGGAGGGTTGTCGTTTCGCGGGAGGGAGATTTCGGTGGTGGGTTGGGGTTCTTGGGGTGTTGTTGAGTGTGGCCCTGGTGTTGGTACTGTCGCGGGCTCGGCTGGTACGGGTTCTGACTCCGCGGTCTGGTGTTTCTGTTAGTTAGAGTGAGGGTTGAAAGAGAGACTTGGGTACGCATACGTCTTGCGCCGGTGGTGCTGCCGAATTGCTTCCCAACAGCTCCTCTATTTCGGTTGAAGTCAATCCCTTGCTGGTAAGAAACTCCTCCTTTTTTTCTCTGGGCTCGTTCTTGATCTCGTCATCTTGTAAGAAACGACGGGCAATATCGAGCTTCTCCTCGGCCGGGGTCTCTTCTGTTGTTTCTTGCGATGCCGGTTCAGCATCGAGTTTCGGTTCGCTGTCTTGTTGTTGTTCGCGCTGCCAGGCTGGGATGCCTGACGAGCTGTTGCTATCGTCTGAGTCGCTCATATCTGCGTCCTTAAAAGCGGCGATCAGATTGAATAATTACAATAAGACCGTTGGCGCAAGTTGAATTGAGATAATCGGAGGCGGGAACCAATATCGGCGTTCGGCACCTATGACCACATGCCTCGGCTGGGGAACCGGTCGAAACGGAAAGGCTGGCAACAGGGGTGCGCGTTCGTTACGGGTCACCAAAGTCCATTACGGCCTTCCCACCGTTCAGGTGCAGCAATTGGGGCGACGGCAGGTGGGGCCTGGCCATGCACGGTGCCCATGGTGCCCACCCATCACGGGGCTCCGTTTTCAACTTCCGGCAAGTGGCAGCGGACTTCAGCGCCTGTAGAATGAAGCTTGCCTCGCGCTGAACTCAAGGTGAGCCTGGTTGCAAAAGCGCATTTTCATGCCTCGAGCTTAGGGTATTGCAGCAGCATCTCATCGATACCGTCTCATCTATTCGTTCAATCACGCGTCCTCCTCATTCGCGTTCGTCCTGTATCCATCGGGAACCTACCTGCCTTCAAGGTCTCACCCGATTTGCTCGCTCTGCCGTCACCGACGATCTCGACGCATCTGCTTCACCGACACGACCGACCGACAGGACCAGCACCCATCGTCTTAGCCAGGGTCCAGTCAAAAGGTGAGACCACTTTGGGCTCACAGTACGCCGCAGAGGGAATCCTAGGGAGTGGACTCGCTAGACCGGAGCGCGCAAGACATTTCTGAGGCGTTGGAGAGAAATAGCGACGCGAGAAGGGTGACTCGAGATCCAATCGCCAAAAAGTCTCAGTTCAGGGGTCCTGTTTTCCGCCCAGCTTTGGCTTGGCCACAGCCACTTGACCAGTGCTACTGCTCTGTACCTTGCCTTGTCGTGCTTGGGGTCCAGCTTGAAGCGATAGGCCACCAAGGAGAAAAGGCAATTGGATTATCCCACTTGCCGCTGCGCGTCTTTTTCTGCTGCGGCTAGCCGTCGTCTATCACCTATCTATCCCTGGAAGGGTGTGAGTCGGTAAGTGCAATCTTTATCTGCCTTCATACAATTTACCTATCTCTGGGTCTTTTTCTTCGCTGCTATATTTCGCATCATCGTCATTCTTGAAACACATATCACGATCGCTCCGGGGCAAGTTTGTCAGCTCAAGTGAAGCAAACAAATGGCATGTGTTTGGGAGACCAATACTTCTGAAAGAAGAAGATAACTCGATTGGTGCTTTGCGCTGTTTGGTTCGTCCAGAAGGGTTGAAAAGTAGCCGTCGGGTCGAGATCCGAGAAAGCCAGAAAAAACAAAAGGAAGAAGCGCCCGCACGTGGGCGACTTGAGAGGAAGAAAGGAAAAAAGGGCGTAAACTTACCGCAAGTCGCGCCTTGCTTGCATCTCGGCCTGCGACATACGTGCCTTACCTCATCCCCCGTATCTAGGGGATCGGATTCCTAGCAGCAGTGCCACCTCACCTTTAACGCTTCCTTGTCTGGCCCTACGCCCCCCGAGCTTACCTTATTTCAACCTCCCACGTTCCCAATCTTGACAAAACGCCCCCAACCGGCCGTCCCAAAAACACGCAAACACCACCTTGCATACCCCAACCTTTCCACTCTCAAACACTTCACCGGCACGCAACTCCACGCGCGGGATAAACCGCCTCTCACGCCTTCACCGGTGCCAAGCATCTCGCAAGCGCGATTTCCAACCCTCAATCTCACACAATGGCTTCCCGACCACGCCGCTCGGCGGCCAAGAAGGCTTCTGAAGCACTCGTTGACTGGGCCGACAGCGAACGAACCAGCAACATGTCTACTCGCGCCCGCCGCTCAGAGGGCCGCACCTCGGGCGTCTCCCGTGGCCCCCCGTCATCGCCCGGCAGCGAGCACCTCAACCTCACCGTCAAAGTGCCATCCAACAAGCTGCGCGAGGCAACCAGCAGGGGAAGGAACTCGACGGGAAACAGCATCTCCGTTGGAGGCAGCGAAATTGTCGCTGGGAGGCGCAACCGTGGTCCCAAGAAGAGCTACGTTGTCGAATCTGACAGCGACGAGGAGGAAGAGGAAGAGGACGAGGAAATGGATGATCCCAACGACGAGGACGCAGATGGTGACGACGACGACATGGATGTCGATGCTGAGGGCGAGGAGGATGCCGAAGGTGATGTTGACATGGACACACCTGCTGCTTCGACTATCAAGATTCAGCTGCCCAAAGCTGGCAAGGTCACGCCTAGGCGGCCGACAGCAGCGAGAGTTGTGCAGGATGATGACGACGACGATGAGGACGAGTTGAGTGAGATTGAAGTCAGCGATCCTGATAACACCATGGATATGAGCATCGATGTTGGAGGCGCTGGCGACGATGACGACGACGAGGAGGAAGATGAAGAAGACGCCGAGGGTGAGGAAGAGGACGCAGAGGGTGAAGAGGAGGATGCCGAAGGCGAGGAGGAAGAAATCGAAGTCGCCGACGAGACTCGGGGTCCGGATGCCGAGGGCGAGGACGACAGTGATCTTGGCAGCCGCGAAGGAACACCTGACTTGTCAAAGATGACGAGAAGACAGCGCGCTCGGTTTGAGGATGAGCCTCAACAGTACATGAAGCTTTCAGACGGTAAGATCACGGCTACTTTTTTCCCAATCTCACTGCGGGGACAGAGGCTAACAACACTACAGAGGTCCAAGCAAAGAAGGTCTTCACGGCAGAGGAGCTCTCCATGAGAAGGGCGGAAATGGCCCGTCGTCGTCGCAATCTGTCTGAGAAGCGCAATGAAGAAGTCAAGGTGAGTTTCACGCGCTGCTATTCTGGAAATTGAGAAGGGGCTAATCATTTGCACAGATGGAAACCATCAACAAGCTTCTGAAGAAGCAGGCTCCCAAGACCAAGGGCAAGGGCGGCGCTGCCGGCGACGATTCGCCCAGCAACGAGCCCCAGAAGCCTGACGTTGCCTTCGTCCGTTGGGTCAATTCGAAGAAGGGTAGCTTTGTCTCTGTACCCGAGGAGATGCTCAGCGGCCCGGCAGGCAAGGTTTTTGTTCCGGGAGGACTCAAGTCAGGCAAGATGGTTGAGGAAGTTGTCTAGACTGGACCGCCAAAAACCCCAACTGAACCGTTCAATACCTTTATTGCCTCGAACATGGATTAGAAAAAACATAAAGAGTCCGAGAAGGGAGGCTCTGTTTCTGAAGCGGCGTCGGGCGAGTATGGTTTTGTTTTTGCAGCACATAATCAAGGAGGCGCGAGTTGATAATAGTGCTCGGTATCAAGAAATGGTTGATTTGCACAACTTGCATCGGTCATCGTCCGTCCCAACATTGCCACAAATTTGCGATTCGCAGATAGATCCTTCACGTGGCCGACAGCATGGTTACTTTGCCAGGTAACTGTATCCACAGATTAATGCCTCGGACCCAAGAACCTCGGAGACGGCCGTCGGCTTGTCGACTCTGTTTCGACTGATGAGTTGTGGGGTGACGTGACAATCTCCCCCCTTCCCCAGGGGACCGGCCGAAATATGTTATGTAATCACTCCAAGGCCCGTGGACCTTGACATCCCCGCTTTCAACGCTATCCCCGAAAAGGACGGAAGCTTTTTGTTGGTTCGCGCTTCTCCGCATTTTCTTCTCCGTCCAGCGGGCGAATCACCACCACCCGACCCAACTCTCTCCGTCAGTTGGCGGTGGGTGGTAGGCGCAGAACATCAGCCAAGTCCGCGACGGTTGGCGGCGTCCGTGGCCGATCACTGTCCCAGTCCGGGTTTCGAAGCGGCGGTTTGGACGGTGGTGGTTTGTCATCGCTGAGTTGTCGTTAACGCCGATATGGGCGAGTGGCGCAATGCTGCGATGTCGCGATGCCAGTGTTGGAAACGAGGATCGCGGGAGGCGTAGCAGGTCTTGGCTGGGCGCAGAAGGGCAGCGCAACTCCACGACGCCGTTATCGCATGGCCCTGGATGGATGGATGGACGGGTGGGTTGGATGGGTACCTTAATCACTGTCACGGACTCCGTCCTCCTGTCAGCTTCGCGGTCGGTATCTGCTGCACGGTGTAAGATGGGTAACTTTATGACACGGAGGGAGTTCGTCCCTACTGGACTAACAAATATGCACAATACGCTTCTCCATCCATCCAGGCCGCCCGCCAACCAAAAAACCCCGGATCTGCGCCCTGCAAGAACCCGGGCGGGGGAACTTCAGCTACTGCACATGATTATCGCAGTGGTAGCATACATATGAGGAAGTATGGAAGCAGGAAACAGGGGGCAGGAAGCAGCGAGAACAAGCAAGATTTGCCGCACGCCAAACGGTGGTCAATGGCAAGGGACGAAAAGCTGCAGCTCGCCAGGAATATAGAGGCGCCAACGCGCTTTGGGACTTTTGGTTCGACGCCCATTGGCAATGGCGGTATAGTATCCATAGATGTAATACTTCGTTCAGCCTCTATGAAGCCCTCCAAGGAGCTTGCGGGTGGTATCTCCGAGGCGTCAGGGCCCATCTGTCAGTCAGACTAGACGGGTACAACCGCCCGTGACAGGTTTCCTTCTTTTCCAGGTTGTTAACTACGGACCGTCATAGAAAACCGAAGGATACCGAAGAGTTTGGGTCGAGGCTGAGCAAGACAAAACCAAGTTGTCGTAAGCTGGAAATGCGATGCCGAGAGGTCGTTGTAAGCTTGTTTGGGGGGAGGGGGATCTGATCACGAAGCAGGGATTGCAAGGTCAATCACAGATGTCTCGTGGTCGTCTCCCCACTCTGCCCTCGTGCGCGCGCCTCTTCCAGTCGGGATTGGCTGTCGTCTTGGCTTGACAAAACTTCGGATTCGATATCGCGATGCTGCTGGTTTGGAACTTGCTAAGCCTCCGGTTCTCTTCGTCAAGAACCTTAAACTGCGATGAGTCTTGTGCCTGTCACCTCCGACATGGAATGCATTGCACTTGAAAGGCGGATGGCAGGCACACACCCGCGATGGAACCCTGTGGCCCGCCCCGAAGAAAAAAATATGGCTCCTGGACCGGGGATAAGCGGTTCGCACTTCCAATGAGCTTAAGTTTTGCGGGCGAAAAAAAAGAAAGAGGGCAAAAAATCCCAACCACAAGAGCGCAAGAGTCAGAATTGCCTTTTCGTGATCCTTTGGTTGTTAGCCCGGCACTTGTACATTATTTTGGTTCAGAGTAGGCTAGAACATCTTTTGTTCTGTCTATCCGTCTCTCAAGCCATGGCGCCTACATCGCCAGTCGAAGCGCCATCTTCAGCAACGGCAGAAGCAGCAAGTACGGCAGATCCTTCAGCTGTTGCATCCATGTCTGCTCCTGCTTCTGCCCCAGGCGACAACGACACCGCTCCTGGTCCATCAGATCAAGGTGAGTGACAGAAACACAGGGCCACTAGCCTCGCCAGCTTGTCATCTTGCCTGTCTCTACCTCTTTTGTTCACATCTTTTATGCCGCCCGTCTTTTTTTCTTGTTCTGCACCTACCTGCATTCTCCCCTCCCCCAAACACAGAAAGAGGAGACAGACATTAATGAGGAGGAGGAGGAGGAGGAGGAGACATTAAGCAACCTAAGGTTCTGGACCGGCTTGGCCAACACACCTCTTCAACCTCAGAGTCACTATTGCCTTACACGATACCTGAGACTGAGAGTGGCACGCCCATGACCTCCCCCTCTCGACTTTGTTTCCCTCCCGTCTTCGCCTCGGTTTCTTGTTCTTCATCCCATACCATACCCCGGACTGCTCAATGCATGACTTATGGGCGCACAGCACACATACTGCACATATTACATACTGATCATTCTGGTCTTTTAATTACATGACCAGAAATCATAACTGACCAAAAAATTCATCCAGCCCCCTTGGAACCCTTGGAAGCCACCATCAGGCCACCCGCGGCCGCGGCCACCACCCCAGAAACCGGCGCGCTCCATCACCCGCACCACCAGCCCACCCCGCAGACGGAGTCCATTGCTACTCCAGCTACTCCAGACCCAGCTGCCACTACTCCAGCTGCGGACATTATTACTACGAATACTCCCACGGCTGCTGTCCCGGGAGCTTCACTTGCACATCCTGATAATACAAAACCGACCCACGACCCAGAGAGACATTGGCCTTCCATGCTTCCCTCTCTTCCTCCTCCTTCTTCCTCCTCCGCTGCCGCACCCGAGGCCAAGACCCAGCCACACCACTCCACCACCGCCTCTTCTCCCTCGACGTCCAAAATGATCTTCTCAGACATCTACAAGTCCCCACGCTCGCCGCTGTCCAAGTTTCGACATTCCATGTCCCAGCAGCCCCTGTCGCTGGATCTACCCGACTATGACCCGGACCTGCTCAGCAAGGACAAGCTCAAGCAGAAGGAGGCCGTTAAGAAGTACCTCGCCTCCAAGGTTCGCAACGATTGGGAGTTCGTCTGGCCCCCGGTCATCACTCCTCGGCCCCAGAACGGTAATGCAGCTGCACCAACGCCGGCGCCGGCGCCCGGCGCTGATGCGCCCGCACAAGAAACCGTAGAGCAGACCCAAGAACCCACCGAACCAAAACCCGAAGCGACGGACACGAACACGCACGAAGACGATGTCGCGGTCGAGAGCGACGAAGACGACGAGGAGGAGGACCTGTCCGGCAGCGACGCCGAGTCCGTCTACAGCACAATCTCAGAAGACCCGGCACGCTTCAGGCCTCGTCTGGAATGGGTGTCTGACCTGTCCGACGAGGAGGAACCTCTGCCCTTGTCTCTTTCCCCTTTCCGCTTCGACACACCAGACGCGATCGGCGCTGCGGTGAAGGCTTCCGTCGCAGAGAAGCGCGCGGGGCGCAGGCGCGCTCTGCGAGAGGAGATGCAGTGGAATGAAGGGCTGGCATGCTTCGAGGCGAGGCGCAATGCCTGGACAGGCGCACGCACCGTCCACGTCCGCGCCAAACCCGCTTCTCCAACGCAAACATTCTCCCCGCTGTCACCCCGCCGCCTCTTCTTCCGCTCCTCCATGTCCCAGCCTTCACCGGCACCGCTGGCCGCCTCGCCCGCGTCGCCGCCGCATTCACTGCAGCAGCGGCCAAGCAACGATGCTTCGGCCGTCGTGTCTGACGGCTCCGAGCTTACCAAAGAAGCTTCCAAGGAGCTTGCCGCACAGAAGTCGAAGGAGTCCGCTCGGTCGACGGCATCACCCGCGTCGGTGGCGTTGCCGATCGAGACCCTGATCCCCATACCCGCGCCCCTGCTTCCCCCTGGAAACCCAATGCGCGCCTCTATTACTCCTTCGGTATATATTTCCCTGTACGAGAAGGTGATAGTGCACGCCTTGACGCCATCATGCCCTGTCAATCTGTCAGATATGATCAGGGCTTGCGTAGTAGGCTGGAAGCGGGACGGAGAGTGGCCCCCGAAGCCAACGGTGGCCGACCCTAGCCTCGTCGCTGTGCGACGGAGGAAGAAGTCTCAAAACGAAGGGCAGAATGCCGTGCGTAGGATGAGCTTCGGCCTGCTGGGCAGGGGAGAAAAGGCAGAAGGCGATGAGGCAGGGGCCGGGAAGGGCATTAGAAAGAGCCTGCAACGGGTTCTCGGCCTAGGTCAACACCACCATGCCACGGCTACGAGTGCGAATAACGGAAACGGGGAGGCGAACGGAAAAGAAGCGACTGCTGCTTAGGTTCATGATGAACATGATAATGAAGGACGTAATCGGATCTAACGACTTGGCCTACAGGCTGTAGGCATTGCCCATCAGCGACGAGCAGAGCTTTGGAGATACAGAGAGAGCTTTGGAGAGTCCGAGGGATTGGCTACGCGAGACACGGGAAGGTTGCTCATGTGACTCCTGATACCCATATGATGTAGAAGCATCATCAGTAATTAACTGCATATTTGACACAATTCACAGCATCTGCATTGCGTCGTTCTTGGTCTGTGATCGATGCTGGTTCCGAAGCTTGCCCCAACTGACGCGCAGGAGAAATGTGCGTTCTATAAAGGCCAACGCCATTCCACCAGAATCATTGACAGCAAACACACCACTGACATCGTGGATTATGATTGATAAGCACGTGGGTCAACGATCATATGGCAACCATGTTCCAGAACCCAGCGCGATCTGGAACTGGAGTCCATATCAGTCAACCGCATCGTTCTGCCGTCCACCGCTTCTGCCCTGCCCCGTTTTCCCCGACATATTCGGAATCGTGGACTGTAACATGAGATTTCACGGATTCCTTCCCGAATGTGACCTGCGTACATGTGATGCGGACGAATATCTTGACAACATCGACTCGAGGTCGATGTCTCGCTGGAGCACTGTTGCTTGGCGTCTGTAGCTACGCAACACGTCGCCGGAACTGTCTCTTTTGTATCTTTCAGCCACTTACTAAGTTTTGCATCTGTGCCAGCAAGGTGTTTTGGAAGATTTGTGTACGTGCTTGTAGATAGATACCGGCATGAACGAGGAGGGAAATCTTCTTTCTGGTGGGAGGACCTGGCGTGACTGGTATGATGCAGCTGATTACATTTTCATTTGTATAAAATACTCGTATAATTAGAAAGAAGCATTCCTCCAAAACGCCTCTTGGCTATCCAGGCTTCAATGCGAAGTCGGGTTGACTGGGACATGAACCCAGCCTCTGTTGTCTTCACAACGAGAGACTTGTTGCCCACGAGCCCCTGAGATCGAACGTCTAGGAAGTTCGAGTGGGTTGTAGATCCATCGTCTTCCTCCAGTATTGTCTGCCTCGGCCGTCTTATTCGCAGCAAGATACCTCGGCGATGTCTGGGTTGTCTGGTACGGACGACTAAGCTGACGATGTATTGTGATGAGAGACAAACCGTAAGAAACCCCCCATCCAGCTCGCAGTCGCATCGTCTACCAACCTTCTGGTGCCGCTGATTGCACTGGTGCCAATGTGTGCTGAATACAGACTTTCGCGGCGAAGATATACCCGACTTCGAGACCGCTGGCGAGTTCGGAATGCTGAGGTCCGGTATTCTATGCAGCTTTCGATGCGTCACGGTTCCTGTGCATGGAATGTCGTTCAGTTCACAGACTCTCCAGAGTCCCGTTATTCAAGGTATGAGACTCGCAGACTGTGTTGGAATAGTCGAAGGACAGATGCACTTCTTTTGGTACATATAACGTAGAATTACAGTCCAGTACCTACTCGTCAGCGATACAGTGCTGGGATCTTGATGGTAGTATGAAATCCGGGGATTCCTGAGCACTAATGTATCCGAAGCTTTTCCATGAAGACCTGCGTGGGCTCCAACACTTTATCATCTTGTGTCTGCCACTTGTTCGTCGGTTCTGGTGTTCGGCGTTGTCTTGGTATTCGACGACGAATACAATAGCGTTTTGGGAAGATATCTGAATCACCGTTCTGTGGATCTTAGGATGCACGAAGATGGGCGCTCACATTCGAAATTGTGATTTTATCTCAACCACATCCAGGAAACCACTCTGATTGGTATGTTGCCTACAACATCATGCGTTCCCATCGTGTATTATATACTCTTGAGAAAGTAACCCGAGTGATTGCTCATACTGCCTGTCCACTCAAGCATCCCGAAAAGGTTTGTGCTGTCAAGGTGGATGATATCACATACAGCCACCCGAATCTGAAGCTCAATTCCCTCAATTGGTTGCTGATGACCTGTATCTATCAAAAATTTTATGTCCATGGGGTTTTCCAGTGTAATCATGGACAGTTTGGGTAAAAGAATAGTTATAACCACTGGCGTCTTTTGAAAACCCCACCCCTATTTAAAGTCGCTGGAGTCCTCGTCAAAGTCAAGTGCACTAGAATCGGACGAGGACGCAACCCTTTTGCCTCATATATTTCGTGGATTGCCGGGGCAGAGGTGTAACGAGTTCACCAACAACACCCCGTTTGTGTTCGTTGACGTCCGGTCGGTCACTTACATAGTCTACTCACTTGGTTCCGCTATCCAGCAGCGTCATCTCTGACATATTCCTGGCCCCAGTAAATTCCAGGATTACACGTCTTATTTTTGTGTTGACCTCGTGGTTGATGAGAAGTGTGCCTCGCGGTGTGCCTGAGTTTGACAGACTAAGGCCGCTGTCTATCATGAGAGCTTTCGCAAACAATCTGCGCCATATCCTCATTGCCTTCGCCTGTATATGAGTGTGCTTCTCTTGTTATTTTGGGCTTAAGTAGAGCGGCCTCAAGGCCAGAGCCAATGATTCCACCCGACCTTGGGTCCAGGGCAGATAGGCTGGCCTCCTTGTTGTCGCCAGCGGGCCCTAAGCTCGGGTAGAAGTAGGGGTATTTAACCTCGTTTCGCTGAGTTTCAAAGTCTCTTCTGCAGCTGTGCTGGAAATTCACCGTGAAGCTCAAATGATCAAGAGGGTTCTGATCATGGGAAAAGACAAGCTCTTGTTGTTGGTTCCGCGTAGATCTGTGAGAGTGGTGAGGAGGACACGATTCAATGTAAGTCATGTTTTCTTCCCGGCGATCTCGTCCCGTTGTATCCTCGTTCGAGTATTACGCTCACTGTCGTATTGAATACTTCTAGTTAATATCACACAGGCCAAATGCTTTTGAATAGGATATTGCAGCCGATTGATCCCATGATAATCTCCCTCGATACCCTGAGACTTTTGCAATGGAGGAATGCTTCAAACCAATGTGGTGAGGTTGATGGTGGAATCCATGGAGTATTTGACTGAATCTTGGCTGCGCTAATACTATTACATTGGCCCACATGTGATGGGCATATCTCTGGAGGAGTGGCTATCATATGTTTTCTGACCTCAATGGTCTGGAAGACTGAAGAGTTGGCTGCCTCAATGGCCGGAGACGTAGGGTTCGCTCATTTTTGCACCCCAATATCGACACGAGGCGTTCAAGGTCAGGCGAAGCATACAGTCAATCGCCTTCAAGACTTCCACAACTTGAGCCGTCCGATACCAACATCTTCAGACACAGTACGGAGCTCCCTTACCACGCGGACTATATAACACGTCTTCCCAGCAGACATTGCATCCCAACAACCCCATATGAGCTGTTGGGGACAACTGAGTACCACTGTCTTTACTTGCTGCAGTCACTGAGGGAAACAGTTCGACCTACTCGATCACAACGCATTCTCAAACTTCATCTTCAGGAGGAGTGGTAGAAGCAGACTTCTTCACATCCTTCATCCACTTCATCCGCGCTGAAGTATTCCGCAGTGATATTACGGAGACACTCTGTGATACCAGCCTAGATATCTGCTTGTAGAGTGTGAAAAGCTGTTCCACGCAGGGGTGACCGCACGCTGGAGACTGGGCGAGCACAAGGTGTATGTCCATCATATCAACGAGTTCGGTGTTATGAGGGCCACCGATGAGATTCAGCTTGACCCCGGCCGCCGTTATACAAGTTAACCCGTCCATGTGGGCTGTGTCTCTGGTTTCAGGAAAACGACGTGCCGCTATTGTCACTGAATACGAACTCAAACTTGTCAGTGAAGCTATGTTGTGACTGCGCTACATAGCTTTTGCAGGACACAAAAACAGGGCAGCCAGCATCACCTGACAATTAAAAGACATAAGAACGTGTATGGAAATTAACATTAGACCGCGCCCTATCGACAGTCTTCTCATTACCCATGGTATCTTTATATTCAATGGAGGAATCCGTATCTCTGACATCTTCATCGCCAAGCTTGAATTGTCAAGGGCTTCGTCGCGTACGAAACTTAGTGTCAAGATAGGCGTCCCAGATATGGAAAGACTAGCATTCGAGCTATACGGAGGGCTCTCTTTCATCTGATTTCGGTATGGACGGTGCTTCTAAGGTATAATGCCCTCAACCATGCGATATAAACGTGGGGAGGGTACGAGGGATGTCGAACATGAGAGTCCAGCAATTCTACCACACCGCGGGGAGTTGAGTACGATGCGGTACAACGCGACGGTAGAACACTCTCCTGGAAGAAACAAATGGATCATAAAACGAGTCCAAGAAAGCGATCTTTACAAGAAGTCACTTGTCCAATCTCAAACGAACAACATTCGAGATATATAGATCGAGAAAACCAACGCCTTGTTCCCAGGAACGGAATAGTTCTTTGAACAAAACCACCACCAGAAATACATCCGCCTCAGAGTTTCAAGATATACTGAATAACGACGCAGTGTCTGCTCCCAGACAGCCCCAATCCCTTCCACTATCGTCCGCTGTAACCATCCGGCATCTCATACGCCTGGTCCGAAGTTCCAATCTCATATCGTACATGCGAGTCTCCGTGAATCTCATGCGGCTTTGCGTACGAATTCTTGTCCTGGACATCCGCTCCGGCCCCTACCTGCTTCCGCCTTTGCAGACGTCTCCAAACCATCCAGCCCACCACGCCAACAACAGCAATCGTTCCCAAGGTCGCACCTATCGCGATTCCAGCTATAGCCCCACCAGAAAGTCCCTTATTACCGTCGCCGCCAGGGTCTGATGTTGGAGAGGTAGTAGCGGTATTCGTGCTTGGGGTAGATGTACCCGTCGCTGACGTCGACGTAGGAGAGACAGCAGCCTCGGTGATGTTGAAGTAGTGAGAGGTTGTCCCTCCCCCAGTCGTCCCGGCCTCCACCATACGCAGAAAGTACACGGGGCTCAGCTTCGGATCATACCAGGCCGGAAAGGCCAGGCCGTCGAGGTTGACCGTCCAAAGGTGACTGACGACATTCGTGTTCTCTTGGGTCCCAGGTAAGCGACGTTCACAGAACCAAGTAGTAGTCGCGGCACGAGAAAATCTCACCTAATAAGTTGACGGATGGATCCCTTTCAGGAGATGACTGGGTCAAAATCAGGTCGATATTATCGTGATCCATGTCCCATTGGAAGTCGACCTGCTGCCCAATGGTATAGACCGGGTTATCTCTGTAGTCCCCAGATCGGCCTGGGCCCGGTGGTCGACGGAAAGTATTCGCGCCATGGGTGAAGGGGAAAGGTAGGAGGAGTAGAAGAAACGGGTTGAAACGCATTGCGAAGAGCGTCCTGGTGGCACTGATACACAGTGATAATGTGTTTCAGCGCCGTGTTGACGAGAGAAGGATGTGAGACTTTCACGGAACCTCGAGAGAAACGGCGTTAGGCAGATATTTAGGAAAGAAGGATCCAAACTTGTACAGCCCAAGTCCCACGGTGTATCAGGCTGTGTGCAGATCTGCCCGTCCAAAAGCAGCAACAGCCAGGCTATTCGATCAGGCTGCATGAGAGTGGTCACCCGTCACCTGCAGCCTGATCTATTCAAAGAGAAGAGCAGCGCACCTAAGCCCCGAATACAGTAGCCAAGGGGTCCAGCAGTTCAGTCGTTATGTCCAAAAAGTCAATAAATGGCGTAGAGTTGTCGGAATAACGCTTGGCGATTGGCGCAGCTGTCAACTCCGCCAACGAGCTCTGCATGACAAATACCTGTTCAAGGACAACTTCTCATGCAGTTGGCAGTAGAATTTGAAATCTACCGCATTGTAAGTGGCGGAATCTCTGCGATGCTTGACGTCGTCTGCATGTGATGAATTCGAGGAGGAGATGCTCCTTGACAGGACCGATGTATATCTCAACCCAAACGCGGCAGCTCGATAGGAGAGAGGTGGGAAAACACGATGACGACCAAGCTTTGATGTAGCTGGAACAGTTAGCCGCAAATACATTTACGAAACCGTGTGTCGTTGTAAACTTACCTCGTGCTTGAATAAGTTGGATTTTCAAGACGCACGATGAAGTGCCTCTCAAGCATAAGTTATTCAACCAGGAGACGTTCCCATATAAAACCTCTCGTGACTGCCCAACTTGTTCCTTCTATCCTACTGCTCGTATCAGTTTCTTGCTCCTCTTTCGGCTGCATAGTCCTCAATGTAAATCACAAAGCATGAGGAAATGCCGATACCCTACCTCGTAGACTATACAACGGACAATCCGGTGATACCCAGCATAACCTATCTCTGAATCCTCAAAACCCGTCTTCACGAAGTTCCCTCGCAGAACGCAAAGCCATCCAAATGCATACCAGCGAACGTCACACAACAAAACCCCACGACACCTGCCCAACCCCAATTGCAGCCCCCCTCCTCTTCCCCGCCTCTGTAACACCAGAACCGAACTCCAGCCACTCACTCTCACTCAGCCAACATCGTGAGTGAGACAACACCATCCCGTTTCCGTCCAACACCCCCTCAAAGACCAAACGCCTTCATATTCTCTGCTCGCACCGCTCTCCCCAACAACGACGCACCAAGCCTCCTTCGAGGCCGTGAATGGGCGATTGGTTTAGTGGTATAACGACCGCTTCGCATGCGGTAGGTCCTAGGTTCGATTCCTAGATTGTCCAGCCTTCCTTTTTGCTGGCCCCCTAGGCTCGGAGCAGTGGGCGTGTGTAACCTTCAGACGACCAGACGAAGTTGAGCATGCCAGACGAGGGCGGTCTTGAAGCGAACTACTTACTTAGTTAGCTCAGGGACAGAAAACATGACAGGAGTGCTTATTAGAACAGACTCAATCAGGTTTATATACTGAGAAATACCCATGTGTTGGGCGGACGTTAAAAGACGCCTCGGATAGCACACACCATGGAGGCGGTACCTACGGGCCAACTTAGACTGGAGATTGCACAGTCTAGTCCGTCTACTCCTAGGCAACTTCACACATCACATGGGACTTGGCAGCATGGAATATTTCGAGGCGGGACAGTGTTTGAAGAAATAAGGAGATTCTCTCAACTACAAGAGGAATTAAGTAGATTTCTTGTTACACAGCTCACAAAAGAGACTTGGATTGAGCTAAGAAACCACCCCATTCCATCGTTCCTCTTCTATACACAGGCTATATGCCCACCCCTCGACGCTTTTTGGTATTCTCGTCGCGAGTCGCTTAGTTGTTCTCCAACTCCGCCAGAATCTTCTCACCCTTCGCCTTAGCCGAGGCAAAGTCACCAACCATGTAGAAGGCACCCTCGGGAAGAGAGTCACCCTCACCGGACAGAATAGCCTTGAAGGAGGCAATGGTGTCCTTGAGGTCAACGAGCTTACCCTCGATACCAGTGAAGACCTGGGCGACGGTGAAGGGCTGGGACAGGAAACGCTGGATCTTACGGGCACGCTCGACGGTGAGCTTGTCAGCCTCAGAAAGTTCGTCCATACCCAGAATGGCAATGATATCCTGAAGGGACTTGTACTCCTGGAGGATCTGCTGAACGCGGGTGGCGGTGTCGTAGTGGTCCTGGCCGACAATACGGGGGTCCAGCATACGAGACTTGGAGTCAAGAGGGTCGACAGCGGGGTAGATACCCAACTCGGAGATACCACGGGACAAGACAGTGGTGGCGTCCAAGTGAGCGAAGGTGGTGGCAGGGGCAGGGTCAGTCAAATCGTCAGCAGGGACGTAGACGGCCTGGACGGAAGTAATGGAGCCCTTCTTGGTGGTGGTAATACGCTCCTGCATACCACCCATGTCGACGGCGAGGGTGGGCTGGTAACCGACGGCAGAGGGGATACGACCCAGAAGGGCAGACACCTCGGAACCGGCCTGGGTGAAACGGAAAATGTTGTCAATGAAGAGCAACACTGGAAATCTGTCAGTCGAGCGATCTCGATAGGCGTCTGGCGAAAAACAACTCACCATCCTGTCCCTCCTCGTCACGGAAGTACTCGGCAATGGTCAAACCAGTCAGGGCAACACGGGCACGGGCACCGGGGGGCTCGTTCATCTGACCGAACACCAGGGCGACCTTGGACTCGCCGTCAAGCTGAATGACGGAAGTCTCCTGCATCTCGTGGTACAAATCGTTACCCTCACGGGTACGCTCACCGACACCGGTGAAGACGGAGTAACCACCGTGGGCCTTGGCGATGTTGTTGATCAGCTCCTGAATGAAGACGGTCTTGCCGACACCGGCACCACCGAAGAGACCAATCTTTCCACCACGAGCGTAGGGGGCGAGGAGGTCGACGACCTTGATACCAGTGACGAGAATCTCGGCGGTGGTGGACTGGTCGATGAACTCGGGGGCATCGGCGTGAATGGGGAGAGTCTTGGTGGTCTTGATGGGGCCACGCTCGTCAATGGGGTCACCAGTGACGTTGATGATACGGCCCAGAGTCTCGGGGCCGACGGGGATGGTGATGGGAGCGCCGGTGTCCTTGGCGGGGCGGCCACGGACGAGACCCTCGGTACCTGGCGAAGAGTGAGTTTGAGCGCGGAAAAAGTTTTCCTGATGTGAATACTAACCGTCCATGGCAATGCAACGGACGACATTCTCACCCAAGTGTTGCTGTTGAGACGCATTAGTTGATGCCCGAGTTTTGCCGCGGATATTTTTCTCGTGTCCGTCAAGGTACGTACCGCGACCTCAAGAACCAGCTTCTGGTCGTTGTTCGTCGTCTCGAGGGCGTTCAGAATGGGGGGGAGCTTGGCAGTGTCGAACTTGACTGCATTCTAGGTTAGTTTCGAGGTCGCTGCGATGGGGGCAATGCCCCATGAAAGGTTTTCTCGGTGTTTACGAACCATCGACGACGGCACCAATGACCTGTAGGAGTGTTATTGTCAGCAACCGACATGGCCCTCGGGTCAAGGGAAGGGAGTAGCCAAGGCATCGCGTACCTGGTAGATCTTTCCATCACCGACACCGGCAGTAGAGGCGAATCTGCTGCTGGCGGGGAATCTGAAGGTGGAAGGCCTGATGGCGTGGCGGGTAGCGTTCGCCGCGAAGGAAGGGCGAGCCGCCCTGGCGAAGGAGGAAATGCCGCTATTCGGGGACGGTTAGCTCAATTGGGGCCAATTGAACGCGAAACGGTTCATAAAGTCGATCAGGAAGATGCTACCAACCTCTTGAACATCTTGACAGATGAAAAAGGGCGACTTCGGATGGGAGTGGAGAGGTGATGGTTGGGTGTTGGAGGAGGACTTAGGAAGAAGTGAGCAGTTTTGCTCGGAATCTACGCTTCGTCGGTTAGAGCTTTGCTGGGGTCATCACGTGACCGGATATCGAGCAGGAAAAATTACCTCGTGGCACTAGTCCCGATTTGGCCTACTTTGTCCCTCCGGGAGACACCGGGTCCACGTTCGGGTTCAATTGGAGAGCACGACAACAGCGCTCTTCAGTGCTTCGATGCCTCCCGCCTCAGGTCCTCCAAGTCCTAGACTCCCAGCAAATGACCGGAAGCTTTTCTTGTCCCGTTGGCCGCCGTCCAAAAATTGAGAGATTCCACTTAGCGTGGGTACTGTGGGTGAATGTCGCAAATGTTGGATCCTTTTCCTGGCAATTCTTGCAGCCCCAGGCACCCGGGGAAGAAAAAGAGAGAGGTCCAGCACTCAAGGTGCCGGCGCTCCCAATCCCTTACGTGTCCCCGATTTCCCCGGTGACGAGCGCCCACCACATCGACTCGACTCCTCATGGTCCCCCTCCGAACATCACCAAGTCCGCCCCCGAGCCGAGCTTTTCCGCCGACAGCGGAACTGCATCTTCACATTCTGCAGCATCACCTCAGCAAAACCATTTATATTGATTATTGCTTGACCACGACTCAACCTATATCTACAGCATATGAAAAATTTAGGTGAATTGTAATTGACGGGCCACTAAGCTCTGTGAGTTCAGTAAATGCGTGCATCGCTATATTAACTAGATCATCTTACTCCGTAACTCCGTACCGGACAGGTATATGTTTCCAAACGGACAACCGTCGACGAGATCATGGCTTTCAAGCGCCGCTCTGACCAGCCTCCCGATACTGCTCAAAAGTAATTTCCGGGGCCGGCGACCCATTATCCTCCTCTTCAATCCGCCGCTCCAACTCGAAGCGGCCGTCCTTGCCCCAGTAATCTGCTTTTCGAGTCCCTCGGACGCAGGCCTCTGTGATCAGCACATACGGCATAGGAGCGTCGAATATGGGCTCGGCAAGAACTCTCTCCATCTCCATCTTGAGACCGCGGGCCCCAGTCTCCGACTTGGCCGCTCTCTCGGCGATGGCGTACAATGCCTTCTTGGTAAAGTATAAACGGGAGGGGTAGGTCTCGAACAGCGCAGTGTACTGAGCGACCAAGCTGTTCCGGGGTTCTGTCAAGATCCTGAACAGGTCATTCAGCGACAATGGGCTGAGAGCACAGATATTGTGCACGCGACCGATCAACTCGGGTATGAACCCGAAAGCCTGTAGATCTACCGGAGTTGTGAGATCTAGAGGCGTATACGCCGACGCCGGCGCTTCCGGGTCGACGTGTGGCAGATGCGAAAACAGATCTCGTGGGATGGCGTGCTTGTTGCCGGCAAGTCCCTGTGCTGCGCGCAGCTCGGAGCCGAACCCCATAGACGGCTTGGACACCCTTCGCACAACCACCTTGTCGAGACCAACAAAGGCGCCGCAGAAAACAAATAGGATGTTTGTGGTGTCGATGGTGTATTGATCGACCTTGCCTTGCGGCGGTGTGGATTGCGGGGCCGACGTCGAGCTCGACGATGTGTAGTTGGTCGTAATCGGCGAGGCGGATCGCGAGGAGCGGTTATCCTTGACATTCACCGTCACCTTGGAGCCTTCGACCAGCTTCAATAAGGCTTGTTGCACGCCCTCGCCACCGACGTCTCGCCCATTCATGCTCTCCCTCTTGGCCAGCTTGTCGAACTCGTCAAGGACGACGATGCCATGTTCGGTAGCTTTGATGTCGTAGTTCGATTCGATCAACAATCGCTCTATGCACGCTTCTACGTCCTGTCCGATGTAACCGGCTTGGGTAAAGGAATTGCAATCGGCTATCGTGAACGGCACGTTGAGCTTCTTACTCAGAGTCCTGCTCGGAATTAGATTGCGCAACAACAGGTCGGCAGGATGGACCTACTCTAATATGTACGTCTTGCCGACACCGGTAGGACCGATGAGGAGCAAGTTGCTCTTGTCAATCTTGACTTGCGGCGGGGTTGCGGGCTCCTCGGCCAGATATGAAGCCTCGAAACCGCTCGACGAGCTGTATCCCTCGTCCAAATGCTGCGTAGATTCAGCATGGCCAGGAAAGTCATCTTCAGGCCATTCTTCATCAGCCCCAAAGCGCTGGAAAGCAGAGTGGCGACCGTGCTGACCTTGGACGGGGTGGACATCCCTATCCCGGGCATAACGCTGCCTCTGGGCCTTCTCCCTGAGGTTCTTCTCCTCATGATCTTGATGTCTCCTTCTTCGCACACCTTGGTAGTGATTGAAGATGGTAGAGCATATCGTCTTCTTCGCTCGGTCCTGACCGACGACGTAATCGTCGACTCGCTTCTTCAGATCTCGGGGATAGAACTGCGGAACGCCGAAGCTGTTCTTATTAAACATGGGCCCGCGCCCGGTGTCGGCGGTCGGATCGTAGCTACTCGTAAAGCCAGAGTTGAAGTCTTGGGTGCGCCTCGGTGTGACTCGTGCGATGGAAGAGCCGGAGAAGGCGCGCCTAGCATGGGATAGAACCAAGCAGCGCGCGCAGGTGTAGGCCATCGCCGATGGCCTGACGGGTAGAGGCATGATGCAGGATGCCCTGCGAGGGAACCATAGCCCGAATGCAATATCGTCTCTAGAACAGGAGGTGTCGCGTGCGTGTCGATTCGATGTTGGTGTACAAGATGAGAAGTAAAGTAGTCCGGTCACCGGAGTCAGCGATTGATGTCGTGAGTGTTGTCGTGTGGCTGGTTGGCCGGATAAGGCAGCTTTGTCAGAGCTGTCGGCGTCGGTGGCTCGGATGCGGGGTTGAGGAGCTAGAGCTCCAGCGCTTAAGAGCGGCTAAGATTGGGGACTATCAAAGAAGTCAATTGGTTTCTGGGTTGCTCTTTGACCTACTACTCTCTGTTTTCGCGAAGACAAACATATTGTTCTTCTTGTAGCGTTTCACCCTTTCATGCTGCATCATCTTGTCATGATAGCAGCTGCAATGCTCATGCTTGAGCTCTCTCGTATGCATGCTGCTGTCGTCATGTTAGCGCGGAGCTATCAGGTATCCCGGAAAGCTCCCTGTCATGGTCCACGGGGAGCGTCTGTCACTGATCACACCAACGCCGGACTAGGAACATTGGCGGCTCTGCGGGACAATCATCCTCAGATCATGTTCTGAGCGGCAATAGGACCTTGGGCGTGTGTCTGTGAGTTTCAAAGTAAAAGACCTGATTTTCAACACAGCAGATTCGATGATTCAAATTCACCTGCTTCAGACACGGAGAAAAGGTCCTGTTAGGTAAGGCAGCTGGCTCTGAGACCCGGGTACAATGCAAGATGCAACGGCTTTTGATTCCAAGATGTTTTCTGCAATCCACGGAAGGCAAGATGGCTGGCTTTGAACGATTCTTTTTCATCTTAGAGACCGCGAACTGACCTCTCAGGTGATGAACGACAACAACTTCAGCAGCCAGCCCCAGCCCACTCAGTGTTTAGTACTCCACCACTGTGCGTCTGGCATGCGATTCTGAGCCGGTCCACGACGTATTTGTGATGGCAATTTGGCACGATAACGACATGGCGGTCCCACAAAGCTAATACTGATAGCTCGTACTGGCCAACATACCCTGCTGGTCCGGCCCCCGTACTGGCAGGGGATGTGAGCTATCGCCCTCCGCTCACCATCCTTCCTTGCCTGAAAGGAGCAAAGCACACGGCGGATGGCAGGCTACACCAAGCAAGAATACGGGGGAGCCGAACGAGTTTTTAGCAATTGCTAACGGCAGAGAAGCCGTCGCTGAAAGTACCTCAACCTTCAGCGTACCATCGACCACCATTTCGGAGGTGGCGAGCTCCCGAATGGCTCCCCGGATGGGCGCCCATCTCCTCTGATTCGACCAGTGGTTTGTGTTGAGATGCAGGCATTTACAGGGAGGGGTCCAAGTGGCGGCAGTGTGTTTTTCTCCTTCATTCCTAGCGCCTGGCACTTCCGATGCAGCAATTCTCGTTGAATTGGTCGCCCCCAGACCAACCCAAGGCAACTGGGCAGGCAGGCGAGGAGGGAAGAATACAGCGATGGTTTTGCGCTGCTGCCGTGTACGAATACTTCTGAGCCACGACCTTTGGCCCTGCACGCCATGAGCTTGGGAAGCTGCGTTGCCCCACGACGTCATACCATATGCATCATGCCGACAATACACCTCGAGCTCTTCCCTCTCACGTCCGATGAATTGGAAAGTTAAATCATCCCAAGCTCGCCCCATGCACTGCGGGGGAACCAGACAGAACCAGACGACGTAAGACAAGGTAGCACAACGACAAACGACCTTCATCACCGATTGTTTTCTTCTCCGCCCTTCCCACATCCACTTTATTATTGATGTGAAGCCGTGTCCAACGTCTGATCGAGATTCCAGACAATCCAGGCTCGCCCAATTCCTGACGAGATTGGTACCAATCTGCCCATTCCTTGCCTAGCCTCAGACCCCTACCGGCCTACGTTAGGAAAGGTCAGAGTTCCCGGCTTAGCACAGCTCAGGTACTTTTACTTCTAAGCTCTCTGAGCTTTCTCCGACCTCAACATTTCACACACGCGGGGCACAGGAGCTTCCAATCGACCTTTTTCCAATCTCACCTTACCCTGCATACACTTAAACAACCTTCTTGGATCAACTCTGACGTGCTGCGTCTACCATTGACAGATTCGTGCTCGAACCTGCGGTCTTGCCCCGCACTCCCAACATCTACCCATCTTGAGTACAGTGGGCATCATTCGACATGGCCGCCATCGTCGAGAACTCGGCAAACTCAATCCCCCTCAACGGGGACCATGTGGCCGCCGAAGGTGTTCCTACTGACGGCACTGGTGAGCAACCCGCTTCTCCATCGTCTAGGGAGTAACTGACTGATCCCTACCAGGCGTCGTGAAGCTCGACCCATGGCTTTCTCCGTTCCAGGACTCCCTGAAGAGGCGTTTTGCTCGCACTCAGGACTGGATTAAGAAGATCAATGACACCGAGGGCGGCATTGAGAAGTTCTCTCAGGTCTGCGTCCTCCTCTGATTCACTTACAAGCGTGATGCTGACTGTTCGAATAGGGCACTTCCATCTTCGGTTTCAATGTTGATCAAGACAACAACATCATCTACCGGGAGTGGGCTCCCAATGCGACTCAGGCCTTCCTGACTGGCGACTTCAGTGAGTTGGCGTAAGCCTTCATGAAAACACGCGTTAACCAATCTCGTGCAGACGGCTGGGACAGAAATTCCCATGAGATGAAGAAGAACAACTTCGGCGTTTTTGAGATCACTGTTCCCGCCAACAACGGCCAAGCTGCGATCCCTCACAACTCCAAGGTCAAGGTGAGTTTATTTGTGACAGCGAGAAATGAATAAGGCTAACTATGAAACAGATCTCTCTCCAACTTCCCAACGGCGAGCGTGTTGACCGCCTCCCCGCATGGATCAAATATGTGACGCAAGATCTGTCTATCTCCCCCGCATATGAGGCCCGTTTCTGGAATCCGCCTGCGGCGGAAAAGTACGAGTTTAAGCACCCGAGACCCAAGAAGCCTCGCAGCGCTCGTGTTTACGAAGCTCACGTCGGAATCTCCTCGCCCGAGCTGAGAGTTGCAACTTACAAAGAGTTCACTCAAAACATGCTGCCCAGGATCAAGAGTCTCGGCTACAACGTCATTCAGCTGATGGCTGTCATGGAGCACGCATACTATGCCAGCTTCGGTTACCAAATCAACAACTTCTTTGCCGCCAGCAGTCGTTATGGCACGCCCGAAGATCTCAAGGAGTTGGTCGACACAGCCCACAGTATGGGGATTGTGGTGCTTCTCGATGTCGTCCATAGCCACGCCTCCAAGAATGTTTTGGACGGACTCAATGAGTTCGATGGCACGGATCATCAGTACTTCCACGAGGGCGGCCGTGGCCGACATGAGCTTTGGGACAGCAGATTGTTCAACTACGGCCATCACGAGGTCATGAGATTCCTTCTCAGCAACTTGCGTTTCTGGATGGACGAGTACCACTTTGACGGGTTCCGTTTCGACGGTGTTACAAGCATGCTGTACCTGCACCACGGCATTGGAACGTAAGATTGCATAAAAGAAGTTACATGTGTTTCCGACCTGCTAACATAAACAGTGGATTTTCTGGAGGTTACCACGAATACTTCGGCTCAGACGCCGATGAGGAAGCCATCGTTTACCTCATGATTGCCAACGAGTTGCTTCACTCCTTATATCCTGAAGTCATCACAGTTGCCGAAGACGTATCTGGAATGCCCGCCCTCTGCTTGCCGTTGTCATTGGGCGGTGTTGGCTTTGACTACCGTCTTGCCATGGCTATTCCGGACATGTGGATCAAGATCCTCAAGGAGCAGAAGGATGAGGACTGGGATATCGGCAACATTTGCTTCACTTTGACAAACCGAAGGCACGGCGAAAAGACCATTGCATACTGCGAGTCTCACGATCAAGCGTAAGTTCTCGTCCGATACTTGGCTTTTTTGTTCAGTCTGACAAATCTAGGCTCGTGGGTGACAAGACGCTCATGATGCATCTTTGCGATGCTGAGATGTACACTAACATGTCGACCTTGACTCCCTTGACGCCTGTAATCGACCGCGGAATGGCTCTCCACAAGATGATCCGACTCCTCACCCACGCCCTCGGCGGTGAGGGTTATCTCAACTTCGAGGGTAACGAATTCGGTCACCCAGAGTGGCTTGACTTCCCCCGTGAAGGAAATCAGAACTCTTTCTGGTATGCTCGTCGCCAGCTGAATCTGACCGATGATCATCTACTCCGCTACAAGTTCCTCGACCACTTTGATCGTCTCATGAATACCACAGAGCAGCAGTACGGCTGGCTGGCGGCGCCGCAGGCCTACATCTCGCTCAAGCACGAGGGCGACAAGGTCATCGTCTTTGAGAGAGCGGGTGTTGTCTTCATCTTCAACTTCAACCCCACCGAAAGCTTCGCCGATTACAGAATTGGCATTGAGGTTCCGGGAAGCTACAAGGTCATTCTGAACACCGACCACAAGGACGTCGGTGGGCACGGACGTGTTGACGAGAACACGCGCTTCTTCACCACCGCCATGGAGTGGAATAACCGCAAGAACTGGACTCACGTCTACATCCCGAGCCGAAGTGCTTTGGTGAGTTTGAATCTCAACGTCAACAACGATTGTGTGCTAATATTATCCAGGTCCTCGGTCTGGAGTCACCCGTTTCGCAAAACTAGAGGAGATGATCTTAAGCCAGACCGGATACCGAGATCGATACAACACGGGCAAGGGAAGACACATAGTCGAAGCTGTAACGAGAATTATGCAAAAGCATGTCATTTGTAGAACTGGATGAAATAGATTTATCACAAGATTGAGTTACTCATTTATGGTTCGTTCGACGTACCTCTTCATCGAGTCGTTAATACAAGTGACATAACTTCATTTTGAAAACCGTACAGTCGATGCGGTCTCGTTTAAGAAACAAATGGAAAGTTGCTTGGAATTCAGCTCTTTTAGTACAGTATTTACACCAAGCATATGGTTGTCCTCGAGTCACGTCGCAAACCCCCCCGCCCATGCCAGCTCTACTAGTTTTATACATGGGCAATCTGCCATGGTCGAATTGTGATTGTGATTCTAGAGACGAAAGGGAAGGATGGTATCGATTTAGAAGCCCTTGGGAGGAGACTGGACCATGCCCTTGCCGGAGTAGCCCTCGGAGGAGATACCGGTGATGGGGTCGGATTTTTGGTTCTGGAAGACGGTGGGTTAGCCATTGGCCCGTCCGCACGATGCCCGGTCGCGGGGAAGAGGGGCCACATACCTTGAGGAACTCGTTGGAAGCCTCCTGGTACTCCTTGGTCATGGTCTCGGGAGGAGGCTTGGCAAGCAAGCGGACGGAAGCGAAGATGGCCAGGGAGGCGGCGACGGAGGCCATGACGCCCCAGAAGACGCGACCGCCCTCACCGGGGGCAGGGCCAGCGCGGGGACCGTGGGGACCGAAGGCGATCCAGTAGGCTGTTGAGACAATTTGCGTTAGTTTTTTTTTTTTCTGAAGTAGAAAGAAAACTGGCTTGTGACGCAATGCATATGCACAGGGATAGATGCCCAGTCACATTGGACGGGTCTGCCAATCCAATTGGTGTTACATCCTTCCGTATCTCTCTTCCCAGAGCTCTTTCGAGATGTATTTATATAGATGGTCCGGCTGCTCTCGCGGGCAATTGGTAGGGAGGGGAGAAGCTGTGTCGCGATATCTCGGAACATCGGACCACCCAGGAGGGGAACACACGAAAAAAAGAGAGGATTCACGCACCGGCCTTCTTCTCCTGGAGGGTCAACTCGGACCAGGGGCCCTTCATGCGGTCCCTCAGGTTCATCCAGAGCTCGGCCTGCTCCTGGAGGGGCATGCCCTCCCATCTCTTCTCGATGTTGGCGAGCGTAGGGTTGGAGATGGCGTGGGTGGTGGCGGCGCGGCGGATGACGGATTGCTGGGTGGAAGCGGCGGCGGCGCGCAGGCCGGCGCGGGCCAGGGAAACGGTCGGGGTTCTGAGCATCGTGTTCTCTTTTGTGTGTGGGAAAAAAAATCGGTCGGTCGCTCGGAGGGGGAGAGAGAGGTCTGTCGGACGAGGTCGATTGAACGGCGGTTCGTCGGATCGGGGGCGTTTCTCGAGGGTTTTGGGTTGTTCCGTTCGAGGAGGGAAAAGAGGGTTTTTCTGGCTACCTAGAAGTTCCGGGCAATCGTATGATTGGAATTTCGATTGCAATACGCCGGCTGCGACTGGGTGATTGGGCCGTCACGTGATGGGATTCTGGCCCGTGCACGGACGAACCTTCCAATGGGATCTGTCGATTGGCCGGGGTGGACCGCTCAATCGCTCACCTCGGTGTCTGGGCTGACAGCTCTGGTCGCTGTTGCTGGTGCAAGCTCGGTTGTCGGCTCATCCCGAATACCGCCGTTTGACCGGGATCTAGATGGCATCACTCGCAAGGCTGACGTCCAAGACTGCAATTGACTTTTATCTTGAGGCCAATTGGGATTAATTGTATCATATCTAGACAAATCCCCCTTACATCCATGATTTCCGCTTGCAATTGGTGTCGTTCTGCGCAGTTGCAAAGGGCTCGTGGGTGGCATGATAATGCCATCTAGCTGCGCCGCATAGCTTACTCAGGATGCGTATCCATCTCGTATTTAGCCAATGGCTCTGGAAATACTCCAGGTCTCGCCGCAGGAAACGTTATCTACGTTTCCGCGCTACAGGATGTACATTTTCGCAAGAACCAACGCCTTCGTATGCCGATTTCGGCCGAATGGCCATACGAAATCTATGTGCATTGGCCTGACTATCCTCGGCTGTTCGATCAATCGGGCTGCCCTACGATCCAGACGCAAGATGATTTCTCCCGGAATCCTGAAGTGTTCTGCCTGCTTGCACCGGGTCTTATGCGGCCTCGTGCCCGATATCGCATGTAGTATGGGTATCAAATGAGCATTGTTGCAGCCTTGCTTGGACAAAAGTTTATGAGGCAATTAAGTAAACACAAGCAAAGACCTGGCGCCTTAAGGTCTTGTTGTAGAGTCGCCGGCAGCCGTGCCGGGTTTCGCGATCGTCTGCTTCGGAACGGGTTGCTCGGGAGTCGTAGGAGGGCCCGTCTGGAACTGTTTCTGCTCGCGCTGCCTCTGCTGCTCTTCGAGAACCGGCTTCAGTGTGTATACGGCTGCATGACCAAGAAACATTAGCTTCAGGCGAAGGAAATGCGCCCGGGGGAGTTGGACGAACAGATGCCCACGCCAGCTACGACAGCGATTGTCAATGGTAAGATATTTCTGGTGACGCTCATTTCGTAAGTCGTTTTCGCCGGCGATGGATTGAAGTGTTAAAATGCGTTGAGATTGCAAGTCGTGCTGCTTCCGTGGTTTGGTGACGTCAAATACTTTGATGTAATTAGGACAATGAATCTTCGGTCGGAGCTGTACTTCAGCTGGAGCTCTCGGTGCCGTCTCCAGTAAAAATCGGCTCCGGTCGGCCGTGCACTCAATTCGAATTCCCCGTGCCACCCGCCACGGCGCGCCAGCGAACCCCACCACATGCCAAAACGCGCTCGCCGACGCGTCCCGCCTTAACACAGGCACACGCTAAAGAGGCACTTCGCCTTAGGTAATGCACTACCTACGGTCCCGACCAAACAATCACGCTGCCGATTCCCCTTCCTCGCCAAACGACACAGGCGCTGCTTTCATATTCTTTAAATCATGTTCAGTTGTTTATGATGAACGATACGCGCCATGGCGAACTGGAAAGAACTGGGCGAGGTCCCAGACTCGGACGACGAGCTCGACTTCGATAGCCAGGAACTAGATGGACCCTTGAATGACGAATTTCCCACGACAAGTCTCGACGAAGCCTTGCAGACGACGCAAGCCCCCGAAGACAGCGTCTGGGACGTTCCGGCATCCTCGCAGGCGGTCCCAGACGCGTTTCCGAGTTCAGAGATTCCTATACTGAGCCATGTGGAAACCAGACCTCCCGCCAGCGAGCCGGCGTCCTCGCCACTTTCTTCGGCACAAGATGTCGACGATCTCGCCGACATTTTCGACCTGGACGATCTCCCGACGGCCGCACCTCCTACGTCGAGGCAGACGTACACGATCGACGGACGCGATGACTCCCCCGACCCTCTCATGGAAGACGACAGCATATCGACGAGTTATGTGAAGATCACGGCGGCCCCGCCAGAGTTCCCGGCCGAAAACAATACCCAAAGCTTGCCTCCTCCTTCGATCCCGATGGCGAGTCCGCCCAGGGCCCCGTCAAGCTCAATTAGAGGTCGACAGCCATCGGCAAGATCTCAGCAGAGCCCGGCTAGTAGTCAGCATAGTCCTGTGCGAGCTCCTCGAAGCCTGCATTCCATGGCAAGTCCGCCTAGAGATTCGTCAAGCTCGACGAGGGATCTACAACCTGCGGCAATATCTCAACAAAGTCCGACCAGCAGCCACAGTACCGTGCGAGCTCATGTTGTTTCCCCAAGAAGTCAGCGGAGCCCGACTAGGGGTCAACATAGTCCTGCGCGAGTTCAGCCTTTTCCGCCGAGAACTCAGCAGAGCCCACCCACGAGCCAGCCACGACCACCAGCCAGCCAGCGAGGCAGGAACACAGATCGGGATGAGGAGATTGCGAGGGAAACAGCAGCTGTCTATGCACGCTCGTTCAGAAAGAGGAAACCGATTCAGGAACACCCATATCTCATCGAGAATGCTCAATACAGCAGTGTCTTCAAATCTCACGGCCTGCGACCCGTTAGGATGCCAGTCGAGCAGGATTCATCGCGCCGACGGAAAGCTGCTGAAGAAGACTCGCAAGAGCAGGACTTTGAGGCTAGTCAGGAGAGCACAGTCGACGGACCTAACGAAATGACAGACGAGAGTCAAGCTCAGGGAGTAACAGAACCGCTGCACGATGATATCTTACGGATGTCTCTGTCACCGTTGTCTTCCCCATTGCGAACTTCGTCACCCAAACACAGGGGCGGGCCGAGTAGCCAACCGAGCCAAGGCGAGACAGATAATACCAGCTTGTCTGATAACGAGGACCTTCCATCGATCGACGAGATCTTCCGCAAATCAACGACAACACAGAAGAAAAAGAGGGGGAGACCGGCAGGTGCCCGCAACAGAACGAAGTCTGCGAAAACGGCGGGCCCCAGCACACGTTTGTCTTCGGGCCCGACTTTTCAAACATACGATGAAGTCTACGGCGTCCTTTCTTCGTCTCCTTTGCCACCACCGACACCAGTTGTACCGGCCGCCGCAGACGAGCTAATGACCGAGTCTGCTCCGCCACCAGGAACGAATTTGGCTCAAGTCCTCTTCGACGACGACGATGACCCGTTCAAGTCGCCTCCAAGACAGGCGCCTACTGTTGCAAACCAAGAAAGCATCGATATCACTATGGCGGATGTATCTGATGACGAAGACAACATTCAACCCGAGTTCGGTGACGTTATCGCCATATCAGAAGATGAGGCAGCGAACGATGCCGCCAGTGGCTCGGAAAGCGGAACGGAAGCCATCAGAAATGTTGGCCGGAGGATCCGAGGTGTTCTTCCGGCATCCTGGCTCCGACTCGATCAGCAGGCAACTCGTCCGAAGCCTACGCAACAGCATCACTATGACCAATCGCCTGAGAAGACGCAGAGACGCGGGGTTGCTGTACGTCGAATGGGACGCTCAACATCCGGCACAGCAGCTTCGTTCCTCTTTGACTATTCAGATGACGAAGCCACCTCGCTGCCGAAACCCACTCGCATTGCCTCCGGCACCGGTTCTGTGGTGCCCTCGCAACGAGCAACCGCACCGGTCATTGAGATCGACGACGAAAACTCTTCCGCGATGGAGGACAATGAGATTGATCACATGGCGCCTAGCAGGAAACGCCAGATGACTCTCAACGAATCATTTCGACCGGCCAAGAAACAAAAGACCAAGACCTCAACCACCGGCACGCAACCGAAGAAACGTGGAAGGCCTCCCAAGGCCACGAGTCGGTCCACGAAAGATTCACGTCTTGATCCTTGGGTCGACCGCCAGAAACCCGTACCTGGCGCGTCCGGTCATTCTGCTAGAGCAAAAACTCCTCCTCGACTGAGCATTTTGGATGTGATTGAGCCAGACGCACCGCGCTTCCTGAAGGTTGCAGCAAGAACAGCCCATACCAGGCGCAATCTCGGGAGAACAAGCCCGACAAACAAGTCAATTCGTTTAGCAACGAGGAAAGACAACGTTGATGCTGGTACAATCTTACAGCGATGGAAGGGAAGCAAGATCCAGCCTCGAAAGGGGCTACAACGCAAGAGCAGCCGGCCGAAGCAAGCCGGGCGGCGCCCACTCGCCCCGATCCCAAGCAACGTTCTTTCGCGGACCCCGTTAGCTTCACCTAAGAGCCGGGCCACCGATCAGCCTCTGAGATCTGTCCACGAGAGCACTGAGACTGCGATACCTTCTCCAAGAGCGCGGCAAGCATCGCGCCCATTTTCCAGATCTCATTCGACTACTACCCAGCGTGGGCAACCTGTTGAAAGCAGACCCGCCCAGCTGGAGACCGATCTGGCCGACCAACCGGGCAGAATTGGCTTCCACGCGAGAAAGCGAGCACTTGATGCTATCTTCCAGCGTAGCTGCACGCAGTCGCTGTCGGCGAGGAGTATACACCTTGATTCTGTCATTGACGATGCATGCTCTGTTGCTTCAGAACAAAGTCTAGCTCCCAGGGTGATTCCTGAACTGCCTGAAGCGGAGACACGCCGTCCCAAGCGGTCGAGGAAATCGGTCCAGCCTATCCGAGTCGATCTCGCTGCAGCTCACTTTCGACACGCAGATGATCCGCTGCCGACTACAGAAGTGTTCACTCCAGTAGAGACACCAAAGACAACATTCACCGATAGTCAACTCCTCGGCCTCGGTCCTTTTGGCACCCATTACACCCAGCACTTTGAGGTCTTCCCACTCGACCGTGGTGTATTCTTCCATGAGACAACCCTCATCGGTAGTGGTCGGGTTGAGGCTGCGATCGACGAGCTGTTTCCAGAGAAGCTCTGGCAACCTCGCTCCCGGGTCTCGTTCCACCTGGACGAACGAATTCTTCGTTGGGATATCTGGAACGAGCAAGTGTCGTCTGAATTTGGTATTCTGATGGACGGCATCCTGGACCAAATCTTCAAACCAGCCTCCGTGGCAGATTCTGAGTTCAGCACAACAGATGCTGCGCGTTTCGTTCTAGATTATGTTCAGAAGTCTATGAGCTTCACAGACGACGCCGGCGCGCACTCCTTCGTCACTCGCCTCACTGACGTGACCCGGGCTTTCATATCCCGTCTGGACTCGGGGATCTATGTGGGTGCTGAGAAGCGGCTTCAGCTCATCGATGTTCTTTCGAATCTTCTTCTCGTCGTGTCTTCTTCAGTGCGTCTCTGCCAGAAACACGCCCCATTGATCTCAGAGGGATTCACCTTGGAGAACGTTTTGAAGAAGGTTGCTGAAACCCTCGTTCGTATACTTCTCTCAGCGGGGCTAGATGAGATTCATCATCTCTACGAGGACCTTCAGTCATTGAGCTTTCGTGAGCGCGGAATCCGTCCCGATAAACGCACTCCCCATGCATGGGTACTTCTCATAAGGGTTTTGGAAAGCCTTCGGATCCCGAGGATGAACTTCTGGGACGTAACGCATTCCCAGCTCATTCAGCCCAACGTTACTCAAGGATCTGATGCCCAGGAGTTTGAGCGGGCTTGGAAGGACATGTTTACTCTCTTGCCCTTATGCGAGTTCGACAATTTGGGCGTCCTTGTTCCCGGCAAAAGACACCAGACACCTGTGGAGGGCTGGAACCTGCCTCAACAAGTAATGAAACGCGTCTTCCAACTGTACCGCGCCAATCCTCGCCAGCCGCCAAGCTTCAATGACTATTGCCGGTCGCTGGTGTCCAGATGTCACTACCTCGTTGATCAATGGGGTTGGCAGAAGTGCAGCGGCGTCGTTGGCACCATCTTCGACTTCTTTGGTTCTCAAAACCTGTCGCACTTGCGAAATGAAGAGGCATTCCGCTCGGCCCGGTTCCTAGACAGCCTTCACCAGAACCCGTCCTTGAAGGTTGAAGCAGAGGATCGATGCTTCCATATCTTCCTCAAACTGGTTGCCTTGGTCATCAAGAATCTGAGGAAAAAGGGCCTGGTCAAGGACATTCGGAACTTGGTAGCACGCACCCTTCCTAATCACGACCGGCAATATTCAAAGGAACAGGATGTTCACGCACATGATCTGGCTGCCTTGAGAAATCATCATGATCTTCTGTGCACCCTATTCTGGGCCTCACCCCCTGATCTTCGGCCCGGTATCCATAACCTGGAAAAGCTCGTGATTCCTGCTAGTTCTCACAAAGAGGCCTGCCTGATCAACTTGCGGGCTTGGAACCAGCTGGCGCGATTCGTCGTGCACGAGGAATCTCCTGAGGCCTTCCACCCACTCGCCAAGTGGCAAGCCAATGTTTTCAAACAACTGCTTGATTCATACAACTCTGCAGCGTCGGACATGCAGCAGCAGTTCCTTGCAATGCCGAAGGAGACCACCAGCAGAATCAGCGAAGGATTGATGAACTCGATCATAGCCAAGAACAAGGCCGCCACTATGGAAATCATGCTCTTTTCCGTCAAGTCATCTATGGATGTGGTACAGCACGCGGCCAGTCTCGAGCTCGCTAGACTTGCTTCAAGTCCCGGTATGTCAACACCTAATGCATAGCGCGTTCGAGCTAACGTCTTCCAGTGCAACTGCAACATGTCTTCCAGCACTTTTCAGCACTGCCGGCGGAATTCCCATCTGGGCTTCTGCAAGCTTCATTGACAACACTTGAACGGTTGCTGGTGCGGATTGAAGCTGCTTTTAACGAAGGTAGCGACAGTCAAGATAGCATGGCATGCTCTGAATCCGAAGAGGCGATCATGGTAAGTCACACGTGCCCTCTTTGTTTGCAGACCTGACATTTCTCAGATGCTCGAGCGCGAGCTTGCCGCCGTATTTTTCTCGATGGCTCGCTGCATCTTGTCCAGTCAAAATGCGAGGAATAAGCCGAGCGTCAAAGCCGTGTCAAGTGCCTGTGTTGAGCAGGCTGTTGTCGTATCTGGCATTATGACGAGTCTTTTCGTTCGCTGTGTCATGATAGTAAGCCTATATGTCTCTCTCCTTTTATGGTATGACACTGACCGCCGCAGCAACCTTCTCATTCCTTCAAACGAGGCAAATTTGGTGTATTTGAGAACCTACCAAACAAGCTCAGCTTGGAACAACGACTCTATCTTCCTCTGTTTCTCTCGACCGTCGCACAGAGAGGAGCAGAGATCCAGCTGGCTGTAAGTAGTCGCCCTGTCAGTGTTGGGATTAAGACTAACACGCAGCAGGATATCGGGATAGACACTCTACAGCTGTGGTTAATCATTATTGTCCAACCAAACCATTGTCTGAGGTTCGAGAACCGCTTTGGCCAACAACTACAACGCGAGGGTTGCCCTTTCGTTCCTGACAAGGCTGTTGGGTTCGTTGTCAATCCAGGTTACCTGTCTAATCGCGACTTCTTTGAATGTAAAGACGCCCTTTCGAGACTCGGAACATATGGCTAACAGCCGTAGACGCGATGAAATGGATGCGACAATCACTGCAGACAACGAATGCAGGGGACAAGAAGAAATTCCTTGCCGATTACTCCAAGGCATTGGACAATGTCATGCAACAGATGCGAAGCGACCTTGAGATTACCTCTACCGAGTCAACAACAGAGCACCCCAACTACGTCAGATTTGTCCGCAACATCATATCCTTGATCACAACTTATGGTGCAGATATTTGTAAGGTGCCTTCCTTCTTCAGAGAAGTGAGCAAGACGTACTCTCCGCCTACCGAAGATCCCGAACTGCAAGTCGCGAGGATCCTGTCTTACGGACTGAAGCTTGCAGAGGGAAATTCTGGGGTTGCCAGCAGTTTGTTCTACCTTTTGCTGAACAACTTCAAGAAAGCACTGCAACTTGGCCGACTACCGCAAGAGGTCTCTCTGCTGAAGACGGCTATGAAAAGCGATGCCGTTGTGGCCTTCACCCTCAGGATGCTTTCCGCAGTGTTGCACGCTACGAAAACCAGTCCCGAGGCTTACGCGTTGCTTGACGTGTTCTGCGACGCTCTAGGACTCGTGTGGAGCGGTGCGGTCATAACTCGTCAAACAACGGGCAACACTCTGACGTCTCTCTCTGTTCTCATCACATCTATACTGGATTGGGCGACGAGCGTGGGAGGTACGCCCCTATGCGCAGAACACGTTCACGTTTTCAGGAAGGTCATCTGGCTCATCAACACACTTCAACCCACCGTCGAATCCTTCTCCTTGGTAACTGAGGGTATGGGGTGGTGGGACGACGTCATGGACCGACTTGACCGGTTCAGCCTGCTCGTGGAAGGAGCACAGGACTACCTCAGCGATGCAATGGATGATTCTCCGACAACAACAATTTCTCCATCGGCGCTGTTTCGCCGCATCAGAGGGTTCGGCAGCATCAAGATTCAAGACGCTATGGTTCTTGAGTGGTCTCGGGTTATCGTGGACGACGTGCAGAGAAATTGGGTGGTCAAAGGCCCCGTGTGGACGGTTCCAGGTAGCACCTGCGATCACTCCTCAACGCAGCCCACACACGGAACTATCAAACTCAACTGGGATATGCAAGAGCTTGTGGACAGCTTGCATGATCAACTTCAAATTTGGACTGATTGGTGGAGGAGGGGAAAGAAGGAGAATGAGCGGCAAGGATTTGACTTTGAAGGTTATATGATATTCTGAATACCCTATAAGCAGCGTTGTGGATGTAGACGAACAGGTGTGGACATAGCCGGAGCAAGCTGTACTTCGGGCAAGGCTCAAATAGCCTTAAAGAAATCAAAAACAAACAGTAATTAAGCCTGAACGACACTCGCATCATCGTGTATAAACGTCTCTGACGTAATGATCGATGTTTAACTGGGCCGGGTCCATCATTCTGACTCGGTGTGGCGGTCGGTGAGTTTCGGTGAAGACTCTGCCGAGATTCCGCCGCTCTCACTAAGCATAGCACCGGCTCAAAGAATCGTCGAAAAGAATTGGCTTTGCCCATGCACCGAAACCGCCAACTGCTGGCATATCGCCCCTGTTCATTCCGAATGCATGCAATAGGGCCCCGGGCCCTCGCCTCAGCCTCCCGAGTCTCTGCGTCGTCGAGGTTAGCAGCGCTCTCGGTCCCCCGCCGCCAGTGTCGACACTTCCACCCGTCCTTCAGGTTACGGAAGGACCCCTCCGAAAGCGGCGCCGGCGCAGGAGGCGCGGACGACGGGAAACCCTCGGACAAGCCTGCGGGTGAGCAGGATGACGACGCCAGGAATCAGGATGGAGTGAGGACCGAGTCGCCCGCTTCCGAGTCGGCGTTTCGCCGTTCGAGAGGCGGCGCGTTCGCCTCGGCCAGGGCGCGCTTCTCGAGGTCGAAGGCCGCAGACGAGCTTCCGCCCGTAGAGCTGCCGCCGGCTTTCGTCAAAAGCTCCGTCTCCCTATACGACCCCGCCGACCGAGTCGATACCCTCACGAACGACCTCTGGCATCACCGATACATGGGCGGCCGCTGGCATGACCTGCTGTGGAAGGACCTAGACCTGGTCTTCAGCCAGGCTTCCTGGGACGAGGCGAAGCTGCAGGATGCGATGGGGCGGCTGCGCGAGGGCAACTTCGAGCCGATCGAGAGGAGGAATCGCATTCTGGCCGAGGCGTCGCAGTGGTTGAGCCTGTCCATCGACGAGATGCGGTCCTCGAAGAACGTCGCGGGCTGGAGCCATCGCAACTCCCGCGAGCCGCTGCCCACGACAGAATTCGCCGATATGCTCCGCTACTCGAACAAGTTCGTCCTGTCCAACCTGTTGTCCCAGCACACGAGGCAATCAACCCTGAGCGCCCCGTTAGAGGAGCGAGAAGTCGACCAGGACGGTGTCCTCCGGACGCTCGTCGAGCAATACATCGAGGAGGGAAAGCCGAAGCCAAGACGCGACGGATTGCGTTTGTTTGATCCTCGGATCCGTGGCGAGATCGCCGCCGCAGTCCGCGCGGATCTCACACTGGAACTCATATCCGAGATGCTTGGAACTGAAGTCAAGAGACCTGTCACTGTCGTCCACATCCCGAATTACACCGGCAGGACTCACACGCACAGGCTCATGGACCATGTAGCGACATGCGTGGAGGCGGACATAGTCCACCTCAATGCTCAGAAGCTGGGTATACTGGTCGGTGGTTATATCGGGCAGGACTGCGTCTACTCCAGAGGGCCGATCGGAATGCTGGGCTACCGCGCGGCAGAGATGAATGGCCGCCTGGCGAAGTCGGAGGAGCCGGAGAAGTCTAACGACGACGACATGGCAGGAGAGCTGGAGGCCGCGTGGGTCAACATCGGTCGGCAAGGTGAATATGGCAGCAACCCTATGGACGAGGAGCTTCAGAAGATCAGGGAAGGGTCCAAGGATTATGTTCTGCCGTCCGTGGATCGCTGGGAAAATCTCAAAATCAACGCCATCCTCGAGGAGATCGTCAACGTCACCTCCAAGATCTCTTCGCACCCAGACAGGAACCTCATTATCCACATCTCAGATTTCGTCGAGCTCAACATGACGCTCGAGGGAGCCCTCATCCTCGGCAGGCTACGCGCTATCGTCGACAACCTGTGGCGTAGCGGCAGGAAAATAACACTCGTCGGCACCTCGGCCAACGAGAACCCCTCCGAGCAGTACTCGTCGACTATCAAGGAGATCGCCGCCGAAGAGTGCCTCATCTCCCTCCCGCTCAACTTCCAGCGGATAACAAACGCCGTCGGCACCAAGAAGCTCTTCGAGGCCAACGACTACCTGCAAGAAAACCTCTCCAACATCTCACATATGCTCGACAAGATCTCCGGAAGCTCCTTCGATATGACAAAACTCCAAGTCATCGGCATGTCAAAGACGTCACCTCCTCAGTTCCTCCTCGATGATGTGGAAGGCTCCTACATGGAGGTCTCCCTCATCCCCCGCGTCCTCGCAACCTCCATCCTCCCCCTCCCCGACGTCTACCACATCGCCCGCCTCTTCTACGCCTGCCAGGGCGACGTCCCCAAGGAGCACGCGTGGCGCGTGCTCTTCGACGTCGTCGAGTCCAGCAGCTACAGCACCGCCCAGCTCAACCGCCTCCAGGACAAACCGACCCGCTCCAAGCCCTCCTCCTCGTCCTCCTCCCCCGCCGCCGAAACCCAGCGCGCCGAGCCGGAACGCCTCCGCGTCTCGGGCAACTACAACGATTACGAGAAGAAGCTCCTCGCCGGCCTCGTCAACAGCAACGAGATCAAGACGACCTTCGACGACGTCCACGCCGACCCGGAGACCAAATCCGCCCTCAAGCTCCTCACCTCCCTCTCTCTCGTCCGGCCGGAGGCCTTCACCTACGGCGTCCTCGCCACCGACCGCATCCCCGGCTGCCTCCTCTACGGGCCCCCCGGCACCGGCAAGACGCTTCTCGCAAAGGCCGTCGCCAAGGAGTCGGGCGCCAACATGCTCGAGGTCAGCGGCGCCAGCATCAACGACATGTACGTCGGCCAGTCGGAGAAGAACGTCCGCGCCCTCTTCTCCCTCGCCAAGAAGCTCTCCCCGCTCGTCATCTTCATCGACGAGGCCGACGCCCTCCTCGCCGCCCGCGGCCAGCGCAACCGCGCCGCCCACCGCGAGACCATCAACCAGTTCCTCCGCGAGTGGGACGGCATGAACGACACGAAGGCCTTCATCATGGTCGCCACCAACCGCCCCTTCGACCTCGACGACGCCGTCCTCCGCCGCCTCCCCCGCAAGATCCTCGTCGACCTCCCCCTCAAGCACGACCGCGCCTCCATCCTCCGCATCCTCCTCAAGGGCGAGACCCTCGACCCGGACTCGGTCGACCTCGACAACCTCGCCCGCCGCACCGTCCTCTACTCCGGCTCCGACCTCAAGAACCTCTGCGTCGCCGCCGCCATGACCGCCGTCCAGGAGGAGAGCGAGGAGGCCGCCCGGCACGCCGGCCCGGAGCCCTACGTCTACCCGGCCAAGCGCACCCTCCGGGGCGCCCACTTCGACAAGGCGCTCAAGATGATCGCCGCCAGCGTCAGCGAGGACATGGACTCGCTCAAGAGCATCCGCCGCTTCGACGAGAAGTACGGCGACGTCAGGTCCAAGAACAGCCAGAAGCGGAGGGGCATGGGCTTCGGCGTGCTCCCGACGTCGAACGATGCCGAGGAGGCCCGGGTGCGGCAGGCTGTAGCGTAAAAAGAATCAGAACCTTCTTCTCTTTTGTCTTCTCACATTTCGAGAACCTCCTTTTTAAAAAACTTCGTTCATTGCCGGGAAGGCTCTTTGGAGAGTTTGCTTCCGTTTAGTCTGGGCCTGTATGATCATGGACCCGTTGTGTACAAAACCGACACTTTTTTGAAATGGTTATAGAAAGATTGCGAGAGGAGGGACATGTGTATCAACAGCGAACCCGTCCACAATGTGGTAGGCACAGGTAGCACCAATAGCGGCCCCTGACAAGGAAAACAGGGACCGATGGCAGACGGGCTACGGTAGTTGAAAAATCGTAGAGGCGTTTTATTGTGAGATCTATACTACTTAATTCCGCCCCATGTCCGTCCTTTTGAGTAATTCAATTTGGTGCTATGAGCGTGACCTGAAGCCAAAATCCAAAACCATCCCGAGGACGACATCATGCCTCCGTGGAAAGCTGCACGCCCTCAGCCGCCAGGGCCCTCTGGTAATCCGCCTGCGCCCTCTTGAGCGCCTCCAGCGTCGGTTGCATGACGGCGAGGACGGCCTTGCGGCCGCCCTTTTCGTGCTCGGGCCTCCAGCCGCGGATCTTCTTGCCAGTCGCCTTGTAGTGATCCATAATCTCCTTCTTCTTGGCGCGGATGATGTCGTCGCGGGCCTTCTCGGCCTCGTCGGCGACGGCGTGGATGCGCTCGGCGGAGCGCTTGAGGGACTCGACGAGGTACTGCAGCTCGTTGGCGCGGTCGGGGTCGCCCGAGAGGAAGGCGTTCCAGAACTGGTGGAGGAACTCGACGGTGGTGGCGTGGGTGAGCTGGCAGCGGTCGGCGACGTCGGCGGGGAGGCCCATGGGCCTGGAGGCGTCGGCGGCGACGTCGCCGTACTTCTCGGCGCGGCGCTGGCGGATGCCGGCCATGATGTCGTCGCCGGCGGCCTTGCGGGCGGCGCGGGAGCCGACGTGGGGGCGGCGCTGGGTGTCCTCGTCGCTGTCGCTGTCGTCGACGATGCCGATGCCCGCGCGGAGGTCCAGGCCGGTGGCTTCGTCGCCGTCGATCATCTCGAGGTCGGATTGGATCTCGAAGAGGACGTCGGAGGGGTTCTGCTTGGCGAAGGCGATGGTGTTCGCGGACTGCGCGTCTTCCTTTTTGGAGAAGAAGCGATTCTGCTCCTTGATGTTGAGGATGATTTTGTTCTCCTTTGCGTCGCCCCGCAGGTCGCGGAGGGCGATCTCCTGGAAAGTCGAGTCCTCTGGTCCGGATGCGTTTTCTCTGTCGTCCGCCGGGGCGACGTTGGCGAGCATTCTCTCGCTGAGACTGTTGAGGGTGTTGACGATGGGCACGTTCTTGCGCGGACGCATCTCAATGTCCTTTTGGTTGCCGCTTCTGAAGCCGCCCTGGTTTTCTTCGTTGCCGTAGACGTCGATGATGTGTGGGACGCTCTGCGCCATGCTCTTGCGCTGGAAAGTAGCAGTATTCTCGCTGGCATCGTGGGCGTCGAAGAGGGGATCGCGGCGGATACCTTCCTTCTTCTCGTCCGAGATCCTGTCACCCTTGAGGGTGCGGAAGAGCTTGCTAAGGAAGAAACGAGACCAGAACTCGCTCTCGGGGACCTTGGGAACGTTCTCGTCGTACAGGCGCTTGACGAGGGGGTGCTGGGCCATGATGAGCTGGACCATCTCGACTGTGATGTCGAGCTTGAGGACATCGTTCTCGAGGCGGGGTTTGATGGAGGGAAGGATATTGTAGGCGCCTTTTTGCTGATTGACCTCGATCGCATGGGCGCGGAGGAGGTTGGTGCGAGTAGACCAGAACTGCGCGTTGAATGCCGCGTCGGAGATGGACTCGGGCTTGGTTGCGCGGGCGTCCATGTACGTTTGGTGGAGTGTGCGGTCCTTCTTCATGAGGGACTGCTGCAGCTCGATGTCGCCCTTGAGCTGGGCATCGTCGAACCAGCGCGCGTTGCTCGTCTTGGTGTTGACGGAGCTGGCGAAGGTCATGGAACCTGAGCCAGAGCCTGCGGCACCGCTGCCGCCAGAGGGGGTCGCGTTTCCTCCATTGGCATGCGGGTTCGGGGTTCCGGCCGGCTTGGGGACGTTGGGATCGCCGGAACGGATGTCGGCGAGCAGCCTTGACAGCAAATCCTTGATGGCATTTGCTTCGGACCTGGCGTCTGGTGACGTGAAATGGAAGAGGTATGGCACCTGTTCCGTGGCTTCGGGGGGTTTCTCAAAGATCTTGAGCATCACCTTGGCGGCTGTGTCGGGTGTCTGTTGTAAATCTGCGGATAAGTCAGTGGGATTGTTCCATCCTGTTTCCTCCGGCTCATAAGACTCACTTGTGATGTTTGATATCGACAAAGACACGGTAGGGGGGCCGTTGCCAGGTGCTGGTGTCCAGATGACGAACTGCTGGTCCGGCGTCAAAGTCAAGACTCCATCCTTCTTTTTGAAGGCCGCCCGACCGGACGGGATAGCCATACTTGCGGTGGTCGATTTTACTCAGTGAGTGTCATGCGTAAGGTCGTTCGCCAGTCATCACTTTCAGCTTCCGGTCGACCTCGCCTCGCCTGGGTGAGTTGCCCCAGGTTGCAAGGGTTGACCTGATGTGTCAGGCGCGGCCGCACTGGCCAACGCGACGTCGTCAAAATCTGTCTTACGGCTGCTTGGTCCAGTGCAGTAGGTCTGTACAGAGATATTCGGCGCCAGCTGATGAGTTGTGAGTTGAATACCGTCTTTAATTTGCGTATGAAGTATTGAGGTTCAAAGCTTCAGCCACATGAATGAACAGGTGCTGATGTCGGGTTGCCTAGGGTGGCGCCGCGAAATTAGCTGCCAGATGGTGCCAGTTGCACACCCGAAATGAAGGTGAGGCGCAGTGCATCTGCCAGACAAGCCAATCATCCCTTTGACATCAACTACAGGCGTCACCAGTTTCAACCTCACATCATGAGCTGTCAAAAGTTACAACAATTGTCGAGTTTCGTGTTGTTATCTATTTTATCTGATGTACCTTGCCTGCCGACCATACCATGCCAACCATACCATACCGACCACCAAGAGCCAGTCCTGGAGATTCAATGTCAACCTCAAAACGCCCAAATTGCAAAAGCCAGACCAGTTTTCCCCCATTTCTATCATGATTTCCCCGCGTATCTCATACAGGTCTCATAAGAATGTCGTGGCCCACGTTATGGATCATCCAAGGGGCTGAGAAATTGTAAAGGCCTTCTCAGGTGAGGCGCGGCAGACCGCTGTGGCAGTCTGTACTAGCGCTCACGCTGGAAGCGTTCCCAGGAAGAATCCTAAATATGACGAGAGCGAAGGCGGCGGGCGTGGGCTCTCTTGTGGTTTCTCTTCTTGGCCCAGGTGACGAACTCAGTGGTTCCGGACTGGCATTTGGTACCAGCAGCCATACTCATGATAACCGACCACCGTCCGGAAGCGCACCGCTGGAAATGGGTACCCTCGATGCAGAGCCACTGGCCCTCCTCGGTGCAAGCCAAGCCAGCGGTCATGGAGCCTGGAGCGTTGTTGCCACCCGACGGAAGAGGAGTTGGCGTGGGAACAGGCGCGATGTCTTGAGTAGTAGGCGCCGCGTTGGTCTGGACCGGCTTGCTGATGGTAGCCAGAGTGGTCTTCGTCTCAACCTCAGTGTAGCAAGAGGTAGAGCTGGAAACCGGCATGAAAACGCCGCCGGGACTGGGCCAGGTTAGCTTGTGTTGGCAAGGCGTTTAAAGAGGTGAGCAGTAATACTTACAGAGAACCAGAGGGGACAGAGCCTCCAGCTGAGCGAGCAGTGGTAGGCGCAAGGCTGACCTGAGGCGCACCCGGGTTGACGGACGAGACAGGAGCGACCGGGCTGGGCTGAGCCGCTGCGGGGGCAGAGGAGGGTACAGCAGCGGGAACACTGGGCTGCTGAACGGGGTTGCTGGGCTGCTGGACTGGAGCGCTCGAAGCAACAGGATTGGAAGGAGCGGGGGAGTTGCCACCACCGCCGCCGCCGCCGGAAGCGACGCCACAGCTGCCGACAGGAGGAGCTGTCTTGCTGGAGGTGGAATCCACGTCCGGGCCGGGGTTGGGGAACTGAACGTCGAAACCCTCTGAAGTGGAGCAGCCGTTGGCGACGTTGGCCTTGAAGATCTGAGGGCGGCTGGCGAATGCAGAGGAAGCAGTGCTGCCCTGGGCAGCGCCACCGTTGACGGTGACGACGGCGCAGTTCATGTAGCTGCGGAAGAGTCAGCAAGGTTCTGTGTCACTCGAAGGGTAATAGAAGAGGCACTTACAACTCTCTGTTACCGACGTTGTTGAACCAGGTCCAAGCGAAGAGGGCATCCTGGGCCGCAGGAGCATCGGCAGGCAGCTTGAAGTTGAAGGTGGAAGTGCCCGCGGGAGGACAGTTACCGATGTAGCTGTGGATGACGGTGAAGGTCTTGCCGCTGTCGTAGGAGAGCGCGGCCTGGCAACTGCCTCCATTGTGGTTGGCACCGCCGGTGATGGTCATGTTGTACTGCTGTCCGGCCTGCCAAGTGGCGACGGGCTTGGCTTGAGCAGTTCCCAAGAGGTTGAGGGTGCCCTTGCAGGGGTAGTCGGAACCGTCCTTGTTCATGGGACTGGTGATGCTGTAGTCGATGTCCGTGGAGAAGGGATTCTCCTTGGAGCGCAGGGGAGCGGGATAGGTCATCGCCATGTGAGCGGAGGTCTGGCTGGCCAGCAGCGCAACCGCGGAGAAGATGGTGGACTTCATGGTGTCTTTTCCTGAAGGTTACGGGGTGGAGGTGGTTGTGCGAGATGAAAAAGGATCTCGAGGATGGTAGAAGGCGGATGGATGGATTGGGGGGAGATGGTTGGGGGAAGTCGGTGTTTGAATGAGCGTATGTTTGCTCCTCCTCTTGATATGTGCGCGGGTCGGATTTGATCCCGAGGCTGGGGTTTGTGGTTTTTTCGTGGTAGAAAAAAGGTGAATGAGGGTGAGACGGTCCAAGTCAAGACTGACTGAAACGGGCGAGTCGAACGATTTTTAATCTGAAAATGGGTTTGATATCGAGCACAGCTCGAATAACAAAAGCACAGTGACTGACAATGAAGAGGAAGGAATGTATTGTTGTGTTGTGCAAGAAGGTTGGTCGGGAAGAAAAGCCCGGTACGTAACCGTTGCGATGTAGAAGGAGGCAGGGAAGGAACGGCGTGCCCTCTTGTTGTGTGTATCGTGCGAGTGGATGCTGTGTGTGTAAGCCTAAGAAGGTAGGCCGAAGTTGGATTTCTTGAGCAACAGTGAATTTGTGCCGTGTGTGACGCAATGTCAGAGACCAGAGGAGCAAGAGAATGTCAAATTGAGAAGAGAAAAAAAAGGCAAGAAGAAGCCGAGACCCGATCAAGGTGTTGTCGATGTCAGATGCGGATGAGGCAAGAGACGAATCTGAGGAAGGCGGGGAGGCTGTCACGGGCTCTTTATTGTTGAACCAAAAACCACACTTATCCACCATCCACCAGCCCATCCGAGGAACCCATGGAAGGAAGAAGCATTAGGTGCCAGGAGAGGGAGAGCAACTACGAATCAGGCAAGAAAGAGCAAGGGTGAAGGACCGGATGGCTTCTGATTCTGCAGACATCCCGTCTCCTCCCAGGTGCAGGTACCAGGCCCTGGCGCAGGCAAGAGGCACAGAGGCAGTCTGCATCCTGGGTTGAGGCGATCCATTGGATACGTCTGCGGGTTGGCTGGCGGTCGCAGTCGCGGGGATGCGCTTGGCCAACACCTTTTTTCCGCCATTTTCCTCGCGCCGGGATGGAACAATCCCTGTCTACAGAAGAAGGTACTACTGACCGTCCATACCTTGCCATTTTGGCCTTACTGCACCTTCTACTTTGAGATACATCCCCATCCCATGCTGGATGCCTCTTGGAATGAGGTAGATCTACCTTTTTCGCAGTTTCCAATCGGCTATTCGGATACCAGCAGACAAACCGACTTCTCTTCTGATGATCCCTTCAAAACGAGTTGGTCCAGTCCGGTGTCAACGTTTAGGCTTATGCCTCCCTTTTCTTCTCCCTCCGGATTCTTTTTCCATCTCCACAGGTCCAAGTCGTAACACTCGGCTCTCCCGTGCCCTTTAATCCTGTCCAACAGAGCCCAAAAACTCGAGAGACCTCGACTTGCGCCTGGATGTACCACAGAATTCCTGTCCGTCGACCCCTTGCGCCCTACCTAGTCGCACACAGAAGTTGAACCACTCCAACCCGCCAGCCGCCGCATTGCGGGTCCAGATCAACGTCGTCGGCCCACGAAGGCAGGGTACCCAAGTGACACACGCATGCGTGCGAACGGTCGGAGGGCGCCCGGGTGGTCAGGACTCAGAGACATGGAGACTTGTCAGAAGAGACAGAGGAGAGACAAACGCGCTTGTCTCTGAGGTGAGGTGGTTTTCTGAGAAGGGCTGTCCAGAAAGGTGGGATGAACTTGAGAAGCGCAACCTCAGTCAGGAAACTGACCCGCGGTCTGATCCAGCCCGGTCATTGGCCAAGGGACGTGTTGCACGAATGGGATGCCACAGCGGCACCTGCGCGCCAAAGATCTGAAGCGCAGGGGGCGCAAACCGACCTTTCCTAGCGTCCATCTGTCGTCTTTCAAAAGAACTTCCATTGGGGACGGCGGGAGGCAGGGAACACTGAAGGAGCTGGAGATCGGTGCAGTCCAGGTCAGTGTCGACCGTTGACGGTTCGGATCCACTCCGGCTCCAATCAGACGGCCCGCGTGCCTGGCATCGGCCAGCCGCCCGGTCCGCTGATTGGCCCAGCCCGTTTACCACGCTCTGTGACACCTCCTGCTGGGCTCACAGCATCACGCAGCTCCCAGTGCTCATCTCAAGCTGTACCACGCCTGAGAATGCGCTGGAAACATTGAAGAAAAAAGACCCCGGGACAACGCAATTGAACGGTGAGCGAATGAGGGAAACGCGACGGGCCAAGACACACAGTCCCCACCTGTGATTCCATCTCAGGTCCTCAGGTCGTGGTCTCCAGCGGTCACCGTCACCGCTCCAGCGTCTCTCTCATCCATCCCGGAGCCGACTGTGACGTGACGACGTTTTTTCTTCTCTCGACCTGGATATGAAACATGCGACATGCGCGCCGTCAAATGGCATGCGCCGTGCAACCGCCACGAATAAAAATGTTTCCTGCCACATCCACCCACGGACGCTGCCGCCCAGCCGGCCAGTCACACTGATCGATGACTCCAGTACCGCTGCTGCGCTCTTTCACTACGGTCTCTTTTTTTCTGATCCGATCCTCCATAAGCCGCGATCACACCTTACCTTGACCCCAGATATCTAAATCAGGCGGCTGACATCGGATAATCTTGTAAATTTATTTAAACTTCTCACTCGACTCTCTTCTATCTACATAGGATGCGACGTCACTAGCAAAAGCTGACATGCGCTGTGCAGTCATCCTCGCCCTGCCACGTCCAAGAATATAAAAGTCTCCAAATGGGATGCATTATGTAATCCTCCAACGACAAACGATCTGCCTGACACACACTCATGAGGATGTCCCTTCCTCAAACCGTGACTCCTGTCTAGGGCGCAAACCTGCTGCCGTAGTGGCCGTCAGATTCTGGACTGCTGCGACGCTAGTGATGCCCTCATTCTTCTCTCCCTTTCGTCGTGACCATCCATCCGGTTCCGATGCGAAAACCGCTCTTCCGATCACGTCTCACGTCTTGCTTTCGCATTCTGATTACGATCCATCGCGGCGATTGCTGACACCCACTCGATGGACTCTCGTGTGAACTAATGTTTTATCATGTTCAAGCCACCTATTGATAGATGACTCTAGCCTAAACTGCCAACTCCTACGCTTCTCACCATCATGTCTGTTAAGCTGCCCACAGCGCCCAGCCTTCAGATTCGCGTCCGGACTATTGATCATAGTTCCTGGAGTCGGCCTCTCTGCTCTTTCTGCTGTCTCCAGCATCTCAATCGCACCCTCCTTGGTGAGATCTTACCGACAGGCTTCTCCTCCCTCGCTATCCATCACGTCGTGCTATCCTGTAAGAATAGCCTAGACAGCCTATTGCCAACATGTATCTCTCTGTCGAGTAAGTGCTATGCCGTGCAGGAAGAATACCTCCATTGGCCTCCTCAACAACAATATCGACCCAGTAGTCCGTCGCTGGGTGGGCCCCCTAACATCTGTCCCCTTGCCGCCGTGAGATGCCGTCATCGTAATGCGTTGTCTTCGATGCGCCCGCTCCAACTCTTGTCACCAGACGGGTGTTGGTTGTCACAGGAGCCGTCCAGGTAGTGGGCCTCACCGATGTGGCATTTCAAGACGCTGGTAATTTTCCTCTGCCACAGTAGGTATATCTTTCTCATTTGGCCTCTTCAGCGCCGTCAGGGCCGCGCCCAGGACCGCCGGCTTGAACCGCGGGGCCTTGCTGTGGCCCCTGGTGCTGTCCGTGGCTGTTGTAAGACTTGGCTCCGTAGTTGTTACTTCCACTTCGATGTTGTGCCCCATATGAATGCATCTGAGAGGGACTCGTTCCGAAGTGTTGGGGACCATGGTTGTTGTAGCCCCTGCCCACTAAGCTGGACTGTTAGCAACTTATTGGAAACGGGCGCCGGGCATCTTACCCTGACCGCCGGGCTGCTGCGGGGTGAAAGCCGGTTGCTGGTACTGCACGTTCGGACTCATGCCGTACACCGGTTGACCCTGCTGCGAACCTTGGTGCGCCATCATGGGTGCGACTGGCCGGCCGGGGCTCGGATAGCCGTTGGATCCCGGCATGCCCTGCGGCGGCGCTGCGTTCGGAGGCATGAACTGAGCATGGCCTCCGGCATACATCGGCATCTGAGGCGCAGGTACCATACCCTGGGGGTTGATGAACTGAGGCATCATGTGACCCCCCATGGGCCCGCCGGGCTGCTGAGGCATGTACTGATGATTGCTTGAGAAGTTTCGGAACCCGCCCATGTTAGGCGTACCGGGTCCAACGAAAGGCTGCATCATCGGCTGGTTGTACGGAACTTGGCCAGCGGAGCCCATTGCTGGTGTGTAGGTGATAGGTACCTGGGCCATTCGAGGCGAGGCAAAGGACTGCGCTGAGTTGGAATGCATCATGCGATGATCGTCCATGGTTGGATAAGGCCCGTGAGGTCCATGTCCTCCATGTTGATTCTGCATTGGCATAGGCGGCATGTGAGGCGATTGACGCGGGCCCATGCCATGTGCAGGCTGCTGCAGATGGAACGGAAGCTGGTGTTGGTGGGCGTTAGGAACGACATGAGTGTTATTCGGGGTTGCCATTGACGAGGATGCGAAAGACTGGCGCTCGAGGAACTCCTTGGAAGTGAGGAGCATCGTGGAATCTTCCTTCTCGTTATCCGAGGCCGACCTCCAGGTAGGCGGGGTGTCATACGACGGTCTCAAGCCCTCGTTTTCATCCCAGTTGCGTCCGGGGATAGGTTGGAACGTCTTGACATGGGCGAGAATATAGCACTTCTTTACGTCGACTGCCTTGGTCTTACGGCGAATCAGCTGACCAACAGGAGACGGATTCGCTGCAGTTGCCGCCTCAGGGGCAGCCACGTTGTTGGCAGCGGAAGAGCGCGGGCTAGATCCTGCACTGGGGTGACCATTGGGATTAAAAGACGCCGCGAAGGGGCTGGGTCTGAACTCATGGCTGTTGGGATTTAGCTTTCCACCCATGTGGCTCGGGACGCCACTGATACGGCGAGGAAATCCAGCGTCGTTGTTGTTCGCAGGGCCAGTGGGCGGAAGGCGCATATCCTGGCCACCGGCTTGTTGATGGGCTGGGGGTTGCGACAGCTTCTGCTGCTCGACATTGCGCAGGCGCTGGGCCAAAGGCTGGCGATTTTGAGCCATTCCGGGCCTATCGTTCCTGTACGTCTGGTACTGAGGAGAGGCGTAAGACTGGCGAGCGTTGGGATGACGGTTCTGGGCGTTGGAAGGAGAAATCGTGCTTTGCGTGGGAGTTGGGCGGGACGTGCTTCTTGTCTCTGCAGAAACAGACTGGGCCGCAGGGGTGTCGACAGGTTTGGATGCCTCCTTTGAAGGTGTGTCTTTAGACTTTGTAGCAGCATCCGCCTTCTGGCGAGCAACCTCTTCGGCGTTCTGGAGCGCCTTTGCCTGGATCTCCTTCTGCTTGCTAGGGTCCTTGGCAATGATACCAATCAAGTCGGTCGGAACGGGGGTGGACAATTTGAAGCTGTCGGCAAACTTCTTCAACTCTGTCAACTTGACCTCCTTGTCAGCCTTGGCCTTGGTGCTCCGAACTTTCTCAGCGTTTTGCCTCTGTTGGATGGCAAAAGTCTTGAAAGAGTTGAGAACATCACGCTCCACAGTAGATGCTGCGCTTGGAACACCTTCCTTGACTTGAGGAGAGATTGTGCGACTCGTAGCTGCGGAGGGGCGACCGGTGGCGGCGGCGGCGGCGGACTTGTCGGCTGTCTTGGCATCGTTGGTCTTCGTAGCATTCGCAACAGCAGCCTTGGTCTCTGCAGGCTTGGCTTCGGGCTGTTTGGCCGATTCTTGCTTCGGAGCCGGCTTCGCGGCGGCCTTCGGGTCGGCAGGCTTCGGAGCGTCCGCGTTCTGCGTAGCGCCGCTCTTGTTCGCCAATTGGTTGAGGAGCTTTGCATCCTCCGGCTTTACCGTGGTCTGCTTCTTCGCGGGCGCTCTTAGCTGCGACGAGATAATCGCGGGGTCGACAGGGGCGCCAACCACTGTGGTTTGAGAAGAAGGAGCCCTCTTGGCGGGAGGGGTGTACTTGTTATCCCGGCTTCCAAGAGGCGGGAAATCCTGGCGGCGGACACCACTGTACCTGAAGCCATTGTTAATATGGTCCAGCCGCAACAACTCGGTTGTCGTTGACCTACTTGTCTTCCTCGTCACCACCCTGGTCATTTCCACCAGCAACGAAGTCCATCACACGCTCTTCAGCGACGTGGGCAGTGGTGGCCAAGCTTCGCTCGATTTCTCGTGCCTTGCGGTCTGCGGCCGCCATGCGCTCCCTATACTGTGGATGACTCTTATCAATGGTGGTGGTGTAGATATTTTCGTCGTAGTCGGTCTTCAGGCCGAAAAGCCGCTCGTTCTCGGCGAACTGATCCCAGGCTCCACCGCCGGACGACTTCTCGAGACTACCGTCGATGCCGTCGCTAGAATCGGGGACCCACGGCTGAAGGGTTCGCTCGCTGCCCGGCCGGTTGTTGGAAATGGCAGTGTCTGTCCGGAATCCAGATCGGGCGCCTTAATTATGGTTAATTCGGTCATTGTTGACGGTTCGGACACGACGTACCATTCTGGCCCTTTCCTTCGGCTTTGCCCATAGCGGAGTCCCGCTTGTTGTAAGGCATGTTGTTCTTGTTGCCGTTGTTCCCGATATCACTCTGCAGTTTCTTGGGAGGCACCATCTTGCAGCCTTGGGCTGTCGCGGTAGTACAGAAAGGGTTCTTTCGACGGCAGTGCCACCTTGACTACCACTGACCTCCAATCCCCTGCAAGTAGGGTTAGCCCAGCCCCTTCAAGAATTCGATCTTTCCCGGATGTATTCGATAGCGGAAAGAGCGACTTGAGGTTTGTGCTGGGTAATGTTCGTATATCGAATTACGGAGTTGGGTAGTCGAGTAGGTAATTTGGCGAGACCACTGACCTTGCGACGGGAAATGGAAGGTATTCGGTTCGTTGGGCTCGAGAGCGGAAACAGTCGCCGTGGCCTGTCAATCGGGGCTGCGATCAGACAACAAGACGACAACTGTCGCTGCGGTCTTGAGCAGATTTGCCTGTCAGGGGAGAAAGGTCGACCAAAGTTAGCTTCGCAGGTCCAATAGCGGGGGGAGGCCCATCGAGGACAGGTAGCTGAAAGTCGCAGCTAGACAGGAGTTGGAGACGTCGGAGAAAGCCAACCGCAGATAGAAAAACGTGTTGGGAGTTGAGAGGGAAACAAAAGTGGCAAGATGATGATGTCGTGAGATCGTTGGACGTTGGTTCGAAGAGTAGGGGACGAAGCAACCGAAGGAAGTGGATGGGATGGCTGTGTGTCTCACCTGGGGTCGAGGTATCCCGTGTGCGTACTGCGTACTGGGAAAAAGGCTCCACGAAAGCCTTCAGAATAGGGGAGAGAAACGAAGGCTTTCCCCAATGATCGTCCAGTCGCAAAAAGGCGCTGCACGAATGAAGTCGCAACTGGGCGACTTTATACGGAGGAGTTGGGGGGAAGAAGCAGGCGCAGAAGACCAAGGTCGATCGTGGGCGAAAAAAGGGCGAGGACGTGGAGGGAGTTGGCATTGGGTGTGGAGGTTGAGGTGAGGTGAGGCTTTGTTTTCCCAGTCCCAGTCACAGTCCTAGTCCTGGGCGTCTTCCAGTCCCCTAAGGTACCGACCGCACCTTACCCGGAACTAAAAATTGACCCCCAGCTGGTACAGAGGAGGACTGCGTGTGTGTTGTGCGCTGTGCGCTGTGCTCGCCTGCTGAGCCTCCTCAGACGTCCCTGGATGTGCTAACTTTGGTACTTTCTTCCAGCCGCCCGCCCTGGAGTGCTGTTCAAGTACCTATCATCCTGGGCCATGTCACTTCCATTTGGAACCGGGGCTAGCGAGAGAAAGGCGCGGTGTGGGTGCGGGTAGCTCCCGGGGGACGGTCACAGATGAGTGGCCCCTGGGTCGTTTACCGTCTCTCCGGCCAATCCCACACAGTCAGGGCCAGTAAGGTGTTCTACCGCAGTATGGCACGAGACATCACCTCAGAACAGCTGGCTCTTTCGCCTAAGTACCTACTTGAGTGTGAACAACGGTAGAACACACATCAAGGCTTCTTCTTACCTAATGTCCAAACTCTGTTCTTCTTCAAACCTTCGAACCTACATAGTTGTACGGGTACAGATACGAACGAACACTCCACTGACCAAGATGCCTCAACCCCCAATTGAGGGGACCGTGCTTCGTCTTGTCGTCCCCTCACGTCCAAGCAGTGTTTCGAGCTACAATCAGTTAAGACTCGATTGCTATGTTATTACTCTCACTCCCTAGAATAGCGCAGCTTTCTCTCTGCCGTGAACACAAAGTAGTAGAGTGCAAGCTTCTCAGAAGATTGCCAAACAGCGCTTCAATCTGCCAACTCGAGGTGTTTCATTTTCCGGGCTGGCGGCTGCCCCTCCTTACCGAGTCTATCGATCGATAAGGCAAACAGTCACCCTTTCAGACTTCAACTCATCTGTGTCTCAGCGAACCGTCCAATCTTCGGTGCTTCCTCGAACCTCCACAAGTAAGTGAGAGCTTTGGATGAGATATGCGTCCTTCTCATTCTCGGTCCCAACGTGATTCCATTTCAAAGGTAACCCAGGAGTCAATCCCTTCCAAACGCTCCCGAATATTACAGGTACAGGATCGACGTCTTTGCATTTCTGGGCCCATCCATGATTAAACTTCCGAGCACATTACGTCAACAACAATGTGTTTCGGCGCCAGGCGAGATCTGCGTTCCCGTTGATACGAGCATCCCGCACTGTAGGATCATCCCATATCAATAAATTCAGCGACCCTGATGAGTTCAACTGTCTCCAACAGACTTCGTTTCCTACTTGACATGTAACGAACGCTTCATGGAGGATGAAATCTCAGACGAAGTCATTAAAAGTGCGATATGTCATACGGGAAAATCAGACAAGCTAGGCAGACACAAGAAAAATTCTACTACATATGTTCACAAAGGATACATTTCCCCAATCTACCGCAGATGCTTGATTGTTGATACACGGATCATTCGACCGCTACGAGACCACCCATTTCACGTTTAAACCCGAAGGCCAAGCTCCTCAGCGTAAGGCAGAGCGTACAAGTCACCAACCGCCGCGACGCTAGCCTTGCCGTCCAAAATCTTCTTCGTCGCCTATGGATAAAAGTCAGTCTCTCATGAAGTTTGGTCGCAGAGTGGAGGACGGGTCTACATACCGCCTGAAGCTTCTCAACAGAAACAGAGTCGAGAGACTTGGCAATCTCGGCGGCATCGATGGCCTTGCCGCTGTGAACGAGTCCGGAGCCGGCGAGGAGGATGCTGCCGCTGCGCTTCTCGGTGGCCTCGAGAGCATCGAACTTGGCCTTGGCAATAGCCTTGGTCAGGTCCTCCTTGCTGACGGAGCCCTCGGAGACGCTCTTCAGCGCCGTGACGGTCGCCTCAGCGGCCTTGCGGACGGACGCGGCCGAGCCGGAAAGCTGGACGGTCAGGAGGCTGGCATCAGAGTAGGACAGGTTGGCAGTCGAGGTGGAGACACCGTAGGTGCGGCCGAGAGCCTTGGGGATCAAGCCGAAGCCGGGAGACCACTTAATGTTAGACTTGCCGCCGAGCAGAGCAGCGAGGACGGCAAACTCAGGGGTGGCCTGGCCGCCGGTAGCACCGGGGAAAGCAATGACGAGAGCATTGCCGCTGGCGCTGTAGGCGCGCTGCTCACCACCGTAGTACTTGGAGGCAGTGGTGTTGAGGGACAGCTTGCCGGAAGACGCAGCGGGAGTGTTCTTGAAGAATTGACCGGCCCACTTGGTGACGTTGGCGGCAGAAGCGCCGTCGGCAACGAGGGCGATGTTGGGCTTGGCGTAGGCGGCACCGGCGTATTCGGCAACGGCGGTCTCGCTCAGGTAGGGCTGGATGGGGATCGAGGGCGTCAGGTTGAAGGGAGAGCCGAGGCCGGAGTGGAAAGCGACGGCGTGAGCGGCATCAAGAGCCTGGGCGGCTGCGCTGACACCAGACTGCTTCAGGCGGAGGACCGGCTGAACCTCCTCATGGAACTCGTGCGCTAAGCAACCGTTAATAAGACATGCCACATCTCCTGCGTTCGAATCGGAAAGTCTCACTGGTGTACTTGGTCTCGGAGACGATCTCGGCGAGGAGCTCAGTGAAGTAGGGAAGGTCATCGCGGAAGAAGCTGGCTTCGAGGACGAGGGCTTCACGGGTGTGGTAGGCGGCCAATTGGCTGCCGAGGAGCTCGGATTCGCGGATGATGCGCAGACCGGAGCGCTTTTGTGTGTTCTATTCATCGAAAAGCATGTCAGCGCATTGTTTCTCTTGCCAAATCCAAGGGTTAAACGTGAGGGCTGCTTTCGCATTGCATCCCGTACCTTGAAGGCGAAGGACTCGAGACCAGCGGCCAATCCGGGAAGAGGCTGGTATCTGGTACCGGCCTTGGCCACGATAGCCAACTTGGTAGTCGGGCCTTGAGAATCTCTCGCGGCAACCTTGACACCACCAGCGTCGGCAGTCTCGAAGACACCGGAGCCAGCAGAAGTGCTGGCGAAGCGGCGGCCCGAGATTGTGCGAGCACAGCTCGATTGGCGGAGAGCCTGCTGAGCAGACCTCGCAAGAGTCGGTCTAGAGATCATTGCGGTGATGGGGTTGCCGAGAATTGGCAGTTCCGATTTGCGTGACGCTCAATTCGTCGGAGCTTCTACAGAAAGTGCCTCGTTACAATCCCGACCAATTTTCGATGGATCGAACGAGGTTAGCTACGGGTCACTCGTACTATCACGTGATTTAACTCTGCTTTCGACCCGAACCGCCAATGAGCATGCGGCTGATTACCTCCGCTGTCTCCGCTGGCTCCACTCCTGATCACTGCTGCTGAAGTATTCAGCTTATGTAAACCTGTCGGGAACCCCCAAGCCATTCTCAGCCACGGCGTCCCGTCATCACCAACAACGCCAACTGACGTCTGAAATTCATCTCTCAGACCCAGGGATGCAGAAGCACTTCTTACCTAAGCCGTGTTTTCCTTCTGGGTGACACAACACTAAAAATACCCTGTAGGTTCTAGGCTCAATGACTCTGTCGGTGACTCGGCGCTTTCCATGCACTTTGTCCCCCACCCCGCCTTGAGTGGCCCGCTGCTCAGGAAAAAAAAGTTCCATACATATTCAGTCCCCTCCGCCTAGAACGCGACACATTCTGCGCCAGCATATGATCATTTTTCCAGCCGAGTGCCACCATCACCACAGCACCGGCCGTTCATTATTTCAATGCCTTCGCGGTAGTCTTTGTTGCAGCTCTAGGGATATTGAGAGAATCTCTAGAGTCAATCGAAACGCGAATCACACTGCAAAATGCTGGTGGTAAGCTCTTGCATCCCAACCATCGCCGCCAAGCGCCGTTTCTCTAACATTCTCACCAGACAAAACATGGCGCGGAGCTCTGCGCTCACCTCGTCAATGATATTTGCGGCGAGCTGCCAGCGGTAAGCACGCCTTGCTTTGTGCACTGGAGATGGCGCATTTCTGTTGCACATCTCTGGCGCAATTGATCGCAAACTTGCCCTAATCAGTTGTCTTGCTTCAGCGCATATTATCCGTCCTTTTCAGCAAAGGCAGATCGAACATCGCAACTCTCGTCCACACAACAGGCCTCAACCCGCGTCAGCTACGCCATGGCCTCGCAGTGCTTGTCCAACAGAACCTTGTTTACCACCAATCCGATTCCAAGAACGTAACTGCGACTTACGAGGCCAATCCGGATGGCTGCTACAACCTGATCAGAGCTGGCAAGGTCATTGAGATGGTTGGGATTGAGTACGGCTCTGCGGAGCAGGAAGTGGTTCAGACAATCCTGCAGCTGGGGCACGCCAGGGTTTCGGATTTGGCGCAAGCGTTCGATGCCAGGAACGAGGCGGGTGTCAACGGCGACTATACGAACGGCCACACTAACGGCGATGGCTCCAAGCCAAAGACCAACGGACACTCGAATTCATTCATCGACATCCACGCCGTACTGCATCGATTGGTCGCGGCCGAGATCGTGGACCAGGTCGGACCTAAGACGTTCAGAAATCCAGAGGACGTATATAACGAGATCGAGGAGGAAGTCACCAAAGCACCCCCGGGAGAGAAAACAACAGCACGAAACAAAGAGCTCATGCAAACAGAAGTCTCAAGGCGGCTTCGAGAAGCTCGGGACGAGAGCAAAAAGCTGAAGCGGCAACTCGGGCGAGTTGCCATGTTTCCCACGAAGCGGAGAAAGCTCGCGAACGGCAAAGGGAAGAGGGAGGACTCGGAGTTTGACGAAGACGTTCCTGAGCTCGAGGTGAGCATCAAACCCGCCGTGAAGTGTGCATTCGCGTACTAACCAATGGTCAAGCCCCACATCGTCCTTCGCGTCAACATCGAGAAATGCCTAGTTGAGCTACGCAACCAGCGACTTGCCCAGTATGCTGCCGATGCATTCGGTGAAGTAACTGGCCAAATCTACCACACTGTCTTGCGCCTCTTGACGCAGCAAGTCCCCCGCTGCCAGCTTGACCCGAGGATCGACACCGATAACGACGGCGACGGACCCGGGGCGAACTCAAAACAAGTAACTGTTACGAGTCTCCAGATCCACGACAACCTTGACGAATCCATCGACGTTGCATTTGGCATAGGCAAAGCTACGCAAGATCAGATTGATTACAAAAGCGCCGAGAGAATCAGGGCAGCACCCGGACCCCTCATGTATGACTCTGACGACTCGTATGACGATAACCCCAAACCCCCGAGGCCCTCTGCTCGTAGCCAGACCAATGGTGGCAGGAGAGCCGGGTCGGACAGCGATAGTGAAGGCGAGGGGGAGGGTTCTAGAGAGACCAAGGTCAAGTTCGAGGATGTGGCCTCAAGCGGCACCCGGCTCGACCAAATGAGGCAACACCTCCTACTACTGGCCGAGAGTAGGCAGGGATTCTTGCGTCACTGCGGCAGTCAAGGCCGGGGGCAATGGACGGTGGATTTCAAGCCCTTGCTTGAAGAGTTCAAGCAACAAGAAGTGGATGCTGTCATTGAGCAGTCCTTCGGAAGGCATGGGCTCCGTCTGACCCGTATCCTGCGAGAGAAGGGCAAGCTGGACGAAAAGATGCTTCCCTCACTTGCTCTTATGAAGAAGCAAGACGTTCAGGGCAAGATGCTAGCGATGCAGATGGCTGGCTTTGTTGACGTTCAAGAAGTTCCCAAGGATGCCAGTAGAACGGCCACTCGGACGATGTTTTTCTGGTTTTTCGACATCGAGAGAATCGAGAACCAGCTGGTCGATGATTACTACAAGACCATGCTTCGATGTCTTCAAAATTTGGAGGTGCACCGATATCGGGAACGTAACATTTTGTCTTTTGTCGAGAGACGAGACGTGAAGGGCAAGGAGGAAGAGGTCATGACTGCCGAGCACTACAACAAGTACAGCACCTTTCTGGACTTGCAAAGCAAGCTTCTTGGTCACGTCATGAGGTTGGATGACTTGGTCTCAGTTTTTAGGGACTACTGAAAGGCGTTGGTATTGTCGATAGCATTCCTATATGTATTCTCACCACCAAACGTCATGGAAGCTGAGCTAGGAGCGGGGTCTCGGTCTGGCCCCGTAGTAGAGGGTCACTGGACGGAGCCGAGGGGTTGCAATACAGAATAGATACCCACGAAACAACTTGAAAGAACTGTTTCCGAAGCTGTGAGGCCTAAGCGCATCATCCCCTTAACTCTAATGCACTGCGGGTGAAAATATGTGATCGGCCCCCGAGCGCTCCGTTGCTAGAACAGTTCCGATCGCCGTTGGTTGCAACGGTCGGAGCTACCACCGGTACCGAGAGCTGTGTGCTTCGGCGCAAGTCCCTAGCGTCCTTGTCTCCACTTCCCGGCGCTCGGCGTGCATGGGTCCCCTGTCTTTACAGGGCCAGCAATTAAGCTGCGAGTTCGGGCATACTGTGTGTGAGTGGTGAGTAAAAATTTCCCAGCAGTCGTCCAAAAATTGTCTTGCTCCTCCGCGAACCCATCTTCTTCCCCCTCCCCTCGAGTGCCTTGCCAATCGACGACAGACCTCCGGAGCCCGACACCTCTTCGATAAAGGATATTGTTTCTTTGGTAGCCTTTTTGTCTATATTATTCAAGATGTCTCCTACCATGTCTACTGGAAAGGAGAAGGAGTCGAACACCGCGCGACTCCTGGGTTCCGGTACGGAAACACCTCTCTTTTTTGCGCTCGTGCCTGTCACACGCCAAAGCTCGGCCGCGCTGACGACATAATCCTTACAGGTTCCGCTGGTTTTGCCGAATTGGCTGTCTTCCACCCCGTGAGTTCTCTTTACCTAACAGGAATCATCTCGCTATTACGATGGAGACTAACATGGAGCTATAGGTCGACACCATCGCGAAGCGATTGATGAGCAACCAGACGAAGGTATACGAAGCAACAAAAAGCCCTCGATTTCCAAACAAGCATGGCGCATAGCTGACACGCTTATCCTGCATCAAGGTTTCCGGTTTGGACCAGCTCAACGCCGTCATCTTCAAGGACAAGGCTACTGCCCCTCTCGGTCGCAAATTCGTGTCGCTGTTCCCCGGTCTCGGTTACGCTGCCGGCTACAAGGTTCTGCAAAGAATATACAAGTATGGCGGTCAGCCCATCGCCAGGGAATACCTGGATAAGCACTACGGAAAGAACTTTGAGAATGCCTTCGGCAAGAAGACTGGCAAGGCCATCATGCACTCCACCGCCGGCAGGTGAGTCAACGATACCCCGCGATGGTCCGTACCAGAGTTGGAGACTGACGGTCGACGAAATACAGCTTGATCGGTATTGGAGAGATCGTCCTCCTTCCCCTCGACGTCCTGAAGATCAAGAGACAGACCAACCCCGAGGCCTTCCGCGGCCGTGGCGTTCTCAAGATTGTCGCCGACGAGGGCTTCGGTCTGTACAGAGGATGGGGCTGGACTGCCGCCCGTAACGCTCCCGGTTCATTCGCTGTATGTGACCCGTCCAGACGATAACAGTTGCTTCCGGCGCATAACTGACATGTTCGACGCACAGCTTTTCGGTGGTTCCGCCTTCACCAAGGAGTACCTTTTCGGCCTGAACGACTACAACAAGGCTTCGTGGTTCCAGAACTTCGTCGCCTCCATCGCTGGTGCCTCCGCTTCCCTCCTTGTCTCCGCTCCCCTCGACGTCATCAAGACCCGTATCCAGAACCGTAACTTCGACAACCCCGAGTCTGGCTTCAGGATCATCTCCAACATGATGAAGAACGAGGGTGCTACCGCCTTCTTCAAGGGCCTGGTTCCCAAGGTGAGAAAGCACCTTATCCCATCGCTATGCATATCAGCTGGCTAACAAACTCGTCTTACAGCTCCTTATGACTGGTCCCAAGCTGGTCTTCTCCTTCTGGCTGGCGCAGACCCTCATCCCTGCGTTCGACACCATGCTTAAATAAACACACACACATACATAACATACAAAGAGTCTCGATTGGGCACGGCGTTTGATGGATAGACATGAAGTCTGGATCTGGGCCTGATAGATGATCGCTGAAAAGACTTCGACGAGGAGTTATAGACAAGACGAAGGAATTAGCGTCGACGACCACCCAAAAGAAGGTGGGTTCGCGGCCCGATAATGTACAACAACGAAGTAGGATCTGTTCTTATGAAGAAAAATCACCTCTGTTTTAATATATACACAAATCAAAGTAGTAGCGCTGTTTGTCTCTCCCGAAGAGATGTTTTGGGCAGACTGAAAGTCGTAAGGGTAGTCGCGTCCGATGTGTGGCTAAGCTGACACGCTTGCAGTTTCCATGGTTCAGTCACACGAACCTCGTCTTTTACGGCCGAAGCTTCATTGGATCATGAACTTCGTCGAGCGAGGTCAAGTTGGATACGCGTATAGCCTAGGATGCCGGCATATACTCGTACAGCCCCGCGGAGGGTATTTTACCCCGCAATGTCACCTTGCCGCGAAGCCATCAAGACATCCCGTTCTAGACAGCCAAGAAATGTCATTTGTCGGTCAGATAGACACAAAACTTCGCTTTCGGGATATTGAGAGACGGCAGAGTAGATGACGTCGATCTTCGATGTGCGGACGAACAGGCACAAGCCCCGATATCCGCACCCCAGAGCGATGATACTCTGTCCGGCCAAAAGACATCTAACCATGATGTTACCGATGTATGTTCCCGCGGGTTTTGTTTGCTTCTTTGGCGAGGACGTCGAGAGTTCGTATAAGAATACGAATGGTTCGGCTCAGCCAGATTGAGGACGGAATGGGTTTAACGGGTTCTTCTCAGCTCGTGGTCTATAAGAAGGTGATGCCGAGAGAGCTCAGCAAACATCTCGAAGGGGCCAGCTCCTTTTTGCGTCAGATCCAAGTTAACATACGCTTAGTTCTGTCAGTATGAGGCCTTCTCTCTTCCATTTTCTCTCGCTTTTACTCCTCCCTTTGACTCAGGCCATCATCGTCCGAGATGATGTACACAACCCTGAACAGGACATAGTCACATGGGACGAACACTCCCTCTTCATCCGAGGCGAACGTGTCGTCGTCCTCTCCGGCGAGTTCCACCCCTGGCGTCTTCCTTCCCCAGGTCTCTGGCTCGACGTCTTCCAGAAGATCAAAGCCCTCGGCTACAATGCGGTGTCCTTCTACGTCAACTGGGCCCTTGTCGAGGGTACCCCCGGTGATGTCCGCATGGACGATGTCTTCGACCTTCAGCCCTTCATCGACGCTGGCGCCGAGGCAGGCCTCTATCTGATCGCACGCCCCGGTCCATACGTCAACTCGGAGCTATCTGGCGGCGGCTTCCCCGGCTGGCTTCAGCGCGTGAAGGGAGAACTGCGATCCATGGCGCCAGACTACATCAATGCTACATCGAACTACGTCTCAAAGGTTCTCGATGTCATTTCCGCGGCGCAAATCACGAGAGGTGGGCCGGTTGTTCTGGTCCAGCCCGAGAACGAGTACACTCTTGCGGTTGGAGGAGACAGCCTCGGCGATTCTTCCAAGCTTCTGGATCCGAAATACATGGAATTCATGAAAACTCAGTTCCGAGAGAATGGGATTGAACTACCCCTGATTGTTAACGACGCGGTGCCGCTAGGTAACTGGGCGCCTGGGACGGGAGAAGGAGAACTTGACATATACGCTCATGACGCCTATCCCCTCTATAGCAGTTGTGAGTGCTATGCAAAACCAAACCTGTGCAATGAAGCTGACAGATTGTCGCAGGTGCTGATCCCACTGACTGGTCAACTTTGAGCAGTCTCACTTATACGTACCAGAATCATCTCCGGCAGAGCCCAAGCACTCCGTACTCGGTGCTGGAATACCAAGGCGGTGCTCCTGACCCATGGTAAGGCCAACAGAGATCCCACTTGTGAGATATGACCTGACGAAGCAAAAGGGGTGGCGCCGGTGTCGACAAATGCGCGGCTAAGATCAACCAAGAGTTTGCTCGAGTGTTCGTCAAGGAACTCGTCTCTCGATCAATCAAGATCCTCAATATGTACATGGTAAGATCACATCGCACTTACACGCAAACCCAAGTCGAGACTCATACCTTTCCAGACTTACGGCGGCACCAATTGGGGAAACATGGGCCACCCAGAAGGCTATACATCATACGACCACGGTGCCGTCATCAGGGAGAACCGCGGGGTCGATCGTGAGAAGTACAGCCAGGCCAAGATTCAATCACACTGGTTACACGCCTCCGAAGCCTACCTCACTGCCATACCACAGGAGAACACAACCACTGAGTTCGTTAGCACCCCCGAGCTTCAGGTTGTCCCCATTGTCGGCAACGTCACCCGCTTCTACTACGTCCGTCACGTCGATTACGCTTCCTACAACCTTACGTCCTACACATTCAGCGTCCCGACATCTCACGGAAACGTGACCATCCCCGTGATGGGCGAGCAGCTCTCGCTCCATGGACGGGACTCCAAGATCCACGTCACGGACTACGACGTCGGCGGCGTGAACCTGGTCTACTCCTCCGCCGAAATCTTCACCTGGAAGAAGTATGGGAACAAGACGCTGTTGATTCTGTACGGGGGAGACGACGAGGAGCACGAGTTCGCTGTAGCGTCTTCCCTAGGAGAGCCGAGCTTCGAGAACGGCGATTGCGTGACGACCTGTGAGGTTGACCAGCTCAGGGTCGTCCATTGGAGCGTCAAGGACACCCGGCAGGTTGTCCGTTTCGGCGACCTCGAGATCCATCTTCTTTGGAGGAACGATGCGTACAACCACTGGATCCTGGACCTCCCCGATGCAGCCACTGGACAACTCTCGGCAAGGCAGAGCAAGACTCCCATCGTCGCTAAAGGGCCGTATCTCCTTCGCAACGCAACATTCTCCAACAACACACTGCATCTTACTGGGGACCTGAACCAAACGACAACGCTGGAGGTACTTGGCGGAGTACCTGAGGGCTCTGCTCTCAGCTTCAACGGCCTCGCCGTAGAGTCTCTGCTTTGGAATAATGGCAGATTGAAAGCCAACCTCGCTTTTCAAGAACCATCTTTCACTCTCCCTAACCTCTCCACGTTAGAATGGAGATCGATCGACTCTTTCCCAGAGGTTCAGCCCGATTACAACGACTCCGCCTGGACAACAGCATCACTGACCCAGAGCAACAACCCCCGCAACCTCACAACACCGACGTCACTCTACTGCAGCGACTACGGCTTCAACGGAGGCTCTCTCATATACCGGGGCCACTTCACCGCCGCCGGCAACGAATCCTTCTTCAGCGTGAACACAGCAGGCGGCCAAGCGTACGGACACTCGGTCTGGCTGGACGGGACTTTCCTCGGCTCCTTCGCAGGCGACCCTCACACCACCAACTACACGCAGCAATTCGAGCTCCCGCCTCTCGAAGCGGCAACGAATCATGTGTTCACGGTGGTGATCGACCACATGGGCATGCCGATGAACTTCTACGTGCACTCCGAGGCGATGAAGACACCGCGGGGTATCCTGAACTACGACCTCGATGGGCATTCGCAATCCGACGTCACATGGAAGCTGACGGGGAACTTTGGCGGCGAGAAGTACGTCGACAAGACACGGGGACCGCTGAATGAGGGTGCGATGTATGCCGAGCGGCAGGGCTATCACCTCCCAGGGGCACCTTCTTCTAACTGGACAGTCGTGTCTCCGCTGGAAGGGATCTCGAATGCAGGTATCGCTTTCTATACGACTACTTTCGAGTTGGATATACCTGGTGGGTACGATATCCCGCTCAGTTTCGTCTTCGAGAACGTGACGACGAGTGAGGGGAGACCGGTTGTCTTCCGCGCACAGTTGTTTATCAACGGATATCAGTTTGGCGAGTACAGTGAGTTTTCTCGAAGCTGAAGAACAGTATTGTTTTCTCAACTGACGTTGTCGGCAGTCAATCATCTCGGACCTCAGACACGTTATCCGGTCCCGGAGGGTGTCTTGAACTACAACGGCGATAACACCGTCGCGCTCACTCTATGGGCTTTCGAAGAGACGGGAGCCCGTCTTCAAGGTTTCAACCTTTCTGCGGATCATGTGCTTCAGTCAGGCTACCGCAAGCCAAGACAGACCAAACAGCCGGCTTGGGAGCAGAGAACCGGGGTCTATTGACAAGAGTCCATCTATCAGCATCTTGTCTTGATAATTGTAAATGCAAAATTAAGCGTCAAAACAAGACATCTAAATTGACGAAAAGCATTCTGCAGTATCATGGGCTTCAGTAGCAGCCGTACTCCTCGCCCCCGTAGCCCCTCTTACAGTCCTCGGTGTCCTTTTTGGCTGTGTATCTTCTTGTTTCCCGCCTTTCTCTGATCAAATCCAAGCCCGTGCCACTTTTACAGCATGAAACAATTTCACAAAACGGACGCTGCTTCCGTGAGCAAGTCTAGTAAGCTTGATAATGAATCGACTTTGCTCTCATGACCACTTCCTGAGAAGGCACTTCGTTCGTCCTGGTAGTGTCCTGGCGATCGCCCCCGTACAATGAGCTTGGCTGACTTGCGATAAGCAATCCGTATGAACGAATCGGAATGCTGGTCCCCAACATCGGCCCATAGCTCAATGAGAATGTGAAAGTATTCTTGCGCAGCCCGGCGCTTACCATTGTTAGTTGTGGCCTGCGTGAACTGAACTCTTTCGAAAGTGTGCGATTCCGGGGGGCGGTCTTGGTCAGATTCATTCAATCCCAGGGACATCGGATAGCCTACTGGCGCTATATATGGCTGTTGCTCCAATGACCACAAACTCCGGGCATCTGCCTGTCGTCGGATAATCCCAAGGGGAGTTCGCTGAGGGCAATTAGGACGAAGACGTATTCTCTCTGGTTTTCCCGTTGGACCCTCGTCTCTCTTTGGCCTGCGCTGCACCAGGTCAATCGAGAGGGAATCGTTGTCAGAAACGCGTGCTGATATTGACATGGCAAAACCCGAAACCAACATTGCTTGCGTACTTCCTGACGGGGTGAAGGTCAGATGTTGCCCGGGATAGAATGGACTCAGATTGAAACTGCAATTGCAAGAAAAGTAGTTTCTTCTGTAACATGTCCAATCACCTTCACTCAAGAAAAACCCCTTGTCGATGTTTCCTCGAATATCAATCTTTATCGATGATGCTTGGAAGTTCTCCCCATACTGGAGCACACCTAGGGTTGTCACAGATTCTAGTGGCGGTGTAACATTCTGCGATCTTGGTGTTGAGGAATCACCAAGTACAGCCTGGCTGCGATCCATGCGTCTTCTCGATCGGCGGATATCGCTCACGTCGCTGAAAGACGAACGCTTGGAAAGGAACGAGGGTACAGGTAGCGGCGGAGAAGTCAGCTTTGGTTCAGAGGCTGGCGTCATCTCCTTCTGGAGAGAATTCAGGTGCCGACGGACGTTTGCAACTGGGAGATCGGAGTTGTTGCCTGGAGGACTCGAGGGCGATGTTTGGTTCGGTGCGGAACTTCGAGGCGGCGCTGGCTGTGAAATCGTCAAGTCTCCGAAATCAAGCGACTCAAACGAGCACCTCATCTTCTCCAGAGAGTCTGTTGAGTCAGAACGGCTTGGTGATGCTGGTCGCATCTGAGTTGACGTGTTTTGTGACTCCACCTGATCATCTTCAGGTGCTGGACCCCATCGATATTGCTGTGTGTGATGTTCGTATAAATCCTGATCTCGGAGGGCAGAATTTGCGCCAGAAACTTTAGTCGTGTGGGCGTGATTAGGCAGCAAGACTTCACTCGTGCCAACCGAGATCTTGATCTGCTCGACGACGTGTACAAGTGGCGCCACGCGAGCGTGTCCAAGAACGTCCGAGCCTATGACATGCCCGTACACCTGGCATGTATCTCTATCAATGACGATAGAGCCACATTCACCAGCGATTACACCTGGCGACTCTTCAGTAAGTACTTATTCAAGCGTCGTGGTGGGTGATTGGAACTCACCTTTGGAAGTGTCCAGGATCACCGTCCACACCTTAGCCATATCCAGCCCAAAGCGGGATCCAAGATAGCTGAATCTGCCGATCAATGTACCTGACCTGATTCCAAGCTTCCCCGAAACCACGTAAACTGGCGTCTCAAGCTTGTTTGGCTCTTCGGCTATCTTCTCGAGAAGTACAGAAGGCCGGTCCGCTGCCACGGAGACCAGGTTTTGTCGCAACTTCCCAATGTCAAGGTCCCAACCCGTGCGTAGACATATCCAGTCTAGGAAAGGACTCGAACTTGATAGTTTGCCCAGAGGCTTCTCAGGTTGGATATCTCTCAACTTGAAAGTACAACTGATGGGACTTGATTCATCGACTGACGGGATTGGCAACGATGATGCTCCCGAAAAGTGCTCGTCGCCATGCGACACAGCTTTTCCCGCTCTGCTGCTTTGAATGTACTCGTCCATCTCAGACTCCGCATAGCTCTGGACGTGTTCGAGGCCCAGTTCTTCATCCGAGTCGGACCATTCTTCGCTTGCAAAACTGTCATCGTCACTGTCGTTGGCCCACAATGGGGGTTTGTCAAGGCCCGAGGACGTGCTATCGGGCACCACATCCGTGTCATAGCTCGCATTGCTGAACAGATCTGGCTCACAGTCCACGGCCTCTCGGAACAAGTGTTCGACCGTCAACAACCAATCAACCTCGTTGATTTGAAGCGTCAACCCGATTGTTGCGTGATGACCTCTGAACTCGATCATCGCTCCACACATTGTATCCTTGTACTTCGAATGTAGTATCACGTCCTCGCCAGACGCGTTCAGATTCGTTGGATTCGACATGGAGGGGAAATACACAAGCTTAAAAGGTGGCTTGGGCGGCGGCTTGGATGCGTGCCAGTTCGGAAACAACTCCATGAAACGTGTTTCTCTGTAGCAATAAAGCCGAGCGCCTGCAGTTTCGTCGAAAAGCTTCCTCAGAGGCCTCACATCGCTCTTCTTGCATTTGACGCAGATAGACGGACAAGCAGTGGCGGCTGTTTGTCCAGCCATGGTTAAGTCGTAGTCAATGAACTGCGATCGCATACGCAGGACAGCGTCGCTTCCCACTACCCTTCTAAGCTGGAGGACGACATATTCAAACCGTTCCTCGTATTGCTTGGTGGTCCAAATACTGCTGCAAACGGGCAAGAAAGGCCACATTTTCTTGCCTCTAGTGCCAGGAATGGGGATACCATCATCATTCTGGGTAGCGGATGAAGCTGGAGTTGGAGAGGTGGAAGGTTGAGAAATCTTGGCAATATCAACGCCGTTTTTGGGCTGATCCTCATAATCTGTGTTTTCGACCGAGATATTCGATGTGTTCGATGTCTGCTCATCATTTGATGTGATGGGTTCGCGGGAGGGCTTGAACGCCTCGGTTTCTGGCTGGGATTGATGAGGAACATGGACAGTCAAAGGCAAGGCGGTCGGCAGCGCTCTAGTCTCGGGTTTCAAGGGTAGTCGAGATGATCTCTTGGGCTTCGCAGGATTTTGTTTCCACCTGTGAATGTGAGTATAATGGTATAGTTCTAGCAACGTAGGAGACACTCACGAGGAAGGTTGTGACTGCGACGGGAGCATACCCGCTTCTGCCAACGTCTGCACCATCGATACGTGTGCCATACTTAGGGCACTTTCTTTGATTTTGAATGAGATGTTCGCGGTGAAGATGGGGACATTTGTTTGACCGAAATCAGGCTGTCCGCAGGTGCTAGATAGCGTGACGCGGGCAAGCCTCAATCCACGTCAGCCTGCAGTACACATCCTGCCGAGTTGCAGCTACAGTCTGGCCAATAACTGATACCTGAAGGATGAGGGGTCACCAGGCATCGAGTTGCCGCCTGCGCCTTCCAGCCTTATGGTTATGGTAAGCATGCAGGTCGCACGTATACGAGGCAGCTACTGCCCTCATTGGAACTTCACAAACCTCAAAAGTCAATGCCATGAAGACGAAAAATGGCGTTGAGAAGGGGGAGTTTCTGAACCGACTTTTTGGAAGAGATGGCGACTGTTTGTCGTTCTTCAATTACTGTGACGAGCTTCTTCAACTCCACAATGACTCCGTCAGCAAGTTAAAGTCCAACAATGCCGAGCCGTTAGTCTACGAAGACGTGTTACAAGCAGTTGGACTCCTGAAAAGTCACACATCAAGCACAAAAGAACAGCTTTCAACAGATCTCTGCAAAGCAATGGGAAGCAATCGATCCAAGCCCGAAATGGCAAGCCTGACGAACCTGGCGATCCAGGCGATGGTCATGGTTGACTGCGATCCCGCAGCCGACTACTCGATCAGAGGATACCGACCAATGTCATGGACGAGGAAAGAATCCTTCCTCGGGTTTATGGAAAGGTCCTTCCCGATCGACCCGAATCCAAGCATGAACCAGAAGGTCGAGATCGCTCTCGAAGAGAAGACTGCACTGAAGGCATGGAAACTGCAGAAGCGATTAAACGTCACGTTCCTGGGAACAAACAACATCTCCGAACATCTTCTCTTTGATCCAAAGGAAAACTATCTTTACATCTTTCATCATGTTGGGTTTCTGAAAGCACACTTGGAGATGGCTCGAGAACATGGTTACCCATTGGACCAGAGCATGGCTGACAGCTTGCAGAAGTAAGTTGTTTCATAACACGCGGAACTAGGACTAATTGACTGACTTCTATCAGGGGAACCTTGCCGCCGCAACTTCTCGTTGAGACGCTGCATTCAGTCCAGTCGATCCTCTTTCCCTCGATCGACCGCAAATCAGTACCCATCCTCGATGACTTAATCGCCAACCAGGATACGGCATTCGACAGAGAATGTGCTGATTATGACGGCTACGGACTTTTTCAAGAACCTCCTGCGGGCTTCAGTTACCTATACTGGGGAGATCGTCTCGCTCTTCTACATGAGCTCGTCATAAGTAGACCGCCCCGTAACAAGCTGGAACGGTGGTTACATCGGCAAAGCAACGAGGGCAACGCACTTTTCATTGCTCTTGTGGCCTTGTTGATATCGATATTCGTGGGAATTCTTAGTATCGGGATCGGGGCGGTTCAGATCTGGATTGCATGGATGGCGTGGAAATATCCCCTGACGGACTCGTCTGGATAGTAAGCGGGTTGAGATCACACCCCGGGCTCAAAGGCACAGCACAGACCTACAACTGCCTGAGTCTGACATGAAATGATGAAGTCCCGAACGCTCCTTCTTTCAGATCTTGACTTGCTCTTCCCGTCATAGTCCGTCTGAAATGATGCCCCAAACACCCATAAAAGCGTACACTATCGAGCTATAAAATGATCTACAGAACGTATAGAGAACATGACGGGTTTTTGTTCCACTGGATTCAGTCAGAGCGCGGCGCACATGAGACGCTGGGGAAGATGTTCGATACGTCGTCGAGCGCCGACCTCGAGAAGCTCATCCCCGTATACGTACGCTCATTGCGGCAGGAATACTCGGGAAGAGATGGAGGAGAGATATAGGAAGAGAGACAGAGACAGAGATAGGGAGAGGGAGAGGGAGAGAGAGTTGCAACTTACGGAGAGCTTTATACAACACTACTCATTCAAAACATCAAACCGATACAGACAAGTTCGAGTTATTCCCATGATCTAGAGACTATATTAAGACTGCTCCTCATAGTCTTACACGCAGCCTCACCAAATGTCATACTTAGTCTCTTGAAATTAGGCATAAATGAGACCTTGGATCTCGGACGCTACCAATTCCAATCCTCAGCGACTTGACGCATAGCTCTACGATTCAATCTTCAGCAGATGGCCGTCATCTATAGGGTATTCAGCGCGTACACATACAGACGGACGACACAGGCGCGGGAAACCAGCGTTATTCTTAGTCCCACTCAACATTCACAGCTTTGACGACCGTTCAGACATATAGAGAGGTTTTTTATCAATAGCATCCAGAAAATAAATCTTTTTGGGACCAACAATAAGCAGGGAGCCTACAGAACTGAGGGAGCCTGGCTTGTTAGTTCTTAGCTCTATCTTTATACTATTAACAAAGGTAGACCATCTCTTTCTACAGATGGATCCCTTCTTCCTACTTAAGGAAGCAAAAGCTTTGTCTCATTAGGATGAGAATAAGACCATGGTTCCGTGAGCGATAGCCTATGAACACTCATATCACAGAATCAGACATACACACCAGAGCATGGGGAACAGAACCTTGCCGCCTGTGATCATATAGTCGTCCAGCGTTCACATTGTCCGTCCCGCTGCGCGTATTCACTCATCTTACTTCATCTTATCCATCCACAGTCCTAAGCCCAGCTTCAGTGCTAAGCATAAGCACTACCCAGGCTCAAAGAACTTCATTCTCATGAGAAATAGGATGAGTATGCTTGGCAACGGATTCCAGAACTGTGATCCTCTATTAACTTCCTAAGACAGACAGCCCATATAGTTATATATAAGAAAGAGGGCTCTAGATTCTAAGTATAATTAGAAGACTGAAACAGCTATTTAATGAGACATCTACTACTGCTATTAAGCCTGGCTGATGTAACCAATTCTCACAACTGTTTCGACCGAGTGTTTCAGTTCCTCTTTATCAAAACAGCTTGAACCTAGTATCCTAAACAACCCCAGTCTTCATCCCAAACCACAGCGGCCCCAGAAGGAATACGCACAAATACAACAACGACGCTGACCACAGACGCCAGACAAGAGCAATCATATACAATCAGTGACTTTTCTATATGAGAGAACAGCCCCCGTATCCCGTCACACAAGGCCGTTGTCAAGCTCCTCGTACAGTGGAACAGCCAGTGAGGCAGTCACTTGGACGGGCTAGGAAGAGAGGCCCACAACAGCTGCTTCAACCACAAGAAAACTGCTAAGTAGCTTGTGAAACATTGCAACTGCATAAGAAGGACTCATCCTTTACCACCTCGGCCACAGGACCACCTTCTCAGAACTTCACAACTTCACAACGTCACGCACTTATTTACAAGAATACACACAGCGAGACGGACACGAAAGACACAGAACGACAAGCATCACCTCTCCCATCTCAGCTAGGTCAGCCCAGCACCTCATAGCACTTACTAGAGTCCTAGATGACCTTGTATCTATAACGTTCTCAGGCCTTCCCGCTAATGCCGAAATCGTCCACCTCAGTGTGACAGTTAGTTTATACTTCCCAGATAGGTGAAGCCAAGCACCTATTAATACCGCTTGTGGCATTACTACTCATCTCCCAGCTAGCTCCAGCTGCCCTCATCATCCTATTTAGTACTTTCCAGTGTTGAAAGACACAACTAGTACTTCTCTTCTGCGCATGAGAAACGCAAATTTGGATATATGGGAAGTAGTAGTGAAGTGGGAACTAAAAGATCACCAGCACTAGCTATCCCTTACACCTCACATCCATCAGCAGCAAACCCTCACTCACAGAATCACTATACCACAAAGAATACGCACAGCGCGACGGACGACACAGGCGCGAGACGGCACTAGACGATAAAACTCTTCTACTGGGCTGATTGGTTCGCGCAGAGAGCCAGTCCTGTGTTCCAGGCACAGTGTGAGAGTAGCAAGACCAAGCTGGAAGAACAATTTGGCGGTCAACGGGGTACGGTGATGAGATGTCACACATGAGATTGCCTCCCTTTAAGTATCACTATAGGTAGGGTAGTGTTAGAGGGTGGTTGTTTTCAACAATCGTACACCTACTCTTCCCGAGAAAGTAAACACATGCCTGACCAGGTCAGCCTCCACAGCGCAGCAATATGCAGACACTGACTAGACGACGCAACCAAGACGTAAAAACGATGCCTTCTTGTCGTGATTGATTCCGATGCAGAGACCGCTCGTTGTAGACATACAAGAATTTTATGTACAGACACATCCCGCTCACTCACTCACACACTGTAAAGAGAGACCAAAAACAACACACGCCCTCGAAATCAAAAAACACGCAATGTACTCCTTCCACCTCTTCCTTTCCCGCGGGTATGATGCACCCTCGCGTCTTCGTTCTGAAACGCTTCTCTTCTTCTTTAAGTTCTTGACTCGAATCGACCCGGCCTTCTTCGTTTCTCCCATCTGCCGCAAGCCTCTTCACCGAGAATAAAAACAAACACCTCGTGGCTCGACCTTGACTTATCCAGTCCGGGAGATTGGGCACGGGGCCCTTTGCGACATTGAGGAAGGAAAACGTTGCCGCCGTCTATATGCAAAAGTAACCATCTAAGCTTCTTGCTGATCCGCATGCGCGTGCTAGTGCGCGTCGACTCCGACTCAATCGTCTTGGTTGACAGGGTGGTATCTGCCGCTGCCGCTGCTGCTCTGATTCCGCGTGCGACTGACGACCCTCGACACCCATCCGCTAATGGTGCTGCTGGCCTCGCCGTCTTGACCCTTGCCGTCGGGGATCTCGGGCGGGTTGAGGTCCAGTCCGGGGATCGCGCTCTGGGCCGTGTAGGCAGGTCGGCCGCGGTAGGAGCCGACCGGCGAGCCGGGCATGAGAGGTCCGGTATCGTCGGCGGCGTGGACCGACGGGGTACCCATGACGGTGCTCGCGTCGCCGAACAGCGAGTTCATCTCCTCCAGACGGACTCCACAAGTCTCGGGGTAGATGAAGTACACTATGATCGTCAGCGGGGATGCTTATTTTGCGGGTCACGATGCTACTCACCAACGACAAAACTGACGGCGCAGAAGAAAGCGTGCACCAGGTACAAACGCCACTTGATGTTCTCCTGCAGAATGGGCGTCATCTCTCCCACAAGCCAGTTGAAGGCCCAGTTGGTGGCCGTCGACAAACTGGCACCCTTGGAACGAATGCTGAGGGGCAAGATCTCCGGGGGGTACAACCAGGGGATAGGGCCCCACGAGTAGCCGAACGCCGCGTTGTAGATCATGACAAAGATGACTGTCAACATGGGCGTCGAGGGTATGTCGAGGTAAATCCAGTACGAAATCATCGACAAGGAAACGGTCATGACAACCGCACCACTCAGCAAGATCGGCCTTCTGCCCCACCTATCGACCAGATACCAGGGGGGAATGGTCGACAGGAAGTAGGTGATTCCGTTGACACCGGCCATGAGCACAGCATTGCGCCCGACCCAGCCAGCGGATTCGAAAACGATGGGAGCATAGTAGCTGATGACGTTGATGCCATTGAGCTGGGCAAGCCCCTGAGCCGACATGGCAATGAAGACACGGGTGCTGTATCGTCGGAACATCTCGGCGTACGTCCGCTCGCCCTCCTGGCGCTGGAGCAATACGTTCATCTTGATCTCGCGGTACTCGTCGCGGGCCTTGGGGTTGTGGATGTCACCCTTGCCGTAGAGGTTGGCAATGACGACAATGCCCTCTTCGTCGTGGTCATTATCAAGAAGCCATCTGTTCACGTGTCAGGAAAGCAAAACAGTCACACAGCGCGGACGGAGCACCAACCTTGGAGACTCTACGATGACCAAACTGCCGAGGCCGAGCAGGGCACCCATCACGCACTGCATCAACAAGGGAACACGCCACGACATGTCACTTTGGATGAAGCTGCAAAAGTAGTCGACCCAGACCGAGGTGGCGTAGCCGATGATGTTGCCGGAGAACTCGATGCAGGCGAGCTTTCCGCGGTTGTGAGGAGGAGAAATCTCCGACTGGTAGACGGGCACAATGGTGGACAGAGCACCGACACCCAGACCGGCGACAATTCTACCCAGCATCATCATGGGCATACCGTTCGCAAATGTTTGGAAGGCACCGCCAATGAAGAAGACGATGGAGCCGTAGAAGATTGTTTTGCGGCGGCCAATGATGTCTCCAACCTTGCCCACAATCAGGGACGAAATCAGAGCGCCAATCTCCAGAATGGCGACCATGGTACCGATCTCGAGACTCGAGGGGTGGTGGAAGTAGGCATTGAAGTACGTGCCGCTGGAGAGCAACTCGGTTAGCCATACGTGTCAAGGCAGCGTGGTCAGCAAACAGGAAGGTAACGTACGTGATGATTCCCGACATGACACCTTGGTCGTAACCGAAGAGGAACACGCCTAATGAGACGAAAATACTTGTGAAGTAACTGCATAGTGAAGTCAGCCATCGTGCTCGGAACCAAAGGAATTGGACATCTGGAAGGCATACATCAGGGCCTTGCCCGTGAGGCCGTGAATGGAGTGACCGCCCGACATGATGAGGCCGATGACTCGCTCGGCGCGAGTCGGACGGGGTTGGGCGATGTCTGGAACCTCGATAGCCTCCTTATCAATCTCTCCACGACGGGAGGGGGAGCTGTCGTGGCGGGCGTGGTCGTCTAGTTGTATGCGGACGCGTTTCGGCTTCTGGTTCTTGTGATGAGAAGGATGCCTCTTGTGGACGCCGGCTAGCAGCTCGTCATCGATGTCGCTGGCGAGCTGAATGCGAAGGGGGTCCTCTTCGTCGGCGAGCTGCTCTGCAATATCCCCAGTGTCGGTCCAGGACGATTCAGAACCGGAACCGTACGAGTCCTCAGATGACCTTGGACCGTGATGGTGTTGTTTGTCGTAAGAAGAATCTTGTTGGGTGTGGCGGCGGTCACGGTCACGGTCGTGTTGGGGGTTGTCGTCCCGATCAGATGCGAGCAATGACGTCGCTTGCTCGGTCTGGTCAGGGCGGGACTGCAGGGTCCGCAAGGGGATATTGGACGGGAGTCTTCTGCCTTGTGAGGAGGGAATCTTGGGCGGTTATGGGGCTGATAGCAGCAGCACCCTTCCGCTCACGAGGAATTGAAAAGGTTGGGGGGGAAGGGGAGAAGATAAGAATGCGGTTCGAGTCGGGTCTAAGAAACTACCTAGACAGACGGTCGACACGGACACGGGACGGAGAAAGAGAGAGATGACGGATCAATCAGGGACTGTCTGCAGCAGCGAGGAGCCGTATCGGCACGTAGCGCGACCTGGCGACTGGGGTGTTGCAGTTGCAGGTGCAGGCGGGCGAGCTGGCCGTGGACCGCTAACAGCGTTACGATACAGGCTGAGCTGGACTGGGGGAGGGGTCAATGATTGGGGGAGGAGAAGGGGAAATGGTTGGGCTGGAAGGGAGGGCCCAGGCCAGGCTGTGAGGCAATGGTAGTGAGTGGCAGGGAAGTGTCTCTAGACTCTAGGTAGGTAGAGACCAAAAACGTGATCCAGAAGGACGATGCGTGATGTGGTGATGGTGAGGTGGACAGTCCGGCTTGGTTCGGGGGTGGATGCTATCGATGCAACCTGCTGCACAGTGACACACAGTGATCCTTGGGAGACCACTGGAGAGCAGGGAAATGGTGGTTTTCGATCCACTTCACTCGCTGCTCCACTGTGGATACCCGCGTTTTCAGGTTCAGTGTTCCCGGTCCAACTGAACACTGAATGTCCAACACTGAGCTCAGTGAATCTCACAGTTGCCTTTTTTTTTTCTTGCTGTTGCTCGATTGAATTCAGCTCGTTCTTTTTTGGAGGGGTGTCGAATTGTCCTGGCTTTTTTTGGTTTGTCTTTTTCACCACAGATATGGCAACAACACAGGACGGTGGTGCCTTGCAGGGCTGGTCTGATATGACGACAGACGAGATAAGAGCACAGAAGCTTGCTTGTCCCGGTCTGGTCGTCGAGATTGATTGAGAGTCTCGTCTCGTCTCGTCTCGTCTGTTTTAGCCCTTCCAAAGCAGGAATCCCAGGAAAAAGAGTTCGATGCTATGCAAGGTATTCTCGTACCTCTGGCAAAAGCGCTTGACTCTTACTGGACGGCCAATTCTTGTCTGACTGGGACGCAGGCAGACGGGGACGGGGGCAATTGGCGGGGGGTAAGGTGAACTCGAGGTGGTCTGCAGATACCGACACCAAGCAGATGACCAGATGCCAACCTCTTTTGTCGTTGCGGCCTGTCGGCTCAAGGGTTGCAGCGGCAGGAGCGCAGGCAGACAGCTGATGCCTTACGCAACGATGCAGGAGCCGATGGGGTTCGGGTGAGGGAGAAATGGACTTTCTCTTCTTGCTGGCAGCCGTGCTGTGCTGTGCTTTGCTGTCTTGTCGAAGGTTGCTTCTCCTTCCTTGGATCTTCTTTTTCCACGCTCGCGCGTCGTTCCCTGCGCTTAGCGTCTAGCTTGAGGCAATGTGTCCGGTAGTAGCGCAGATCTACTGACGTCGCCTTGGCACCGTGAGAAAATGGCCCCCAGTCGTTCAGCACGAGCGAGAAGCGCTGCGATGACACCAGCACGCCGATGACGAAGGTGAACGGGGAGCTAGGCACGAGGCACCACAGGCAAACGGTAGCGCGCCGTTGGCCGTTTGCCGGTCTGGACACAGAGTACAGAGTACTGGTATCCGGTAAGGTAGAGTAGATTGCCGGGCTGGGTCGCAGCGGTACGTACGTCGCCGGAATGGAGCGAAGAGAATCAATGGGCATAAAACGAGAGGGTCAACAAAAGTCGGTCATGTGCCCGTTTGGCGAGTCGGGGATGATGGTCAAAGGAGTGTCAGATGGTCGGGGAAGGGGGGGAAATTCGGGAAAATGGTTTGAAGGTGGTTGACTTTCTGAGCCTCGTCGGGAAACAGGAACGCAGCACGAGACCTCCTTTTCTTTCGTTTTTCTGGCCCTCCTTCGGCCTCAGAGTTAACAGATGTTCCCTTCCACTTCCACTCTATCTGTCCAGTGCCAGTGCCAGTCCCTCTTTCCCCTGAAATGAGGATTATCCGGGCCTGGCGCAGGGGGGTAATGGATGGAACAGCTGGGACGCTGGAACACTGGGAACACTGGGATCTGGGGACCGGACGGGACGGCGTAGCCAATCTGCCAACACAATCAAAAAAAGACGAGGCCGTAAGAGATTGGCGGTGCCGTACTGATTACCTCACATCCGGCTCCTTTTCCTCGCTCGCATGCTCTCTCAGCTAATCCATTAGGTACGCAGTACCCCCCTCTTAGGTGAGCAACAACCAAAATGCTGGGCCAGCTTTATCTCCATCTCCAGTGGCTACGCGTCCCCCGTCTCGTCTCTCGTCCAATCTGCTTCAGCCCACTCAACTCCAGATTCGCAATCCCTCCCTCCCTTTTTCCTACGCTACCCGCCCGACGCCGCCAAACCGCCAAATCACACGCTACAGCTGTCTAGTCCGGGGCAAAACCGACCTACTTTTCCCAATTCCTCCCAAGAGGCTGATCTCGCACGTGAAACGCCTTTGCTGACTCGATTTGTGGGTATCCTCCATGCGTCCCGAGGGAAAGGATCACCGACTGCCTTTGTGCCCGTGGTCGGCCTTTCGGACCATGAGATACCGGATCGATACCCCCCCAACCTCTTTCGCCGCGATGCACTCTGGCTTCATGTGCCAATTGTCAATTACCAGCCAGCCGATTCGATTTTCGACTTCGATTTTCGAACTACGAATAAGACGATTAGATTGAAGATCACCACGGCCCGATCGTGGCGGATCGCCAGCCACCGTCCAGTCCAGTCCAGCCTCATGGTTTGCGGCTCGCACATGTCAAAAATAGAGTGAGAGTGTTCGAGGTGAGGGAACGAGCGTCAGGGCCCGCCTGGCCCCGACTTTCCAGCGACTTCCAGCGGTCGTCGTGGCGAAGCACACGGCCCCGTTTCGACGACGACGATGCCGAAGCGCGTCGCCGTGGCGGGGCCCACAACGGTCGGCTGCCCGCTTCCGACCCTCGACGTCATTTCCCAGGTTTCCATTTGTTTGCCTCTCGCTATTTTCGGGATCATCCCAATACAACAAAGGTCCGCCAAATGCTGTTGGGCAAGCAAGCCAGAAAAAGGGTTCACCCTGCCACGGGCGCCCTTTACCCCAGACGATGCAACCAACTTCATCTCTTTCATCCCTCACACATTCTCGAATTATATCCAACTTCACGGTCTCTTGTGTGATCGATTGACTGACTACAAGGGCCTCGGTGGGAATTGGCACTGTACCAAGACCCTGAAATAAATCGCTGCCATCTCGCCGGCCGCGACTCCACATGACGGCCCACCTGATCCAGATTCCTGCGAGCATCGCTCACGATGGTCCGTTTGGTGACACTACTGAACAGTGCGTGTGCTCGAGAGCAAAGAGCTGCATCGGGGCGGGGCATCGAACCGAGAAAAACCCGGTCCCTTCCTCCTCCCCCCCGCGTCCGCTTCTCACGAGTTGTATCCCGATTCCCGATATGTAACGGTTTCTTGCGATCTTTGCGGAGGAAGGGGGGAGAAACACTCGAATTCTTGACTAATAAGAGCCTGTGACCCGTCGACCGTGAAGAAGGGCAGACTTCCCCAGCCTTAGCTTGTAAAGTGGACGAACGTGGGGGTTTTATTACCTAAGTACCCGAGGTGCAAAAGGGTACGGGTACCCGTACGGGATGCGATTCAAACGACGGCAACTGCAATACAGAGCAGACACATGCATGTGTCTAGTCAGAGAGCTCTCCGGATATGTTTTTTTTTTTTTAATTTGCCAACTGTTGATTTATGCGCGACCTGTCCCCTGGACGGTGCGCTCGTCCTGGCCGAAAGGCTCGAAGCCGCCGTACGCGACACGCCAGGTTCTATGTTCCACGACATCGCTCACCTGCCTATCCGCTACGTCATCAGAGACAACCCAGCCGGAAAGAAACGAACCAGACAAGAAAGACCCTTTCCTTCACCGCAAGTCACGTTCGCAGGGGGACACGGAAATCCAGGGTTTGTGGGTCTTGGTAGTCGGGGTCAGGCATCGTGAAGTTGTGGGGCAAAAACAGACGGCATCAACAACCACACCAAAAACATACAACACCAGGTATTCGCTGGTCGTCACCGACCCAACTACTAATCCGGCCCTCATTGGCTTATCTAAGGGAGAGCGGACGGGATCCCGAGTTTTCCAATGGGTATGGTCGTATGTGATAGCTGCCGGCTCGTAGGAGGCTTATATCGCAAGAATTGTTGGAGCGGCAGACTGGATCACCCCCGAGCGATTCGGTAGTGATCGATCAGTGGGACCAGGAACAGTGATCAGTCTAGATAAAGAGATTAGTTAAAGAAGACATCTCACCCAAGTGATCAAAGGAACTGTCTAGGACCTGGACTCTTATACAGGATAAGCTTGAGTCCTCTTAAGTTCAGACTTATATAGCTCTTCAGCAGTCAACTCTGTGATTAACCTCGCTAGTACTCTTAGCTATCACCAAGACCTCCAAGATATTGGATCTACTCGCCTACGCCTACTGATACTATTGTCAATTTCCCAACTTACTGTTCAAACAACACTCACTGTCAGTTGGCTGGCCGCAACAACATGGATGCTTCCACAGTGGATAGAAAAAAACAAATCGCTGCAGAAGTGACGATACAGCTCCAACAGATAGGAATCCATTTCAATGGGAGCACTATTCTGGACGTGGGCTTCGGCTTTGGATTCAACGCAGCTGAATGGACGAAGCTAGGCGCCACAGTATTTGGCGTCGAACCGGATAAAGGCGCATACGCCTGGGCCGTGCAACAGAACAAAATCAGTCCAACAAATGCCCTATGCAGCAAGCTACAGGACGTGCCGAGCGGGTGGGGAGATCAGTTCGATGTGGCGACCGTGCTCTTATGGGAAATCCCTCGGTCAGAATACGACGTCGTTCTCAGCGAGTTGGCAAAGAGGGTTGTGCCGGGGGGGATCGTTGTCATTGGCATTCAAGAAGAAAAATACATTTTTGCTCCGGACGGTGTGGCTGTACAACCGCATGCGGAATGGTATTTTGGGAACGTGCAAACGATACAGTGCGCTTTCCAGGCAAACAAGTATCTACTCTTATGCAAAGACCCCGATGTCTAATGGCTGGGTCAGTGATATTCTTGGACGACGAACTGGCTGTTTGGTTTACTCTATTTGTTAGTTTGATCTACCGCTAGAATCGAGGAGAAGCAATCAGAAGTTCCATCTCGAACGAAAGCATGGCCGGGATGCTCCGCGTCCGCTGCTAGTGAAATACGTTATCACCCGCTCCCATCTAACTGAAGACCTTTCACCTCCCCCCTCCAAAGCACTTGAGAGATGGCCCCATAGCTAACGGTAGGCACCGGCCCCTGATATGCATCTGACGTGTCTGTAGAGTTAGACTCTACTCCACGGGCAAGGCTACGCCGCAACACGCAGCCAGCGACGTCCCTCTAACGGCTTATCTCACGCCTTCTGCGGTTTCATTTGGGAATGATCGCAACATAATGACTCCTATGTAGCCTGCAATTTCAGGGGACCTTCTGATTGTTGCCTCTGCTCTATAGTAAGAAGCTTTGTGAAAAGCTGCGGAGTTACGCTCGTGAAGACAACCCCATCGTCAAATGCGGTCAACCATTGTATGCCGTCAAGGCCACAACTTCAGTTTTCTCAAAGGTCGTTACTCGCTACCAAACGACTGTTTCTTTCGCCCAGACTTATCATGAACTCTCACCATCAAGGTTGGAACAGGAGCTCTTGTTTGCTTTCGCTATGGGTGGTGTCTGAAGGTGTTGATCATTGGCGCTACATGATAGTGTTTTACAAGAAGACAGTTTCAAAGACGTGAAATCTCACCAATTTCACCGCCAGCGATTTGGGCAATGTCACCAGCCACCCCCCAGCTTAATTCATATCCCCGAGCACCGGCACCGTACCCGTGGACAACTATCCTGCCATGGCCGAGGTCCTCCGTTTCGATACGAAGACCACCGTCTCTCCATGGTCGGCGACCAACATTCACCGCAAGTATCTCAAAGTCTTCCACTCTGGACACGAACTCCGGCCAGCACTTGACGGCATTCGCGAGAATGTCTTCCGTCTCTCGTGGCCGTATCTCGGTGCCCCAATCCCCCATCTGCTTGGTACCGCCCACAACCGTGCCCCCTCCCAGGGGGCGGGGGATCAAGAAAGACCAGGTGCCGTCGTTGTTGTGACGCGTGGCGGTCTTGTGGTAAGCGTTCCTGACAAGCACTGTCTGGCCGCGGATGGCGTTGCACCTGGGATCCAGGTCGAAGTTTCGTCCTGAACAGTTGATGACGAGAGGTGGAGGAGAACCCGTTGGCAGGATGTCGAAGGCGTCTTCTAGACGAGCCAGGCGTTTTTGGAGCACGTTCCCGCCGTTTTTGGTGAACCGAGAAAGCAACCACCGACAGTAGATATTGACATTGACAATCCAGGTGTTGTACTCGCACCCCCAGCGACCCCCCGGGTTCAGTTCGCCCTCTTCCAGCACGCGGAACTCGTCGCCATCGCCGCACGCATAGACATCGCCCGTCTTGAAGTGAACCTTGTCCTCGGGCAGATACTCCATGATCTCTCGGCCCTTGACCGACTGAATTCCAGACTCGGGGCTACGCAGGGCCAGATCCCGCATGATACGAGACGTCTCTAGAGCCCATACCTGCTCGGAGGCAAGCTGGCCGCGAGGATCGGTCCCGGGGGTCGGGCGGAAATGCGCACCCGCCCACATTGAGGCGTAGTCTACAGACGGACGCGGCGCGTCAACGAAAGGAGGGGTCAGGGGCACTTCGGCGGCGACGATCGTGATGCGGGTCCGTGGATGTCTGTCCTGGAGCACAGCCGCTGTCGTGAGTCCCAATACTCCGGCCCCGACAATGACGATGGGTTTGGTCGGAGACATTTCGATGCCAGGAAGTATTGAGCAAGCGTCTCTCAAGTTTCTTTGCGTATTTAACAAATTACTAAAGTCTTTTTGGAGAGAAAAAGCTGTGATTGATGTCAAGCCTAGCTCCAAGTTGCGTTGCCCAACTAGAAGCTCGGTTCGAGAATCCCGGGATATTTGTATAAGAATGCTCTTGGGGCAACCCCGCGTTGTTATCAGCAATCGGCACCAACACCGGACCAAGACCGTTAAGCTATCCTTCTGGGCCGAGTCAAATGCAACCCCTCCCGATCTTTGCTTGAGCCGAGTCACCTCTTTGGCCGAGTCACCATCGCAACATGCCAATCACCGAGATAGATACTCATCAGCTATCGAAAGGCAACCGTCATTGCCGCCTCGAGTGATAACATGTTACATCTTTGTCTATAGTACCTGGGGCCAATTAGTATAAATTCAGAGGGTTGGAACTACGTTGTATTATAAACTCTGAGAGTTCAGGAGAGTCGGTTGTGTTTCGCACGCATTGTCTACCACTTACAACAACATACTACTCCGATCGAATACATCGATCACAACCTTTGTCTCTTGCTTTATTAGCCCATTGTTCCAATTCTTTCTCACGGCCACGATGGCTCTGAGAACCGACGACTCGAAGGAAGACCACAAAGATGCGCCCGAAGATGTCGACCTCGCGAAGGTTGAAACCGCGCACGCCGGCGAGGTTATAAATCTAGAACAGCACCAAACCCACCGCGGTCTCAAAACACGCCACAGCCAGATGATTGCTCTCGGGGGCACCATCGGCACCGGCCTCTTCGTCAGTTCCGGCCAGGCCCTTCGTCTCGGCGGACCTGCCTTTCTCCTCGTCTCTTACATGATCACTTCGCTACTTGTATTCGGCATCGTCACCGGCTCGACTGAGTTCAGCTCATACCTTCCCGTTCCTGGCTCTACGACCGCCTACTTCGGACATCGCTTCTTCTCTCGCAGCATGGGCTTCGCCCTGGGGTGGATGTTCTGGTACATCTGCGCCATCACCGTCCCCGCTGAGATCACGGCTGCTAGTCTTGTCATCGAGTACTGGGAGCAGCCGGTGCCCACTGGCGTATGGATCGCCATCATTCTTGTCGTGATTGTTGCGCTGAACTGCTTCCCCGTCCATGTCTACGGCGAGGTAGAGTTCTGGTTTGCTTCGATCAAAGTTCTCGGTATTATCGGCATGCTATTTATGGCCCTCGTCGTCACTACCGGCGGGGGCCCCAAGAAGGAGGCCATCGGTTTCGCGTACTGGAACAGCCCTGGCGCCGTCAACCACTACATCTTCGACGGGCCTGTAGGGGTCCTGGCGGCGTTTGTCGCGACTTGGTGTTTCTCGGTCTTTGCTTTCGTCTTCTCGCCCGAGCTCCTCATCATCACTGGCGGCGAGATGCAGAACCCTCGTCAGAACCTCCCCCGCGCCGGCCGCCGCTTCATCTGGCGCCTGGTGATATTCTACGTCCTCAGCGCCTTCTTCCTCGGCATGATCATTCCCTTCGACGATCCCCAGCTCCTGGGAGGCGCCAGCGACGCGGGTGCCTCCCCGTGGTCCATCGGTGCCAAGCGAGCCGGCATCCGCGGCCTCGACTCCGTCATCAACGCCGTCATCCTCCTGTCCGCATGGTCGGCGGGCAACGCCTGGCTCTACATGGCCAGCCGCTCGCTCTACTCAATGGCCGTCTTCGGCATCGCTCCCGCGGCTTTCAAGCGCTGCACCGCGTCGGGCATTCCCTACTTCAGCATCGCCTTCAGCGCCTCCTTCTCGCTCCTGGCGTTCATGAACCTCAGCCAGTCGTCCGCGACCGTGTTCAACTGGTTCGTCAACCTCATCAACAGCTGCGGCTTCATCAGCTGGATCTGCATGTGCGGCATATACCTCCGCTTTCGCAAGGCGACTTTTGCGCAGGGTATCGTGGACCAGCTCCCCTACCGGTCCGTGTTCCAGCCGTACGCGTCGTACGTGTGCGTGGTGTTGTTCTCCCTGATGCTGCTCCTCAGCGGCTTTACGAATTTCCTCGACGGCCACTGGAGCACGGCCAACTTCATCACCACGTATATCGGGATCATTATTTTCTTAGCGTTCTATATGGGACACAAGGTCGTACGAGATTGGAAGTCTCCTTGGGTCATTCCGGCCGAAGATGTTGATCTGCGTACTGGTCTTCAGGAGGTTATAGAAGCGGAAGCTCCTGTATCCTGCAAACGTCATAAGTGGTACGATGTTTGGAGTCTCCTTTTCCGGTAGGCACAGAATAGGGAGGAGCATACGTATCCAAATCGGCGATATGGTTCCGTCGGAAGATTGCTCACGTTGTCTTCATCGCCCTGTCGTTGTCACCGACCCAACGACTAATCCAGCCCTCACTAGTATTATCTAGATAGAGCAGAGACAGCCTTCTTCGTAATAGCATTTGAGTTAGAGATTCTAAGGAGTACACATTTATTTATATAGATATATTTTGTTGTCTTCCCGTGGGCATTAAATAGATACTCTGATGTCCTGATCACTCAAGGATTGCCCTCTCTAGTAACCGTAGCCACTACCGCCGCCGCCCTTTGGAGGAGCAGAAGGACCGTTGCCGGCCGGGGGAGACGGACCACCGCCGCCATACTGTCCCCCAGGCGCATTACCCTTGGGGGAAGCAGAGGGACCGTTTCCGGCCGGGAGAGGAGAACCGCCGCCGTTGCCATACTGCCCTCCAGGGGCACCACCCTTTGCAGTTGGAGGAGCAGGACCGTTACCTGGTCCTCCGGGACCAGATGGTGGTGGAGGAGGTCCGATGGGCTTTCCTCCTCTGATCTGATCGGGAATCTTGGGAACGGGGCCCTTGCTGGCAACCCAGGTGTCGACGTTGCCCTGGTCAGAAGCGGTGAAGCTGGATGGAGCCCACCGTGCGGGAAGTGCCTTTGTGCATTCCGTCAAGTCGTTGATGTTGTACACACCCAGGAGAGAAAGACGAACGTATTCGTGGGCGTACGCCTGATAAAAAGTCAGCATGGTTCATGGAAGAAACAAACGAGATGTACTTACCGCGTTCCACGCAGCCTGGCCACCGGGACCGGCGAAAGCAGCAAACTGGCCGCTGGTGCTGGGGTATTTGGACAGTGCAACATCGCTATTAAATTTGAACACGCGCGGCGGAGCGTTGCCAATGGTTTCCGAGTAGAACTTGACATCCCACACACCAGGGGTGCTGTCCTGAGGGTCGCCGGCGCGCGAAGGGTCAACGAAGCGTTGTTGACTGGTTGTGTGCGCACCTATGAGCGAAATAAGGCCATAAGAGCTGATGGTTTTGTTGTTGAACAGGTCGATCAGGGTATCAGCTGGGCTATTGACGTCCGGAAGGAGGTTGGGAGGAGCGGCAACTGATGAATCTTTTCGTCCTATAAAAGTCCTAACACGAGGACCTAGCGGACAAACAACCGTAGCGACATTTGCGGAGAACTGGATGAGGTCCGCCATGCCGATTCCGTATTGCTTATACTTGTTGTACCATGTCTTAGTTTGCTCGACGATTTCTTCTAAACCTTTGTTCTCGACGCGCGAGATTTCAGAGGAGGACAGAACAATCGACCCGTCAGCTCCACCGAGGTTTCCGGTTCCCTTGGACCAACCAGCAGCATCGTGGAAACCAAGACGAATGGCTGCACGAGCGTAGTCAGTGCAGCGGCCGGATTCACCTTTGAAAGTGGTTGCGAGGTCGTCTGCGATATACTTCCAGATGCAACAGATGTCGGCAGCACATGCTGGTGTATCTTTGGCTGGGCATGCGCCATTATTGGGAGGTGGAGGACTACCGCCTGGGCCTGGCGGCTTACCTTCTCCAGGGGCGGGAGGTTTGCCACCACCGGGAGCAGGTGGGGCACCGCCACCGGGTGCGGGAGGAGTGCCGCCGTAGGGCCCACCTCCCGGGACCGGAGGAGCACCTCGACCAGGACCAGGTGGGGCACCGCCTGGAGCCGGGCGAGCGCCGCCGCCACCAGAAGGCGCACCGCCACCACCTCCGTAACCGTAGTCTCTGGGATGGATGGGAGCGGATCTCTTCTTGCCGGAAGAGTAAGCTTCATCGCTCTCAGCGTTGCCAGAACCAGACAGGAGCTGCTTGATGTTCTTGCCAACGGGCGTGAGCTTCGAGTCGTCGAGCGTCGCGAGGTCCCCAATGATCTCGGTCGACTTGCCGCCGTCGGACTTGCCCTGACGGGCCGCGATCTCAGCGAAAGTGTTCTTCATGCCGGGGTAGCCGAGAACGGGGGTTGCCACGAGGGCTGCGGTGAGGATGGAAACGCGCATGATGAAAGAGCGAGACCAGCTGGCGGGTTATTCAGAAACGAATGTGATATTAAAAGCGAAAGTGTAGAAGACAGAAGTTGTCTTGGGGATGAACGAATGTAGAGAGACGGGAGCTTGAAGCCGCTGTGTCCTGAAGAGAAGCATATACATGATTGCGGGAGTCGCTGACACCTTATATGCTGAGTCGTGATGCGAATAACTTCAGTTTCTGGTTCCGAGCGCACGATGCGAAACCACTTCGTCTTTTCAAAGTCGGGTGGAGGAGAGCCGTGAACCGGAGCTAGCATGGGATCGCATCAAAAGATCCTGATGCACGTTGACGCCGGCCATAACCACGGCGCCGTGTGGTGTTCGACGACTTTATCGTATCCTTTGGCACTACGGCTGCGTTGAGCCGGGCGGAAGACTGAGGTTCCGGGCATCGGTTGCGATCTTGCTCAGCTTCGCTTCTGTTCGATACGTGAAACTCGATCGTGCTTGTGGCTGCCAGCTGCTGCCGTTGCATAGCCTACGAGGCGTCGTCGAGAACTGTGGATGGCTTGCACTAACCCATGGAGCTGTAAAATTGAACATCGTCATTGTTGGCTATGGGGCGTTTCTGTTGTCTTGAGAACAATTCTAATGAGTTGAATTCCTGGCCGTGATATGAGCAATGGCAGATGCGTCTTCTGGCCGTGATGAGATGTTGACATGCTCAGCTCTTCGTGCATGATAAGATATGTGACAGTTGCCAAAGATGCCCACATCACGTCGCGCACTTGTCATTCCTACCCGTGCACTCAGCAACGGTCTGACTGACTGATTGACTCTTGACAGACATCTGTATGTGTGATCAGACTAGCTATCAGGTTAGATACGCGCCTAAGAGTGTTCCGGACTAGCAGACCGATGAAGAAAAGGGGAACCGCTCTTAGCGTAAGAACCGCACGTACATAAGCCTTTGGTGGCTGATCCGATGTTCTGTGCAACAATAATAGTCTTTTTTTAGTCCCACACAGCCAGATTAATGTTCGGATTCCCCTGAAACGGGACGCCCGCCAGCCCGAGCGAAGACGCCCCCTCATTGGCTTACCTATGGAAGAGCAGACACGATCCCGAGTTTCCCGATGGGTATGGTCGTCTGTGACAGCTTGACACTCAAAGGAGGGTTATATCGCCAGAGTCGTGGAAGCGGTCCGGTCCACGGCATGCATCTATACACTTGATCTTTCCCTCTGGATGGTGCTTTGGGGTGGGATTTCAAGCATCATCTTTCGTTACAGATACGTTGATGGCGGTCTTTGTCTCTCAAACTTCGGGGCGGGAACTGTTTCCAAAGGGTCGCTGTTGAGGGAGTGTGGCGATCGATTCTGGAGGAAATCACCAGTGCTTTCTACTCCTAAAGAAGTTGACTGATGATGAGAAGCAGCCTGACGATGGCTTGTCAATCTCCTAGCTATTGAAACTACATGACTGTGTAGGTTGAACCGCAGTATCTTGACGACTAACCCCATGGATCTCATTTCTTGCATTAAGGTAGAACAACGAGTTACAGCTGTAGATGTAGACCGTCTCTTTATGCGATCAATCATCTGCAATAGAGCTAACCTGTTGTCTATACGCTTTCGCGCTTGACAACTAACTCATCTTACTCGGTTCCAATGTCATGGAAATTTATCCTATGATAGATTTGACCCGCCGTAGGTGACAACTCCGGGGACTCCGAGATCAGAAGCTACCAATGGTACATCTTGGCCATTCGGCCTCAGAAGGACTCGTGCTATGTCCCCGTCGGCCATGTATACTATTGCATGCGGACGTAAGGCCTCCCTCAGTGAAGTACCCCATCTGGTTAACATTATGTTGCATTGTAACCGCTGCTTTCGATCCGCCAGTGATCTCGGTTTCGGTTTCACTAGAAGCTTTGCAAAGAACTGCGGAGTTGAGTGACTGCGGACTTTTGTGACGCGGAGTTGAGAAGCGGCGGAGTTTACACTTTCTCGTGAATACGCTCGCGTTGTCGAATGTAATAACCCCTTATGTAGCACAGTGGTCCAAACTATAGTTCTCTCAAAGGCCGTTCCTCACCAGCAATCCGCAACGACGGCCTCGTCCTGCACGACAGTCCACGTCCAAGAAGCAAACGACGCCTAGTTGACCCAAATTGACGGGACCAATCATCATGGTTCAAGTTACCGTGGCGGGCGGAGTTTCCTGTAAGATAACCCAACTAAGTCGGCCAGCACGAGGGTCCTAACGTGTAATAGCGATTGCCCGCGTGGTAATCGACGCCATCCTGGAAAAGAAGAAACACCGTGTAACTTCACTTACAAGCCAGGTCAGTGAGAAATCCTCAGCCGGTAGATGATACTGAAGAGATAAAAGGAGGTTGACTCGGTGGATGAGAACGGCATCCATTGGAAACATGCCGATTACGACAATAAGTCCGACCTAGTCAATATCCTACGCGGCACTGACGTCCTACTGTGCTTCTTCTCAGCGAGAGACACTGCCACAGTCGCCCGCAGGCAGAAGAACCTCATCGACGCCGCCGTCGAAGCCGGAGTGCGTCGTTTCGCCCCCGCCGAGTATGCTGGGTAAGTAGAAGAGACACTTGACATGAACATAGAATCCTGCGTTGACTCGAAATCTCTACAGCCGCAACTACAACGGCATGGCCATGTTCGAGTTCAAGGACGACGTGAGAGAGTACCTCGAAGCTTTGAACAGACACGAAGGCAAGAACGGGTATCCCGGCTGACCCGACTTCCCTCGAACGCTGACGCATGTGTTCCGAAAGGTCCTCGAGTATTCCCTCTTCCAGACGGGCATCTTCACAAACGAGTTTGCGTATCCGCACAAGACGGCCACGCACTTCGAGCCGCTACGCATGTACGTCGACTTCGAAGCTCGCAGGGCGATTCAGCCCGGGGCTGGAGACCATACGATTACCCTGACGACTGTGGAGGACATCGCGGCGGTGGTGGCCGAGGCAGTGGAGTTTGAGGGGGAGTGGCCGCGTGTCGGAGGGATTTGTGGTTCAAGGCTCACGGTGAATGAGTTAATTCGGCTCGGGGAGAGCGTCAGGGGTGAGATTTTCTCGATTATTCGGGAGCTTGATGTCGGCAACTGACACTTTTCAGGACCCTTCGTGGTGGAAACGGTGGACGAGGAAGCGGTCGAAGCGGGCAGGTTGACTACGTCGTGGTACCCGCTCATCGAGCACGCTGGAGTACCTGAGGGTCGGAAGGAGGAGCTGTCTAAGTTGGCGAGTCTGAACTTTCTGAAGGCCACGATCAATGGCTCGTGGAACGTGTCGGAAGAGTGGAACAATCTGCTTCCGCATATTCAGTTCACGGATGCTAGGAGGTATTTGGCGCAAGTCTGGGAAGACAAACTTTGAGCTCTACCGGTAGTCCTGAGGAAGTATATAAGAACTAGGTCTGTGTGACTAAGTCCGCTTCCTCAACAAGACAATATGGAGTGGGCCTTTATCCGCTTTTGACAAGCCAGGACCATTCTAGTCAATGCCTCAGATGAGGCGACCTTGTAGAGGGAGGTATCGGATGTTTATGCTCCCGGACACTCAACTTAACGTCTCCCTCAGGTATCACGTTCCGTATACCTGCAGAACAGAATCAAACACCAGAAGTAGCAGTGTTTGCTCTTTTACACCTCTAGAGAACGATGTGCTCGCATCGCATTGAAGTATGGCATGCCTTGATGGTAACGGTGAAGGACGAGCAACATGGATTGGGATTTCCTGACGATCCACCTCCTCACTATTTAGAGCACCTCATTTATCCTTCCCCCGGTATTTGCACAGACAGTACTGACTTCGGTAATCCAAGTCCGACGTGGTGACGAATATCGGTCACGGGCTGTCCCCGACACAACGGTCATGAAGACTTTTTGGCCAAGTAGACACTACGAACTCCAGGGAATACCTAGATACCATTGGCGGATTGAACATCAAACACACTTGGACATGTTGGAAAACCTTGGTCCAGTTTGTTGAGAGCGATAACATTTCATCTGTAAGATGCAGATGAAGTCCAGATGAGATATAACACTGTGAATTCCGGTATAAATTGTGGAACCCGCGCATAGGCTTTTTAACAGAAGTCGCCGTCAGTGGATGCAGATGATCATTTGAGTTATACTCGTTTTCGAACCGCTCGTTGCTGGTTCATCACTCTGCCAGCTCTGCCACGCCAGTCGAAACGGCCGTCTCGCCAACATCGGTTCCGTGGATGTGGTTGGCAGGTGAGTAACCAAGGGACGAGGGATAACTCGTATAAGCTGCAATGAATGAAGGACAACAGGGACGATAAATGCCTAAGATTGGAGTGTCTCCAAGCTGGGCTTCCAGCAAAATAGGATGACCACGAAAGAACCGAACCGTCTGCAGCTAGCCAAGCAAGAGAAAGCCTGGCAATCAAGCCTGACAATGGTAGATTCTTCGAAATCGGATAATGGCGTGGGATTAACAACGCCTTTAAAAGGATCATTTTACGTGACATAATACCTTGTTGAATAACAGAAAGACTCCAATTACTTGATATGTGTCTTGTCGATGATGGCGCTGAAGGGGAGCGTTTGGAGCATATGTGGCAAATCAGCCAATCAGAAGCTCGCATTCCAACCTTTCGCGGATGGCGGGGTCCGCTTGTCACTGCATCTCCCCAGCTCTCCCCAGCTCCATCAAACAAAGACTCAAGATCCTCCACCACACCTCACTCATACACTCACTCATCATTCCTCAATCTTCTCATCTCATCGTCAACTTACATATACCCGGGAGAAGCCATATCACAACCCTCACTCGCAATCATCCAGAGTCTCGAATCCAAGAGCGTACAGAACCCCTCATTACCCCTCCAAACCCACCACACACCAAAAAATGTCCCACTGCCACGACGAACACGACCACAGCCACGGCGGCCACGGCCATGACGAGCACGACCACTCGGACGACATCACCCCGGCCCTTCAGCACTCCCTCTACGGCCACGTCAACTTCGACGATGTGACGGCCCTCAACGAGTCGCAGATCGGCAGCGCCAAGGCCGTCGTCAAGAAGACCTGGGCCGAGCGGCTCGAGGCCGAGCCCGAGGTTGTTAGTGATGCGGACGAGCAGTTGTTGGTCAACGTCCCGTGAGTCCAACCCCTTCTTTTTTCATTTCGTATAAATATGCATCACGCCTCAGATCCCGTTTTCAATGAAATCTCATTCTCACACCAACTCTCATCCTCATCATCCCTCGCACCACAAATTGCCTTCTCTAACACAACACACTAACACAAAACGCCAGCTTCACCGGCCAGGTAAAACTCCACGCCCTCCTCCTGCGCACCTCCGACTCCCCCTCGGCCCCGCGCACGCTCAAGGTCTTCATCAACCGCGACGACCTCGACTTCGCCACGGCCGAGGACGCCTCCGCGACCCAGGAGTTCGAGCTCTCGCGCACCGCCCAGGTCCAGGAGATCCCCGTCAAGCGCGCCCTCTTCGGCCGCGTCCAGCGCCTGACCCTCTTCTTCGTCGACAACTTCTCCGACGGCGACGAGGACGAGACACACGTCAGCTACCTCGGCTTCAAGGGCGAGTGGATGCAGCTCGGCCGCGCCCCGACGAATATCATCTACGAGGCCGCCGCCAACCCGGGGGACCACAAGCTCAAGGGCACCGGGATCAACCAGGTCGGCGGGGGCATCGGGGGACGGCAGTGATGAGGAGGTGAAGACTGGCGGCGGTGGAGGTAGATGGGTAATGTTTGTTCACGGTGATCACGAAGGATTGGGAGGGAGGAAAAGGACGGTTTCCAAAGAGAAAGAACTGGGGGGTATTCTGGTATCTCCAACAAGCCTAGCGCTACGGCATAGAAAAACACACACGCTAATAATGACCTGGAAAAATATAAACAACACTGCACCAAAAAAGACGATCGCCACCCGTTCCAACCGCCGCTGTTTAGAACCCGGATTTCCTCTTCCCCTTCTTCTTGGGCGACCGCATCCCGTGTCGTCCGGCGAGGGGCTGCGACATGACCTGCGGTATCTGTGACGACATGACGGGCTGCGACGAGCGCACGGGCGAGAACTGGCTGGACTCGATGACGGGCGGCGCGAGCTTCGGCAGGGGCTGCGTCGCGGGCTCCGGCTGCGTCGCGGGTTCCGAGTCCTCCATCTCGTCCTGCGTGGTGCCGCCGCCGCCCTGCGAGGAGACGGGCGCCTGCGAGCTGCCGCCGTAGAGCTGGGACTTGCGCTTGCGGCGGCGGGATTCGACGCGTTCGCGGCGCTCCTTGATGGCGTCGATGTGTTTGGTGGAGGAGGCGAGGACGGAGGAGACGTAGTCGTCTGTGGGGACGCCGCGCTTGGCGGGCCAGTAGGAGAGGACGGAGTGCTGGCGGGCCGGGGCGTCTGTCGTGTTGATGTCTGCGGCGAGCATGCTCAGGCGCGAGAGGGCTGTCGATGCGGCCTCGGCGGCGGCGGCGGCGGTGTCTCGGGAGGCGGCGGCTGAGGATTGGGGTGCGGAGGAGGAGAAAGGGTTTGAGGAGAAGGGGTTCGAGGATGAGAAGGGCTGCGAGGAGTGTTTTGCTGGGGACATTGAGCCGCGGGGTTTCAGGGGTGACATGGAGAGTCTGGGCTTGATTGGCGACATTGTGACACGGGATGCCTTGACTGGGGACATTGAATTTCGTGGTTTAAGAGGAGACATGGAGAGTCGTTGACTGCCGAGCGAGGATCTCTGGCTGGACATGGAAAGTCGCTGGCTTGATTGCTGTGGTGGTAGGTCGGGTGGTGTTGGGACCCAGGTGGCGGGCTCGTCTTCAACTGTCAGAAGCTTCTCGTCGAGAACGGCGACACCGAAAAGGGATCTAGCGATGGCTTCGGCCGTCTCGGCGAGGACGACGCTGCGGGAGTGATGTGCTCGCGGGTTGAGGTCGGCTGTACCCCAAAGCTGTTCGAGTTGGTGCCGAATGTCTGCCAACGGGGTGGTTGTGTCGGCACCCCGTAAAAGGTGTGTTGCAAATGGTTGGGCAACGATTCGTTGATCGTACGTGGCAAAAAGCTCCTGGAGACGTGAGTCCCATGCTGCTATGGCCTCTCCGTCCATCGGAGGCGCTTCGAAAGCTACTTCGTATTCGTGCCTTTTAACCGTTAGCGAGCTGCACATGTCTCTTCCGCTTCGTTTCAGACTTACAAAGTGTGCAAAGGAATGTAACCGCCCTCGGTCTCCAGGCAGTTCATCGTCGCCTCGTAGATGGCTTCGAATACGGAAAGAGGGCGCTCGATATTAGGGGTCTCAGCAGCCTCGATGATCGAGTCGATCGATACAGCAATACGGGATGCAAATAGGTCGAAGTTATGAGTTCGTGGCCACCGCTGCTGGATCTGTTCGTCTTTAACATCCCGAGTCTGTTCCAATATTTCCTGGTACCGATTGGCGCGACGCTGTACCAGCTCGTCCATGTCGCCCAGGCCATCCGGAACCACGAATGTGTCGCCGATGTAGTGAAGGAACTGCTTCCTTCTTTTCCGGTGCGCTCGCCTCTGGGCATTTTTTGACCAGTCACGACTGTTGTCAGGAGGGACGACCTCAAGATCCCGGGCGGATGAAAAGGCCATGAGCGTTTGGTTCATACCAAGGTCCCTTCCGAGGATGAAGAGCTGTTGGAATCCGACTTCGCGATTCCGGTACTCCGCACCTAGACCGGCGTCCGAATCTGATGACTCCGGCATGAAGCGGGCTGGAGTAGGGCACAACGTGTGCATCTTAAGCGGCCTGTCGGTAGACCCATTTTCAACCCTCATCATGTAATGCTGGAATTGTGGTAGCCCGGTCTCCTCGGGCACGGAAAGCCAAAACAGCTCGACTTCCGGAGACTTCTCAGAGTAGAGGTATGCGATACAAGTCTCTTTGCCCCGTTCATGTCCTCTATGGTGAACCGTAAGCTTGAGACTGTCGGCATCTGAGCCCCTGAGATGTGCGAATGACTGAAGTGTGGAAATATCGCCCGTCTTGTACCCAGCAGCTGCCTCGGATGAAGTTTCAATCCAGAACAACGCTGATGTTGTCAGAACAATCACCTGAGTTCTGTTCACAGGATTCGGCTTTACGTCGAGAATGTAATCCGCTTCATTCGTCTTCAGTACCGGCAAGGTTTTTCGAAAACTTGGATCTTTTAAGTCGATCACCTCGAACCGAGTGCGATTCCACAGCAGGAGCTTCTTAGACAGCGCAGTGAGAGCAGCCAGGTCGTTCTCAGTGTTGAGCTCCTCGATGGAGTGAACGTCCCAGAGGTCCACGCCCATACCGGCGGGGCCGATCCACAACACACCATGAGGCTCTGAGCGGAAAGCTGGCGAGTCTTCGTCTGGCAGTTGATCCGTGACACCCAGTTCAATGTGGCCGCAGTGTCTCAGCTTCGCACGCTTGCTGGTGGAACCTACCATGTCTCGGCCCTTGATATCCCAGACACTGTAGTAGCCACACTCGTCGATGATGGCAAGTTGTGGAGGTTTCCGTTGAGATCCGTACCTGAACGAAACGTCGGAGTGGGCAAAACCTCCCGTCTGTTCTGAGGTGATGGTCAAGATAGGCTTCGGGTTGACTCGGGAGGGGCGTTCGATAGCCCTGGCGATCCCTGGCGGACGCTCCGAGACTGGGATTCGGTGGTATTCCGGTTGAAGTATCGTGGTCGATGTCCTCTTCTGAATGAGAAGCCATCGTGTAGGCTCGAATCGTACCAGACTGAGCGCGGGCTTGATCTGTTGAATAGGGGCACCGTCGCTTGACCAAAGTACTGTTTCCTCCCTGTCCTGCTGATCGACGTTCAATAGCTGTAAGCTGGGATTCTCGTGCTCGCCCCACTGCCATTTCGTCTCGTTCAATTTGGAAAGCCGAAGGAGCTCACCCGACTCGCCCGTGGCCATGGCGAGCACAGGAACCGGATGGACGCGGGTGTGGTTGCTAACGTCCGCCATCTGGCTGATGGCCATGAGCGGCTGCGCCGAGGGGGCTGCAGCTTCGGGCTGCATGATCTGAGAGAGGCCCTCGGCTAAAAAGCCGGTGGCTTCGGAGCTGCCTATGAAAGCTTCCGGGTGGGCGTTGAATAGCCATCGTCTCTGCACTCGCTGCGAATCAAAAACCGTCGATGCCGGCGCGGTCTCCGTCGAACGAGTGGGAGGGTACCACGCCTCCAAAGGCTGGATGATGCGGAGTGCTTGAGCTGTCGAGGCGTTAGCATCGTGAGATCAAGGCGTCGGTGGCTGACGTACGCTGACTCGGAAGACGACTCGCGTGCAGTTGAGGCGGTCCTGCCTCAAGACCTTCATGAGGGATGATTGTGATTCTCGGAGGGCCGTACAAGCGGCTGGTCTCCTCCCGTTCGTCAGCCATTAGACCCAGTTGTTTCCCTTAGATCCAAGCTATGTGTCCGTGAGAAATTGAGCATATCGTGAGAAAGTGACGGCGTGTGTTGCATCATGCGAAGGGTGGTGATGATCGGAGTCGGTCGGACGGTGTGCGATCATGGACCATACGGCTGCCTGATGATGGGAAATAAGATCCAAAAAGAAGCAGGCGTCAAGAAGCAAATGCCGGCGATCGCAGCAAAATTGGTGTCATAACGATATGTGACGGTTAAGACATGCGATTGAGACTGAGAAGTGAAAAAGTTCGGTTCGTCGCGGCTCTCAGCGCGAGTGCGACGCCCATTTCCGGTAGTTGCCCACTTTGAACCAGCTAATCCCTGCACTATGGCTTTGTTCCATTGTCCCAGCGCGTCGGACGCGTTTTGGCGCCGAAGTGGTGCCCCGCTTCCACTCACGGCCCAAAGTGAACCTCATCCACTCCACCGAGTGTGCAGCCGTCCGTCTCATCCTCCACTCTGGACGAACCATCGGCGAGAATTCGAGACCGAGGATTGCAGTCGTCCAAAATGCCCGTCGACGATAGAACCGGCAAGCAGGCTGCTGCACAGCAAGCCGTCGACATCCTCCACGAAATCTCAGTCATCCTCGTTAGTTGGGCCAGTCATGCCTCGCCTTTGGGACTTCATGCTAACGGTTTGCATGTGAAGAACTGTCACCTGGACCGCCGCACACTCTCTATCTGCATCTCCATGATTGAGAACGGCGTCAACCCTGAAGCTCTCGCCGTAAGTGGATAGATGAACTCTGGGGAGACTTTAGCTCACGTCGCATTATTAGACCGTTGTCAAAGAGCTGAGAAAGGAGGCTCAGGAGGTCGATGCTCAGGTTGCTTCGCGACGCAGATAACACTACATACCCCCAGGGTCCTCGTTATGACGGTTATGATGCAGGGAAACGGACAGGATGGGAGTGATCATTGGACGGCGTTCTTTGGCTTTGGGTCTTGCTCAGTATCACATTCTACTATTATGGAAACTTAATACCCAGTATCCGCGGGTTTACCAAATTCAGTATCCCGCTCCAGGCCAGTAAAATCATCCTACTTAAAACGCCAGCATCCGTATCCAACCGAACACTATGCCCGCCTGTCAAACCATGACCTATGATACCCGTATGTCCAGACTATGATACCTTCACATACCCTTTGCGCCGTTCTTTGTGTTGCCCCACAATCTGGCAGACAAGCTTCATGATTCGTCATATGATAAAAACACCGCTCGATCAACGATGACCGATGAGCATGAAATCATCATCTTCATCGTCCTCATCGTCATCCTCTTCCTCTTCAGTCGACATAGACTCACTCTCCTCCTCCTCTTCTTCCTCCTCCTCGTCCTGCCTCTGGTCCCTACGCCAAAGGTTAAGTATGTCCATTTCGTTTTCATCCTCTTCAACGAGGAATGGAGCAAAGGTGGGAAGCGAACCCGGCCCAGGTGTTTGGTCACCTGCCCTAGTCAGTCGGTTCAATGCCACCATTCGTGCCTCTGGTCCAGCGTGAGACGAATGTCTTCGCCGACCACTCAGAGTAGGTTGACTGGCCCCAGTGGGGGCAGCAGCCTCAGCGGCTGCCGGGCTGGGCTGAGCCTGGCCGGGAACTGCCGGCGTGGAAGGAGCTCCTTGCCTGCCTCCACTCATTTGCAGTTCGACGGTGTTGTACGAGGTGCAGATGGCGCATTTGAGGCCCAACCAGTGATAGGGCACCGAACTTCGTCCACTGCAGTCATTACAAAGGACAGTGGCACGAGTGTCCCGAAATTCCGGTGGCATTGGCTGGCTCAGGATGGCCAGTTCTAACTGGCGGAATTGACTTTCCATGTTCAGTAAACTCTTGTTGCAAATAGGACATTTGTATGACCGCTGCAAATGTTCGTCGTAGCATCTTGAGTGAATGCTGTGACCGCAAGGCATGAACACGACCGGTTTAGGAGAGGTGAACAGATAGTCGCCGCAAATTGGACAATCGCAGTCGGTCGAGCGCTCGATGCACTTGTGCGAGTGTTGGATTGATACTGAGATGCATGCGCAGCATTTCTAAGGGCTGGTCAGTGACGGTTCGTGAGGCTCAATGATGGTAAAATTACCTTGCAGTGGAAGAAGTCCTTCCCAATACCCCTTCCCTTCCTGCAAATGCCACATTCGTCGCAGTGATAAATGCCCTTGGCCGGGTGGTCGTCCCACAGCTTGCACACGTTACAGTAATAGCGGGCTGCTGTCACGCCACAGCAACCGCAAGTATCTGACGCTGGTTGGGGAGTCCAACACAGCATACAGAGCATGTTCTTGGTCTCCTTCCTTATCAGGGTATGGTCCTCCACGCTGTCGTGACAAAATCGACAAGTGTACCACTTCTGGCAGGTCGAGCACTGCAGCTTGACATTGCGCATGTAGTGTTGGCAACCGAGTACCATCTCTCCGTCGGATTTGTCTCTCATTGTGAGCTTCGGCGGGGCGTAGGTCGGCCGAAGATCTTCATCATTCAAGTAGACCGGCTCCGGACGGTTCGAAGGCTCGCCCACTTTATGGTTCCAAAACTTCAAAGAGTCGAGTGGCCCCGGGCCTATTGGCAGTGATTCTTGCCACGCCGCGCCTTGTGGTAGAGACTCGACGGCCGAATCGGCTGGGAGGGGAGCAATCCGAGACTTGCGGTAGCTCTCCATCAGAACCTCGTGCATTCGTTTGGCCTTTTCCTCGGCCGGTATTTCTTCGGTCTGAATGCTGATGAGGCGCTTGCGCAATGCGCCCATGCCATCGTCGGCCGGCAGGGCCACACTCGTGGGTACTTGCATCGGAATCGTCATAGGAGGGGATTCGGTAGGCGCAGGCGCAGGTGGTGGAGGCACCAGGGGCTGCTCTGGTTCGACGGAAATCGGCGAGGATGTTTCTTCGAGATGTCGATGTAAAGGTGAGTCTAGAGCTGGAGGCGCATCGGTCGCGTGCCGGGGGACGGAAGGTTCCGTGTCACTTGCGACGGCGACGCTGTCGGAGGAGGGGTTCCCTGCGGGGACGGGTGCTCGTCTCGAAATCTCAGAAAAGCGGCGTGCTTGCCGGAGGACTGGATTGATGATGAGATTGGAGACCAATGAAGGCATTTGGGAATGGGTAGTCTGCTGAGGTAGTTTCAGTTCGAAAAGCCGAGCTGGCTACGCAGAAAGTGACACTCGTATGTTCGGCTCTGCGCTCATTCAGGGCGAAGTTTGCGAAGGAGGGGGAGCGCAGAGAGGTCGGGGAAGCTCGGACAAGATATACAATATGGCTGCGGTGGTAGTGGTGGTGGCCGTGGCGGCAGGAATAAGAAGGTGGTGGTAGTAGTGTCGGCGGAGGTGCTGGGCGGTGGTGGTACGGTCCCGGTCGATTGGATGCAGAAGAGATGACATAAGATGGTCTCGACCTGTAGTCCGCTGGCTGTCGTCGGCGGCGGCGTTCGGAGGAGTGGACGCAGTGGAGAATCCAGTGCGGTAAGCTAAGTCAGGCCAAGACCAGACAGAGGACGACTTGAGGCCTGGGACAAGGTCTAGCACAAGTGTCGGAGAGTCGAAATCTGCACCGCAATGGGGACGATTGAGTCGCTAGCGAATTCGATTTGACAGATCAACCCAGACATGACCGGGAGGGGAGTCGGGAGCTGTACGGAGCGGACGGGAAAGGACAAAAGACATGTGATGGGCCTAACTGGCGATGCCGCATGCGGCTTGCAGAGGCTGGACGGGCGGGGCTGATTGGCCGCGCCGGGTCCGGGACAGGCGATGACCCCCTTTTTTTTCCAGAGAGTGAAGAACACCGCCAGTCGGGTGAGGTGTTCCTCAGGCAAGATGGTGCCTGATTATCTAAGACAGCATGAGATATGGGGAACCTGAGAAAAGAAGCAATCGAGAGACCCGTCCTCCTTTTTCTTCTTCGTCTGTCCGCCATTCACCACTTTATCTCGACGCTTTTTTTCATAAGTAACCATCCACGAACACATCCGGGTCATGAGCCCACCCACCGCCGATTTCTGCGTTGCACCGTAAGGTACGGGTACCGTACGGGCAAGGAAGACACGCGGTGGATGGGAGATGCGCACTGGCATTCCCGGTTGGGTCCGAAAACAGGGGCTCCACCCACCGGCCCGGAATGGTTAGCGCCGTCAGAGCTAAGAGCGGCTTTGGGAGCCACAGCTGTCAACCTGAAGACAAGACATTGTGCTTCTGACGCTTCTTACGTGGGCGTTGGCCTGTGTGCTCTTTGTGCCTGGTGCCAGCTTCGAACGGAGGTGGATGATGACGGCTACCCCGTTGTAGCTTGAGACTAAGGTAGGAGGTATTAGTGAGCAAGGTGAGGCGTAGAGGAGAAGCATAGCTGTTAGCTCAGCTCCGGTAGAAGACAGAACTCAATAACGCCACTACAAAATATCATCACCTCTCAAATGCACATCTCAAGTGCAACGTTCGAATCCTAGATGCAGCCTGGAAGGATGCTCGATATAGGAGGCTGATCACACAGCGGGCGACGATGCACCGTGGGGACTTTAGGGGGAGGCAGCTGTGGGGGCAGGGGGGGTTCTGATCAATGATGGAGGGGCCATGTCGGACCCCTTAGGGGCCATTCAGACCATTCAGGCCCTTCCATCGAGAAGCGGAATGCGTGTCCCCATCCTCCAGGCGTCGAGCTTCCTGTCATCACCCAATAGCATCCTCGGAATCAACCGGCCGGTGCCCAGGAACTGGCTTCGCGTAAAGTGCGGGTTGGTCTGGAAGGGAGGGATACCGTGTCGGTTGGTGCATAGGTGGCATTTATTTCGTGTTCCGCAAGGGGGCGCTCCTACCTAGCCAGCCCAGCTCCCGATTTAGCAGTCCTCACCAGAAATTCCCCCGTCATCTCATTGCCCAGGTCCATATTAATTGGATGATTCCCTTCGCTTCAGCTGTCCTGAATCTGATCTCCGGTCCCTCCTACCGTAGCAGCAACTTCACCTTCTTTTTGATGAAGAGCTGGATATCCCAAGGCCCCGGAAGCACGGCATTCACTGATTGAGTTGCTGCTTCATTCGCCTCTGCGGTACCTTCTTACCGATTTCTCCAACCGGGGAATTTCAGGTCCTACTTTTTTATTTATTTTTACACTTTTTTTTTTTTTAGTCTTGACTCGTCCGATCCTTAACGCGGAAAGCTCAGAGCTCCTGTTCTTGGAGCTTGACTCTCTCGTCCTCACTACCACACACCCCCCTAAACCGCGTTCGTCAAGACTTCGGCTTTTCCGTCTGTCAGACTCAGTAAGTCGGCTGCCTCAGCATTCCAGATACCCTCATTCTCGCCGTTTGCTGACGTTGTTCTGCGCAGACATGGCCGAGAAAACAGTCGTCGCGTCCGGCGCAGACGTCGGCGATGGCGTCAGACGACGAGCCGCGCCCCAGGGCCAGGCAGTTCCCCTCACGGCTGCCCCTGAAGTCGATGATAAGAAGAAATACGCCAAGAAGGTAAGCAGCTCCTGTTTTGCACCATGCCTCGTCCGCGCCCGCGAGCTGCATGCTGACGATTGGCCTTCCAGCAAACCTCCTTCCTCGACGAGTGGGAGGTTGTCATCGCCCCCCTCATCTTCACGGCCGTCGCACTCTTCACCCGCCTCTGGAAGATTGGCCTTAGCGATATTGTCACCTGGGACGAGGCACACTTTGGCAAGTTCGGAAGCCACTACATCAAGCATGAATACTACTTCGACGTTCACCCGCCCCTGGGCAAGATGCTCGTCGGTCTCTCTGGAGTCCTCGCCGGTTACAATGGATCCTTCGAGTTCAAGTCTGGCGAGAAATACCCCGAGGATGTCGACTACACCTTCATGAGAGCCTTCAACGCTCTCTTCGGCATCGTCTGCGTCCCCATGGCCTACTTCACCGCCCGCGAACTGAAGCTGAGACGCCCCGCCGTTTGGCTCGTCACCCTGATGGTCCTCTGCGACAACTCCTACACCACCATCAGCCGCTTCATCCTCCTCGACTCAATGCTGCTCTGCGGAACTTTTGCCACAGTACTCTGCTGGTCCAAGTTCCATAACCAGCGCCACAACTCCTTCGAGCCCGAATGGTTCTTCTGGCTGTTCATGACCGGTCTCAGCATTGGCTGCGTCTGCAGTGTCAAGCTTGTCGGTCTGTTCGTCACTTCTCTCGTTGGTCTGTACACCATTGAGGATTTGTGGAACAAGTTCGGAGATATTCGAATGCCTGTTACCACTCTGGGTGCCCATGTTGCTGCCCGCGTGGTCGGCCTCATCATACTCCCGTTCCTCGTGTACATGCTCACCTTCGCGATGCACTTTGCCATCCTGGACCACACCGGCCCCGGTGACGCCCAGATGAGCTCCCTCTTCCAGGCCAACCTCAAGGGTACCGAGGTCGGAAAGAACAGCCCTCTCGAGATCGCCTACGGTTCGCGCGCCACGATCAAGAACATGGGATATGGAGGTGGTCTGCTTCACTCTCACGTTCAGACCTACCCGGAGGGCTCTGGTCAGCAGCAGGTCACCTGCTACCACCACAAAGACGCCAACAACGACTGGTTCTTCTACCCCAACCGCCACGACCAGGACTACGACGCCGAGGCTCCTCCCCGCTTCATCGCTGACGGCGAGACCATCCGTCTGATCCACGCCCAGACTGGCCGCAACCTCCATTCTCACGAGATCGCTGCTCCCATCACCAAGGCTGACAAGGAGGTCTCTTCCTACGGCAACCTGACTATTGGTGATGACAAGGACCACTGGAAGGTTGAGGTCGTTCGTGATGTCGCCTCGCGCGATCGCAGCCGTATTCGCACTCTGACCACCGCTTTCCGCCTCAGACACCCCGTCCTCGGCTGCTACCTCCGCGCTGGAAATGTGAACCTGCCTCAGTGGGGTTTCAAGCAGATCGAGGTCACCTGCACCAAGACCAACAACCCCAAGGACACTTACACCCACTGGAACGTCGAGGCTCACTGGAACGACAAGCGTAAGTCACTATCGGCGTAACCCCTCGAGAATCCCATTGCTAACTCGAACATAGTGCCCCCTGCCGACGCCGGAAGCTATAAGTCTCCCTTCATCCACGACTTCATCCACCTCAACGTCGCCATGATGACATCCAACAACGCGCTCGTTCCCGACCCCGACAAGCAGGACGACCTTGCATCTCAGTGGTGGCAGTGGCCCATCCTGCACGTCGGCCTGCGCATGTGCGGCTGGGACGACAACATCGTTAAGTACTTCCTGCTCGGCAACCCCCTGGTCTACTGGGGCACCACCGCCGCCCTCGGCGTCTTCGGCCTCGTGGCCGTCTGGTACCTTGTCCGCTGGCAGCGTGGCTACGACGACCTGAGCGAGAAGGAGCTCGACCAGATCCACTACGCCGGAGCGTACCCCGTCGCCGGCTGGGTCCTCCACTACCTGCCCTTCATCGTCATGGCTCGTGTTACTTACGTCCACCACTACTACCCGGCCCTCTACTTCGCCATCCTCACCTTCGGCTTCCTGGCCGACTGGTTCCTGCGCAACAAGAACCAGGCCATCCAGTACGGCGTCTACGGCGCCCTCTACGTCACCATCATCGGCCTCTACATCCTCTTCAGCCCCATCTGCTTCGGCATGACGGGCCCCAACAAGCAGTACAGCTACATGAAGTGGTTCGACACCTGGAGAATGTCCGACTAAAGTTACTCTCGTGGAAATCTAAGGTGGATCAGACGGTCCATGGTTGGACCTTGTACTTGGAATGACGAGAAAAGATTCATTCTACCCAACTCTTTGTAAGGATATGGCGAAAGAAAAGCGGCAGCATACGGACTTTAGAGCTTGGGTCACGTAGTGGAAGAAAGAAGGCGGAAGAGGCTTCCGTATATAATGCAACATGAAACCGTTTCTTTGTTATTTTTGATGTACCAGCCAGCCGAGGCCCGTATGCCATGCGTGAGCGTGAACGCGTATTACAATTATAGTACTAGTACAAGGATGGACGAGAGAAGTCATTCAAAACTCATACTTGCTGATGACCTGACCTTGGGTATCACTGTCCTTCCCGTGTACGTTTGGTTGTTTTGTCCCACCTGATGGAAAGGGCCCTGCCTAACAACAGCCGCCACCCGATCCCTTGTTTCCGTCGCCGCCTAACCTGACTTGCTTGTTCCCGCCGGCGGCCGGCCCCTTGACGCCGGAGCGGCGGTCGTTGAGGTCGTACTTGCCGGCCTGGATGTTGTTGTATATCCTCTCGGCGACCCTCATGAAGGCCTTCTCGACGTTCTCGCCGCTCTTGGCGCTCGTCTCGACGTACTCGAGGACGCCGTTCTTGCGGGCCCAGTCCTCGGCCTCCTCGCGGGTGACCTCGCGCTTGTTGTCGGCCTCCTGGGTCAGGTCCGCCTTGTTGCCGACGAGGATGACGACGATGTCGGGCTCGGCGATCTGGCGCAGGTCGTTGAGCCAGTCGGTGACGTGCTGGAAGGTCTGCTTGCGGGAGAGGTCGAAGACGAGGAGGGCGCCGCTGGCGCCGCGAAAGTAGGAGCGGGTGACGGACTTGTACGTCTCCTGGCCGGCCGTGTCCCACAGGCTGAGCTTCATGTGCTTCTGGGGGGCGTCCGGGTCGACGGGCTCCGGGGCGAGGCGCGGGGGTTCGGGGAGGCCGTTCGGGGAGGCAGCTGCGGCGGCGGAGGAGGTCGAAGAGTCGTTCGTCCTCTGGGAGGCCGGGCGCTGGGCGGGCGGCGGACGGGGCGCGGGTTGGTTCTTGGGGGGCCCGACGGGGACGATGCGGGAGCCGAACTCGACGCCGATGGTCACGTCGTGGTGGGGGGAGAAGCGGCCCTCGCAGAGGCGGATGGTGAGGCTGGACTTGCCGCAGCCCGAGTCGCCGATGCAGACGAGTTTAGCGATGTAGTCCCATGGTGGAGACGACATGGCACTTGGGTTGGTTCCGTGATATGTGCGTGTGCGTTGAGCGTATGTGCGTTTTTGCGTACGCCACGGGAGGGGGGCGGGAAAAGGGAGGAATTGGAAGAGGGGATGGGGATTTTCGGAAGGGTCTGTGGTTTGTGTTTGTCTGCGTGTGTCTCTGATATTTTTTCGGTGTCGTGCCCCCGGGTCTCCGTCGAGGTTAAAGGTAATGATGATTCGAATGTTGGATGGACGGGTGTGTTTCGCTGGTTGGTCTGATGTCGGGGAAGCTTCAGAGCACTAGCTATCGGGTGGTTTGGTCGGAGCACGTGTTCAGAAAAAGGCCTGGCTTGCTGACAATGACGAGCAAGGGTCGAGGCGAGCGAGAGCGGGAGCGGGTTTGGAGTTGTTCCCGCGTCGTTCGTTCGTCGTCTGTTCTCGGGGTCTCCCGTTCCAGGGGAATTCTGCAGATACGGCTGTGTGTGTTGGTGATTGCGGTGAAGGATGGAAATGCGTATCCAAAAAGAAGACCTGTTGGAAAGCTCCTGCTCCTGGGTGACGGAGCATTCAATGGAGAGGACTGAAAAGGCGAGGTATCACGCTGGATGATGTTTAAGATGGGGCCCTTGTGCCAGGAGACCACAGAGCCCCAATTAAAATGTGGACCGACGACCAGGGAGTGAGGTGGGAGGCAGGGATGGGCATGGTGTTATCAGTGACGCAAGTGCTTGGTGATAAGGAAATGAGAGCCCTGCCGCCGACCTGACAAGAGGATGGCTGACGGGAAGGGTGGTGGCTGGCAGGAACCATCCTGAGAGGTACCTACTGGACATCTAACTGCCAGAGCAAACCAGCAGTCGCCTTAGCAATAGCAGCGGACTGAGGCAGTCAGTCAGTTGACGATGGAAGATTCCTCATGACTGAATGACTCGGGGTGCTGCGGGCTGGGCGGGTTGCCGTGTGTCTCACGCCGGGACAGGTCAGTGCTATGCAGCATTAGAAGCGCATCAGGATCGTGGGCCTTCTCAGGAAGAGGAAACAACAACTGGAGCCAGAGAGGTGACCGTGATGGACGTGAGGCTGATTCAAACGGTCAAAGATGGCGCTTTCTTCTGGCTCTCGTCTTTGTTTGTCACCACGTACCCGAGACCTTTGGCTGTTCTGCTGCAAGTCACCATGCATGCAACTTTACCTTGACGGGGACTTTGAGGATGGGTTTTCGGCACCTTCATCGAATCCCGTTGCGGCATCCTTTTCATCTTGGTACCTTTATTGCCTTATCTTGCATACACATCACTTCTGGTCGTATTTAAGCCGGGAACGTGCCTTCAGTATTGTAAATGAGGCGGACATGGAATTGCCTACGGATACCTGAGCAAGGAAGCCCATCTCATGCTGCGTTGCATTGCACCATACCTGCCGCCTTATCGCCATCGCTTAGCCCGATAAGTGCCGGAGAAGGCGCTTTCCACACTTCCCCCACTGAGAACTGACGTTTTGCTTGGTGGATTGTTAGCGAGCAAGGTACCGCGGGCGGTTGTTGTGGTGTGTCCCGGTCGGTGTCGTGTGCTCCAGCTATCTGTGTGCCACTGTTTAGGCTGCATCAGCGTCCGCGCTGCCTAACAAGCTCGCCTGGTCGCCCATCCTTGTACATCTTCCCTCACCCGGTCCACTCATTCACCTGCCTGGTACTTTGGCTCCTCCTGCACCGCATGACCACCGATTCATCTTCCCCGACACCAAGGTGCAGATGCCCTTCTCACGAGCACCTCAGCCTTGATCTGGATATTATTCCCTTCTAGTGACTGGTCCCAGTCCACGAGTCTCGTGAAAGTAGCCATCCTTACGGCCTCTTCTTGTTCTGTTTGCGTATACCAGTACCAGTAGTTGCTACCGCCGGCACCCCGAACATTCCAACCCTACACTCTTTGTCCGTCATCGTCATTCTCCAGCCTTCGATACCCGGCCTTATTTACCCATCGTCCCGCGTTCCGATCCATCCAAGAGCACGCGAATATCCTGAGGGGACGAGGTCCTCGCTAACAATAGCACAATGTTCTCGGAATGTACGTTTCTTCGCCCACCGCTCCTTCTGCGCTGTGTCACGGTGAACTAACGGCTCCGGCCCGTAGATGCGTCCAAGTTCCTGGCGCAATCACAGTCGAGGCTTTCCAACTTTGCAGGACAGACCGACGGCAACGAGAACCCACCACGAAATCCGAACGACTGGTCATCGCGACCTCCGAGAAATGGCGGCCGATCCTATCTCGGGAGGGGGTACGGCGGGAACCCGTACCAACCTGGAGGGGCTTCGCGCTTTGGGCAGTTAGGTTTCGCCTCCCGCATGTCCGCCGCCCAAGATGCGCCGCTTTTCCACAGCACCCTCGACGAGTACATGGAGGAAGACGACGAGGACGAGAGGGATCGCGAGGCCGCGGATATGGCCGCCCTGCACATGTCGCGACGAGTGGCGGCTGCGAGCAAGATGGCAGAGAGCTCCGAGACGGAACCGGACGCTAGCCGCGGGTCCCTGGAACAGAGCAGCGAGACGCCCGGCCGGAGGTATCAGGACAGAGGCTTACGGCGAGGCATCCGCAGCAGTTGGAACGGGACGAGGAGCGTTAGTGGGCGGAATCGCGGCAGGGAGGTCATAGACGAAGAGGCGGAGGACATCCCACGTGAGGGCTCCGACCGTGGTTCGGATACCAACCCTAAGATGGTGGATATCGGACTCGACTCCCAGATCCAGGACGACGACCCGTCGGCGTCCCTGTTGAACGAAGTGACAGATTCAAGCCCAGCCCCGTTCCAGAAGTTCCAGCCTAGGTCTGGCGATCGTAAGGTCCAGCTGAGGAGGGAGGTCACGCCGGAAGACGAGTTCGACGAGGCCCGACGAGCAAGCTCCGACGACGAGGCGATGCCGGTTACTGTTCCCCTCGTCGAAGGGGAGTTGTTCAAGTACGACCCCTTTTTCGCCTGGATATTCTTGATCGCCTTGGCGGGTCTGGTGTCTACGTTCGTGCTGGTCTGGCTGCACACAGGTACACCTAAAAGAGGCTGGGGCGATACCATTTACACGACATTGCAATCATCTTTCCACATGCTGGCCGTCGACACTCTCATATCGGTTATGGTATCCCTCGTGTGGCTCACATCACTCCGATCATTCGCACGGCCACTGGCGTGGCTGATCATTTTCGCAATGCCCATCATCATGTTCTCCTTCTCTCTGTATCCCTTCATTGCTAGCTTTGAGGGGTCAACACACGGGGCCAGTTTCCAGGATCGGGCGATGCGGTGTGCCTCTCTGGTTCCGGCCGCTTCGGCTATCGTCTGGATATATGTGGCTTGGAAAGGTCGGTACGCGGTCCAGCAGGCCATCGAAATTCTCGAGTTCTCGACCAGGATTCTTGCAGCAAACCGTGCGCTGGTAACACTGGGTTTCGTCTGCCTAGCTATCATCGTTACCTGGACATGGGTTTGGATGTGGATGTTTTCGAGAATCTTCCTGGGTGGTTTCTTCTCGAAGAGACTGGCCAGGTTCGTCATCAGCGTGTCCAGCTGGTGGCTCGGGATATGGTTTGTCCTCATGTACATGTGGACAATCGGGGTCATCAACGCAGTGCAGAGGGCGACAACGGCTGCGACAGTGTCTCAATGGTACTTCCACCGCAACGCGGCGCCGGCTCCCACGTCCGTCGAGATCGTATCGGCGGCGCTCACCCACGCGTCGACAACCATATTTGGAAGCATCTGCGAGTCTACGCTTCTGGCGCTGCTGATCAGGGCGCCTCTCCTCGTGCTGCCCCGGAGAATGGCCAACATCCTTCAACATGTGGCAGCCATGTGGGTTCCGACCCCTATCGCGGCGCTCACAAACCCGATGACCATCACGTACGGCGCAATCCACTCGCAGAACCTCCAAACCGCCGCTCGCGGACTCACCCAGATGGACTTCATCTCGCCGAACCGGCCCACGACAACACTGACACCGCAAGTCTTCAGCTCACGGCGGTCCAGTCATTCTCCTCTTCTTCCCTATCGATTGGCAAAGATGCTTCTATACGCGACACGGTTCATTATGGCAACGGGGCTTGGATTTGCGGGCTGGGTGATGACTGCGAAGCAGCTGAGAGTCACACTGCCGGACGGAATGGGGATGCGAGGCTCGGCGTACGCATACGTGGTTGGCTTGGTTGCCAGTTTTATCGGATTTTCGGTCATGGGCGCCATGGAGGGTATTCTCAGCGGCATCTTGGACGCGGTGGTGATCTGCTACGGAAGCGAGCGGCGGATGGCCAGCGGAGGCGGCGCGTACTGCATGGAGGCCGCCTACCTGTTTGGCGAGAGGAACAGGCGCGACGAACGGGGCCTGCCTTGATATTATGTACTTGTCTGTTGTTGTTGGTTTTTTGAGTATTCGGGAGATTGTAAAGCTGCCGGGTCGGGATTTACCCAAGCAGCGTGTTTCTAGATGGAATAGATTGTCTCGTCGCAGACACGATTGGTTATTCGCTCAGCGTTCTCATTAGTTCATCGTCAGTGGACTTATTGAGATTTTACCATGCACATGCGGTGAACCTGAGTGGTGGAAGTGAAAAAAGCTGCGCCACGAACACATTCGCAAGCGAAGCTGTTGAAACGCCCGACGGATGGCTGTATGACGGAGTTGGGAGTTGGTCCTTGGCAAGGCGGGCGGAGCAAGGGTGGCCACGAGGATGGAGTGCGGATGTATGTCACTGTGCGATGTTGAATATGGGGTTCTTTTGCTCTTCGAGAATTGCGAGGTGTGATGTGCACCGCCACGACGGGATGAGTGCTGGTGGTACGGTGTCATTTGGACATTTTTGATGGTATATATGGTTTGCCACATATGACTCTCATTCATCAAAGCATTACATTATTTCGTGTGTCTATGCATTCGTCTCCTGCAACTCCCGGGACGTGGTGAAGCGAGGTGGATAATGGGATCAACTTTGGAGTGCCATCATTTGGGTGTTTTGTCGGCGCATACGCGGTGGACGGCGGAAGCACGGGAGAACAAAAGCATGAGCCTGAGAACTCGAGGAACGACATCGCTACGCAGTAATTATACTCAGAATGTCATCGTCTGACGAAGTCCATCCATAGGGCAACGAATACTGAGAATGATGGATAACAATTTGTCTTCGACATAAAATTCTGGGTAAGAGGAGATACATATATATATTCTTTTTTTCAGTACTGAACTCTGGGACAGCTGCGCGTTCAACCCGTATCTGTCGACTCCTCGATGGTGACATCCCACCAGCGTTGAGCCGTGGAGGAGGGGTTCAAACTCGATGGGTCCCCCGCGGTGGGGATGGCCTGTGCGAGACGTTTCCAGTCGAGCTTCGGCGGGTTGCAGCAGGGTCCAGTTTGCTTTTGGAGAAGGTGCCAATGTAACCCGAGGTATCGTCACCGGGATGCTCGGGTGCGATGGTACGGGAAGAAGACTTTGTGGTTTTCTTCCCGGAGAGCCGACGTCCCGGGTCGCAAGTACCAGAACTGCAAGCGAAGGGTTCGGCCAAGGTGTTCATTGGGACAAGTGATCAGTGAATGAGGTTGGAATGGGAATACATCAACACTGTAGGAAGCTGGGCGTCAGTGAGGGGCAGGCGGCGTGGCGGCAGGGGGCGAAAGAGGGGCTGTGTGCAGTTCGCAGTTCGCATCTCGCATCATGCTGTTTGCTGCTGCATGGCCAAGAGCGAGTCGCAGGTCAAGCAATGGAATGGCTGGGGGGATAAGGTAGTGGGTGAGGAATTAGCAGTGAAGAAAGCAGGCTGGCCTCGCTCGAGAATGTGAGAGGAAAGAAGGCGCCGAGTATCAAATCACTTTGCAGAGGACCGCATCGAGGCGTGTTCAGGCTGCCTCTTGCCGCCACCCGCCGCAGGACCCCCCAGCAGCTCCATCGCCCGTTTCCCGACTTTCCGTTCCAGAAGCTGCCAGGAGTCGTTTGGTTTGACAAGTGATTTATCACTGATACCTAAAAAGGTGTGCTGCGAAGCCTCATCGCCTCCCTCACCCCGTCAATACTGCGTACCTTAGTGGCCACTCACAGAGGTAAACCGTACCGGGCCTTAGACTGAAAGACGTAATCCCGGCTCGGCTCCTTGCGCCGCAGCTCGAATACCCATCCCATTGCGCCTCCATTACACACCTGACACTGGACACTAGACACCTGCCCAGCTTTCCCTCTCCTTCTCTGTTCTTTTACAAACCCTCCCCCTCCCCGACAAGCTTAAGAGCTTTTTTGAAACTCTGTTTCGTTCATAAGCTCGGGTACCTTTTCTCCCTCTCACACCTACCAGGTAATCCGCAGGTCTCAACCTACCTTTACCCCGCGACATCTGACATACGTTTGTCAACATTTCGATTCCCTCGTCAATCGCATCGCACCATCTCTCGACGTCACCACACATGGCCGACAACTTCGCTCCCCCGGCCGGTCCCCCGCCTCCCAAGGCCCCCGAGGTCCCTCCCGGCTGGACCGCCCGCTGGAACGACCAGTACAAAGAATGGTGAGTCCACGGCCCAAATGCGCATTCACACCGGTTGATCGCTTGCTAACAACACTACCCCTCAGGTTCTACGTCAACCTCCACACAAAACAGTCCCAATGGGAAAAGCCCACAGAACCGGCACTCCCGCCTCCCCCTCCCCCCGGTGATCACGACCACCCGGGCGGTCCCCCTCCCGGCTACGCACCGAGGCCAGGCGACCAGCCGCCCCCCGTCGTCGACGCCAAGCCGAACCCCTACGAGAACCACAGCGCGACCCCGCAACCCGGCGCCGGCGGCCCCTCCAACGCCATGAGCGAAGACGAGCGCCTCGCCCGCCAGCTCCAGGCCGAAGAGGACCAGCGCAACCGCGGCTCTCACTCCCCCATGCCCCCCGGCTACAACCTCCAACAGCAGCAGCACCAGCAGTCCCAGAGCCCCTTCCCGGAACAGCTTCCTCCCCGCGTTCAGGAGCGTGGCAAGAGCGGCGGCGGCTTCCTCGGCAAGCTGCTCGGCAAGGCGAAGACCGGCGGCAGCGGCGGTTACCCGCAACAGCAGCAGCAGTACGGAGGTTACCCGCCACAGCAACAGTACGGCGGATACCCGCAACAACCGCAGTACGGCGGCTACCCCCAGCAGGGCTACCCGCCGCAGCAAGGGTACTACCCACCTCAGCAGCCCGGCTACGGAGGAGGCTACGGCGGGTACCCGCAGCAGGGAGGCTACGGCCGCGGCGGTGGCATGATGGCCGGGGGTGGTAGGAAACCCGGCGGCGGAGGCATGGGCATGGCGGGCGGCCTGGCGCTCGGTGCCGGTGCCGGTCTGCTCGGTGGTGCGCTCATTGCGGATCACATCAACGATGAGCAGCACGAGGCGTATGCCGAAGGATACAGTAAGTTCTTCTCCGCACCTTCTCTCAGTTCGCGGTCACTGACAGATGTTGTAGATGACGGAAATAACAACGACGACTTTGGCGGTGGTGATGACTTTGGTGGCGACGATTTCGGCGGCGACTTCTGATAGAGTCTCTGTGAATGAGAGACTGTGACATGGGCGGAATCAAAGCGCAGAAGTAATGGGGCTTGATTCTTGACGATCATGGGTTTTTGGGAATTGGCGGGGGCATTTATTGGCTTGTCATGTTCATAATTCCTTGCTTCCCGTATTTTGCTCTTGGGTAAAACGGATCTTGCCCTTTTCATGATGAACATTATGCATTGCCACTTCTCACACTCAGCAAGTGGACGTCGCTTCACGGCCCTCGAGGTTGACTGCTTAGTACAAGTCGTCAACCATGGACCACTTACTTCTGGGAACGGTGAATTCACATGCGGAAGATGCTCGTTCGGGTAGCATGGCCGTAGGTATCATGTATGTATAAAGAAAATCACCAGCGCCGGTTTCTTCAAACTGTAACCCGGTGCCTAGCCTTTTATGAGCCCCCTCTTCTATTGACGACAATCTCTCTCCGTCGCGTCGAGTCCCTCTCTTTTCCTCACCTCCGCACGCCCTTCTCCTTCTTGCTGCTGCTGCCGCCGCCGCCGCCGCCGCCGCTCGAGGTACCGGACCCGGAAGAAGCATCGTTCTTGCTGCCGCTGTTGGAACCGGCGAGGAAGGCGGCCATGTCGAAGTTGCCCATGGGGTTGGCGCCGGGCTGGCCCCCGCCGCCGCCGCCGCCGAGGAGGGAGTTCATGGGGTTGCTCTTCTGGCGCTCTTCGAACTCGGCGCGCATTTCGGGGTCCACTGTTTTTTTGTCTCCTGTCAGTTCTGTTGTCGAGGGGACACGGGGAGGGAGGTGGAGGAAAAGGGGAAGGCGAAGGATGGGAAAAGACGTACTGTTGTCCATGAGGTAGGGCATTCCGATGAAGATTCCCATGCTGACGAGGCCGAGGAGGATCATGGGGTTCTTGAGGATCGTGAAGACGGAGACTGTGTTTGCTGCTCGTTAGCTTTTTCTCTCTTCCTTCGTCTAGGCAGGGTCTCAACGTACACTTGCTCCTCTCGACGAAGTAATTCTTGCCCCCGAGCACCCTGACCTCGAAGCCCCTCCTCCCGCCGGCGAACTCCTTGGAGGCGTAGACCTCGCCCTTGTTGTCCCAGTCGTTGCCGCGGTACGTCTCCCAGGCGGCCAGGCTCCCGTCGGCGGCGACGTCGAGGCGCAGGGGCGCGAAGGCGTGGGTCGCGCAGTGGACGTCGACGAGGTACGAGGCCGGGGCGGTCAGGTTGTCGAAGACGAAGGTGTTGGCGGCGGAGAGGGGCGCGGAGAAGGAGGAGCCGAGGGCGGAGAGGGTGGCGCGGGTCGAGGGCGGGAGGGTGTAGGGGTTCGGGAGGACGGCGGAGGAGGGGATCTGGAGGGTGAGGGAGGCGGCGAGGGTCGTCGGGAGGAGGAGGAGGAGGGGTTGGAGGAGGCGCATTTTGGCGGTGGTGGTGGTGATGGTGATGTTCGGTTGGCGGACAGGTTGCGGTTTCTGGAGCTCGGTGAGGGTTTTCTCTTCGAGGGGGCGCGAAGAAAAACAGAGGATGAAAGAGAAGAGGATGGGAGGTCGAAGAGAGGAAGGAAGAGAGCTTCTGGTTCGAAGAGGAGGGGTTTCAACGGATGGGTTGACGGGCGGCGGCGAGGATGAAGCTTGGGCGGTAGGTGGTGTTGCTTGCCCGGTCGAAGGAGCATCGGCGGAGCGGTGGAGTCGGGTTGGCTTGAACGATTGCTGGCCAATCACGAGGACCCCGTGGATTGCGATTTATCGGTCGTCTATCGCGCAGGCTTGCCGTGGTCCGGGCCTAGGTCACTTTTTTCACATATACCGCATTCTTGCGGCGGCTACGCTACTTGTTCGGCTCAGGTATTTACCTGTAGCTTCGAATCTACACGGCACGGGCTGGAATTTGGTGGCGTTGCGGCGTTTTATTGTCAAATGCCTCACAAGTGGTTCGGACTGGTTGCTAGGTTGCGATCGTCGGGATTGGGATCGGAGGTTCATCTCTTCCCTTCCTCAGGTGTGTGCAACTGCTCTTACCTGAATGTTTTGCGATTTATTAGGCAGGAATCGTCTTCATTCCCTCCGATGATGCGTTTGGCGACCAGACGACGGGTTTCAGTAAACTGGATCATCTCCCGATTGGAGATCGGAGATCATGAGGCCGTCAGACGATGAGAAGATTACGCCTCTTTACTGCGCTCCACGAGTTATTTTCTCGTGTGCGTCTCATACAAATCATGCAGTTCAGACTGATATACTTTAATTTTGTTTATTCTCGTTCCAAAAACAGTAAACGCTGGGGGGGGGGGGGGTATCCAATCCCACACTCTCCTCGCTCTCCCTTTTTTTCTGCAGAAACGCGACCACGGCGCGCATACCGGCTCCGCCTACGGCGCCAGCGGCGCGTCGTCCTTCTTGGTCTCCGCGGCGCTGGCGGGCTTGCCCTCCGTCGTGGCGGCGGCGGCGTTCTTGAATGACTGCTCAAAGTCGGCGATGATGTCGTCGATGTGCTCCGTGCCGACGGAGATGCGGATGAGGTCCTGTTTGAGCGGAGACGTTAGTTTACACGCCGTCCATGGCACTGAAGAGTGACTTACCTCGCTGACGCCGGAGCTCGTCTTCTCCTCGTCGGAGAGCTGCTCGTGAGTGGTGGTCCAGGGGCTGTTCAAGATGTTAGACTACTTCGAAGGGTGCGACAAAATTTCGAGGATCAAACTCACTGGATGGCCAGGGTCTTGGAGTCGCCAACGTTGGCAAGGTTGGAGATGAGCTTGAAGCCGTCGACGACCTGGCTTCCGGCGTTGCCGCCGCCCTTGACGCCGAAGCTGAGGACGCCGCCGAAGCCGCGCTTGAGGTACTTCTTGGCCGTCTCGTGGTAGGGGTGGCTCTCGAGGCCCGGGTAGGAGACCCAGCTGACGTAGTCGCTGGCCTCGAGCCACTTGGCGAGGGCGAGGGCGTTCTGGGCGTGGCGCTCGGCGCGCAGGGAGAGGGTCTCGATGCCGATGAGGAGCTGCTGGGCGGCGAAGGGGTTGAGGGAGGCGCCGAGGTCGCGGAGGATCTCGACGCGGGCGCGGATGATGAAGGTGATGGGGCCGAAGGTGTCCCAGAAGCGGAGGCCGTGGTAGCCGTCCGAGGGCTCCGTCATGTTGGGGAAGCGGCCGTTGTCCCACTTGAACTTGCCCGAGTCGACGATGACGCCGCCGATGGTGGTGCCGTGGCCGCCGATCCACTTGGTGGCGGAGTGGACGACGATGTCGGCGCCGTGGTCGATGGGGCGGACGAAGTAGCCGCCCGCGCCGAAGGTGTTGTCGACCACGACGGGGACGCCCTTCTCGTGGGCGACCTTGGCGATGGCCTCGAGGTCGGGGACGTTGTACTTGGGGTTGCCGATGGACTCGACGTAGACGGCCTTGGTCTTGTCGTCGATGGCGGCGGCGATGTCCTCGACGCGGTCGCCGTCGACGAACTTTGTGTGGATGCCGAGGCGGGGGAGGAAGACCTTGAACTGGTTGTAGGTGCCGCCGTAGAGGAGGGAGGTGGAGACGATGTTGTCGCCGGCGTGGGCGAGGGCGTTGATGGCGATGAACTGGGCGGCCTGGCCGGAGGAGGTGGCGAGGGCGGCGACGCCGCCTTCGAGGGCCGCGATGCGCTTCTCGAAGACGTCGACGGTGGGCTGGGCGTCGGTGTTAGTCGCTTGACTTGAGGGTGTAGGTGGTGGGAGAGGGACGTACGTTCATGATACGGCTGTAGATGTTGCCGAACTCCTTGAGGCCGAAGAGCCTCGCGCCGTGGGCCGAGTCATTGAAGGTGAAGCTCTACATTGTAAACGTCGTCAGTTATGCGCGCCTGGAGGGTGATTCTCGTCGCGAGGGTCTGACGAACCGTTGTCGCGTAGATGGGAACAGCGCGCGAGTTGGTCGTTGGGTCTGGCTCCTGGCTAGAAAACACATCCTTGGTCAGTCTGGCGACATGCAAAGCTTCGAGCTCAAAGCGGTAACGCCCGTTGGGGTATTATATGAGGAAAAACATACCCCGCATGGAGCTGGAGAGTCTCAAAGTTCTTGCTCAATTCCTCAGCCATTGCGATTTATGATTACTTTACTGTGTAGGGCGCTGGGTAGGGCGTGTGAGGAGGATGACAACGAGGGGAAAAGAAACTTTCGGGAGTGCGGTTGTCTTGTTATGTGCGACAGAAAAGCAATGCGCTTCAGAGACACACCCAAGACCAACAAGGCCGGCAACGGAGCTGCGAATGGAGGATTATAAGAAGGCGGGAGGCGCGGTTTACCCGATTAGAGAAGAGCAGGAAGGGTTTAGTATCGATGATGCCATTGAGGGGAGATCACACCATAGGATGGATTTTATATACAATTGCCTCTCGCGAAGGAAGAAGGGTCCTTTCTGCGCGAAAAGGCAGGGGGATGGGGGAGCTCCATCTCGCTGCTCATTTCCTAGGTAGCTCAGGGTAGCAACGAGAAGGCTTGGCCCCCGGCTACAAGAGCGCGAGCTTTTTTCTTTCCCAACAAGAGGAAAACCAATTGGGTTAACCCGTCGCCTGGTTGTCGGGCGATTGCGACTCGAAAGACGCCGCGACAGAGACGGGCGTGATGTTGAAGAGAGCCGATTTAGGCAAAGGATGTGGGGTTTGGCCAGAGCACGCAATCGACGCGCAAATGTCACTTTGCGGGGCAGAGGCAGGGGTCTGCTTCCACTTGGGGGGGAACTCGGGAACTGGAGAAAGTTTTGGGCTCACCGCGGAGGAGACCTTGGAGACGACACGTTGACCGAGCTGTTTGGGAGTCTACGGCATTGGAAGTTGAGTTGCCTATCTTACCTTGAGGACGGCTTTCTCACGTTGGATGGATGCAGACGATGCCGTGTCGCTTGATGTTTGGTTTCCGGGCGTTTAAAGCGTGGGGTGCCTGGCGTCCGTTCGGTGGCTGGAAACAGAAAACGGTCGTTGAATCGCAACGACCGGCCCCGTCGCGACTCACCGGCTGCCGACCGCGCTGGAGCTCACGATGCCGCAGTTGCGGTTGTCGGTCGGAGCTTCGGTGGATGTTGTCGTGGAGAGAACACCTTCTCCACAACACCAGCCCCGAGTTCCTGTACCTTAGTGGAACGCGCGATGCTCCCATGTCAACGAGGGCGGGAATTGCAAGGTGGTCGCGATCAGCTTGGCTTTATCGGGGTTTGGGTCTGACGGCAGAATCAGCAAGGCTCATCATGTAAGACGACATCTTTGCCCCGTGTCTCTTCATCATCTAGATCTCCTCGATGCCAGGGGTGTATTCGAGCGCGGTTGGCCCCTGAGATAGGCAATGAAGCTTGCTTACAAGAGAGCGTCTCTCCTGAAAAGCATTTACGGGCTGCCCAGCAATGTTGCTTAAGACTGCAGACGAGGTCAATAAAGTGCATTGGAGGTTCGTCAACTCAGCCACCGATGGTCGGGATGGTGTGTCCTGCGTGCCCCCACCAGCCCACCGTTGCACTGCAGATGGGGTCGAGGCGTGGTGGCTCGTCCAATTGGGAGGAAGCCATCGTAATAGCTGCAGGGTACCTGGTCCGGCTGATGAAGTTGGCTTCGAAGGTTGGTGAAGTTTGTCTGTTTCTCTCGACGTCGTCAGGCCGAGCGATATCATCAATGTCTGTAGAGGTTAAAATTTATGTGGCATACTCGTGAGATTTGTATTCAGAAGCCTGACTCAGTTCCTCGTATCAACATGGTGTGATCTGTCAGCTCGTATCTCTAGGTTGTCACACAATCCTCACGGTCTGAAGCCTCAAAGTCTTCGAAACTCATTATGGGAAGGAATGAATACAGGCCAGAGCCAGAATAGTAATAATAGCATCTACGTCCTTTGTCGAATCAAGAGCCAACCCAAAAAAACCCAGTTATATCCAAATCCGCACCACCATTTTCCAATACGGTGTCATGCTGTGACACCGGTTTGTCCCGTACAAAAGCCAGTCATCTAGACAAGGCTCACATCACTAAATCCCGGGCCGTAGATGCGCCTCTGGTCGGTCTCCCAGACTTGTTTCCGGTCGCACCTGCGGTCCCACGACGGCATCCGCTTTACTCTGATCAGCTCGACGGATGCCTCCCGCCTGGCCTCCGCCAGTGCGATGTGGTTAAACTTGAAGGAGTCTGCGTAGTTTCCTCTGTTCGTGGAGGAAGAAGAAGAAGAGTACCAACTCTTTACGCGGACTCCTTCATTTGAGGAGGGGGGCCAGCGGCGGTTGGCTTGCGGAACCCCGTCTTGAAGACGTCCTTGACCATCAGCAGCGAGGTGCCGGACCACAGGGCGAACTGGAGGGCCGACAGGACGGTGTCGGCGCGGGCGGCGGCGCAGACGGCGCCACGGCAGAAGAGCAGCTTGCTCAGGAAGACGGCGAGGGCGATGAAGCCGGCGAAGTAGAAGAGGACGTTGAGGAGCTCGAAGGCAACGGCGCCCCAGGGGTGAGAAGCTGCGCGGTGTTAGTAACGTTCAAAAACCCCTTTTTGGGTGTAAGTCATCTTACCTCTAGGAGCGAACTTGGGGACCACCTCGAGGTAGGCGATCGAGATGAAAGACCAGAGGGGGACGAAGACCAGGAAGTTGATCTGCGACGGCGACGAGGTCATCGTGTCCATGTTGTACCAGTTGGCGACTGCAGACAGACGGTCAGCGCTTAGTTCCCGCCACCAAAACCGCCACCAGTCCCTTCACATACCATAGGCCGACAGAGCCAGAATCACCAACGCGAAGACACCCTGAACAATCCGGAGAGGAAGAATGAGACCCATTTTGCCGGATTTCGTTATCGTTTCGTTTGACGTGGAAGTCGTTGGTATCGTGACGGGATAGGAGAGATTTAAGGAGAGGAAAAGGAAAAAATAATAGTTTTAATAAATCTAAGCTGCCCCCAGTGCGCTGTTCAAGAAGAGAAGAAGGTTGTATGGAATAGAGAGAATGTGTGGAAACGGTTCAGGCGGGAAAGAGACCAAGAAAAAGGCAACGCCGCATGAAAGAGGGGAAACCGGTTATGCTTTTGTATGGACAGGTAGTCCCATCTAAGATCTTTGCATCCCTGGATGTTAGTGTTTGAGAGGCGGAACATGTAGTCGCGGCTCTAGTCATCACTGGACGCCCAAGGGTCGGCTTTTCGCTGGGCAATGCACGGCCTGAGAAGTCTGAAATGCATCTGAAACGGGACTCCCCTGTGGCCCGTCGCCATGCGATGCGCCCTCAAGATGTGAAAGATGGTGTGTAGCAGGGTTCCCACCCTTACGAGCCAATCCTCTTGTAGCATTCCAACAGAGCCTCCTTGTTGAGGGCAGCCGGGCCACGGCTTGGCTTATCGGTTGGTTGGATGGTTGGTGTTGGTGGTTTGTCAGGCCTCGTGGCGGACTCGTATGCGGTATCGTAACCCACGAAAAGATGCTCTGAGCAATAGAGCGGAGAAGAGTACGCGCCAATCTTTTGATGGAGACATGTGTACACATGCACACACACACACACACCTTCTTCTATCTTTTGAGGCGATGAGCTCCTCAGCGGGGATGATCGGCGATGTGTGGATGCGGCGCAAGGGCGGCAAGAGAAGCGGATGACATGCAGGAACGGCGATATGAGAGGTGTCGGCGCAAGCTGGGAAGCCCAAATTAACGTTGCATGCTGCTGCTGCCGCCTCTCCGCCTTGGTTTGCAGCGCTTGCAGTGGTGTGCGACGGAGAATTTGGGGTGAAGGGCTGAAGCGAATGATCTTCAGATTGAGAAACGCAACGAGACACTTCCCCAGAGAGAGCAAACGCACCGAGTCTGCACGCTGGGGCGCGCAAGAGAGGCATCCTCGTCGGTCGGAGGGTTTGAAGCTGAAGACCAGCGAGTCTCAAGATGCCAAGCATGATTCGCCCAGGACCCGGCGTGTGTCACCGAACTTTCGACGACAACCATCTCGTGTTGTGGGTGTTGAAACATCCTGTTAAGGGCAAGTCAGCACTTGCGACGACGAGATCTGTCAGCACTATCATCTCGGTACGTCGAAGAGTACGAGTGGTAGTTAAGGGAGAAATGGAAAATGTCCGAACGTGTGATGTTTCCTCACTGCCAGGTCCACCCCCCTCCCTCAACGGCCAAGAGAAAAAGGGATTCGCAGCGAGTGGGCGGCTTGTGGACTGTCAACCCTGTCAGGTGTGTCCCGGGCAGCAGGGAAAAAGCCAAGATGGGCGGCAAACGTCGAGGGGACTGCCTGTTTGGCGACGCAATTGCTCCGAGGGCTCAGGAGAGAGTCGAGACTCCATTCCAGGACGTTGCTTGGTGTTTGGCGGGATCGTCGCCCCAAGGCACAGCGGACGTTACAACGCCAAGGGTGCCGCTCGAGATTCCTCAGAAGCCCCCGAAACTGCAACACAGGAGCGTTGCGATGATGTTGTAGAGAAAGAATTGTTCACACGCTGGACGCAACTCTTGGCCTGGATGTGGTAGCGACAGGGGCCTCCCGTCATGTAAGGTAGGTGCTGAGGCGGAGACCCGTCCTTCGCTACTGCCCGCTGTTCTTAAAAAAGCTGCTGAGACGCCGCACAACCAACTCCCAGACTCAGTCCGATACTCAGATCGCCAAGGAACCTCCCTCGACACGGCACCGCGGAGAATTCTTCTCTTTTGCTTGGCTGGCTTCTTCCGATGCTTACAACATCCTGAATTCCTCACAGAGCCTCCTTCCTGACTCCGTCCCGAGGCCCTCCCCCAGCCGGTGTAACGATTCATTGCAACAGCGGCTCTGTCTGCCGACTTGGCTACAGTCGAGACTGCGACTCTGCCAAAGCTTCGCCTCACCATTGACATGTCAGACAGTCTTGGGGAAATCGCTGGGCATCCAGATGTCCGCCCTTCATCGGCCACCCCTGATGCCGATGGGATGGAGTCACTCCACGATATGGGCTTCCATCGGAATATCCTCCCCATAGTCTTGGCCAGTACCGGAGTGGCGCAAGTCTGCCACCCGTAGAGCCTCAACGCAGCACTCGAGCTCTTGGCAGCCCATCTAGAATCTGCCTTATTTCTGCATCCTGCTGCAGCAAGAGCCTTAGCTGCATTACAAAGGGGCGGGTTTGAGATGCCCAGAACTGCGTCGTGCAGCATCTCGCCAGCCGAGATAAGGGCAGCTCGATATCCGAGAAAGCTTCGCAGAGTATTGTCACTACCTGCCCTCGGCGTTTCAATATCACCTGAATCGAAGTAGCATGCGAAGGGGGAAACGACGAAAGCTTCCACGGAGCTTTAAAAGCAACCCTGGCCTGGCCTGTCTTGTCCAACGGTCTTGCTCCGAGCGACACCCCGTCATCCTGACTTCGATACCCGACGTTTGCTTTTTTCCAGCCATGTTCCCTCGTCAGTTGGCGCGGGACCCCGACTGTATGCGTTTCCGACTTGAGGCTGCCAGAAAACCGCGCGACCGAAAAAGAACAGCTGGCCTACACGCCGTCGTGTCATCTTGAGGCGGCTCTCACGAGTCATCCCAGACCTGATGGCTCAGAGCGCACGCTTGAGCACCCATCACTGCCTGATCGGATGCCCACCCAAAACGCAGACACTTGTTTGTTTGTTTCCTCTCATCCGTCACAACCGTTCTGTCTGTGTCTCGTGGGGGCTTGTCTCGTCGGTGCGAAGTCGGCAGCACGTACAAGAGGGCCGTTGTATCCGCCTCGAACGTCTTTTGATCGAGCTGTCGTAGATCTCCTCAGATATATGAGGCTGCCGCGTCCCCAGATGACGACGAATACAGATGTGTAGGAGGCTGTGCGTTTGCAGACGGGTTTGAGAAGACGCAGCAACGGATTGAACGGCAAATGTCTTTTCTCACATCACGACTCGTTGACTTGAGAGCCGGTTTGGACCGAAGTAATCGACATAAATGCGGACCTATCATGCAAGTTGAGTAATGCTATTGGCTCGTTGCCGGCGCAAATCAGCGTGAAGAATATGCCCGAATCTGGACATCTGCAGGCTGGACATTGCTGCCACAAGCCATGCGCCAAATCACCAGCCTCTTGAGTCCAGTGAGTATTCACAAGCCGCAGACAAGCCGCATACAAGCCGCACGCGCATCGCTAAGGCGGGTTGGAATACAGAAGCAGGTGGGACCCGGAGATTTCGGGCTGTTCGGGTACGGCGTCCAATGGCCTCCGCCCGGAGCAAGACAGGAGAATTTGGCCCGGCCCCCATCGCGACGGAGTTCTCTGGCATGTGACAGTTGACGCTAGTCAGTGTGCCGTGTATGCTGTAGAAAGATACCGTTGGACTGTTAGCGCACATCATGCTGTCACCATGATGGTATATCGTCGACAGAGCAGATTTGTTATTGGCAATGCTGGATGCCAATTCAAAATGGCAAAGTTGAAGATTCGGCATCGTCGGCCTGGATGAGTAAACGGCATTCGAGCCAAGGCTATCCAGAAGAGGATGTACGAGACGGGGATCGCCTGTCACAATTTCTTGTTAAATGACAGCTCCAGCTCCCCATTAGGGAAACTGGATCCTTCTAGGCGAATAGCCCCCGTTAATGGGATAGACATTCGTATTAGACGTACATGGCAACGGGAGGATGCATCTTCAGGTGCTACGCCTTGCTTATACTTGGTCAACCTGCGCCGTTAGATATATATTCCTCTGCTCACTCAACTTTTCAATATTGTTTCCGTGTGTTCTAATACTCTTCGACAACTCCATCAGCAGCACGTCAATCCACGTGGACACCTTCACTCACAGTGAGGTCATCACGGGGCTAGCTAACCCCGTTTTTTCGAATCTCCGACCCAGCACCCCAGCTTCAGCTTCCCCCAGCGCTCAAGCATCCCCGCAAGCCATAGTGGTCCAAAGCCCCCCTTGGCGGAACGTCAGGGCCTATCAGGCGCTGTAGCTAACCCCTTAGCGCAGCACCATCTGGGGTTGCCGAGGGCCTTTGGTCACCCTGGCCTTTCTGGGTACTTGTGCCTCGGTCCACGCTCTCGTCCTTCGCCCTTCATTGGCTTTCCCCCGATTTCCTTGGATTCGTCACAACCCTCCCAGCTATCTGGAGAGTCAACCTAGTCCCAGTGAAGCTCCAAAGTGCTACGCAGAAAAAGCGTTCGTGGCTGTATCCCCGTGCTAGGTCTTCCTCGTGGTCTCAACTCTCGTGCTCGGCTCCTTTAAGCTTTTCGTCTCTTCCCATCTTCACAACTTTTTTTTGGCCTTTCTGCACCTTTACTCCTTACCTACGACACATCTACCCACATCTTCACGTGCGTCTGCTTCATCTCAGGAGGATTCTAGGTCCGATCTGTCTCCCGTCATACCCTTCGCGCCCTCAACGAATTGGCAAACAGAGGATCGACGCACCGCGTAAGCAATTCGATAGCCGCCGACACCAACCACACCCTGCAGAGAACCAACAGCCGCCGCAAACATGGCTCCAAAAGACACCGCCGCATACATTAAGGAGCTGTCCACTCCCCCGCCGCCAGGCTCGCCCTACGGAGTCCCCGTCCCCGGAACCGAGAGGGAAGGCCGCAGCGCCATCTACCGCCATTGGCGCTTCCGCGACGGCCCTCTTCTGTCCACCTTCGATCCCGCCGTCCAGACCGTTCACGATTTGTTTGAGGAATCCGCGCGCAAGAGACCGAATGCCAAGTGCCTGGGTCACCGAGCCTGGATCCCAGCGACCAAGGAGTGGGAGAACAAGTACACCTGGGCTACCTACGCCGAGGTTGCCGAGCGTCGCAAGAACTTTGGCGCCGGTTTGGTAGAGATTCACAACAGAATCGGCATCACAAATGATAACTACGGCGTTGGTCTGTGGTCGCAGAACCGCCCAGAATGGCACATCACCGGTATGCGGAATCAACGGCTGGTCACTTGGATGCCTGCTAACTATTGAGGTCACAGATCTCGGCGCTGCCTCCCAGTCTCTTTTCACCGTTTCTCTGTACGAGACCCTCGGCCCCGATACAACCGAATACATCATCAACCACGCCAACCTGGCCTGTGTTGTCACATCTCTGCCGCATATTCCCGTCCTCCTGAAGCTTGCCCCGCGACTCCCCTCTCTCAAGATGATTGTTTGCCTCGACTCTTTGGACGCCGGTGAGCAGGCTGGTTACTCCAAGCTCTCTGTTCTCAACGGCATCGCCGCTGAGAATGGTATCCAGATCTACTCCATGAACGGTGTCGAGGAGATCGGCCTCAAGTCCGGCCGCCCCATGCACCCCCCGCGCGCAAGTAACTTGGTTACTATCAACTACACCTCCGGAACAACCGGTATGCCCAAGGGTGTCGTTCTGACCCACGGAAACGCCGTTGCTGCTCTGGCGGCTGCCAGATCTTCTGGAACTGTGACCTACAAGGATGTGCACATCTCCTACTTGCCTCTGGCGCATATCTACGGAAGGATGGTTGACCAAACCGCTCTTGCTGAGGGCGCTGCCGTCGGTTTCTTCCGCGGCGATATTGTAGGTTTGGTCGACGACTTGAAGATTCTCGAGCCCACTGGGTTCATGTCCGTTCCTCGTCTATACAACCGCTTCAACTCAGCTATCCGAGCTGCCACCATCGATGCCGACGGTTTCAAGGGATCCCTGTCTCGCCAGGTCATCGCCACCAAGAAGGCCAACATGAAGCTGCCTGTTGGCAAGGCGAGCAACACTCACTTCCTTTACGACAGAATCTGGACTCCCAAGGTCCGCGCCGCTGTTGGCCTGAAGAAGGTTCACAGCATGGTCAGTGGTAGCGCGCAACTGGACCCTGATGTTCACGAGTTCCTGCGGGCCGCTTTCGGCAACAACTTCGTGCAGGGTTATGGCCTGACGGAGTCTTATGCCGTCTCTACTGTTCAGCTGAACGGTGACTTCACTCTGGGCAACATCGGACCCCCGGCAACATGTAATGAGGTCTGCCTCGAGTCCGTCCCTGATCTGGAGTACCTCGCCAGCGACAAGCCTTACCCGCGTGGCGAGATCCTCCTCCGCGGACCCAGTATCTTCAAGGAGTACTACAAGAACGACGAGGAGACGGCCAAGACTATTGATGCCGATGGCTGGTTCCACACCGGAGATATTGCCGAGGTCGACAACATGGGTCGCTTCAAGATCATCGACCGCAAGAAGAACGTCCTCAAGCTGTCGCAAGGAGAGTACATCTCCCCCGAGCGCATCGAGAACGTCTACTTGGGCAGCAGCAACTTGGTCACCATGGCCTACGTCCACGGTGACCCGGCTCAGTCCACCCTAGTCGCCATCTTCGGCATCGACCCCGAGACCTTTGCTCCATTCGCCAGCAAGGTTCTCAAGAAGACTGTCGACAAGACGGACCTCACCGCCCTCAAGGTCGCCGCCAACGACCCCAAGGTCAAGAAGGTCTTCCTCGGCGAGCTGGACAGGATCGGCAAGAAGCACAAATTCAACAGCTACGAGCGCGTGCGCAACGTCTTCCTTGCCATCGACCCTTTTACAATCGACAACGAGCTGTTGACGCCTACGTAAGTCCCCGCCACCCTCGAAGCAGTGATGAACACGAGCTAACGATATATTACAGTCTCAAGCTGAAGAGACCACAGACCGCCAAGGCCTTCCGTGGCCAAATCGACCAGATGTACGATGAGATCAACTCTGAGCCGTCCGCCAAGCCCAAGCTTTAAATCAACGGCGATTTAGATGAAAGGCGTTTTATGTTTGTGTAGCATACAGTCGGGACCATGTTGTATTATATATTTTTAGTTGAATGGACAGCTTTCTAGAGTTGAATTAAGCGCGAGTTCGTATTGCAACAAACCTTTACTGCTGCAGCTGTTTGCCTTTGTTGCTGTCGTTTCTGTGTTCATCGTGTTTAAATGCGTTATTCTTGCTGTCTTAAGTGCATATACTGCTAATGCAATATATAGAGAGTATGTGATTTAAAGAAATTATTAAAACCTGATCATAAAGAATGCTTCAGTGAGACCAGTAGTAAATAGTGAAAGATTTATGTAAAGCATTTAGTTTTTTTAGTTTTTTTTTTACAAATCCCATTTTGCTACTTTGTATTTATATCTTTTCAAAACCAGAGCGCGTGCGATGCGCTTGGCGGGATGATAGAAGGTATAGCCAAATAGGCTTGTCAAATTACGGGATGTATTACCTGGAAACAATTCCTAATGTCGCAAGAACTATGCTAGACCCTTGATCAGCAATTGCGAAAGGGTTCGGAAGGTCGACGAGACATGTCGTCATCGGGCGCCCGGCCATGTCCCGTCGTCGTCGCGGTTCGCGATGCGATGCGCCGGGTGGGGCCGATGACCGGATGCACACTTTCGCGACCCGGAGGCCATGCGATGCGATGCGATGCGACGACATGCGCCGGGAAAAGCGCGTCTTTAAGGGTTGGGATTCGTGTTACTTGATATTAGCTGTTTGCTAGTGAGCTTTTTGGGCCTATTGAACCGTGAAGTGGCTATGGAAATGGATGGACGTAACTGAGCTTGGTGGGTTGACGTTCTTCCTCAACATGTTGATATCGCTTTATCAAACCGAGCAGAATGTCACCGCCTTACAAACTCGATTGAATGTATGATTTAAATTGTTTCTCTAGACTTATGAGACGGGTATCTTAAAAGACTTAATACCACTTAGGCGTACCTCACGTCTAAATAATAGTTAAAGTAGAAACGTAAGAAAAAATATAAGCCTTTTTTATAAATAAAGAAGTAGTTTCTTATTATTATAAACCAGCTTAAGTACATATTCTACTAAAGATCAAAATAATACTAAAAAGTTTACTTAGAATGCTAAGGGAAGGAGCTACTGACCCACATTTTTAGCCGGACAACCGACTTTCTTTTAGTTACCTAATATAGCCGTTTTTGAAACTGCTAACTCCACACTACGAACCTAACCTACCCGCGTCACGACGAACTCACTTTACGCGCTCGCAACGCCCAATATCTCGCGTCCGTTTGCCCGCTGCCACGATGATGGGCGTCAAGAGCAGCGCGGCTCGACGTAGACCACCCCAAACACAAGTAATCGACCTCACCATCGACCATGTCGAGCACATCGACCTTACGCTTGACGACTCGCCTCCTAGCAGCCCCCGCGCCCTGAACCCGTCGAGCGAACCGCCTCGAAAGAGGCAACGCCTGGGAAAGGATGTCTCCTACCAGAGTTCGGCGAGGAGCCTGGCGCCTTGCTTAAAGGCACAGATCAAACCATACATCGACGCCTATCTGTCGGATATCGACTCGGATCGAGTCAACACCTTGGAGCTTGGTCGAAAGGTAAGAGACTACGATGCTATAAAAGAAACACCCGCCTAAACCTCCCACGCCTAGGTCCTGCTACGGATTAGCAGTGATGATGCCTTCCAGCTGGAATTCAACAGCACGAAGGGCTTCATTTCGGCCACCTTGGAGAACAAACTGGCCGAGCTGGCACGGCGCCTTGTTTCCAAATACGCGTCGGAGCCGGTGAGCTTGACAAGGACATACCACGAGGAAGGCGCGAACGGAAGCTAACGGGCAACTGCAGGAATTCCAACGGAACGCCTCCACCTTGAACCCAACCTCGACATCGGCCATCTCGCCCGCGTTTGGTGCACAGAACTTCACTTCGTCGACACCCACACCCGCTCCTGCCTCCACCACTCCCGCGTGGTTGAGACCTTCCCCCGCGACAACGACTGCCGGCCCAGTCTCTGCTCCGGCATCGACATCGAGACGTCTTTCGGCTACACCCAAATCGAAATCCCACCGACCGTCACCCGCGAAGTTTCCTACTTCACCCACGACCGACCGAACAAGGGTGCAACCGCGGTGGAAATCATGGAAAGAAACCAAACCCAAGCCGGGTCCGGTCACTGCCCGTCACAAGGCTATCAATTCCTACATGCAGCTTGCAAAGTGGCCCTACATCCCGACAGAAGTGCGGGAGGCTATAGTCAAGGGCTCGACGAGGCTTCTGCACCCCAGCGACGCTACTAGTGCTGCCGAGGGGCCTATTCCGTTCCACGTCGACTTCAATCCGGACGAGATCGAGGCCGTGCGACGAAAGATCCGAGAGATGTGTGGCAAGAAGCCTAGAATCAAACGCAGCCCAAACACGGTCAAGGAGCTTAGGAAGATGCTGAGGCACCGCCCTGAACTCCTCACAGTCATCGGACCGGAAATTGAGCTCCAGGGAGCTCTTGCCAGGAGAGATCAAGTTGCGATTAGAAATCTGCTTGACGAACTGGTGGACAGGCACAAAAGACCTGCCCAAGTACCTAAGGTGTTGACGGTCGAGGTGACTGAAGCCGACAAGTCGACCGAGCTAAAACAACGATCAAGCCCGGTGTCCTCTCTGCTCTTGGCTAGGGAGTTTGACGGCAACCGAGGATTTGGCAGAATGCGGCGCCAGGTCAACTTCACGATTGAGTTTAGGAAAGCTCTCGAAGATGAGATGGAAATGCGCGCCGAATGGGTCAATTGCGCTGGCGACATCATGACGATTGCTTGGACGTCAAACAACAACTTCATCTGTGGCACAACAACACATTCAGACTCGCATAATCAACAGTACAACAAAGACGGAAACTTGCTGTTTTATTCGTCACAATCGAAAGAGCTGAAGGCTTATCCCGACCACCGCATCCCTCGACCTATCATTCAGAGCGGAGAAAACTCGACAGAAGCCATGAGAGAGTCTCAGAGCCCGTGGCTGTATTCATCGGTCGTGGCCTCCGATTATGACAAAGTCAACGATCGAGCATACACTGCAAGCTTCGATAAGACTGTCAAGATCTGGAAAGTGGATGCGGATGGACGAAACATGAACGCACTGGGCACTTGGCAACACGATGGCGTGGTGCAATTTGTGGTTGCGTCGAAGCATGAGTCCGGGATGGTGGCCACCGGCGCAGACGTGGCTTCCCAGGCCGTTCGTGTCTATCACATTGATGAATACGGCAGCGTTTCTGGCAGCCCCTTTCATGCCTACTCCAATTTGAGAGCTTGGAACGAAGGTGACGAGCAGACAAGCGCAACGCAAAAATGGGCATACTACCCAGCAACGATGCAATGGGGCTTAGCAGAAGGAGTGAAGCACTTGCTTCTGGTCGGTTACTCTCCTCGAAGCTTCTCTGGAGATGACAATGATATCCCAGAAGACAAGGAAAAAACGGGCGAGATCTGCTTATGGAACTGCCTTACCGGTGAGCGCATCAGGGTTCAGACTGCTTCGACGCAGAATGTGTTCGAGGTTGCGTGGCACCCTACACAGCCAGCCTTCATTGTGGCTACATCGCCATGCCCTCCATGCCAGCCTGGGACGCACACACAGGTTCGTGTCTTTGGTCTGAAACTTGAAGACGGAGAGGAACAGTTTGTCCAGACGCAGTGCCTTGACTGCCCTGCGACGGATATTAACGAGCTCATAATCAAGCCAATTACCCACAACTCTTCGTATGTTACGGCGGCTTGCACCGACGGCAAGGTTTATGTGTGGGATACGGCACGCCACATACCTATCCACGTTCTAAAACACCAGGCGCCTATCGACAACGAGGATGAGGATATCGGTGTTAAGTTCACAGCTTGGGGAACGTCCGCGGACCGTTTCTACACCGGCGGCTCAGATGGCAAGGTTAGGATCTGGAATGTTCGCGACTTGCAGAAGCCATTCATTCGCGACCTCGTTGAGGCCCCTGGTTGCGTCACTAGCGGTGCTTTCTCTCCCGACTTTTCGAAGCTGGTCATTGGAGACGCTTCGGGACGCGTGATGCTTCTATCTCTTGACGAAGAGGATTCGCCCAAGTTCGCCATGCCGCCCATGCCGCCGGGCGTAAGACCCCGCGTCTCTCGGCCTTTCGGGCGTCCGTTGGCGTTTAAGCCCCACAATGAGCCGCCGCCGCCGCCTGGAACGGATGTGGTGGACACGGCATCGGGGATCGCACGGGCCAACCACTTCCTGGCTACCGGCCAGCTCGTTCAGCATCCGGACCCAACCGTCGGAGTCCTCCAGGGGTCGGCCTACTCGGAACTCGGTCTTTATCGCAACGAGCTTCACTTCAACGGAGACCCGTCTGAGCCTCTCCTCGCCAAGGTCGAGGAGTCGCAGCAGGAGAACCAGAAGATGTTTAAGCGGTCTTCAAGAGTCCCGCGTATCCGGCCGGCTTCAAGCTTTGTCTTCGCTGACCTTTTGAACCGGCACCAGCAGAACGTGAGCCGGAACTTAGATCTAGTACTTCTAGATGAATACACCAAGCTCGACCTTCTCATGGACAAGGTTGATCTTGAGGATCCCATTGACGGTAAATGGGACTTTGATTATGAAGAGGAGTAGTGCTACTCTCCAGCTCCTTATAAGTTAGGGGGGTAGGTACTGGGATTGTCCGGTATATTGAACTAGCTTATTATGCCCAGGTAAAGGGTATAGCCTGTATTGAATAGTCTCTAAATGAATATAAGGACTCATGACGATAATTTCTTCCTTTTACCTACTTAGGGTGAGTAGTTTCTTCTTTCTTTATTTTCTTCTTCTTTTAAGAGAGAAAATTCTTTATAAAATCATTCTTAAATTTTAAAACGTTTAATTATATTTATAATAATGAGAAGTATTAACTTAGTAGCTTAGTAGTATAATAAAGTATAATAAGTAGATACTATTTATTTATTTAAAGTAGAGCTAGTTTTAAGAAGTAGCTGACTATAAAAGCTAGCCGTTCTTTCTTCTAGCTAAGTAGAAGCTTAAGACCTTAAGTAATATAAAGCTCTAGCTAGAGCGGGCGAGCAGCTTCTTAGGGCGACACAAACTATAATTTATAAATAATGTCTATTACGTGTAATTCTCTTCAGCATAGACTTATTACCGTCTTTAGGGGCAAGTTTGTTTTATAGCTTGTGTTAACTGCCTTGCTTGCTATTCCTCATCTCTGGCTCTTATATGGGGCCTATTCGTGTGGTATTCGTATAGCTTGTATGTTTAAGGGCGGTGCGGACGTCGTGGCGTTGGTACTTGATGACGACGGAGATGGAGATTGAGGTCCCTTTGGCGATTAGGAGAAGTGCTGACAGGCGACCCTGCTTGCGCCGTACGCAGAGAAAATTGATGCCATAAGAGCGCATACCGGACATAAACAGATGCTTCTTTGGGTAGCTACTTACATGTGAAGTTTGAGGTGGAGATTCACCCCGGAGGTGAGATGTCTATCTTTTTTTGTAGTGAGCGGCGCACGGCAAAGATGTTGTGGTGCGTATCTTAGGGGTGAGAATATATCGCTGGGGTTGTGTGGACTGGTTAGAGGCGAATTTAAGTGACCTTTTACAGGCCAGGCACGAGTTCCAACATAATGTCAGGATTGTTTTGTACGGCTCATTAGAGCTAGTGGATGCTACTGTGTCGCATTCTCAAAGTCTCGTGTATCCGGGCGTTGGGGTGGTTCAGGCTTATGGGCAATAGTTCACCTCGCGCGGTCTTAAGTCTCTCTAGTCCTGATCTCCGTTGTCTCTGAGGTAATCGTGAAGCTTTACATAGTTATTCATGTTAGAGACTCATCCCAGCTGGTTTTGTATGTGTTCTGTATCTTAGAGACGTATCTAGATGTAGTTCGTTTCTCATCTTTGCCTCATCTCGTAGTAGTGTCTAGAGCATGGGAGATCGTAACCTCCCCCTGAAGACAATAGTGAGTAGGATCCCAAGAATCGTTCCGTACTAATGTATATCCAGGAGAGCCCAGTTATAAGGTTCTTTTAGAAGATACGGTGTGAATAAATGTAAGGGAATATCTTAAGAACTTAGACGATGGCACAGTGTTTGCTCTTCCAACAACGCGTTGTAGCAGACTTTTCTCAACGGTAGCTCCTCCACGACAAACCTAATGTCTAGTTGGTGTTGTGTACCGAAGCAAGCCGCGGTCATACTAATGGATCTGAGTTTGTGTACGTCAGTATTAAGGTGTATACGCGACGAGCGGTAAAGAATACTAATAGGACCGAGCGAGAATGAAAGCAAGTTATCACTATCGCTCTATCCTGTCCTGTCCTACATAGTACATACTAACAGCCCTTGGCTTAAGCGAATGATCACTTTCGACTCGGCTGGACGCTCCTAGCGTATTTGTTCTCATCAATCTACGTGTTTGAGTACTAAATTTCGTTCTATATATGTGAGTGTATCCTGAGATCCGTGTTGGTTGAGCAAGGGTATCCGGGTTGCTAGGATGTGTTCTTCTGAAACTTCGAGGTCTACTATCCCATCAAGTGCTAACTGACGCCAAAAAATATGCCCCATAGTAATACCCTCTTTACCCCAAATTTGCCGATTTTAAAATTTCTGATTGGATCAAAAATACTGCTGTTGAAGTGCACTGGGCTACCCCTCATATACGTACTTAATGGCGTTAGTTAGCACTCGATGGGATAATTAGGAATCAGTCGCTTCTTTGACTGGACACCAACCATAATGACGTGTGATCTGAGGTGTGTATCAAGATAGGGCATACGCTCATCGTGATTCTTCTACTCGTGAAGTTGCTGAAGAAGTGTCGACTCCCTACAACCAGTATGGTGGTAAGACATCGCACGAGTTTGCTATTTCTCGATTGAGTATTCGTGTTCCTGGAATACAAGTATACACGAGGGACAGTGGCCCAAAGAAACGACGAGCTTGTGGCTCAGTGGAGTGGAGTGGATGATCTACCTGTCGCCTGTGACAACGGGCGACTGACTTCGTCGAGAACAAGTCCGACACATATAATTCATTGCTAGGACAGCTCTTTGATCGTCTCTATGCCTGCATTACGCCGTCGTGTGGAAAAGTCAGCTATGGAAGATCGCTTATATGTGCGTTCTCTATGTTTATACACCTTAGAAACCCATCAGATATACATCGCCCGAGCGCGTTTGAGGGGGACAGAAGTCGTCCATATGACCGGTGTATATATTGCTGCAGTAAGGAGACCCTTCTGGGAATCAGTTGTTCAGCCAACATGCGTTCCGTTAATTCTTGGTTGTCATCACAATTCGTGATTGGAGACGTCGTTGAGCCCATCTAAGATGTTGCATAGCTCGGGACGAGACCTTGACGTTGAGTTAATAATACCGGATCATAGCGTCTAAATGAGGTTGTATAGTAGTGAGACGCTGCTGCTGTCGCCTCACGATTATTGAAGTGATACTCAACTAGAGGTGGATGACAACAACATCCACCGGGTAACCATCGCAATCGCTAACGTCCAGTTCAAGTTGTGAAGGAGCCAAAACAACAGGATCTGGTGCAGCTCAATGCCCACTCAAGCTACATCTTACCCGTCACGAAAGATACGAGTCGGAGCGCCCCCATAGCCCAGTCCAACAGAACATATGGGATCCATCATTGCTTCTAAATACACCTAAGACCTATCCGGACGCGAATACGACTTTGAAGCGACCAAGAAAGTAGTACAAGAAACGGCGTGGTTCTCTACCCCCCACAGCTTCTCTCGATTCTCGTGATGTAATGCACTTAAAGTGCGCTACAAAAGCTCTGCAGATCCCTCCCTCATTCCGCCCTGCCCAGCAATCTAGCTTTGTGGGTGATGTCTGGCATCTCTTGCAGTGCCGGAGAATGACCAGAAGTCGAGAGGTCGAAGGTCATATCATACCAAGTTGCCTCGAAGCCGATACGTCCGCCCCTCTGCTGTGAGCATTCAAATACCACGAGCACATCTACGTTGATTAGCCCGTGAATACTTAACAGATAACAGAGATGATGGGTGAAGGCCTGTCGTTGGCGAAACAATGCGGCGACCTGTTAAAGGTTGGCAGTTGGCGTTCACCAAAACTCTCGGCCGGCTGTGACGCCTCAAGCAAAAGCGCAAGGTCACCGAATTACCTCTGAGGGTTTGAGAACAGCCGGTTCATGGCTTGAGACATCTCATCGTTGATATTCTGATGTTTATATATCGCATTCTGCCATCGCCACTTACAACGTCGCTGGGCGGGCTGTGTGCCCGCTGGGCACGACTTCATTGTTTGTAAAGGCGTGAATGACCCCTCTCATTCGGTGATATTTAGATATCGTCGGCCCATCCGGACCCGTCCTACGTGGTGTTGATAGTCTATGTATGTAACGTGATGTCCACTCCTAGCATCTGGGCTGTGACACCCTCACCTGATCCCCGCGGAGCCGCCGTCCGGGATGTTATATAGATAGCAAACAAGTTGCCTACTGGCATGCTTAGTTCGCTATGCTAACGTATCGAGATCGGGGCCGCAGATACTGCATCTGAAGTGGATCGGCCACTTGCATAGTTCCGTGACCAATATAACAATCAGTTTCAGGTTCAACCACATTCAAGGACGACCGGTGGATGACTTGTCGTGACTAGAATACTTGCACGATGCCAGATAGCAACGGCAGAGAGGACTCGTTGCGATGTGTCGGTTTCATCTCACCCGTGTGTGCGGTCGAGAGAACGGCAGGGTAAACGGCGCCATCACCATCATCATCAAGATCAGCACGATCGTCAGGACGAACAGCACGGTCAAGACGAGCAAGGGTAAACAGCGATCGTAGTTGGAACGACTTTCCACCGACTCTGCCATCTTTGGCTGTTCTTCGGGGGCGCTGTTTGAGGGG